TACTAGTGCCGGTGAACGGAACCGAGCAGAAATGGGCTCTTTCAGCTGGGCGGATTATCAGCCTCGTTTCCAAACTTGGCGCAGCTGGCAAATTACGTGGCTTGGAGGTTTCGACTAGCCACCTGTTGCGAACCCACCAGCCACTGGCATGTGTTTATTGAGATTCTTCCTTTTATTCCATTGATGCTTCTAGACTAATGTGCATTTTTAGGATTAGGGCTCTTCCTAGTCACGCTGTGTCAAATTATATCCGTTCCCCACCTGAAACGGGGTACATGCAGGTCTGTCTGTCACCACGCATTTTGGCATCACAGAGAGTTAGTCCGTCAACTCTCCCCACAATAGCAACACAGCGCCAGAGAGGATTCCGCTCCAAAACGGTTGGTTAAGAGAAAAAGCTGGTGCTGCCCAGTTGGCGCCTCTAACAAGGGAGGGAGCGAGGCAAGTGGATGACAACTGCAATGTCCATGCATACACGTAGCTCGCGAATGCATACTACGTGTTCCCAGTCCAAGAAGAAAGCCAAATGGTACATGTCGAACAGCTCGGGGGGGAGGGGCTAGAAAGCTGCTCCTGGTAGACACCTCGTCGGACGTAGGCAACAACGCACCCGTTTAAACATCAGCCGTCAAGAACAGGGGAAAGAAAGAAGCAGTTGAAGAAAGCTGCTACTCGCAAGCCCCTACGTGATGTATGGATGCTAGCACTAACAATGAATTGCCTGTACAATTACGAGAGACAGCGCATACCTTACACACACGTATACGCGATCATGCATCTTGATATGCCGGAGCCGCAACTAGTCCTGCATAGGACGTTGGAGTTAGGGTTGGTTGTCTTCGCGGATGTTCATTCCTGGCGGCACGGAGCTCCGAGTGCGCTGTTTCCATTCCGTCGGTGCCCGTTCTCGTACTGGCACGGCATTAATCACACCACTCCTCTCCATGGCCGCAGCAGGTGGTGCCGTGCCCACCGCAATCTCCTCTATTACCGGCACACGCCCAATAGGCTAGCAGGCAAATCAGTCGGCCGGTTCTTCGGTAACACACGCCAACAGGTTGATAGCCTCGCACCGAAGCTCAACCATGGCCCGGCGTGCAGGAGCGTGCGCATGCAGAGGCTAGGCACCGGATTTACACGCACGTCCACATCTATCTACACACGCGCTCTCGCACACCCTCTTGCGCACCAGTGATCGACCCATGCCGCTGCTGCTCTCGGGCGTGTAGCCTCCTGCGGGCGGCCATCATGGGAGCGATTGGCTGCTTGTGTCCGTTCATTGTCTGGGCAAGGTATTGATCGATCGACAAGAACAAGGAGAAGAGATTGAGCTATCCATTCAGCCGAGATGCATCCATGAAGGGGGACGTCTGCGAGGACAGGGGACGTAGTAATTATCCCTCTCATTCTTTCTACAATTCGATGCTGCAACTCAATCTGCATCCTGCGACGACTGGGTCATGCTCACGAGTCATCCCACCCCATAGCCGTGGGTTTTTTTCCAGGTAGGCTTGGGCTCTCGCTCGCCAGCACTGTCGTGTGGTGCGCAGTTGCTACTTACTGCCGCCGCCTCCGCTAACACGGCTGATGCCGCTGGCGCTGGGGCTCACGCTACTCTGGTTGTTCGGCTACTTGCTCATGCCACTTTTCACATGGTCAATTCTGGGCGTCGCACGAGCAGCACGTTAGTCCGGCCTGTCAATGCCAGCACTCCCACAATCCATCCACTATCCCTCGACGTCGTTCCACGGCTTTCTCCACCATCGACCTACTAGGGCTGGCTGGCTGGGGCCATGATCGTGGATGTGGGTGGATGGATACAAAGGTAGGAAGTGGTTATTAGTTGCCTACTACGGAACGGGCGGTTTTCGCAAATGGAGCCAGGCACCTTGCGCACTACCTACGTCTACCTATGTGGCTATCCATCCTATTCCATGCGAGGCCATCCTGGTTTCAGAGAGCCCCAGTGAAGGCGCTAGAGCATATTCAACGAGCCTGCGCCAGGCCGTATTTCCTTGTCCATATCGCCGGCCATTTGCCTCGCTCCGCCCGATAGAGAGAACTGAGGTCTAATACTTGTTCTATTGCCGGGCCGGCTATGAGGGGGGGAAGAGTGGTCGTACCAGTGCAGGCGACCTGGCTGTCTGCCGTTCAAGCTCTCCGTGAGCCCCAGTCGAAGGTCAGGGCTGCATCGAAGATCCCAGCGATGGGGCCGGTTGTCAGCACACATGCAATTCTCAAGTCTCTCACGCTTGTCCCTTTGCTGTGCGTGCAGGAGGGCCAACGCGCGGACAATGTGCAGCAGTACGAGCTACTTGGCTGCATGTATTCAGGTGGCAGAGCCACATTAACTGAGAGGATAGAGTAATCACATTAATCAGACAACTGACATGACGGCAACCAGAAAGGGCCGCTATTACCACGCTGCTAGACATGGAGGCGGCCAATGAAACATGCTATGAACCCTCTCGCAAGACGCCTATCCAGAAAAATCATGACTTGCATGTGCCCACTTCATCCAATTGCGGCCGAGGCAGGGCAGGCATCCCCTGTAGCACCCTTGCAAGCCCGCTCGAAGTACTCGCGATGGGGTCTCTGTCCCTCTCGCACAGTATTGGCGTTGCTGACTTGTCGGTTGCCTACGGCGGTGCTTTCCCTATCTTCTGCCCTGCCTCTGATCAAAGTAGACGTCCTTGGAAAACTATGGAACAACTTAGATAGCAAGAGCGAATTGTCACGGGATAGCCCCCCTTTGACTTGCCGCGTCGTATACTGTACTAGTAGTGACCAGATGCGGAGGAGCCGCACACAAAAGACCTCGCGAACGAACGCATTGACACATCAAGTCAATGGGAATCAATCTCACAATCGGTACCCTGTCCTCGCATGGAGGGGGGGCGACGGTTGGAGACAATGGCCCCTCCTTGCAGCCACCCTAATGTGGAGGAACCCCTTCCGGGAACCAGACCCCGGCTGCAGCAGCTGCCCGTGTGGTGGTTCGCCTTAATTGGCTACGTAAGTCGAGTTGCTGGGGTAGCAGGCGAGGGAACTGGTAGAATTTCATCATGTCTGCGATTCCGCTCTGGCGAAAATCTATTAGCAGACGTCGTCCTCTTGCTTAAATTCGAGCCGTTGCGTTCAACTTCTCCTTCTGCAAGGTAAAAAAAACCGGTACCCTCGTGACCAGCACCCATTGGACGCAGCATTGTGTGCTCAGCTCACCTGCCGCTCACCTGTCGCTCACTCTTTCTTTTCTTTTTCCTCACTCCTCAGCACACGCAAAGTCATCTTCCGAGTGACTGCGATTTTGTTTTGGTTTTCGAATTCTTATTTGAGCAGGCCCAAAGCTTCTTCTTTCGACCTTCTTCAACACGAATACACCTCTTCCTCGTCGCACGGTGATTATTCCCTTGCACGTTTCTCGTAAAGCCGACGGAATTGAAACTCGGCCGCTACCTCTGGTCAATCCGACACCCCTGCCCAGTGCTGCCGGCTGTCGAGTGATTTGAGCGCCGCCGCGGACCCAACATTTTGCTCGCGACTCTTGATATCCAGCCTGCAATCAATTGGTGGTAATCGTCTTTCTCGCGATACACAACAATGGATATTCCCACAATGGAGACCGGCTTCGTATTCCCCGAACATGGCCAGGTCATTGACATCAATGGCAGCAAGATGTCCATGAACATGAAGGCGGCTGTTGAAAAGGAATTCCTCTACATCAAGAAGGGCGGCGAAAAGCCCACCATGCCTGATGAGCTGCTGTATACCGATATCGGATTGAACTTGTGGAAGGACATTATCCATCACGAGAGTTTCTATCAAACACACGACGAAGCAAAGCTATTTGATATTAATGGCGCTGAGATCGTGTCGCGTATGCGACCTGGCGTCGTCATGATCGATCTCGGAGCAGGGTAAGTACAATACGCACAGGCCTTTATTCAGCCTAATACGGGATGAGTTGGCGATGGCTAACAAATTTTGCTCGCCAGAGATACTGAGAAGGTTGAGCACTTGCTGGCAGCTTTTGAAAAGGCGCGGGTCCCGTGCACATATCTTGCTCTCGACATTTCTAAAAAATCACTTGATGAGAACATCAAGTTTCTCGAGTCGAAGCACACAGGACCCGACTGTGTCGTCAGATGCGCAGGCCTTTGGGGCACATTCGAGGATGGGAAGCATTGGGTTCAGAACATCCAAGGACAGCGTCTGTTTCTGTCGCTGGGCTCAGTGCTGTGCAACGACCCTTACTTTGAAGCGCTGACGAAGCTCAAGTCCTGGGCGAGTGTTATGCGTGAGGATGATTTGACTCTCATCGGCATGGATGGACACCTGCATCCCAAGGACGAGAAGAAGATCTGGAAGGCGTATCATTCAACAGACGATCTTTACCGCAAGTTCTTCTTCGACAACGGGTTTGCCCATGCGAACAAGGCCGTTGGAGAAACTTGGTTCAGAGAGCAGGACTGGGAGCTCAAGGCAGAGCTTGAGGACTACCCAACGACTAGGCACCGATTTTACTTCCGGGCCAAGCACACATTCAACCTCGGCTCCACCGATCGCCAGATCCAGGAGGGCGAGGAGTTCGACTGGTTCGACTCTCACAAGTATGGACAAAGCCAGGTTGAGACTATGTTTGAGAAGTCCGGGTTGATTGCCACCAACATTTGGCAAGCCCCAGACTCCGAATTCCGTGAGAACAGCCACAGTCCCCAAATTTGCAAAGAAGATGATACTAACAACTTCTACCAAGGTCAATACCTTGTCAAGCTCAAGGATGACCATGACCAGCGAGGTGACGCTGACAGCGCCGTATCTGGCGTCAACTGATTTGCTGCGATTGATTCTGCAAAGTCATCTTTTGATTTCGATTTGATTGAGCTGAAGTGGCACCCAGTTATAGCCACGATGGATTCGATTGATTTTCCCAGGGTTATACACATTCGGTTGGCGACCGGCGCTGATTAAAAAGTATAGAGGTGTTTCTACATTTGTTGCTAGGTCAAGCATAGCGTTTCCGGTTCCTTTTCACGCACTAGGGAAACAAGCTTCTCCCACCAGTGATCCCTGGCACTGACGGATTCAGGGATGTTTTTGTTGTCTAGAGGAAGGTCGCAGTCAATCCAAGTCCAAATTCGCTGGAGAACCTGGAACAGGGGTGGAACGCTCTGATCGTATGTGGTCAGTTAGATTCGATCATTAGGGGTAATTCTTAATTAAATCACTCACGCTTCTTACAGGCGTTCTCACAACGCTGCTGAACCACTTCTGTGACACTTCTTTGTGCATGGGGACTGTCGCTAGTAATCCAAGTAGAAACACGGGAAAAAGAGGAGCCTGTGCAGTGAAGTTCGATCCAGATGTAGGCATTACGCGGATGCACCGGGCCAATGAATCGAGGTTGGCAATGACGTCAGGGTGATTTCGAGGGAGCCTATACTCTCATAGTTAGAAAGGAACCCGGCAGGATGTAACAGTAATGTGGTCTTACCTCAGCCCTCGACATTGTAGGTACACGATAACAGCGATTCTCCATGTTTCGGCCGTGACGTCTGTCATGTCTGCGCTGGTGTTTATTGTGAAGCCATCGGGCTGTTGTTGCACCCAGACGATTGTCTGATACCCTTTTTTTGCCATGTCCCATGACCGGGACTCACTACTCCACTGTCTCATCTCCTGGAGCTCATCTAACAGAAACTGTATGGTCATTGGCGTAATGGGGCTCTCCGGTTCTTGCTGAAGACGGGCCGCGCAATAAGTAATTTGGCTGACGACGTGAAGCAATTTTTTTGAGAACCCACAACCGCCATGGATCTCGTACATCTCTTTCTCTGTACCGTATAACAACCATCCAAACCTAGAGGCTTCTTTCTGAGGATCAAGCTCGTGAGGCGAGATGAGCGGCATCATAGGCTGGGCGAGAATCACAGCCCGGCCGACCATGATGGACTGAGCAATTCGAAGCGAGTCCAGCTGAATATTATCTGGATTCCAAAATCTCGTCCCTGGATCTATACGCTGCAAAGCATTCTCGGCTTCGAGGAAGCCAAGAAGCCAGCGAGAGCGTTCAGGCTTTAGGGCACGACGCTCGGTCAAAACGATCTATAGCACAAATTAGCGTCAGTTTCGATAGTAAGCACAACGCGAGAACAAGTTAGGACACGACTGACATCTTGCATGGAAAGAAGAGTGGTGATGGTGATGAGTTCCTGGGCCTTGCGCTCATCTCCCGCTGCTTCAGGGTCGTTAAGCAATTCCGTCATTCGATTTTCCGCTACCCTGAAGAGCTCGTTGACTCGTTTGACAATTTTCTCCGATGGAACGTAGTCGTAAATGTATACACCAGCTAGACTTTGCATGGCAGCACGTACACCTTCTTGTCCATGCATTGAGGCAAAGTCCTTCAGCCAAAGGTTTGTTTTCTTCAGAACACTCCTTCCAGGACACCAATTCTTAATATCTAGTGGCCATTGGTGTTAGATGAGGTTAAGGCTGCAAAGAGGATAAAAAGTTAGTCAACTTACAAAACTGCCAAAACCGCCTGTCCATGCGATCGTCAACCTTGGCCTGGTATCCAAACTGAGGCGGAAGCATCTGGGGCCCATCTTGGTAGTGGGTGACCGAGGTACTGCTGATAGGGGAAGATCCCTGCGAGTCTAATGGGGGAGTACTGAATCCTGAATACTCCATACCGCTTGGTGAAAGGTCGCCTATGTTCGTTGGAGATGGCGAAGTCTCTATTTTGACGCCCACGTCGGTGGCGAGTGGCGTCAAGGCGGCATAATAATGAATAGCCGACATAGGAGGTGTAGTAGAAGACCTGATTGGTGGCGATAGATCCAAGGGGACCGTCTCGCCGTTCGGGAGTACCTTAGCCGTGATCACCCCCGGTTGGGAATCTTTGCCCCACGCGAACTTGATATATCCATTCACGAAACCTTCAGGAGGGCGGGCTATAAACTGAGTCTGGAAAGTGCCAAAAGATTCTAGGCAGTCATGAAAAGGACTACGAATGAGAGCAACAGGGCCGATCATTGGCGCAGTCTCGATTTCCTCCTTGGGCGGAGGATGGCAGTTGATAGGTATGGCCCCGGTATTTGGGATAGGTACCATGCCCTGAGGCGGGAACCCGTTGTGAAAGATATCTGGAGTTCCATCTGGGCGGAGCAAAGGGGACGTCACAGCTGATGACAGTGCTGGGCCGGGTGAAGCTGAATGAGGTGTCAGCTTACGAGCTTGAAAGGGGAGCATAGTTTACTGGGGTGACACCACGGATGGTGAAGGGGGAATGTGCACATCTCGACAATTCAACAGTGGGATAAAGAAACACAATGAGGAGGAGACGATGAATAAGCCAAGGGTAAGGAAGTGGCGTGCTGGTGGTGCTAAACAACATGAATAGAGGGGCTCAAGTGGACCGATGCGTCTAGATATACTGACCGAGGGACAATGGTGGGAGGGGTATATTCCAACCCTCCTGTGATCCATTAGGTTGAGGAGCATAAGAGATCGGGAACCCGCCCGGGGGAGACATCCAAGGCCATCTGTTGTCGATGGGTGAGGGCCCCGCGGCGACTGCCGCAATGGCATCCTGTTGTGACCGTATGAGTATGCCGTTAGGAAGAGCCAGATCTTGCGCCGCCGGGATGGGTTGGGGTCCGTCATGGAGTGCAGCGATGGGAGGGTGCGCAAAGGGCTGTGATGATTTAAAACGCTTCACAGGGCGTTCTGAATCTGAAGAGTACCCCATGTTAACAGGCGGCTACCGCATCTTCTCACCGACAGTTCCAAACGTCGTCTCTGCCTTGGTTCGTGGCCAACTCCGGGCTTTGCTAGTACGCAACTACCTGAAGTATTTGGCACTGGAGCTCCAGTACCGGCAGTCGCACACGGCAATAGCCTGATCAGCGTCCAACAGGTACGGCTTGCAGGGTTCTCAGCGGCAGTCCTCGCTCCAAACACGGGGTGGTTGGGCCCAGGCAGGTAGGCAGGTAGATGCGGTTGGAGACGGGTAGTGAGTCAGTCAGATCTGGAACATGGACAGGATCAGCACCTGCGACTTGCCCAGCTTGGGTGACTCTCTCGACGTGTCTTAGTGAGAGTGGTTAGCTGTCTTGAACCCTGGATGGCTTGGGGAAAAAAGACGCTGCGCTGCAATCCTCGCTGCAAGGTGGATCAGGGTCACCTACCTGCCGGGTACCTGGAGTGCAGCTGTGAGCAGAAGCTGTCGCCCGCCTGCACCTGCACGGTCACTCAGCACGAACGGACCAAAATAAGGTCGAGTAGCGTATGCGAGGCCCGAGCGGCACCTAAGGTAGCGAGGTACGCCTGTGCCCACCAATGGGTTGGTACAGGACGAGGTACCTTCCAGCTGGACGGCAACCAGCCGGTCTGTTATAGGGCGTGTTGGGGGACCACCTGGGGACTGTGGGGGCAGCAGCAGCAGCGCAGGCAGGTGCTGTGACAGCCTGCACGGTAAAAACAAGGCAGGTACCTAGGTTGGTAGGTGAGTTGTATGGAAGGGTAGGGTACCTACCCAGGTAACCTTGGGTGGGCGCGGAGAAAAAAAAAAGTGAGTGCGCGCAGGCGGTTGGGAGGTATTGACACGTCCAAAGTGCCAGACTACCCGGGTGCTTGGGCAAGTGGGACGCTTGGCCGGGTGTGTGTGAGGAAGGAGACAACAAGAGGGGTGAGACGAATTGACGGGGGCAACGAATTCACGCGGCACGTATGTATGTAATGTACATAGAGTGTGTGTGGTGCAGAAAGTTGGGTAGGAAAGGAGAGAGGAAAGAGAAAAACCCCAGAGACAGCCTTGGGAGGGGGGGAGAGAAGAGATGAGATTATGGTGGGACAGGCCGAATTGCCAGAACCTCTCTGTAAGGGAGCTGAGGCACGGCAAACGAAGCAAGGAGAAACCGTTTAGTATCGGAGAAGAGAAACAACACAGACAGCGACTCGGGGTCAACACAAATTAGCAGACGGAACCACTTATTACATGAAGACCAGAATCCCGCTATTAATTAGTAGAATTTGTTTTTGGAATCCATTGCTTGGGTGTAACGCTTCTGTCCTCAAGGAGGGAGGCTGCTTGCTTTGGTTCGGTTGGGCTTTTTTTTCTTTTGGCATCCTTGCCTCACTCCTAGTCCTCATCATCGTTCATGTTTGCTTTTTGTACGTCCGCCTAGCGGCTTGTGGTTGGTTGCTCGACACAACACATTATCGATGCATGGCCCAATTGCGACCGGTCGAGACACCGTCACGCCTCACGATGCCGGCATACCCTGGCCAGTCCTATGGATCGGGTGGTTCCCAGCCAATCCAATTTCAGGGTGTAGATCTGCTCTCTACGCCGAGTATTTGCTTTTCCCATGTGGTCTGCTAATCAAACCCGACAGGCCAATGCGCGCCAAAGGCCCTCCACCCTCTTGGCTCGAATTTGGTGCCATCACAGCGCCATTTAAACTGTCCGAACGACGCTTCGCGTGGTCACTTATCTAGCGAGCGGTCCGTGCCTCGCAGCTGGCCGACCGGTGAGCTTTTTACCCACTTATCAACATATTTCATCGCGCACTTAGCGCCACCCGCCCTCAAAAAGTACGTACCAGCCCAGACCACTAATATCTCCTAGCGGCCACTAGCGTCATCAGCTGGATGGCACGTGAGGCACCGAGGTCCATGCAATATTACGCTGCTCTCCAAGGTTAATAAATGGCCGACCTGATGGCTGGTAATATGCATGTTGATGTGTCGTGATACCGTGGGAGGGTAATTGCACAAATAAGACAAAACCACCGAGCAGGTCAGTAGAGTTGAGTGTTGCATGGATGTCACGGCACCAACACGAACTGAAGGAGCATCCACCCACCCACTGTGCCGTTAGCTGCGACTAAAGCACTCTGTATGTACGTGAGAAATGATGGAGGGGGAACCAACCTTGCCAACTCAAGGGACCTTCTGAAAATGCAAATACCCAGCCAACTGCACATCATCAAATATGCACATGCAACAATACTTGTAGCATCGGCGTAATGCACACAGTAGTCTTGTTCCATTATTGAAACCTCGCCCATCAGCACCCTTTCCCCGAGCACCTCGAAAGTCCCCGCCGTCGGAGTGCAGCACGGAGTCTCATCTATCCCAGGAGTAGGAAACTATCTCCTGGTGAAAAGCTGGGATAAATCGTCTTTGCACGGTGCCAGGAGCCTTCCATTGTGAAGGGTGATGCGACATGGTGGGTCGTATCTACGCTCTGCCACGCTGAGTCAGCACTCGGGGGTGTGGTTGTTGTCTCCTCTCTCAACAGGTAGCCTTGTTCCCTCTTCCCTCATTTCGCTTGGTGTGTGATGTGTGATGTGTCGACAGAATCGTATGGCCCAGATTGCCTGCCGAATGTCGTGTGCTCGCCTCCATCAGACCCGAATCAAGTAACACCTCTCTGGAAGATCCGAGTTCTAAAGGGCACAGAGCCGCTGAATCCCAAAACAAGGCAGCGTGCTGTCCAACTCACACCACAGGCACCGCCTGACCTAGGTCTTCCTCTCTCCCTCTCCCCTCTCCTCCATCCATTTCTCGCTCACCTACTGCCGCGGCAGCTGCGCTCCATACTCACGCAAACTCAACCCGCCATCCTCGTTGGTCAAAGCTACCTTACTAGAGGTACAAGATTCGCCCCTCATTGGCCTCCCTACCTGTTTGTTTCTTTTTTCTTGGACTTTTCCACCGGGCCACCTCCCGCCTAATTTTTGCCATCTGCTGGGCCAGGTCCTAGACCGCCGCCGTCGCCTGCTCTGCGCCACTCCGCACCCACACCCGTTATTAGCTCTGGGTCGTCCGTTGGCCTATGCTTGAGTCTAGCAAAGCGTTTAGCTTGCGGAGAGAGCACAGAGCTATAGCCCACTAGGTAATTCTGACATTCGGGCACTCGGCCGGATCGGACCCACCTCTCCCCTTCCCGCGGGTTCTCACAGACCACCACCGGAACTTGCAGTGCGGGCCACCGGGCGCAGAGACAACAGCAGCCGCCGTCCGCTGGGCAAAGACGTGTGATATCTTTGCTTTCTTATGTAACCAGGCTAGAATACTATTTGATAACTTTATATTCTGCCGCTTCCCGTGCGTGGGGGACCTCCCAAGATGGCACCTCCCACTCCAGCCTACGTGTTTGAGTCCTGCCTGCAGCAGTCTCCTCCCCTACCAGCACCGTCGAACCGTCTGGATGAGATCATCCAGACCAACCTAAAAATAGCTGCCCACGACATTCCTCCAAAAATGGAGAACCCATCTGATCTTGTACAAGCCAAGCCAAAGACAGTCATCAACGACATGGGCGATTATATCACCCAAACCACCTGTGTTTGGGCTCACTTGACAGAGAATCTGGTCAAGGGTCCGCACATCAAGGAAGCGGCGCTAGAGATACACAAGCAAGCCCAGAACGAAAATCGGTGCGCAGATCTGACTGCCGTGACCGCCATGGACGTCGACCTGGCCAAACTTCGGTAAGCTACTACGATGCCTTGAACGGCCGGCATTTGGCTGACTTCCGCCATTGCAGAAAAATCATGGATCTCACAGCCCAATATTCCAAAGAAGTGCAGAATATCTGGCGCCAGAAAAGTCGCACAGAAGATCGCCCAGCAAAAAGAGCTTATTCCAGTACATCCGGTGTGGACGCGAAACCTGCAGCTATACCAGTATCCAGGATTGTCAACGAAGATGACAAAGGAGCCGTTCGGAGGATGTTGCCTGGCGCGCCGCAGCCAGACCATGTCTCGCCACCCGATGACGGCTCAGGATCCGACGACTCTGATGACGAGGACGACGAACGGTTTTCTCAAGAAAAGATGGATGCGCTCAAAACAAGGGGTAAAGGTAATCACCAATGCCCCAAGGGCCATCTTTGTACCAAGGGTGGGGTCGACAAGGACGGAAACCTCGTCCAGTTTGACCGCAATTCAGCGTTTGCGTACGTTTCCATTTCTCTTCCTCTCGCTAGGGCAACGCTTACCATTCTTTAGTCAACACTGTAACAAGCATCGTAAGCCATACAGATGCACCCTCCAGGGATGTCCCAACCCAGTAAAAAAGCGAAGGTTCGCTCGTCGAGACGGGTTGGAGCGCCACCAAAAACATGTTCCTCACATCCTCACGCAAGCTGTTTCTGCATTATGATACTTACTTTCACCACAAGTGCAGGGAGTAGTTCTGGAACAGCGTACTGGTGATCAGACCAGATTGACCGTCCAACTAGAACACGAATCTCCCGGCTGGGGCCAATCAAGCAGTCTGGGATGGGAACATGAACATACGGGGCCCAGTCAGCCCCGTCTGAGGACACGGATATATTATACTATACGCAGACAACAATGGGTCGAGATGGATCGGCAACACACATACGGGTACAAGTACAACACCATTTGGACAACTCAACCGTCCAAATTGCACCTTCGCCTAGATGCATGTTTCAAATGAAACATTATGCGGTCCTTGCACCGCTTAGCTCCGGTTTCTCAAGCTTATTGAGAAACCTGCCGAGTTAAAAATATCGAGCGCGGTGTCGCAGCCTAATAAGGCCGAGCGCATCAAGGTGGGGTCAGCACACAGGGGGGGGAGAGCAGAGACATAATACATCATGGGAGGCGTTGATTGGGGATTTCTCGCATTTAGGAAAAATCGGTATTTAGATTGCATCGGCGTTTTGACCACCGGATCATCAATGCTACTTGGCTGTGCGGGTCACTGGGGATCATCGAAGATCGCGGCAAGTGTATTGGATAAATCGTTCTAAGACATGCTCCTTGACCGACACACGATGCCTATCTCTGATGGTGTACTCCCATCACGCCCTGTGAGCTCGGCCACTCATAGTCCGGAGGTGACTCGCCATTGTTAGGTGGAACCTCGGTTTGAGCAGCCCCATTCTTACGCTTTTCCCACAGCTCTGCATGGAACAATCCAAGAACAAGGGGGATGAGAGAGAGGAGGCAAACTAATATCCCATGGTTTGACTCCATAAGAACCACGAGGTTAACAGCGGGCCACGATGCATCCAGCGCGGGGCAGGAAGAGATAGCTAGTCCCTCAATAGAAGCGCACCAACACGGGACGGACAAACAGGTACAACCGGAACACGAACATTGAACTCCGCCTGAGTATGCAGGCCACCAGAGAAGAAAAGACGGGGGTTTCTTCGGTGATACGAGCACCAGAACCAGTGTTCTCCATCTCTTTTTACGATTCAGACGAGGCAGAGTGAGATACAACTGGGGCGGATTGGTTTCCCGCAGCCTGCATGTGCAGCAAAAGTCCCAGAGACGCGGTCCTGGTTCAATCTAACTTCGAGACTATCAAGAGCCGCAGAGCTCAGACGATGGAGCGACATGCCTCATTTCAATAGTTGCTCAGGAAGAAGGGGGCTCATACATAAAACCGGATTCTGCGGCTGGTTGTGGTAAAGCCAGTTGCGAACGCGGGGATGATCCCGGCAGTCCAGCACTGACCAATTACCATCTCATGATGCCATAGGACAAGCTCAGCTCGAGGATTGCTTGAGAGCCTCCACGACGCTAACTACACCAAACTTTCTACGATATGGATCCCACAATCCCAGGCAGTGGATCAACAGGAGGAGTTCACAGGGTTTAATCTACGTGAAACGCGCGCAGCAAAGGTCACAAGAAGGCGAGCTCCGCAGCTGGAGTGGGGGAGCTGGACCAAGACCGCTGTAAATGGAGATGCTATAATGGGGATAGCAATTTGCGATCCGATTCCCATCTCCAGGAATCTCGGAAGGATGAAATCGAGGATCAGTACATATGACAGTGTGGCACACTACTTGAAAACAATGGGATAGGGCGACGACGGTAATTGGCCAATCGGGGAGGAGAATGGGAGGTGGCAAATGTCAGACGAGCTGAACCCAGCTGGTCCTTTTTTTATTTTATTTTTTTTACTTTTTTCCTTTTCTCTTCCCATGTTCCAGTTGTGAAGCTTCTGGCTAAGATCGGATTTATTCCTCCACACCCACACAATCGTCACCGCTAAATGTGGGCACGTGTCTTCAAGATGGTGCGGGCAAGGGGGTTCGTCAGGGTAGGATCCACTGGGCCTGGGCGCCGAGACCGCCAGGCGGTCAGTGATGGAAGCATTGCATTGTGTATGTAAGGTAGACTTGCGTCTGGCTCACCATCTGGTGTGAGATAAGAGGGACTCGCGCCATCGGGAGGCAAAGACTGGGGATTGGGCGCGGGATTAGCACACGCGGTGACGCGGAGGCAAAGGGGAAAGAGAGACAACAACCCGAACAAGCTTGGTCTTGGACTGGGAATAGATTGCGCAGCTAATGTCAATTTTGGGACATTTATTCCATGGATGTCAACGAACCATGGCCAATCCGTCGTAGGTGCCTCACCCGGGATGCAGGGGCGGCCCAGACTCAAAGGAACAGGAGGGAGGAAAAGAAGCCCGGCTTGCGAAAGGAGGAGACAACAAGAAAAACAGGGTGATGGGGGTGGCACGGGAGCGATGGTCCACTACCGTGCGACAGAGTCTTTCAGCTCTTCTTTTTGTTCCTCAGCTACTTTGGACGTTTCCTCATTGCATCAGCTGTTCGCCTAACGCATAAAGGAGTCGGGTGGCTTCAAATGAGGTGCCCAATCCAGGCCCTGCACAGGTACCGGTCAGCAGTCAGCATAGATGGCTATCTGTGCAGGCCCTTGGCGTAGATCGTTGATTTGGTAGATTGACTGGGGTAGCAAGAACCGATGAAAGGAAATACATAGTATCGTAATTCTGAAGGTACTGTTCCCACCCACGCTTCGTTCTCCATGCAAAGTAGAGGCAGACCCATCCCTAAGGTACGCTACAACGGGCTTGTAGCAAGGGTGATGTTAGTTCGCCCGCGTTGACCAGTTTTATGTATGTAATATGATTGTTTAGTACGGCAGATCCTCGAGTCAAAAGCTCGCATAAATCTTGCTTCGTCCGTGGCTGGGCGATGACTCAAACTGCAAAAGGCAGACAGCAACGAAAAAAGCAAGTAATCAGGCGAGCGGGAGATAACAAGAGATCTTACCGCATAGGAAAAGGTTTCACACCGGTCAGCAATAAGACAGCACCTGACGCCGAGAATAGCTACCTGACCAAGGTAGCAGTGATACGTTTTTGCCGCTGCCATGTAGTCGCAAGAAGAAATAACACGGAACAGCTGCAGCGCCGCAACGAATGAGACATGGCGGGAGGGGCAGAGGTGCGACAGGTCCAGGTCCACAAGATGGATACGATGATAGATTTCGCACCTTGAGACTGCGTTTCCCCTCCGCCTGCCCAAGGTTTGCCCGATTCCCCTTCCCTGGGCTTTCTCTTCCCATGACATGGGACCCAACCTTCATCTGAGATGGACAGGGGTCCCTGTGGCTTCGGAGCAGCACATGAGATCAGACCCTAGGTACAGCCCTCCTCCACCAGAGGAAAATTGATAATGGCGACTAGGGACTTGGAAGCTGCGTTGATAGGCGGGCTGGCATAGACTAGCTCTCTGCGTTTGTGCAATTTGGTAAAAAGTTGGCCCATCGATCGTTTCTTTTTCCGTTCCATCTTTTTTTTTGGGGGCTTGGTCCGCCCGCCTACCATTTGACCGTGTGCGGTCGTAATGGGATCGTTTCTTTTTCTTTAGGCCTCCACCAAGACGACCAGGGCCGCAGCCAGTCCCCATTTCCAACCACAGGCGATGCGATGAAGCGGTACGGGCTAATACCTCGTTCCCATAGCGCGGTTGCTTGCTTCTTCTAGTCCCCGCTAAACTGCCCTTTCCCTCATCATAACTCATCATCGTTTCTCGCTGGTACTTGTGACCACCAGGAGACAGGAGGCAAGTAGTACTCGCTACCTTCCTGCCTACCCAACGCCCATGCGAGGACGGCACTTGCCCCATCCAGGCCCAGGGCAGGTGCACCCGACACGGCGCCATGTACAGAGCTGCCCGTACCCAGTACTCCGTGCCGCTACTGGTACCTAGCACCTCCCCACCCCGGTCAGTCATTCCCATGTGGTAGGTACGTAGGCCAATGTATGCAAGCACTCCCCTCGTCCAGTCCTGCGACGTACAGACATGTATATTCCCATCTGTGTACATGCGGCTTTCCGTTACACATGCGTGGGTGAAGCAACGGCGAAGCACTAGAGTGACGGCATGAAAAAAAAGTGGTCGGGATCATCCCCTTTTCTCCATGGCGACCTGACCTTCATTTTCCTTCTCTCCCGCCGTGTGCTCTCTCCCCTCTTGGGGTTGAGACAACACTCCTGCTGGGGCCGCCACGCCAATCTCTCTAGTCTAGGATGGAGTCCCACGAGATGTGGTGGCGCCTTACCCCCGTGCGGAAGTATGTTTGCTTGTTTGTCGTCTCCTAGTGCTTCCGCTGGGTCTCACTCAGCCCTGCTCAACTCCAGCAGTCGTGCAGCTTCCGTCTTCTTCCCTCCTGGCAGGCCGGTCCGAGTATACGTACTTGATTAGACGTCCAATGCTCCTCCTGCCACCGTTCGACTCCCAACCAACCGACTCCCAGAGCAAAGTATAAAGTCTCACAGGGGACCCGGACCTGAGCTAGTGTCTGTCTACTCAGATCCATTGTCTCGACGCCTCTGATAATTACTTTTGCCTACCCATCGAGGCCTGTCATACATCGGTGTTCCCCTTCGTGGATTCATCCATCCTCCCTCTTCCCCTCTTGGACTTGGTTCTCCTGCCCTCAACAAAGCAAAAACAACAGCAACAGCAGCCACCATGACTGTCAATAGGCCTTCGCCTGCTGTCAATGGCAATCACACAAACGGCAATGCCCCTTCCACAGTCCTCATCATTGGCGCCGGCAACTTCGGCGCAGCAACTGCTCTCACCTATGCTCAACGTGGAGGTGTCAAGGTGACCCTCGTTGATACGGCACAGTACCCCAACCCCAGAGCTGCATCTCATGATATCAGCAAGATAGTCCGTGATGACTATCCCGACACCCTTTACATGCGCATGCTTGCAGATGCCATGCCCAAGTGGAGGACTCATCCCCTTTACTCCCAATGGTACCATGAGGTTGGCATGCTCAGAGCGGACCCCACCGATTTCGGTGAGAGAAGTCTGGCTGCTTACCAGGAGCTCAACTACCCCAATAACTCCAGATTCATGTCTGTTGAGGAGATCAGGCAAGAGTGGAATGGCATCTTCGCAACCACCAATTTCGAGGGAGTCGAAAAGGTCCTGTACAACCCTAATGTGGGGTTCGCAGAGGCCGACCACGCCCTTGGCGCTGTTGTGCAGGCCGCTATCAACCATGGTGTCGAGTACGTCGTTGGTGAGATGACAAGCCTCACTTTCAGCACAGACGGTCGGTGTACCGGGGTCGAGCTCACGACCGGCGGCGTTCTCACTGCCGACAAGATCCTATTGGCTACTGGCGCCAGGACCGGCGCAATTCTTGCCCAGAGTGCTCCCAAGAACAAGAATCTCCATATCGGCGACAGGATGATTGCCACCGGCGCTGTTAGCTTCCACGCCAAGGTGCATGGTGCACAGAAGGAGAAGTTCGGCCGGCTTCCTGTTTTGAAGAACTGCCTCCCACAGGTCAAAGGTACGTCATTCTAGAAAGGGTGGGATCTTATATTCGTGGTGATTTCAGATGCTGATTTCGCACAGGTGAGGGAATGTCTATCCTTCCCGATGGTACAATTAAGTTCAATTGCGACCTATGTTTCACAAACTACGTTGACTTCCCGGCCACTGGGGAGCGCATGTCCGTTGCGCCTGACAGCTCTACGTTCAATGTTTGGACTGGGCGCAAATTCATCAAGTACTTCGAGGACCGCGCCAGGAGAACCATTGACGGTCTCTACGGCGATGAGGTCAAGGACGTGAAGATTGACGCCTACAGAATGTGCTGGTAAGTCAATGGTCCGGTTCCTACCAATTACCCCAATCGTTAGGCTGACTTGCATTGGCTCCCAGGGATGCATCAACTCCCACACATGACTTCCTGATTACTCCACACCCTCACTGTCAGAACCTCTTCGTGGCCACTGGTGGTTCGTTCCACGGCTGGAAATTCCTGCCGGTGATTGGCGACTACGTGGCAGACATGATGAATGGCACGTTGGCCGAGGAATATGCTGATCGGTGGGCTTGGGACAAGCAGAGCGGCGATGGTCACTCTGCGAACCCAACCTACCAGATCGCAGGTGACTTGCAGGACTGGCTTTGAAAGGGCCAACCTGCGAGACCATCCACTGAGGTTTATTTGCAAGCGAGCTATCATAGTACGAATTTGCTCTAGGATCATACAGGCTATTTGGGTTCCGAGTTTGGAGTTTCATGTTTGCTTTTTGCTCCTTTTGTCCATGACCTTATTTGCTTTTTTTGCTGTTTTCATCATGGTTTGGTTAATCAGGGCGCGCTTATTCAATTGGATTGGGATATCAAAGGGAGCTTCAGGTTTGAACCGGCGGTCTACACAGCGCATGTACTATTCTGACTTCATTGAGGGGCTTCATACATGCTCAAGGCAGTTTGGCCAGAATGTAGCAGCCCGGGAATCGGGCCTATGCAGAATTCTCTCCCCTCCGCCGATAAGGGCAAAATGTGGTGTTATATTAAGAAGATGTACAATTGATGGAGCACGCTGTACGCACGGAAAATGATGAAATGCGATGCGGTGCTTAAGTTGACATACCGAATAGTGTTTATCGATGAAACTCCACGAGAATCTGATTGTAGTTGACAGTCCAATAGTTGACCCTGGCCGCATCAATAGCCATGTGGTTGACCCAATCCGGAAACGACTTGACTTGCGAAAGGCGGTTACTCCTCACCGGTCAAGAATCCATTGGGTAGAAAGGCCTGCTACGGCCCAAGACGATACAATTACCCAAAAAGTGGGATGATTTCTTTTCTCGCGAGTGCAGCGGGCTGGTTTCCCATAAGACCAGAGATGATGATGACATTGTGCATTTGCCAATGCATATGCCCTCGGCTGCTACCATCTCCCAGGAAGCTCTGGCGCACCGGGGCGGGATGTAGGGCAACAAGTCACAATGATCAGCAAGGGTCGTCAGAGGCCGCAGGGTGTCATCTCAGCTCGTTACACGGGCTTGGACGAGTATAGCTGATCATCGGACAGTCGTCATTAAACGTAGGCCGCACCCCCTCCACCACCGCAACGGCCGATCCGCGCGGCGCTGTTTCCTCCTCGCTCCCTATTTCCGGGAGGAGGTACCACGCAGGCTGACGTGCCGCTGTTAGCCTCGAGGGTCGGCCGAGCGAGGGAGCAGGGGGGTGTGCTCTTTCGCCGGTCGGTGGTTTCCCATCGTGCAGAAGTCTCCTCCCCCCCTTCCCTTATCCGCATGCCCACCGCCCTTCCCCATGTGGTGGATGGGGAAAGAAGACCCTGTAGTTTGGGGACATGGCCTTTGTGTGTTCGGCCGTCTCCAACCTTGACTGTGTACATATTACAGGGAGCCCCAATATCACATCTCACGAGGCTGGTCACATGGGTTAGGACTATCACCGTGCCAAACGTTGTGAATTCGCGCAACCGGCGGAGACTAGACAGCCCTACAAAGTGATTCGACGTCCATCGCCCAAGCACGACGTTGTTTCCTCCTCCGTTGTAGCCAACGTCGTCCGCCATGCTCGTGGCGGTGTGGGCACAGATCTAGACCACGGCCAGAAACGAGGAGGGGGGTTTCTCCATTTTGCTCCACCAAAAGCCTTGCTCCAATATGCTTGAGCTAGATGAATTATCCCGTAGCTTCTCTTCTAAAGTCCCGTTGGGTCGGTATCTAATAGATTCCGCATCTGACATGTCACCCCTGAAAGATCACTCCCTGCACCAAGTAAATAACACTCCTACCCCGGATGCAGGCATGCATCAGGCACGCATCGGGCATGGGCCAGGGAACGAGGAACTCGGCTCGTCACCGACAAGACAAGAGAGAGAGAGAGCATATGCGGCTGTCTCGTTCTCCGTCCCCCTGTTCTCTCTCGTGTTGAGAACCACCGAGCAGGTCCGTGGGCGGTGTTCTCAGCCGCAAGCTTCTTTCTTTTTTTCAGGTGAGACTTGCTCATATTGTCGCAGCAAGCGATGACGGGATGGCAAGAATCGAACCATCTTGAGAACTCGGACAAGTAGCATCCAAACCCCCAAGTCCCGAACTTACACTAGGCCCGCATGGCAGTCCAATGTTGCACATGAATGACGCTTGCCTATGTCGGATGTGTCCCATTCGGCCACGCACCACTCACGCACGAAGATAAGTCAACTGTACGCGTGGAAAGATCGTAGCCCACAGCCGGTCAGATAGCCGGTCAGCCAGCCACCGTGCTCCAGGTTGGGTCTGGTTTGATTGCGCAAGGAAAAGAAAAGAAAAGTGGAATCCGCAACTATTACATGTTGCCCCCATTTTGACTTCGAGACACTAGATGGGGGCACAACGGGCGTATGAGTAACACTCCGGAGCAGCCGTAACCAGCTCATCGAGGAAGCCATCAGCTCCAGCATAGGGGATGCTGATGCAGGTCTCATCACAGGCGTGGCGTAGTCCAGTGTCTTTGCAGATATGAGGTCACCCGAGCAGGTTGCGACCCCACGCCGCTGCTTCTGCAACAGTCCTGGTGATAGTCTGCTATGTGGGATGTCTTTTCGGGAAGCCTCGAATCACGACGTTGCTGTTGGTGGCTGATGCCAGTGGACCCGTCTCGGCCTACTTAGATTTGCCTTTCTATCAGCTAGCCACGCATCATGAATGCACTTCGCCATCGCCGAATATGCAAGTATGAGAATATGCACGTCGGGCCAATCTTGACCAGCACGCATATTAAAGCCCCGTTATGATGCGGCCTGAGGGGAGCCAATCTGCACGCTTATGTTGGTCCTCGTGAGCTGTTTCACGACTGGCTTCCGGCAGTCGGCGACTGGGCGATAGACGTGTTCCAGGAAGCATCCTGTCTCCCACGCGCATCCAGGATTCCCACCTGGGTGATTGGGCTATCGCCCCGTCGCATCTGATCTTCTCCTGCTTACATGGACCCCACGAGCGAACACCCCCACTCAGGAATCAGAGTCCATGTACATAGTGTTGATGGCTGACCTCTTTCGTCCGAATCGTTGCATGGCACGACCCGCCTTCTAGTGATATGTGTGTGCCGTACCTCAAGTCTTCGGTACATGGCGAGTACATCCACACGCTAAGGGACGGCATTGCTGCCAAGGCTTGGGAAGTTAGTTGCATGAGTCTAAGATTCCCAATCTCACATAGCTCCTTGGACAGTGCTCATGAGTTCTCCCACCTGTCTTATCCTGGACGCTTGTGAAAAGAGCACAGTTTGATAGCCATTAGGTATTATCGGTGACTTCCGGGGCTAGTCTCATCATACACAAACCCTCCGTCTAGACAATTAGGTGCGCCACGTCTATCGACAATGCTTGAAGTGGACTTTTGGGCATACCTACCACATGAGCATTCCAATGGCACTTCCAAAGGTTGAGGGCCAAGTCGGTAAACTTCGGAGCAGGTCCTGCAGATCTTCGTTGGTGTGGCCTGGATACTCATGCTGGGCAGAACAACCAGGAGGAAAGCCTCCAAGCGAGGTCTGTATGAAATTTGAGCCCAAAAAGGGGTTCTCCAAGAGCCATCGCGTGTCTGTTGCCCCTCAAGACAGACAATCTAGCAAGGCCATAGTGGCTCAGTTCTGTATGGGCATGAATGATCAGGCATTGTTGCCGCTGAGTTGTCCTGAGCATCAATGAGGTTGAGATAACGACTAATATGGTTCCTAATGGACATAGTTTGATCATGTCAGAGCCAGAGGGCGAGAAACCTAGAGATGATGTAGGGTAGGAGTTTGATATAGGGTAAGCTGGGAGAATTGTGAGATTGATCTCGAGCACACTTCCCAAAATTAAGCTCTGTTCTTACATAAGCAACATTCTTGGGTGTCGTCGTCGGCGCTGTAGCCTGTAGCTCAAGCCTCGCCTGCCTCGCCCTGGAAAGGATCCACCCGGGGGGCTCCAGCCAGTTAGATGACGAGACTCAGCCCAATCGTGATTGAAGCCCTCCGATCAGCTTGGACCTCGCATCATCACCAGCTGCCTCTCATAGCTTCCAACGAGCCGACTCCAACACTGCCTGCAGCCCTCCTGCCCTAGCGGTATTCTACGAGACTTGAGCAACCAGCCACTTACAGAAGAGTCTCGCTTTCGTCGCCGACCGCAGCCATGGGCTCAGATCCACAGTACGCCAAGTGGCCCTTGCTGCCGTTGTCACAGCACGTCTTCACCCTCACAAACGGCTATGCTTCGCGGGCGGCCCAACAAGCCGCTGTCAAGGCCCTTCAGGATGCCATCGCCCAGGACAAGATGGCCCCGTTCTACCGATACCTAGCACACCCCATCGACGGCATCCTCAACGCAGTGGGCGAGGGTGGTTCGTCGGGGCCAGGCAAACCCTTGAGCAGGAAGTCTAGTCTCGTGGGCATGGTTGCCACCAAACAGCCAGTGTCAACAGTTAACTTGCCATGGGACGAAGCCCTCTACGCAAAACTGACAGAGGAGAACGAGAAGGAGCTTGACGGGTTCCAGAAGGAAGAAGCAGAGGCTGAGGAGCAGGCTGGCGATACAGAGATCATTGCTGCCAAGGGCAAGCGGGCTGAGTTCTGGGCCCGAGTGGGAGACAAGGTATAATCCACCGCTGTTGATCTTGAACGGCCATGAGTTGCTAACAACCGCAGGATAAAGCCATTGCCGCCTACGAAAGTGTTTTCGAGAATACCGGTATTCTGGGAGCTAAGATCGATCTTGTCCTGGCCATTGTCCGCATGGCGCTTTTCTACGGAGATAAGCCTCTTGTAAAGAAGCATGTTGAGCGAGCCAAGGCCCTTGTTGATAGCGGTGGTGATTGGGACCGACGAAACCGACTCAAGACCTACGAGGGTCTTCACCTTCTCACTGTACGATCTTATAACCTCGCTGCACCCCTCCTTCTCGACTCTCTCTCCACATTCACCAGCTACGAGCTTTGCACCTACTCAAACCTTGTCGTCTACTCCGTGCTTGCGGGCTCTGTGTCCTTGAAGCGAGTAGACTTCAAGTCCAAGGTTGTTGATGCTCCGGAGATCAAGGCGATCTTGGGAGATGGCGAAGATAAGCTTCTTGCTCTGAGCGGCGCAATCAGCGCTGGGCCAGGTGCAGACGACACAACCGGCGTTGATACCCCTAAGGCGGCTACGACGACGGCTGTGAACCTGACCACCCTTGGCACCAGTACTGATCATCCAGAGGCCGAGGCAGCGATTGATTTCAGTCCCTTGGCCCTGTTGGTCAGCAGTCTCTACAATGGCAACTATAAGACGTTCTTCCAGTCGCTTGCTTCTGTTGAAGAGCAGTTCCTTACCCAAGACCGCTATCTCCATGAGCACAAGAACTGGTTCATCCGAGAAATGCGGCTCCGGGCCTACCAGCAGCTGCTTCAGAGCTACCGGATTGTTGGACTTGACAGCATGGCTAATGACTTTGGTGTCACAGTCGAGTTCCTTGATCGGTGAGTGTATCAGCCTAGCAGAGGATTGAGACGCAAATGAAACTGACTTTTGAATTTAGTGATTTGGCTCGCTTCATTGCCGCTGGCCGAATTCCTTGCACAATCGATCGTGTGAATGGTAAAGGAGTAATCGAGACGAACCGACCAGACGACAAGAACAAGCAGTACCAGGATGTTGTTCGCCAGGGAGACCAGCTTATCACGAAGCTCCAAAAGTACGGCCAGGCTGTCCGACTGAGAGGAAGCGAGAGGGCGTAATTAAAAACCTTCCGCTGTGCTCTGCGACGGGGTAGCTACATACATTTTTGAGGTCAAAAAGGGGAACGGGGAACATTTTCTACCATGTCACCAATAGAACCATGTTCTACATCCAAGTATAGACACATTAATCTTAGCAGCTCTTTTGCAACTCCGCCCAGTTAATGTAGAATATGCTGTGAAACCTCCACGCGTAGCGCCTCAGATCGTCGATTATGATGTTGAAGAGTAGATCTCCTGGACAAAGAGGGCATCATCAAGCTTGAGTGCATGTGACTACCACGGTAAAATACTATTCTCTCAACACTGAAGTCAGAAAAATATCACCTGAAATAGACATACATCACTTGGGCGCACAACATACATATGGAATCGGATTACCATTCATTTACTTTTTCTCATCTTCTACGCTTATCCCTCTATTTTTTATTTATCCCTTGCCCATTGAATTTGCCTGCCATCTACCGGTACTGCTCCATGAACTCCTTGTGGAACTTGACAATTCTTCCAGTCCACTCGGTGCCGGGGGCCAGGAAGGTGGTACGGAAGTGCAGGCTGCCCTCCTTCTGCCCGAATCCGGAGCCGGGCACGACGCAGATACCCGTCGCCTCGAGGAGGCGCATGCAGTAGAACTCATCCGGGGTGCGGCCCTCGGCGGCGGCGGCCTCGCCGGCCTTGGCGGAGAGGGTGATCGTGGGGAAGAGGTACATGGAGCCCTGGGGCTCGCCGCACTCGACGCCCTCCATCTCGGAGAAGGCCTTGTGGAGGGCGGTGGCGCGCTGGCGCAGGCCCTCGAAGATGCCGGTGTACTCCTGCTGGTAGAGCTCGTACGAGGGCTCTCCCGCCTTGGGGGGTCTGACCATGACCTCGACGAGGCACTGGCCGATGACGGGGGCGCAGAGCATGATGGAGACGAACTTGTAGATGTTGGCCTCGACCTCCGGGTCGAAGCCGACGAGCTCGAAGTAGCCGCCGCGGTGGCCGCACTCGCCGACCATGCCCTTGGAGATGCTGTGGAGGGAGGCGAGCTCGACGCCGTCGTGCTTTCCCGGGTTCTCCTGCTGCAGCTTGCGGAGGACCTGCTTGAAGCTGTGGAACTTGCCAACGAAGACGTTGGTCTGGTAGACCTCGTCGGCCATGACCACGAGGTTCTCCTGGCTGGCGAACTCGAGGACGGCGCGGATGTCCTCCTCGGGGAGGGAGGCACCCGTGGGGTTGCCAGGGTTGATGATGACGATGCAGCGCACGTCGATGCCATCGGCCTTGGCCTTCTCGTATGCGCTGCGGATGGTGTTCAGGTCGGTACCCCAGTTCTTGGCCTCATCGAGGTAGTAGGGGACGCAGGTGGCGTCAAGGACGGAGAGGGTAGCGGTATAGAGGGGGTATTGTGGGATGGGGATCAGGATACCGGTGTTGGGAGCGGCGCAGATGGTGTGGAGGAGGGTGTTGACGCCGGAAGAGGCACCGGCGGAAAGGTAGATGTTGGCAGGGTTCGCGGGGAAGCCGTCACGCTCTGTAGATCGACCAATGTTAGAAAAGAACACCCAATTGAAGACAATTTGCATTTTTGGGAGTCACTCACCCTCGAGGAACTTGGCAACGCTCTCCTTGATGGCTGGAACACCGGCACTGGCACTGTAGGCACCGACGGAGCCGACGCTCTTGAGGAGCCACTTTGCACGCTCAATCACGTCGGTCTTGTAGCCGAGGTGGTTAATCAAGACATCTTCCTTCTCGAGAAGCTGGGGGTTCTCCAGCAGACTGGTGACCTGTCGGAAGAAGGTGATGGGCTTCTGGTCCAGCTGCTGGGGGTTGCCGATGTTGGCCGAGATGACCTGGTCGAAGGGCAGGTCACCGCCCTCGCCCTTGTTCAGAGCAGCGCGGAACTGCTCGGACTTGACGGCCAGCTCGCCACGGACGGCATACTTGGCCGCGCGAACGTGGGGGTTGATGTTGTCGACGGTGAGCCTGGGCATGTTGGAGGACCGGCGATGGCGGGGTTGTTGGTGGGAAGTGATTGTTGGCGGGGTAGCAAGAAAGGGTCTTCTGCTGTGTTGGTAAAGGAGAGCACTGGCTAATTGGGTTGCACGAAAAATACGTTAACCAACTGCCTATTAATATTCTAGCAGCACAGGCGGGGGAGGGGAGGTCTGCGATAAGGAAGATAGAGAAAAAAAGTGCAAGATAAAGATACGGCCGAGGAGAATTGTTTCTTTTCTTTTTCCTCGCGGCAATGCAGGCGAGATGGGAACTGCAGTCCAGACGATAGCGGGCCTGGTGTTCATATAGACAAGCAACCGCTTTCGCAGGCAATATCATGCTGTCATGGCTATATGCACGGCTCGCTATGGTGGGGTGGGGGCTAGGGACGGCGAGGATCGGCTAGGGAGGGATATAATAAACGCAGTGCAAGAGGGCACCTGTTCCTACTGGCTGTGCTTGAACCCCGTGGGCGAGATGCGCTTTGGAGAACATGCAAGATCGTGACAAATCAGGCCATGTAGAGCATTGGGGCCATTGTGCGCGTGACACGACACGCCTGTTTTCATGCCATTTACCCGTTTCACCCCCCTGAGCCCCGGGTAGATGCCGGGGGATGCCAGGCGATCATGATATCGCTTGTGGCATGATGGGGAGCGCAGTTTGGGGGTTCGACGCTGGATGGAATGGTTCGGAGGAGGACGACGGCTTGTGCCAGGCCCGGCCCATCCAGGTCGGCTTCATCCGAGATCGGAACGAGAGCCCTGTTCGGTTGTAATACCGAGCTGTTCGGGGCTAGGCTAGGCAGGAAGGGCTTGCTGGGTTAGAGCACTACTCGAACGACACTTGTTGCGCGCGGGCTCTGACGGACTGGGGAAGGGATAGATTGTGGCGGCGGGAAGAAGAAGATCTCTGCGGAATCAGGGGTTGAATGCACAGCATGGATTCTGCCGCCCAAACTCAATTGCCATGACGGACCATTCATAGATCTGCCTAGCTTCTTGTTCTCGGCGCGGGGAACAGGGAGTATCCCCAGAGCGCCATGCTACATCCTTCAACCGCTGGACTTGGCTGCAGCGAGAGCAGACATACCTGACTGTGGCATGTCCAGCAGCTTAGAGCTGGAGCTCGAGAGTGCCCGGTTGCCCCTCGAGGCGATGTTGAGGCCGGCTGCCATGTGGTGAGGTATCTGGCCGTATGCGAACTTGGACTAAGGTAGGGGATATTCGGAAACGATAAGAACAGCAATGCAACAGAGCTGCATCAATGACCAGGCAAGTATCCGGTTCTGTGAGGGGAAGACGAGAACTGTGCTGCTGTACAAAAGTCACACCGGCACTCCAGCTAGAAATATGATGAGAAACCCCTGTAGTAAGGCTCCGATAAGTCGGAGGCTTGATCGATACCTTATCTCCGGCCACTATCCTGTAACCGCTGGTCTCTGAGAGTCAAAGGGGTAAAATTCGATTAGTTCATGTATCTATCAATCATCAAGCTCATTGAAATATCGTAAAACAACCCCGATCTTGTGTTTCCATTCGTTGAAATCGGCCTATCAGGGTTCACGAGTTGTCATCGTGGTACAATCAGCGAAGGTGGGTAGCTCGGTGACGCAAGGTGAGGGAGCCTCACCTTGCCGGATCCCGGCAAAATAATTGGCCGCGTTGATCACCCGTCTCGAATTTTGAATGCAGCGATTGCTGCACTGAGCGACTCTCGGCTGAGCTCCAAGATATCCTGGGACTACGAATCAACAATCATGGCCAAGAAAGGTGAGTACCAACGCCGTACCTATTTCTGACCTTGTTTGACTCACAAACATCCGTTTTAGTCAAGAATCGAATCATCATCGTCCGGCTGGTGTCGATGGCCATGACTGGCTTCTTCTACACCATGCGACGACCTAGAACGTCCTCGCCAATGGGCCTTCTCAAATACGATCCAATTGGTCTGTTGTATCTCGAAAATTGATTACTGGTCTTTCTCTTGTTGGGACTGCGATCTAAGTTAGATCATATTCTTACTGACACCCACCTGAATAGTCCGCAAGAAGGTCCTTTTCCTCGAGACGAAAAAGCGAAACAGATAGTGCTCCCAGCCCATGTTTAGCTCGGCGAAATAGAACAAGAAGACTCGATACAGGGTGGCGGAATAATTGGCAACCAGTCGACGACTTCTTAAGGAGACGCGTTCTTGTATCAACACATCAACATCCTCGGAGTTTTGGGTTTTTGTTGCACTACACTTGAACACGAATGAATCAACACTGTATATTATCTGATAGCAACGATCGCAAAATTTTATTCCCAGCTTAAAGCTGAGATTTTCGTCGCAAGGGAAGTGTATTGACCTTCCGCGAAGTGAATGGCTCCATTCCAAAATGCGACAGACATTCTCGCCCCACGCAGGGCATGTATTTGACTCAAGAAATTGATCGTATTGATCCCACCTGATTAGCATCCTTATGATGATCTTATATTATCATCTCTCCCTTCCAAAATCTCGCGGTATTTTTTCTTTATTAGCCATCTGTGTATATGTTCTTGGATGGCGTCCTTGATCGTGTCCTTGATAGAGGGAAGGCTTGATTATGCCTCTTGCGACTTTCTCAATTTTGTGGAGAGACTGTCACATTCCTGGTATGATCAACTTCAGAAATGATTGTGTCGTTTTCCCTTATCTTCTTCTTCTTGTGATCTTCAACGTTGTCGACGACTTCAAATTCGCACTCACGCTTCCGGCTGCCGAGCCGAACAGACTCTTCAAATTCAGCCACGGTAGGAAATTCCCAACCATATTGGAAGCGGGGTGGAGGAGCTAAGGCCGATTGAAGGTCGTTTATTATTTTATTTGCAATATCATTCCCACCTCCCGGTGCATTTTCTGCCACCACTGGGCGGTTGAATTGGCTACCATGCATGGGGTGGCCGCGGAACTCGCTCCTTTGGGAAGCTTGCATTTTCTGTAAATGTTCCTTCGAAGACCTAAGAATAGATCGTGGCCTTACAGCCTCTCGCCGGCGCTTTTGTTCTTGGCCAATCGATGGAGGGGGTGACGGAGACTCAGAGTCACCAGTCGGGCTGTAAACCAGCACTTTCCGGCGTGATGCATCTTCTGCATGCAAGTTTTCTTCGATCAGACTCTCCACTTTTTGGTTAGTTGGTAAAAATCCTGACGGAAATGGAAGGCTGTTGAGTTTCAAGATTGGATCTTGAGAAGTCGAAGTGACGATCCTTTTAGAGCCAAGTTGATCGTCAGGGTTCGATTCTTCAACCTGGCTTCTTCCAGATAGCTCTGTTTTGAGCCATTCCTTCTCAACGTCGAAAAATTTCGTAGTTGAGTTGATAACATCGTTCAAGCGCGTGATTCCATTTAGTCTTGCGGCTACTGCCTCGACTTTTGGCAGACGCTGGGCAGCAGCCTCGAGCTTAGCTTTCAAGTTATTGACCGACGTGAGGCCCTGGTGCCATTGCCCTCGAAGTATTTCAGTGTTTTTGAGTTCCTGCTCCAAATTCCCAATCTTGCGAGTCAGCGAGGCAACTGAATGCCTCTCCCCCTGGAGCTGTTCCTCTAACTTCTCTGCATCTGGAGATCCTGGCACTTTTAGCTCAATGATCTTATTGATTGCTTCTTGTAGTTGTGTTCGAAGAATTTCGTTTGCCTTTTCATCATGACTCATCTTTTCAGAAAACTCTTGTCTCTCTCTTTCAAATTCTTGCTGAAAGCTTTGGCCGATGTGATGTAGATTTTCTCTAAGTAGTTGTGTGATAATCGTCTGTTCCTGTGCAGCCTCCTTGGCGCTAAAAGCCTCCAATTTGGCAGAATGTTCGTCTTTTAGGGAAACGAGTTGGTGCCGGAGATGATCTATTTCTGAATCTCTCTCTTCGATCTTTCCCGTAAGGCAATCTCTCTCCGATTCAGTGGCAGATACTAAAGCATTGCTTATGACTTTGTTTAGTTCATGCTGAACGTTCCGTGTACCCTCACACAATTCCTTGGTGGAATTTATTCCATCTCTCATGTCTTTGAGCGATTCAACAATTGTATTGTGCAAATGGTCTGTGTTGGATGGTTGCTCAATCCTCTTCGCTTCAAGCTGCCAAGATATGACCTGTTGAATGTTGGCGAGTTCGTCTTGAAAGGCTTGCGCAAACTTGGAAATAGTTTTCTCAAGCTCATTATATTTGGAAAACTCTCCATGCATTCTTGAAGATATTCTGATTTTATTTAGCTGATGACAGAGCGTTGCGAGGGTGTAGGAACCTTACTGGGACACAATCCGGTTTTCAAGCCCTTGGGCAATTGGTTCGATAGCCGATCTCATGGTCTCGAACAGTTTTTGCTGATTTTTGCTGGGTGTAGATCCGATGACATCTACGACAAGATCTATCCTGGATGTCTGAATAAGTGGTCTGTTTTGGAATTTTTGGGGTTGTGAACTTACTTGTCTGAGATAGAAGCAATTGGCGCACTGTTTTCGTTTTCTTTCTGGAAACGCTGTCTACAGGCGTCAAGAACGAGATCAACTTTAGATTCGACATGTTGCAGCTTCTCCTGCCCATTTTGATACTGAATATCGCTTTGCCTTCGCAGGTTCTCAGCTAAGTCCTTCTCTCGTGCCATGGCCTCTTCATGCTGGGCTTTGATCTCACTCGTGAGGAGTGAAATCGTTTGTTTGCCTGCCAAGATGTTAGTTGCTTCAGATCTTATGGATCGAGGACATCATCTACTTTGGTAAATCTCATTTTGATCTCGAGCATGTATATCCTCGAACTCTCTCTTCATCTGTTCCCTTTTCTTCTCGCAGAGATCGAGAGCGTTGTCAATCTCTTTAACATCAGTCTCACGTTTGGCCTTTTCCTGTTCAAGTTCTGTGACAGCGGCTTGAAAAGAAGATTCAACTTGTCCATATAAAGTCTGTTGTTCTGTTAACACTTCATTAATTTTATCCTTGAATGTTCTGCACTTTTCTCCCAGATGAGAGATCTTAATGTTGGAATTTGATAGCTCTTTGCGCAGCTCATCTACTTCCTCAGTCAACCTGGCATTTTGACTGGTAGTGCCGTTGTCGTGCTCTTTCAAGACTGAATTTTGAGACTCGAGCTCATTTACTTGCACCTCTTTTTGACTCAGGAGAAGCCGCGCCTCCTCGAGCTTTCGAGATTGACCTCTCATCTCGATTTGGAGTCGCTCAATTTCTTCGTTTGCTTCCGATTTTTCTTCTTCAGCAATTTTCAAACACTCATTCCAGTACTGGGCAAGTTGCTGCATGGCTGCATGTTTGCGACCAGATTCCCGGCGGGGTGGTGGTTTTGTCACAGCGCTTCTTTTTCTACTGATGTTGCTGGTTCTTGAGTGTGGCCGTTCTTGTTTTTCGCCTGCGCTCTCAGCATACCTCCTAGAGCTTCTGTGTCGACGTGAGCCGTCTCGGGAGCCAGCACTAGGTGCGTTCTTGTGGCATCTTGGCCTTTGGTACCGGGGCTCCTCCAGATCACCACATCTACTGCTAAAGGATTGCTGACGATGATGGTATTTCTGAGAATGGTCAAGAATTGGCGATGCTTCGAGAACCTGTGGTTTGACTGGTGCTTTGTGGTTATCTAATTCAGTGTTGTCACGAAGTAAACTCTTGTCATTTCGGGCAATTGAAGGGTGCGAGCTTATAGAAGTCGAATCTTCGAACTCTATGGGCTTCCCTTGATGAGGAGATGACGGTAGAACAGGCTTTCGAACTTCTATCTCCTTACCCAGAGGCGCGGCTACTTGACCAGGAAATGAAGGAGATGTGGTGCATTGATCCTTTGCTTTAATGGTGGGTGGTTCTGTTGGGGCGACCTCGCAGACGTCAGACATGATGTTCGGGATTATTGTACTTGTAGAGCTTGGAACTGGTCCATTTATATTGCGGCTAGTTTCCTTTGGATTGTAGAAGATCAATTCAGGTAAATCGAATGGCTCCTTTTGCTTCGGCTCTGTGATTTGCTGCTCGGTTGTAATATCATTCAAGGCGCAAGCTTTTGTTGGCTGCGGTGATGGCACAGGCCCTCCCAGGCGATTATTCTGAACATGCTTCTGAGGCCTATCGGAAAACTGCCCGGCGCGGTTTGGTTGCCTGTTTTCAAACCTAAAGTTTCCACCGAGGTCGGCTTCGGATAGTATCGCATTGGAGTGGGAAATACTCTTTAAGAATCGCTCAGGAGTGATTGTTCCTGTGACGGCTAGGTACTTGGCTCCTTGAACAGCTGCTAACTGAGGTTCGGCGGCCATTTCCCCCTCATTATTCTCGTCGTAACGTGGAGACGGCCGCTCTAGATTCCTAGCTTGCTGTAGTCTTGGGGTCGAAAGTGCTGCCGACATTGCAGTTACATATCAGGTCAAATTTCACGGGTGGAAATAAGCAACAAGGAGGAGAGGGTCAAGTTTTGAATGGTGCATTCAGATAGGTACTTGGTTTGAGACTTTGAACCGGCTGTTAAGTTTGGAAATTCACGGATGTTTACAGTAGGCAGGAAACTGGTGATTCTCGAGCCTGGAGGTGGCAGGCAGTTCCAACCGTACCTGCCATGACTATAGAAGATGATATCGCGGGAAGCGAGAAGGCAGGAGCAACCGAGCGCTCATCTCCCTGCTTGCCCACCCACTTTGCCCCCTTCATCTCTGGGCGCCAAATAGTATCGCTTCAAGTGGAATGTTCTTGGCGTCGCATCCAGGCCCATGTTGGACCATGGATCGTCGTTGCTGATGCGGACGGGCTACCTAGGTATCTTATGGAAGCACTTATCCGCCAACCAGTTTCCCAGACAAAGATCACTTCTAGCATCACTCTGAGTAGGTACCTAGTTAAGAGCATTTGCTGGTTATTATCTCCTTTTTCTAGGATAACAAGAAAGATTTCGATGTTTCTTGCAAAGAAACAGGCGGTGCATGGCCCTCTATATGACCCCAGATAGGCGCTAGATAGAAGAGGCTTCATGCGATCTCGCAAGAGCATCTATTCTCGTTTATTAACAAGATAAGCGGTTCCTCAAACACGCTACGTGCCGCCCAGATATAGATCTCCCGTCTGGAGGACGATTTCTCAGCAAAACGGGGTAGAACTGGAAAACTACGCACCTTGGCAGGCATTGGCAGGCATTGGCAGGTCTTGGCTGGGTCGTAGCCGCTCTGTGCGATGATACAACCGATGCCAGCTGTCAGCCACCCCGGCCGCACGTCGATTCTCGCCCGCATCTGGCTGGGCCTCTGCAACCTCTTTGCCGGAAGTGGCCTCTGTCAACGACGCCCTCGAATCCAATCAGGTCGATGGTGCGACATTCGACGCAGGGGCCCCCAAAACGCTTCGGCAGAAGTCACAACGCTTCTGCGTTAGTCCGCGTTGCAAAAGCCTAAAAATTGCCCGTCACAGCTTAGCGACAGGGGCAGGCCTGTGCGCTCTGCAGGTGCTCTGCCACGCGATTGGCTGCGCACCCAGCTTGGCCCGGCGCTTCGCACACCAATCAACGAGCCTCAGGGTGTGACTCTGCAACCACACCGTGTAAGTCTCCATCTGAGTGCGAATTCAAGAGGATCATGCAGGTTGCTGGGCGGCAAGAACAGTACTGGGAGGGGCCGATCACAGCGTAGTCACATATTCGTATGGAGGGGCGGCCATGGATTTGGGTTAGTTCGTGAGACCTCCGTGCGTGTTATTATACCCGAGTCTGGCAATCCCGCTCTCTTTGGTTCTGTGACTTTTGATCCTTCTTCTGCACACTCCTAATACTATACAAACACAAATTTGATAATATATTCAACCATACCAAAGTACTCACCATGGGCTCCAGCAAATTTCCTCTAGCAAACGAAACTGGGGAGGAATCCACATACGGCGGAAGTGATGAGGGTGCCGCCGGCTCGAGCTCAAGCTCCGGGCCCGTCTTGAGCACAGGAGGGATGATTGCGATCATCGTAGTAATTGTTATCGTGGCAATATTAGGTGGTGAGTATCTATGCCGGCATGGTCGCAATGTCCTGGTTGAGCAGTGCTAATACAGTTGGATAGCAACGATGGCGACACTATTCTTCATCGCTAAGAGGCGAGAATGGACAATGAAGGAAACCCTCAGACGATCAGCACGCAGAGTGAAGACAGCACTTACACCCAGGCGAACCGAGTTCCCTGACTATGTCAAGAATGGTCCTATCTCTTCCCATCGAGCGCGTACCAGACTTGCAGATGTTCCCCCAACCCCACGGCTGCGTCCAGAGGATATCGAAAAGGCCATGGCTAAGTCAGAGGTGAAGAGCAAAGGTCCTAGGTGGCCTGGAAAATAAGTAAATAGCAATATGAGCTGAGAGAAGGAACTGGATTGAGCGGTGATAACGGATCAATGCGTCATGAGTTTGGAGGTGAACACTTGTGCTATTCTTGGGAGCTTTTGGAGTATGTCAGGTTGTAAATATTGTATTGTTGCGGTGAAGTCTATACGCTCACATCTTCCTAAATGTGTTGGAGCTGGCACTCCTTCTGGCATTATTTGATTTTCTCCTCGGAGCCTCTGGCTCCTCCGCCTGCTTATTCTTTCTCTGCGACGCTGGCATGAATGTGACCTGTCGCTCACCCCCAACCTCGCTGCGCTGTGGCCTGTCCCGAGCCGGTTTGGCTCTTCTCGACCCCAGTGATGTGTCCTTGATTTTTCCACCGCCATTTTGGGTCGAGGAGACATGCATGGAGATGACATCCGTGCGTCTTGATGCCCGGATGGCATTCTTACTTTCCTCGTTCTCACTGTCCTCTTCATCAGAGTCCTTGCCCTGATATCGTGCGACAGGGTGCGCCTCAGCTGGTGTCTCAATAAAAGTGCTTGGGTTGAGCGCTCGGAATTCCTTGCTCGTCTCATCAACGTTGAATTCCTCGTCCTCGAACATCTTGGTGAATCGATCATCTCCCAACAGGCCGGCCTTGGTGTCCACTTCCTCTCTGTTGGCCTGTTTGCTGAGGAGCTTGTCAACCAGTCTCTGATTGACCTTGACCTTCTTGTTGCCCCTGATTCTAGTCGCGCGCTCCTTCTCAACCTTCTCCTTCACGCGCTTCATCCTTTCCTCTTCCCAAACGTATGGGTTCACGATTAATCTTGCCTGCTCATAAAGCTTGGACGCCACAAAGTAACCGTGCATATAAGGCCGGAGAAGATTTGTCTTGCCGACCAGATGGCCCAAGCTGAGCTGCTTTAGTTCTGGGAGTGTGAGGAACTTGTAGTTGTCGTAGGTTTCGGTTCGAACTTCCTCGGCCATTTCTTCCACCATGTTGTCGAGGAATGTACACCATTTCGGCGCTGCACCGAGTTGAGGAATGAAGAAAGCATGTTGTTGCTTGCCTTCGTTGGCTGTGAGGAGCATGCCCGAATTCTTGCACCATGCAACATCGTTGATATCCACCACCGGTTCAACAGACGTCCAAGGAGTACCGTCTGCCTCATCCCAGATCTTGATTATTCGCTTATCGGCTGACAAAACCTTCTTCTCCTGGGAGGAGGTGGTCATATGAATGAGCTTCTTGACGGGGAAGCCATACCCATGGTCCTTCTTCAGGAGCGGCGTCGGTCTACGGAGATCAAACAATTGCATCATTCCAGTTGAGGATCCCGTTGCGATGGATAAACCAGTCGAACTGAAATCTAGCGCAGTGACCTCACCCTCGTGACCAGCAAGGAGGGCGACCCGGGCCTTGGAGCGCGGATCCCAGAATTCAACGGTTCCGATCGAAGTACCGAAAGCCAGTAGATTGTGTGTTTCCTCTGCAATGGCGGCAGTGTTGACACTGCCGACTCCAATTCCACCTTGAAGGCCGCCCCCGGTCGTCTCATCATCACCACCGACATCAACTTGGTACGATCGCATGAACCGCCCAAGCTCTAGATTCATTCTGAAGACCTCGCCCTTCCCGTCTGCATCGAGCCCGACCGCCGGAATGAGGGCTTCTGTTGATTGGCGATCGTATTTCAGATCTCGACCGTATCGGGGGAGACGGACTTCATAGTGGCAGCCCATGGGTGTGTGGAACTCGAGCTTTCGGTCAATCTGAAGATGTAGGGATTTGGAGTAGTCGGGGGAGAGGAGAACAAAGCTGTGGTTGAGAGAAGTCGTATGGCGGGCGAAGGAGAGTGACAATTCAGAAAGGTTGTGAACGTGGATTTGGGGCTTGTAAGTGCCGGTGCTCATGACCCAGTCACCATCGTCGCTGACACGGATACAATTGCTGGCCTCTTCGAATTCGAAGTCCTGAAGAATCTCAACTCGGTTCTGGTACTCGGGGTCGTTCTTGAGACTTCGCTTCCGCCGTCTGGCGAGCCAGTCTGGCAGAGCTCGGGCTGTCGATGCGCCTGAGACAGTGTACACGGCCACTGACCCGGGATTAGAAAGCTTCATCGTTGATTAAAGCAACAGGGATTGCTGCTAGAATCGCGACCTGGGATATTGCGGCTACGAAGAGCCGTGAGGATCAGAAAAACCAATTTGGGTGTCTGTCTGGTAGTGTTGAGGACGATAGCACATGCGACTGACTGCCCGAAAAAAAAATAAGTTTCCTTATCAGAAGAAGAAAATCAGCCATCGGCCCCACCAGCATTTTATCTCGGTAAGGGCCCCGTTCTTGCAGTAGCGTCCGCGCTGACCGAGCGCTCACCTGGACAGGGCGAGCAAGACCAACGGTTATGTTCGTGACTCGCGAGCAGCGGAGACGGAATCAGCTCTAGTTCCGGTACCAAAGAACAACACGGACGCCTGACAACGGCGGATAGTGCGCATACTAATGGACGAGCTTTAGACTGCATGGCATATTGCTGAATTCATCGGTGGTATGTATATCTGCTCTGCCGCCCTTCCCCAGCGACAGTTTTGTATTCGCCCTCGTCGGGCGGATTAATTCCCGAAGCCCCCAACACAACCCTCATCACGTTCGATCATCGCGTCCTCATCGAAGCTCCGTCCATCCTTCTTCTACATGCCCCTTTGCGACTTCGACCGATCCTAATTCAAGCAGCCTCCTCGCTGTTTTCGCGCACCTAAGCTAATTCATCGTTGAAGGTTGTGTCAGCGGAGATGGAGCCAGTTTATGTCAACTCGATCATTGCGAACAACGACACTGCCATCACCCTTCAGAACATACGCTACACATAAATTATTTTATCGAACGATCGGAATACACGTATATTGCATCTTCTTGGAGGTCGAGCGAACATCGAGAGAGGCAGGAGACTGGATCGTTGGCGCGCAAGTCTATTTTACCAACCCACCTCCCGTAAACGACAAGTAGTTGTGCAGATGACTTGCGTTCGCTATGGAGGCTGGTGAATATGAAACGAATACTCTTCTGTTGGTGAGTTGGAAGGCGCGTTCGGAACCGGGAATCAGGCTGACCTTGGATAGAACAACATCTCTACGATCAACTTTCGAGTGTACGAGGCACCTTCCGACATATCTAAACACTTACCCTCCGCCGCCCTCGAATTCGAAGGTTCGCTACGTGAAAATGGACACCTCGCGTTTTTTGACCCTGACCGGAGGGGCGTATGGTGCTTCCGGATACAAGAAAAGGAGGTGGAAAACGAGGATAGCAAGCCGACCTGGAACCTGGACACAACTTTTAAGGTGTCAGGGCAAGCATTTGTTCTAGCAGAAGAGGGTGCAATCGAGCCCCTATCAATTCAAAAGGGGAGATCGCAAGCACCGAGTCCACCAGCGTCAACGATGTCCGCTTCTTCTACTGCCTCCCCGTCCGGCACCGTGAACATTGACCCTGTTCCGCGATCGCCCTTTGGCGCACCAGGTAGCAACCCTTGGCCAATTCCGACAAAGCAAGAAGCCTCATCAGTTCTATCAGCCGACACGCAGACTAAGGGAGGGCTATCGGCACTTGCGGTCGTATACGAGAACTTTATTGCGGCCGTGCTACATTCCCTGAGCACGGCAATATGCACCGCGACACGATCACTACCGCTCAACTATCGCACAATACTATTTACCCCAAATCTTATGAATTCTAAAGACTTTCCACCCGAGACAACAATAGGTACGCTTGCCGCGTACTTGACTACTATTGGAACTCTCGTAGTTAGTCTAAAGCTCTCGCAATGTAAAGGTTTATCATCACTCGAAAACATCTTTGCTGCAAGCCTCACACGCCCGGGCGAACAGATTTTCGCAGCGCCTTTTGGAATCCGGGCTTCAAACCCGTCCATTACAATTGATGACTTTGGCGCTCCCAGCTTGGCGCAAACCCCGAACACACAGGCCCTGAGCTTCCGGCGCCCCTTCGAAGGCGACGATGGTCTCTGGAAGCAAGCGTGCCTTAGGATTCTGCAATTAAGGGGCATACCGTATTCTATATTAAAGGGATGTTCTTGGGTGAATATCACGGTATCAAGACAGCGTCTTCAGGACCCCAAGAATGACACACCCCGCAACAGGGACGTTACAGCAACAACCACTATTCCGTGGCCTGGGCCTCTATGTTTTCGTCGGAAAACTGCGGACGCAACAACAGGCACCCGACTTCGCGATACCATTCTAAGTGGCCATGAAGAAAGCCGTGATCCTCTTGGTATTGCCGGGCGTTGGATGGACTCTGCATCTGAGAGGGAGGAACAGATAGCCAAAAGAAAGGCCGACCGCGTGGCATCCGCGGCGTCAGAAAGCAATGGAATTAGGCCCCGGCCTCTGGTCACGGAGGATATGACACCTGTTGTCGGTCGCTCAAACATAGCTTCCGCGGGTGCCATGTATCCGACGCCACCAGATGCCATTCAGCAGCACAATGGAATAACGCCTACACTAGATGCCGCAACAACAAGCCCGAGAAATCTGTCTTCAGCAACCGCAACGGTTGATATTGTGGACATGGCGCATGCCGAATCTGAACCGGAACCTCAACCCGTTCCCGAGCCTGAACCTGAACCTGAAGTGCACCATCCAGACAATGACATGTGGGATAGATCTGAAGAACCAAGGCGAGAGCGGAGCGGAAGCAACAACTCTCTTGGAGATCCCTCAAGTATTTTGATGGATAGCGACATGTTTGGGGACAATGATATCACGGAAGCCGATTTCAACTTCTTCGACGAAGACCCGGGTGATCTAGACATTGACATGGCTGATCTTGATGTTCCCTCGCCTGTCCAGGTTTTGGATGCGAGCCCCCCTAAGGAAACTCCAGTCAAGAAAGAGGAAACGCATACCAAACTAAATGAGGTTCCTGATCCTGTGTCCTCGCCCCAAAAGTCTGAAGGCTTCACTATTCCTGAGTTGCGGCATGCAAGGAGCTTTTTGGGCGATCCCCAAGCCACTCGGATTATCACTGAAGAGAAGAAGGCAACCTCAAAGAGGACACACAGCCCATTCAACCCCGAGACTGTTTTTAAGCGAGTGAGGGCATCAGTGACTCAGGCAGCTGTGTCCCCTAAAGAAACGAACCAAAACCCCAAACGGAAGGCCAGTGTGTTTGAAAAGATCGATTTCGGCCCTGCCTTGCCTATAATTAATAAAAAGTACGAGAAAGGCGGTCTTTACGACTTCGAACCCACTATTGCAGAACTACAGAAGAAAACTAGCTCTCGAGCAGGAGCACTTCCCGAAACAGACTATCTCAAGCGCCACGGCAAGCGCGCCAAGAAGCTGAAAGAACCGCCTTATACTGCAAATGCTTTGATGAGGGGTCTCACATCACTCGATGTGTCTGCTTCGCATACTAGCCCTGTTCGTGTTGCTCGCTCTCCCTCAGATGACGATGCAAGCAGTGTAGAATCCGATCAAGATGACTCGAGTTACACGTCAGAAGAACTCCCTTCACCAACCAAAGCGAGTTTCAAGGGAACTGTTGTGGATGAGGACGTCGCTTCGCAAGTCACCTTTTTCCGAGACTCTGACACCGCTACAGAGCCAGATCAGCGACTTGCTTTGGAATTGCCTAAATTATCTAGGCCGCATGGACCTGAACTACCTCTCTCCAGGCTGCTGATGGATCCCGAGCCGTTAGCCCTTGAGCTCCCACTAACTGATGAAGATACCATTCAGATAGCTCAGCTACTGACTGAGCAAGCGGCTCTTGGCGACTTCAGCATGATGAATCTGGCAGTCCACAACACGGGCATTGCTGGCCCCGGGAATCAGCGGCGCCAAATGTCAGCGTACTCGCGGATGGTGGCAAACATTCTCCAGGGAGCTTTCTCCTCATCAATTAAAGGGTTTTCCCCCAGCCGGCTCAAAGACCTGCTCGAAATACCCGATGTGCCTGCACAGGGTCAGATGAGAGGTATCCAGCCTCGACCGGTCCCGGGCAGAGACCCAAACGCTGAGCAGTTAAGACTTAGCAATGTGTATCAGATCCCATCTCACCACCTGGAAATGAGAAGGTCCGAAACAAGACTGTCCGTCTTACCTTCTGCTGTTACCTTCTGGGAGAGTCTTGGTATGGCACCTGCATCAGGGAGTAAAGATGTATACGCACTTTGCGTATTTCCTGGCTGGAGCGGCATGTCAGATAATACGCGGACCTTCTTGGGACGAATGAAGAGTCTCTACGAGCTGCTCAAGCTGGGCACTTTTGAGAACGTACCTCTCCCCAATGAATTTGAAAGCGGCTTGCTCCCGTATGAAGTAGATCGAATATCTACCTCTCCGGATGCGAGCGTGACCAGGCAAGGGTCAGCATTGATCGAGAGCATGGATGTCTTACAGGCAACTCTCTCAGATTTGCCCCAGGAGGAGACGAATATTGTTATTTTCATGGTCTACACTCCTAACAACCCTGGCACCATAGTTGAGGCCTGTCTCGCTTTCCAAAGGTTTTCGGAAACCTGCAAACCTTTGCTTGCAGGTAAGGGAGACCGTGGACGCAAGGAACTGATCCTGCAGCTCGTGTCAGCCGATCTGATATCGTCGCCGACGGCCCTGGTCATAACTCCTTCCTCCGCGCTGGTCAAATTATGCGTTGAGATGTATGATCGCTGCGGGTCACCCGAAAGCCCGATGTCGACCCCAGCGATCCTGCTGGAGCAGCCGCCGCCACGCCTGATTGACTTTAAACTGACCGGTACACCTTCTGCTTCACTGATACATGAGAATTCTTGTCTTCACGTGGCTTACGCCCAGAGCAGTGACGAACGGTGGGTATCAGCAGCTTGGACAGATGATCGCGGCAGTCGGCAGGGAACTGCCTCGTACTGCTTAGGCCGCAAAGGACGGCCTCTGTCTACGCAGATGACTGATGTCGCACATGCGATCTGGGAGATGACATTGGAGTTTATCGCTCATCGCAAGGTCCATTGGCGCATTATCATCACCAAATGCGGCCCAATGGACACTGCGGAGATTGACTTCTGGTCGGCTTTGGCACGAACAGAGTCTACAGCGAATGTAGCACTTATTCTGATGACCGTCGACACTAGTCCTTCGCTTCAGCTGGTCCCCCCTGCTACCCAGATCTCGTCATCAACAACCGGCTTCTACACCACACCTGTTTCAACCCCCCAGACCAATATTGTGTCACCTGAACAGAGTGCCACACCGATCACTAATGCCGCCACTGCCCCTACGCCTGGCGCGGATGGTGGCAATGAACCTGAAGGGGATGCGGTACTCTTGGATCTTACAGACCAGATTTGGGGCGCTGTTCTAGGCCACAGGCTGAATAACTCGTCGACATTGCTTGAGCTCCATCCCGCTCTCGTGAGTGGGTATCTGATAAAGAAGGTTGGGTCGAAAATAGAGGACCCGCCTGTCGTGATCGAGGTCAATCTTGTGCATACTGAGGGCACGGCGCGGCCGTACGAGCCCCTGTTCCGGGAGATGCTCAGCAACTTCCGCGGTCTGGGGACGTTGGCAAGGGCAAGAGGGGTGGTGGACATGGAGATGGATGTGCGGCCATGGCACGTTGCCGCTGCGGAGAAGGCAGTCCAGGTGCTCTTCGCTCTTATGTAACGGGGCTATTACTATTATATTGGGCTATATTATTCATGGAGAGACGTCCTGATGGGGAGTATGGGATGCCCGGGGTACCATTTTGGGCTGGGGATGGCCGGAGTTTGGCGTTGTGCATGGGAGAGATAGATGAACGAAACAAAACAGCATCCAGATCATATATATCCCGCCACAATGTGGAATTATAATGTACCAAGATTATTATCACTAAACTGTTTGCGACAAGACGTGGATTATGACTCCTGAACAGATGCTTGGTGACTCAGGGTCATCAATCATGTCAGTCATGACTCACACTGGAGGGAGGCGAGGCTGCGCGTATCTTTGTAGGCCGATCGCATATGCATGTAGTGAGGCGACCCACATTTCGCCATTTGGTACAACTTCCGCGACTGTCGTGCCGATTTTCTCATTGTTGGTCCCTTTTCCAACAACATCCATCCATTCATCTCCAAAGGGAAAGGCTCCAATCTGCCGTCGTCGTTTTCTTACTGTCTGATTCGGCCAGACGCATGTGCCGTTGGTGAAAATCTAATCAAAATGGCGTCCATTTTGAGAGAAGCGTAAAGGGTGATAAGATACCTCTTGAGCTCAGTCCATATCTTGTAAAAGAGAGAGATTCCTGTAAACTCCATCTTTTCGCAGTATCCATTTCATTTTTATTTTATTTTCCTCCTCTTTTTCTCCCGTCTCCTTTTCATAGCCATCCATGACAATGGACCGTGCTCTTACCCTCAACATCAAGCCCACCTCTGGCCTGGAGTCCCTCCCGGACGATCTCCTGCTCGACATCACGGAGAAGTTCGCGACGGCGCGAGATCTCGCCAGCTTTGGCTCCGCCTCTCGCCACCTCCATTCCTTCACGCGGGAGGCCGGGTGGAAGACCTTCTGTCGTTCCTCCTTTTCTCCCGTTTTCGACATCGCCGCCAGCAGGATATCCCGGCAGCGCTGGGATGAGGTGGCGAATCGGCTCACATACCTGGATCGCTGCTGGGAGCGGCGTGCATTCTCCATCTACAAATACCATGAAATAAAGAAGAGCGGCCGCGGGAGATCTCGGCGTGGCTTCTCCGGCGTGCAGAGCGTTTCTTTCCACCCGGCCCTGGATGCCAGGGTGCTGTCAAATACCTCCTCCAAGGATGAGCAGGAACTGGCCGTCTGGGGCGTCGGGGAGGACCTCATCACCAAACTCAAACCCCTGTACTCGGCAGACCAAGAGAGTTGGTTCAGACTTGAGGGCCGCGAGAGCGGCTACAGTGGGGGCTTCGGCGACGTGACCGCCGTTACCGCCATCGATCGATCGCAGTCCCCAGAGGTTGTCGTTGGCAGGGCCAACGGGGACTTGAAGGTCATCGCGGCTGCTGGCGAGGAATTTGGGGCCGTCTCACAGTCTCTGACACCGTATCAGGGAGCAGTGGATCCCAAGCCGGATGCCTCATCCCGTCGAAGATCACCAGCCCGTGTCGCCATCTCCTGGACGGACTGGCAACCGCAGACGAACATTCTGGCAAGCTGCCGGCACTCGAGTATAACTCTTCATGATTTGTCAAACAAGGAGGATAAGGAGCTGGACCCCATGTGCCATTATGACCTCGCCCAGGATTGTCCTAGCGACGAGATGCCCTTCGTACGCAGCGCCAAGTTCCTCGGGAAGGACATCATTGCGTGCGGGTTGGGCGGAACCCGTCAGCCCCTCAGATGGGGGCGCATCACACCTACGGGGCTGGAATTCTTCGATGCAGTGCAGGACCTTTCGGACTATTCCCACCTCACCGATATAGCCCGAAGCGGGATGCCGGAGAAGACGACCGTGCGAGCTATAGAGCCAGTCGGCTACGGGCACAGCGAGAGCCTCCTGCTCAGCGCTTGGGAAGATGGGACATACAGACTCAACGATATCAGAACCTCGTCCCCCTACGATGCCATGTACCGTGATCGATGGAGCGTCTATGAGCCAGGCAGCTCTCTACTCGTCTACGGGACCCAGCGCTTCATCGCTGGCAGCAACATGTCCGAGTCACTCATATTCTTCGACTTCCGAAACTCGAAGCCATACAACCACACCAGCGCTCTCCCCTGCTCGACCGACGCCCCTCGCCCAACTCCCCCAGGTCGCTCCAACGAGCCGGCTGCGTCTGCTCCAGTGTACGACAAGTGTTGCCACCTGCTCGGCCAGTCGTGCTCCTGGCACTCAAAGGCCGCCCAGGACTACTGGCGCCCAGACGCCATACTTCACTTCGGGCAGTCCCGCTACGACCGCGTCCACGCAATCGCCAAGGCGTCGAACCTCTCCGACTCCTTCTACTGCGGCGTAGACGGCTACGTCCTCGAGGTCAGCCTGAAGCTGGCCGAGGATATGGAACCCAGCAGCAGCAGCAAGCCCTCCGCGCCCGCGGGCTGGCAGTCCTCCAGGCCCCGCGACAAGATCTCCCTCATGGAGACCGGCGTCGGCCGGATGAGGGGCCGCGACTGGGAGCAGCTCGACCTGGAGCTCCCCCAGCTGTGGCACCAGAGGAAGCCAGGCCACGGGAAAGGGGCTCACCATCCCAAGCCGGTCAGGGGCTCTCGTCTGGATTCCATCTACTACGATCCCTCCAACCGGTCACAGTGAAGAAAAAGCTTGCACGTTTATTAGATCTCCTTGTTTACTTTATTTTGTCTCTTCTTGTCTTCTTTACGTTTGTATTTCAAGGAAGTAAACGCGCTCTCATCAGTACATGTTACATAGAAAAGAAACAACCAAAAAGGGGGGCTTCGAAGCCTCTAGCCGGGAGAAGGCCAAAGCGGTCTAGAGCTTGGCCTCGGGCGTGAATAGACTCAATCTTTCCTTCAGGGCCGTCTCGGCCTCCTTCTCAATCCGCTTCACCAATGCGTCGCATGTCGGGATATCGTGGATCAGGCCGATGACTTGGCCAGTTGTCCAGACCTATTCCAGTTGTTAGTTAATGATCACAAACAGTAATAGCATCCCCTATTCCTCCTTAAAAGAGGGGGGGGGAGAAGGGTCGATATTGTAGGGAGTGGAACACTTACACCAAACTCCGGGTCCCCATTCTCAAACACCTGCTTCCCGCGCTTCCCGCTGACCAGCGCGGCCACCTCCTGGAACTCGCCCGTCGGGCTCGTCTTCTCAATCTCGAGCGCCTCCTGCGTCACCTTGTTCTTGTACAGCCTCGTCGTGTTCCTCCACCGCCTCAGCAGCAGCGTCGTGTCCGTCTCCTGCGCGCGCACAATCTCCTCCTTGACGTTGCGGTGGATGGGCGCCTCCTCGGTGCACATGAACCGCGTGCCCATGTTGATCCCGCTCGCGCCCAGGCACAGCGCCGCCGCGAGCCCCCACCCGTCGGCGAACCCGCCGCTCGCGATGAAGGGCACCGTGAGGGACTGGCGCGCCCGGCTGAGCAGGATGAAGTTGGTGATGTCGCTCTCGCCCACGTGGCCCGCGCACTCGAAGCCGTCGATGCTCAGGAAGTCGACGCCGAGCTTCTGCGCGCTCTGCGCGTGCCGGATGCTCGTGCACTTGTGCAGGATCGTGATGCCCGCCTTCTTGAGCTGCTTGATGACGGGGCCGGGGGAGTTGCCCGCCGTCTCGACGATCTTGATCCCCTCGTCGATGATGGCCTGCGCGTAGGCCGGGTAGTCGGGCGGGACGAGCGAGGGGAGCAGCGTCATGTTGACGCCGAAGGGGTTCTTGGTCAGGGTCCTGCAGCGGCGGATCTCGGCGCGGAGGGCGTCTGGGGACGGGAAGATGAGGGCGGTGATGATGCCCAGACCGCCCGCGTTGGAGACGGCGGAGGCGAGGTCGGCGGTGCCGACGTGCATCATGCCGCCCTGGACGATGGGCACTGGATGGGTTCCGTTAGCTTCAAGGCATTCAATCAGCTTGCAATCGCGAGGGATGGTGTACCTCGAATGCCGAGTCGGCGCGTCAGCTCAGTGGTGAAAGGCATGGCTGGGGACGTGTGTTGTCCGCGTCTAATGGGATCTAGTCTTCAGCAACAAACGAATTCTCACGTCTATGTCTACAGAAGCGGTGGGAGAACGAAGGGAGGGAGAGATTAGTCGCTGCGCATGCAATGTCTGATAACGGCGGTTTGGATGACCAGCATCGTCACCCGCCCCCTCTGGCAGCTCCACACATGCCTCGGCATCTTCTCCAGCCGAATGTACCTAATGTACGGGCCACTATGGGGCCACTACAGGCGGCCGAGTCCAAGCTCACGGCGCTTCCCCCCACAAGTCAGCGTCATCCCCCAGGCAGGTACAGCGGATGTGCTGGGCGCCACAGCGCTATTCATGTACTCGTGCAGCGCCCGCAGTCCCCCGCAATTCGGACTTTAAGCCCACGGAGCCCACTTCATTTTAACGAGGCCCCGTAGCCTGTTCCCCGTCACATGTGGGAAGATCCCACCTGTTCGTTGTGAAGCTCTAACTTTGATGAGACTGTTAGACACTTGTGATACCGTGTGCAAGCGCCTATGAGCTCGACAACTGTACCACACTGCAAGAAGAGCAGCCCATTTTTTGGCCACCTATCTTCGGCCTGCTTCTCAGGTCCCCCTATAATCTTACCGCGGGTGTTTCCCAGCCCCGGGCCAGACCCCATCTTCAACACGAATCCCGAACCGAGGTCCAATGACCGGAAAGCCAAGCACAGCATGAACCTGGCTCGCTTTCATCTTTCCAGCAAAGTGATGAGCGTACAGGCTACCACTGAGAGTCATTCCCATTTGCTTCAAGTTGTCTCATAAGTGAGATAGAATCACTACAACGGTCAAATCACCATGCCTTCGATATTTAGGAGTCACTGATAATACAAATAAATATACTCCACATGAACACCCTGTTTGTGGTCATCTGTGTAAACCAAATCCCTAGCTAGATCGATGTTTGTGGCCGTCATAGGTCGTGGCTCTCCCAACGTCATAAAGACAATCAAACCGGCCCTTGAAAACCAAAACGCCTCATACTTAAAATCATACAATCATCCACAAATACCGTAAATCCAATCCTTCCATCTGTTGCTAGTTCCTACATAGATCCCCGCTACCAAATAACCAGATACGAATGCGGCCCGTCCGTTTTATGTTCCGGATGTATCATTGTGAAAGATAAATAAAAATGAAAACCCATCAGAGCAGGCTCTTATGCCAGACCGGGGACTCGGCCAATGGATCCTATTCTGTCTCTGGGCTTGTCAATCATATCTGAAAACCCATCAAGGCTCAAACCCATAACTTTGACAATATCAAAGATGTGGCTTCCCTTGAATGTTTCTGCCCAAAGTCGAACCACTGCACTCGCCAGGCGGCGTAACTTCGTAACTTCGTTTGCCAAACCTTCCGATTGGCTTATGCCCGGCCCTGATAGCGAAGGGTCAATAGGCACCGCAAACTCCGTCTCGTCGAGCATTCGTTGGACCGTATCGAGCAGATTCCTCTCTTCCGGCGAGATTGGCGGGTCAGAGCGGTTGATGGATGGCAGTGTCAATAACCACTTGGCTACTAGTATTGCACATTCGAAGTTGCAGACTATAAAGAAGGGTTAATATCACAGGGTTCTATAGGCATGCAAATGGGAAATAATTTGGAGAGTAGTGACGGTTGCGCAGAGGGAGTGTGAGGATTTGCTTACGGGAATGTTGGATACTCCATTCTGATGACTTGGTATGTGCCACATATTTTACCCCTGCCTTGACCAACACTGACAGAGCATGCACCGCTTGGAAAACGGCGCGGTGAAGCCGTAGGCTGCGGACCAGTAAGGGTGTGCCGCTTAAAGCAGACGCAACCAGCAAAGCATCCCTTGAATCCAATCCCAAGTTAGGTGGCAGCTCTGTATAGAGACGGATATAGGCCAGCCTAAAAAGGGCCGAGGCGTTGTATGCCAGTGATCCGCCAGGAATAGAGTCTGTGCAGTTGATCTGTCCCGGTTCCGTGACCCTTGCTTGGAGCCTTTGCTCAAAACTCGTTTGCCACACCTGTAAGGCTTGCGCGACGTCCTCGGCATCTTCAGGTTTAAGAGTTCGATGAACATCATAGGGCGAGCCTGCGGCAAATGATGTCTGCTTCAAGAGATAAATATGCTGCAGCAGGGCGTGGATCAGAACGTAATTCCCTAAAGATGACATCTGGAGAGGGATGGCATGATTCGATCTGCTGAAAAGCCGAGCGAACGCCTCGTGCACCGTAGACTCAGTCGCTGGGTTCGCCTGCCTCAATTCCTGCCACTGCCAGGCCGACTCAGCGCGCCACAGCAAAGAAGGTTGCGGGCAGGAAAGCTTCAATTCCGATATCAGTAAAAGGGGTGGAGTATTATATGCAGTGCTGCAGAGGTTGAAGAAACAAAAGGCAACGAGCTTTGTCCGTGTTGCTCCCTCGAGACGAACCCATGTTTCCCAGTCATTTGACGTGCCTTGGGTATTTGGGTTTCCCAAACCGTCCTCACGTACGAGAACGGAGAGAGTGCTTTGCATAGAAAGAGACTCGTGCAAAATGGTTTTGGCACCCCAGAGCCCAACGGCAAACAATAGCAGCACTGCTTGCATGGTTTCAAGTCGAGCTTGTGGTGTATTGGGCGAGCTGGAATATTTGTCAGTCTATCAGATCCACAATTGTCTTTCACTGTTCACTCTTGGGGTCTTTTTATGTCTCTGCTCCTAGTAACTTGTGATTGATAGACAAGGACTTACTATGGCTCTCGATGAGTATCTTGTGTTAATGGCCGTTCAGACTGTGCCGAGGCAAAAGAATGCCTGTACGTTGAGTTTGGAGACGGTCTGGTGGAATGGGGGCTGTATGCTGCGGCAGTTGGTAGAAGAGCATGGACCTCGGAGCTATGCCTCCTCCTTATCTGCTCCATGGCAACAGCTTTGGAGGCATACCAGAGGGCGTACCCTCGGTTGCTTTCGAACCTATGTTGAGCGCCGACCGCAAGAATCGCTAACAGAAGCTCGGGTGCCATTTCCGCTGGTGATAGTGTCGGTAGATGCAAGAAAGGAAGGTGCTCGTGGAATCCGCTAATATACCCCTCAAGGAACCGAGTAAGAGTGTGGCGAGACGGGAAGACGAAGTCGTTGGGAAGTACCGCTGAAAATCCATCAAGCCTGTTCTTGATAGTGTTGTGGTCAACTACTGAGATCTGCAAGGATAACACCCTGGAGTCCTCGTTCCTGGAACTGTGATCTGACTGCTCACGACTGTCCTGTCCTCCTGAACTGACGCCTCCAGGAGCTTGGGAGGGCCTTGAGCCCGATCCCCGCGGTCCATTAGCCGCGCTAGCGCGAGACCAGCTACCAGTTCGTTGGTACAAGTCGTAAGGCGGTGGGAGAAGGTGTGGCGTAGGGGCGAAATCGTCGAGGAAGAGATTGTAGTCGTCACTGGAACCCTGCGGCGGCGATGGCATATATGCCGATGCGATGGCCTGCGAGTCTTCCCGGGGTCTTTCATCATAGGGACCTGAACTGCTGCTAAAGCTCTTCGGCCTGTCATGTACCGGTGGTTGCTGGGACGCGTCGCCGATTCCTGGCTGCATCGGATTCACCTCACTTGCAAGAGCAGCATCCGAGAGCATGGCCAGGTTGCAAGCATCTGACCTTGACCCGCGCTGTCCATCAGAGAGTGAGCCACTGGAAATCGAAGACACGTGATTCGGATGGTGGAAGTGCTGAGCTGGCTTCTCTGGTCGAAGGTTCTGATGATGCTGAGGATGAGAAAGGGCGGGCTGTTGTGACTGGGGTGATAATGGCTGTTGTCGGACTGGGCGGATCACGCCCATGGCTCCTCCTTCGCCATGGCCATTGACTATGGACGGCTGCTGAGCTAGGTTGGAGGAGAGTTTCCTGGGCCGGGCATTGTCCTTGTTGCTATCATTGAGATGAACAAGCTTCTCATGCCTTACTAGAAGATCCCTGATGTCCATGTAAGTAAAGTGTCAACACGACTTGGAAGAAGCTTTGAGTGTGGGCTGTAGTAAGAGAAAGAGGAAAGCAATGTTTTCGTGTCAGGGAAGAGTGTGTGACAATTTTTTTCTCGAAAAAGCAAAATCCAACCCAAGTCTGGGTGAGATGAGTGGTTGGCTGAGTATTTGTTAGGCGGAAAGGGCGGGTATTGGCCGGATCGGCGAGTGGATGGCGCGAACTGAGGTGATGGCGCGGGGGGGTGTGACATCTTGCTGGTGGCCGGGCTAGGAGACAGTTCAAGTGCCAAGGGCGAGCCTGAATAGGTCGGGAGGTTGCAGCAAGACGCCGGGAAAACAACATAGGGGAGGCACATGGAGGGTAGGTAGACGGGTAGGTATCAGGTAGTACCGTAAGGTAGGCAGTGATGTGTTGGGAGGTAGGTATTGGCATGTAAGTGGAGATACAACTTACCGTCTGCCGAATGTTTTACCACAACGGTCCCAGGTACATTGGAAGGGCTTCTCCTTGGTATGGGTTCTCTCGTGTCTCTGCACATGCTCAACCCGCCTATGTTGCTTGTGAGTAGTGATGGCAAGCAGCTGGGATCCATCGGGACACGAACCTAAAGCGTTTGTTGCAGTATTTGCAAGGGAGAGTCTTGGGCTTCTGCTGGCGAGGCTCGCCAGCGTCGGGGGCAGAGAGGGGAGCCGACTGTGCTCCCTGAGGTCGAGGAGCCCCCCCATTCAGAGACTGTATAGGCAGCATCGTACAGAGCGCGCCGGGTCAGTCTGGGTCTGGGTCAGCGCACTCGATCTACCGTCGTTGGGCTGGCTCCGGCGACAACTCGCTGATGTCGCCAACTTCAACATACAGCGTGCGCAACGGGGGATCTTCCAGGACCGGCGGAAGTGAAGCGTCTGGGTGAGCGGGAGAGGGAGACGGGGAAGGAGGTGAAGATGGAGTCCATGTGCTCCTGGGCAGGAGCAGCGAACTATGGGGGCTGTGGGGGAACTGTGGAGGGAAGCGACTCTCCACGCGACAAGCGGATGTTACAAGACGGGGACGACCCCATTAACCAGGGGCGAAAGTCAATATAGTTTAGAGCAGACGAGTAGAGTCGGCAGGCAGTTGAAGAAGGTCGAGGCGCGAGAACAGACGAAAGGAAAGGAAAGTGACTGTTCCGCAAATGTGGAGAAGGGCTAGGAGGGTTGGGTTGGGCGGAGAAATTGGACAACTGGGGAAGCTGTATCGTGGAGGGGACAGACAGGCCGAGCGCAGAACGCAGACCAGGAGTCGGTGGAGGGGGCGCGAGCGAATGGATGGGGGAGAAGCTGTGCTGGGCAGTGGGAATTCAGCAGCAGGCGAGAACGGAAGCTTCAGACGCGGCTGGACAGAAGCGCAGGTCGCGTGCGTGCGTTCCAATCAATGGAGAAGAGACATGATGATGACAGCAGCAAGTCGGGGGAGGGACAACGCAACACAACCTTGGGCGATGTGGTGGCTGCACCCCGTACTCACAGCGGTCGGAGGAAGCAGCTCGAGCAAGGATTGATGGCTGCAGGCCGGGTACCTGCTACATTCTAAGAGCAGTAGTAGTGCTACTGGCACGGTACATTGCTTGCCGACTCCATGCCACGGCTTACGACGGGTTTAGTTACCATGCTAATTCTAGCCCGGCCTTTTCGCCGATAGTCCAGGCGCGCGGAGTAGAGCGGGGAAGGATATACCCGGGCGAGCAGCACCAGACACAGCACAGCGAGAGAGCAGTGGAAGGGCGAGGTAGGAGTGAAAACGGGAGGGAGAGAGGGCAAGGGGGCAGCAGCAGGGCAGAGGCTCAGCCTTTCACAGGTCTCGGCATCGTTGCAGGATCTCGGCGGTCGACCACATGTCACATTGGGAGCATCTGACCGCTGCCAATTGCGCGGAACTGCGTCGGATGGTGCGTTGCACACAAGCAAGCATTTTCTTCTCCAGCGAGGGAGTAGCAGGTACGGAGGAGAGGTGGGGAGGGCGACAGGCGGGAGGGATGGTCGGGGTGTGCTCTTCCCACTGTCCGTGTTGGGGAGAACAAGGAAGCTGCATCCGCAAGATGGGATTTCAAAGCGGATCGAGACGAGATTAGCTCACTGCTAGCGCTGTTGGAGAGCTCGACGGCCACCCTCCTGCCCTGGAACGCCCTGGAAGTGACCTGCCGCACAGGAAAAAAGACCGGAAATTCGACTTGGAGTTTCCGGGGCCATCTCCACCGCCCTCCCATCATGTGTATTTGTACCTGTACATGCAATTGCTCTCCAGCTTTTCATCGCTCGATTGCCGGACCACTGGACAGCACGTTTCGGCCAAGATGCATGTGGGGATTGGCCTGCCCTGCCAATGCCCCCATGGGGCAAGTATTCGTGGTCCACACTTACCTCACCAATCTGGGGTTCAACTCCGCATTGAACCCGTGTGGCCGCTATCGCCCTCTTCTTGGCTGCTTTGTTTGTTTGTCTTTGTTTCTTTCCGGCCACCACGGTCAAGTCAAACAGGCACCACCACCCTCTACCCCCACCACCAAGCGCTGGCCCCCGACGCGGCCAAGTACACCTCGTCATTCTCGGTGCCTCATCTGCGAAGCCTAACACGACCAATTGGGACACGCAGCGTGAGATGCCCGCATAGCTCCAGGTGGGGGTTCAGTCAAGGGGGGCCTCCGAGTGTGCTCAGTCTCCCTTCCTCCTAGGGACTTGTCCTCGGGGGATAGCCGGCCAATGGATCCAGCACCCTATCGTGCTGTGTCAATTTATCCGCTCTCCAGTGATAGTGACTCAAGCCATCTGCTCCTCAAAGATTGCGCCAAGGCTCAACGCCAATGTCTGACGTGGACCCTGTCTGCCCTCCTCCCACACCGTTTGGTGCAGCGACTTGCCGTCGCATCCACATGCTCTGGCGTCTCCGCGGCCCAGAAAATACCTGGATGTGTATCTTTTCATGCATGACGATAAGTGCTACGTTGATCAGAGGGGCCGCGATACACGAAACTCTAGAGCTTCTGTTTCTGTGTGTATTTTTGTTGTTCTTCCCTTCCACTGCCCCCTTCCTCCCATGTTCTCAGTCGCCTCCCTGCAACGCTCCCCTCCTCGGTACAATTTACTCTTCATTCCAGGCCCAGGAGATCTGTCTCTCCTCTGGATCTTGGGAGTTACCGGTACTTCCCATCCTTCGCGCCTAGTAGAAACGTCGGATTTCCTCGGAGTCGCTACCTGCCACACCAGTGATTGCCAGGCAAGTTTATCCGATGGCGCGTGACATTTGATTTGCTCGTCTAGTTACTCCTGTGCCCGCCCTTCAGTGGACGGACCGGACGGCTGGGCAGCCCTTCGACTCCTTCCCCCCGGAGAGACCCATGCACCAAGTTCGTTCAGCTCAGCTTATGTGTCACAGAACAGTGCATTGTCACCCTTGAGAGTGACCAGGTACATCAGATCCTCGTGCATTGAGTGGCCATACTGGACTGGAGACCAGGGACGGGCAGAGCGGCACCAGCGGATGCCTCCTTGACCCACGTCGTACACTGGCTGTCGTCCACGCTCACAAGGAACAATCAACGTAGCGAGTCATCCAAACAAAATAAGAGGGAAATAGTCCTTGGCAGGAAAAAAAAAGCAAGCAACCCCAACCTGCTCCAACCCCCGCATTAGGGCACACCCAGCTAATTGCATGCTGCGGAATGAGATTGCCCCGCTCTGGTGTTCCCACCGGCCTCACAAGGATCCTTGGATGCCCAACAAATCCCCTCCCTTCTCCCTTCGAGTCGGCGAAAACGTGCACTCGCCGACTCTGGGCCAATGGCCTAACCACATAATGTGCTGACCTAGCCCGCATTATTCCCACAGCTCCTTGTTGTCGCGTATCTCAACTACCCCCCTGCCGTGCAGAAAGACCCCTCAGCATCCCAAAGCGGCAAGTCTAGGAGCCCCGTTCTCAAATGATGGAGTTTGGCAGTTCTGCCTCTGACATCGGAATAGGGTTCGGGCTAGGGGGGTGGGCGAGAACGAGCATGTGTGTGCTTCACGTCGTTTGTGCTTGACTCGCCCATGTCACCCGCTGATGAAGGAGGGTAGATGCTGTTGTGCCTCCTGCAAGACTAGCAAAACGCCACTCGGCGTCTTGAGGAAGCGAATCGTTGAGTCGAATTTCCCTATACAGCCGCCATAACCAGAAGAAACCCGTCCATCCCGCTATTATGTAAAGTCTCACGACTGTCCCGCTCCTGTTGAGAATACAAGCCTAATGCCGTCCCCCGCAACTCTGGATGCAGCCACTTTCCTCCCAATATGTAGGGACTTTGCTAGCCCGAGGATTGCGTGCCCATCGGATGTCGTCGTTGTTGCCCAGGCCCCAGCGGATCACATTAATCGGCTCTCAAGAGACCTCGGGTTCAAGGGGCGAGCATCGAGGCGCATTCCAGGTCAGCGTGATTGCAACACAGAGGATCGCCAGTACAACCATCGCTTGCCCCTGAATCAATGAAGGACAGAGCCTACCATGGAGTGCCGCTGCCGAAAAGCAAGACACCGGGCAATAGATCTGTAACCCCATTGAGGGGCTCCTAAACCTGGAACCCGCCCGAGGTAAATCCCTACCTTCACTCTATCATCTGTGAGCGGGGATAGGTCCCCCTGCTATTATTGCTTCACTTTTTACTCTTGGAGAAACCTCGTGATTTGTACCATGGAAGGTACACACATAAAGTGCAAAATCATTCGTTTCTGTGCTACTTACACTGGCAGGTTGCCAACCAGTATCAGACTAGACCGCCATAAAGCGTGTCTCTCAAGCAGGGCTATCCTTGACATCTACCGTCGTCCTCTCAGCTTGACTACAATCACAGGTTAACTATGCACCTATTACGTACGTATTGGTCCAACGGACAAGGGGGTAGTGCAGGCTTGAAGATCATTCATGCTGAAAGCCAGGCCATACATGCCTGCCAGTTCATTCTGCTTGTTGTTTCTCCCCCATGACAAGCTAGGTCGAATGAATGATTTCCCCAAGAGGGCAGGGACAGGTCAAGTAGGGCCCGCGGTTCACAAGCCAATTGTGCCTCCAAGGCGAGCCGGGTGTCAAACTCTGTCCGTATATCGGAGGCCATTGTCTATCTGCCTAACCTACCTACCGGACTTCTCATCCCTGGAGCGAATAGCCAACATCACCACTCGCGCCGCCCATTTTTACTAACCTCTCCCTCATGGCCTCAGCCCGCTCTCGGTCGCGGCCCTCTAACCTGCTAAAATTACATCCCGCCACCCAATCCCCAACCCCATGCTGCAGCACATTCCTCGCCCGGAGAGCGCTCCCGCCCACATGCCCAACCGAACCATGCAGAGTCATGCGCTCCTTGCTTGAGTCGTACACGCCACGGTGCAGGATATTGTTGTTGTAGAAGACAATGTCCCCCGGTCCCAGCTTGACGACGAGCTGGTCCGGCAGCACCTTCTCAAAGGGCCCGGCCGCTCGCTCTGTGTCGGTGCGCGCACGCCTGTGCGAGCCCGGTACGACGACGAGAGAGTCGTCGTCGAAGAGGGCGAAGTTGTACTGGGCGTGGAAGGCGGGCTTGGCGAGCCGCTCCATCTCCTCCTGAGCCGACGCCTCGGCAGGGATGTCGTCGCGGTGCCACCTGAGCTCGAAGTCGGACTCGGGGCGGACGAGCATGTTGAAGAGCTCCATGACGAGATCGTCGTCGGAGCACTGCAGCAGCTCGCGGACGATGGACAGGACCTCCTCGGAGAAGTACTGCTCCGCGAAGAGGTCGTGGCCGCCCAGGTCCGGGTTCATGAGGTGCTGGACGCCCCAGATGCCCTTTTCAGCGGCATCGGCGAGGTTCCAGGGCGGGAACTGCTTGCCGACGGTGCGGACGTGGGGCCAGCCGCCCGAACGGGCGAGCGAGGTTGCCTTGGTGCTTGCGTCGCGGAGGCGCTCGAGCTTGGCTGGGCTGGCGATGGCCTTGACCACCACGAAGCCGTCCCTCTCCAGCTGGGAAAGATGCGGTGTGGAAGACATGCGTGCTGTGGTGGGGTGCCCAAATGTGCCTGACGTAGGTAGGTGTTCTGAGAGTCTAGACCGGCCAGGCGGGTAATGGTATCCTCGTCCTTGGGCCCGGAAAGTGAAGGAACTGTGATGTGTTTTCTTCCGTATACGCAGCGTATGTGTGTGTGAGTGAGTGCGTGCCCAACAAAGACCCTGGTTGGAGAAGGCGTGATGTCTATATAGCTAGAAACCCTACTCGGCCTGTTCCGAACGATAGAGTTTGGGGCACGGGCGGAATGTAGACGTGTATATTGTGAGTTGGAACGCAGCCGGTTGAGCAATTGGTGAGGGGTCAGTTCAGTCAGCAGAATTGGAACGGCCCAACTGCCGGATCACCACCACACAACTTGTGCCTGCAACGAATCAGAAATCGGCCATACGCGCTACTAATATCAAATATGGGCCGTTGAGGAATTCGACATGGGCTTTCTGATCCCATAACAACGTTCCAAACTCGTATACTCCTGCGTGTACTCCTGGGCCCTCGCCCCCTCCCCGCGAGCAAAAAAAGCAATTATGGTTGTTGCATCCGTACCACCCACCACCCGCCTCTCCGCTTACCAACCCGGGAGATATTACGGCGTCTGTAACCCCCCAGGACAATGCATCGTGTTTTACTCGTCAATGCTTGCATATTGCTGAGATGGCCCTCCCACCGCCTAATTGCTAATCATCCTAATCAGTCGCAGCTAAGGAGAGGGATACATATATGACGTCGGTACTGCAGCTCCAGTCCTCGCCTGAATTTGCTTGAATATGGCCGCCTCCGGCCGGTGGATGGCATATTGGCTCTCAACCCCCAGTCTCCCAATCCCCAATTCTCTAAGGCAACGTTACATGTTGTCTCTCCGTTGGCTGCTGCTCCATTCAATATTACTTTTAGAACCGTGCTGATGTTGGGACTGTCCTAGTGCGGAGCGAAATTGGCAAGTATCGTAAAGGATTCAGTTCCATGAGTACTCTAGGTAACGATTCTTCACATGAAGAGAATTCATTACTCATTCATCATTGGATCATCCTAGTTATTTGCTTTTTAGACCAAAATTGCCATCCCAAGTTGTACAGTGTCCCAGTCCGCCCTCTCTCATTTCCCGGTCCTCGGTTACACAACCCTCCCGGCAGGAACTCGTTTCCTCTCGCTCCTGTGTATCTCGGCATTCCTCTTCGTCATCCTGTCAATCTTCCGCTGCTGCTTCCTGGCGGCCCTGTCCTCCTCGGCCTTGAGGTCCAGGAGCCGCTGGCCCCGATCCGCAATCGCCTGGTTGTGAGTCTCCCTGTTCTCCGTCACCTGCGTCTCCCGCTTCGCCTTCCTCATCCCCTTGGCCTTGACCACCGCCTCGTTCTGGGCGTGCGTGAGCCTGTTGATCTTCCTCTGCTCCCCGTCGAGCGCCTGCTTCCGCCTGACCTGGTCCATCCTGTCCCGCTTGCTGAGGGGGAACCCGTAGAACGTCACCGTGGTCGCCTCACCCGTCGGCAGCGTGACGCGGCGCCTGCTCGAGTGCTCGTCGATGCCCGCCGCGAGCTGGAAGGTGTCCTTGTAGCTCTCGGGCCTCTCCTTGCTGGCGCCCAGGAAGCTGGTCTTGATGGCGGTGCCGACGTACACGCGGAAGTTCCACTTGAGGCTCCGCGCGAGCTCCTGCACCGCCTTGGGGCTCCAGTCCTGGTCTCTGAGGGAGAAGCTGCGGGAGCACCGGGCGTAGATGACGTTGGGGAAGTAGTGGTCCCACCAGGGGGACGGGTACTCGCTCCACATGTCGAAGGACGTGAAGGTGAGGAGGAAGTTGAACCGCACAGCCTTCAGCGAGGGCGCCTTCCGGGACAGCTTGGCCATGCGCTGCGCGAACCACTTGGTCGCCGAGATGTAGGCCCCCGGCATGTCGAGGCTCTCGAGCCCCGTGCACCTCTCGATAGTGTCCCAGAAGGCGTGCCGCTGCTTGCCTTTAGACAATGTGAAGTCCACGTGGCCCGTGTATCCGCTCTGGTCCGGGTTCATGATGCTGATGGCCCGGATCATCTCCACGTAGGCAGGCCGGAGGAGGCGGCCGACCGTGGCGATGACCTCGATGGCGTCAAGAAAACAGAATGTGTTCTTGGACCAGAAGATGGGCGCCGCGAGCTCGTTGACGCCCCTGGAGGCGAGGAGGAGCCCGAGTCCCGTGCGCTTGGCGCAGGAGCAGGAGCACTCGGTCTTCTGCCTCATGTCGGCGTAGACGGTCACCTTGGTCTGGAGGAACGGTGGGTTCTCGTAGATGTCGTCGCCGAACTTGGGCTTGTACTTGCAGGTTGGCTTGTGCGTCTTCTCCCATCTCGGGCGTTCTACGAGGGCGAATTCGTAGATCCGTAGGACAATCTCGAGAGGGAGATGGTCAAGATTCAGCTTCTTCGGGCGAGGGCCAGCCGCATGGTTGGGCTGGATGGTGAGCGTTGGGGTTGTTTGGGCCATGGCTGCGTATCTTTGCACGGCACAAGAGATTAGGAAAATAGGATGGGGGGGAAGCAACGCTCTTTCTTTCTTGAAACTCTTTCGACTCTTCTAGCTCTCTCCTTTCGTACTCCAGACAACGGCTCTTAAATCAATTCACGGTGCTGGTCAGAGTGGCTGACGATAGTTAATAAGGCGGGGCTGAAAGAGGCCATCCATTAAGATAAGCCTCGAGCTTGGCCGTTGACTCACAAGGCAGAAGCGTGGCTCAGGCACATGCACCCACCCAACAAGCGGCCGCAGCGGGCCACAGGGAGCTGACTGCAGCGGTTGGCGCAGCTGGTTGGCCCCCGTTACTCCCCCTAATTGATGGCGGGCAGATCGCAGGGCGTTTCGCCGGTCACTATGTATGATTCACAGACATTTGATTGCAGAACGGACTGGGACCAACGGCCACACTGGACGTCATCTTGTTGCATTCTGGATGGATGTTTAGCACGCAGCCGCGGGCCATCTAACGGCGAAGCCCTTGACCGTCTTCTGCACGTCCAGGTCGCCGGGGTCGTCCTTGAACAGCGGCTTCTCCAGATGGATCTCCTCAACCTGCTCCACCTCCAGCCCAGCATCCCGCGCCACGTCGAAGAAGGCCATGTCCAGGTCCTTCTTCCACGGCCGGTACGACGTGAAGAAGACGTAGGCCACGCTCTCGGGCGACTTGCGCATCGTCTCCTTGATCGTCTTGACGAGCGCCCCGTGCTCGCTGTGCCGGAAGAGCAGGTCGGCGAGCACGAGGACGTCGAACCTGGCCTGCCCGTCGCTCGACAGCCTCTCCAGCAGCGGCTCGGGCTCCCTGCCCCAGATGAAGCCCATCGCGTCGATCGTCTCCGCCAGCCGGCCCTTGACCTCCATCGTCTCGTCGCACTCGTCAATGTTCCTCTGCATCGTGGCCACAATGTCCGGGTCCGGGAAGTCGGTCATGACGGCCTTCTTGGCCCCCAGGATCGCTGCGACGAGGGACGGCAGGCCCGAGGCCGCGCCGAGCTCCAGCATCGTCTTGCCCTTGATCCTCGAGGGGTCCTTCTCGAAGTAGTCTGATATGATCTTCGCCCCGTTCCACAGCGTGTGTGCCTCCGTAGGGCTGTGGCCGACCAGGTGCAGCGTGATGGCTTTGCCGCTCTTCATTGTGAAAATCTCCTTGGTGGGCGGGGGAGTTGGGGGATAATAGTCCTCGGGGTCGTCCATGAACCCCGCCTCGCTGAGGTCGATGGGCAAATCCTCCGCGGCCATCTTGAGCTGTGTCTATTTCTATTCCAGTGCTATGAAATGTGGGAAGAGTGTGTAAGTTTTAGCACCCTGATGCTGAAGTCTAGGCGTGAGGGTGAAGGATAACTTCGAGAAGCACGACGAGGTAATTGAGTTTGTAAAATTCTGTCTCAAGACAAGGGTGGTTTCAATTGGCGCAGTACAATCTTCTCGACTCTGCTTGAGTGAGAGTGTGTATATGGTTGAATGGATGTTTTTGAACGAACTGAAAAGCTTAGCATTTTGAAAACCCTGATAACCTATTAGAGGAGAGCCCCACCATGAACCCCATCCTGATGCTCAACATGATTGCAGCTTTTGACAATTAACCCTTGGGTAAGATGATGAAAGTACAAGAAATAATACAAGTAATCGGTGCAGGTAGCATGTCGCCCGCTTAACCAAATCGCTGTTTCGCCAATTCCTTAAGCATGCTCATCGTTCCGTCCTCCCGCTCCCTCCACGCCCGCCTCCTCTCCTCCACCTCTTCCTGCTTCGCTCTCTCGAACTCCTCCCTCCTGATCTCCCGCTCCGACTTCTTCCTCTGCTCTTGTTGCTTCATCTTCTTGTACTCTGCCAGCGAGTCTCCGCCGCCCATCAGGTCCTTCTCATCCCCGCCCTCCATGCCGGGACTCTTATCCCGGAACTCACGCATCTTGTCGTTCACCATTTGTCGTTTCTCCAGCTTCCGTTCCCGTGAACCCGGATCCGCCCGCGGCAGTAGCTCCTCCAGCCTCTCCTTCTGCAGATTCCTATCAGCCTTCCGGGCCTCTCGGAGCGCATTCCTCGACTCCTCCCTATCCTCCTCCCTCATCTCCTCGCGCATGGCGAGATCCTGCATGGACGGTATGACAGGACCTATCCGTGCCCCGTAGCGGTTCCCCCGTGGCAGCGTCGGGCCGTAATCATCGTCGCCCTCGCTGCCAGAATGATGGCCAACGTCAACGTCCCTCCTCCTCTCCACCTCATCCGAAGAATGAGGGCTCCGGCGGCCTGAATCACCCGGTGGTTCTTGATACGGCAGGCCCCCTTCCTCCCTGTACCTCTCCGAGATGCGAGCAAACATGTCCGGATCGTACCACCCTTCCGCCAGCTCCCCCCGGTTCCACTTGCCCATGAAGCTCTTCCACCTGCCCCTGACCTCCCGCTCGTCCAGCCCGCCCACCTCGATCTGCTTCTGGACGCTCAGGAAGTCGGCGAACAACGGCATGAACGCGGCCATGTCCGCCTTGGTCAGCTGCCGCGCCGAGAACGGCAGCGCGACGGGGGCGCCGGCCGGCCGGGCTCGATCTCTGCGCTCGCTCCGGTGCGGCGAGCGATGCCTCCTGCTCCTCGATGATGAAGAGTGCCCGCCGTGGTGGCGGTGACGCCGCTGGCCATCACCTGCCGCCTCGTCGGCTCTGGGTGGGCTTCTTCGCCCGTGGCTGGGAGGAGACCGCGATCGCCGTTGGCCGTGGCCGTGACGCGACCCTCGAGACTCATCCTCGCGAGATTGGCGCGGCATTCTCGCTAGCAGAACAGCTTCCTCAACTAAAGTTTTGATTTTTATGGTGTAAGAAAATAGTTTTTCAACCGATGTTCACCTGCCGAAGAAAGCAATGCGGATTTATTCAATGTCGCCAAGACATTGAAGGCAAAATCAGGACCCAAGGGAGGTCCCACTCCAGTTCTTTAGAAACGGCCTGGGGTAGCACAACGCCTGTGTTACCAAAACCCACTAAGCCAATTCCATCTCGCCGGTCAAAGTCACCAGGCAACATATAAGGCATATTACAGCCAGTCATCATCAGCGAAGTAGTTGCAATCAAATACCATTTTACGCAGATGACTTAAAATCCTTCCAGGATCTTCGCTTTGTTCTTTTTGTTTTTGGTGTCGCTCCTCCATTCGAGTCCGTGCAAGGTCGTGTGAGTTTCATGGCCTTTACCCCTTTTTTTGACTCTCTCCTCTACCACCCTGTCTATATAGAAGGCAGAGTGCTCGTTGTGATAAAACAAAACAAATGAAACGCAATATCATATCAGCGTTTTCTCTTGCCGCATTTGGTAACTAGATTTGCCACATCATCCTCAGATTTTATGAAGCCTGAGATCCTACTACCCATCCCTACCTCAGACATCAATCTTCCACCCTTAAGATTCAAGAGCCAAACACTCCAACAATTATAGCACTGCTGTAGTTTAAAAGGGGAGTTACTCGTATGATTTAGGTCTCATCTACTAACGCCACACAAGGTCTTTCATCTCTAGATGACAAGGACCCAGTGTAGGTTATCCTAATATGTAGTCATAAAACTTGAACCACCCGGGGTATCAATGTAGGCATCATGCCATAACTAAGCCGCGACCCAATCTCTATAATATATCCAAAACCCCATATACATATATGCCTATAGAATATGTATGACCCTCAATAGGTAATATAATGCGCCATTGACCAATCCAGTTGTTTCCCGCTCTCTTCGTAAATCGAACCGCATCTAAATGTATCCCTCGAATGACAGACATTTCATTCATGTTTCTTGGTCAATGGACTGCGATGGGTCTCCAATATTGTGAATCACACACCCAATGCACTGGCAGTCATCTCCACAGGGACAGCTCGCACTCTCTCCGTCACAAGGCTCACCAAATGGATAAGTAACAAAGAAGAAGTCACTCGCCGATAACGTCTGCTCTTCACTGAGGCCAGATGGAGCATCAGAAGGAGTCTGCGGTGCTGTGATGTTCCCGTCTGGTGGCAGTTGGGCCGTGGAGATTGCAGAGCCCCCTGGCGGCGTGTGGGTAGCAGATGAAGCTTGCTCGCTAGTATGTCCATTCGTCAGATCGCCATTTCCGACCGGTTCGTCTTGCTGATCCAACATTGCAGAGCGAACATAGTCTTTAGTAGCTTCATTATATGGATGCGTAGCACAGCCCACACATTGACACTCTTGTCCGCATGAACAGTGATGTGACGTCCCCCCGGCTTTGGCCTCAAAGACTTGGCCATGCGTAGGAGGGGCTGTTGGAGTTATTACCGGCCCATTCCCCATGCCGGCATTCATCAACTCGAAAGCATGCTGTTGTGCGGCGATTTGACCATAGTTAAATGCGGCCATCATCTGTTTCCATTGATCTGGCTGCAATGGTTGCATAAAGGTTCCGTACTGTGGGGGGTATGTAAAGATTCCTGGGTGTGCGAAGTAAGGATACATGTTGGGAGGTGTGGCCATCGGAGTCGGGAACTGAGGCACCATCATCGGTCCAGCGTGTGCCTGCATGTTAGAGGTCGTTGCTGTTGGCGCCTCTGGTTCGAAGTTGTCCGCCTTTGAAGAGCAACAGCTCTTCGTTTTGACCCCCGAGTTACTTTGTCCATCGGATGCATTGCTGACAGAGTTGTGTCGTGATATGTGCTGGGAATCCAGCAAGTCTGCATCGCTCTCTTCTCGTTTCGCATCCACCCCACCTCCACAGCAGCCTCCAGATGCCGCAGCACCATTAGTAGTAGCCTGTGGTATACCTCCATTGGGCGCGGGTGGGAAGAACATCTGGTTTGGGATAGGTTGCTGGAACATGGGAATCATATACTGCTGGGGGTTGATCTGATGGTCTATTGACTGGATGCCTGCAGGACCATACTGGCTTGGTGCAGACATTGGAGAAGCAGTCTCTGTTGGGGAGATGGCTCCGGCTCCGGCTCCGTTCAGGCCATTCGGGGCGGGGATTATGTTTAGTTGGCTTTGGTCTGTCCTTTCCACGCTGGTCGGGTCAATAGACTGCTTCCGTGTCGATCCTCTTCTGGTTTTCTGCACCCGAAAGCTCGTACTTGGGGCTTTACTTCCGGTTGGCGATGGTGACTTGGTGTCAGAGTCTTCAGTAGTAGAGTCTCCATTCGTTGCACCTGCGGTTTGCGTCGCAGGAGTCGAAGGGCCGCAGTTACATTTCTGCTTCCTGGGGATGGCAGCAGTCACTTGTCCGCATGAGCAGGGCTTTGAGGGGGGGTGAGGACAAGAGCTGAGAGGCCGACCGGGTTTTCGAACGGGGACCATCAGGCGCTCATTTGCGTGAGTACATTTGGTTGAGCGATGGCCGCGAATACAAGGCTCGCTGTGGAAATTGAAAAGAATAAGAATCAATTTGAAGAAAGGGAATAGCGCAGGGCTCAGGCGAGGCTGAGTCTTTGCCCGGAAACGGGTTGCAAGAAATGAAATCGGGGGTTAAGAGTTGGAGTTCTATTCACATACCAGGCCATCTTTTGCCCATTGATGAGAGGCATGATGAGACGGGAGCTGAGCTGCTCCAGAAACGAGGAGCAGAATGAGAGCCTAGGGCCTAGCCGTAGTGATCCAGAGGGCAGTCAGGGTCGAAGATACAAAATCGATTTCGGTCCAGGCGAAGCATCAGGGCACAAGAAAGAAGAAGACGGTTAACAGTCAAGGTTTTCCTCGGGGCAAGTCGCTGGCAGCCTGCTGCGATGGCGAGCGTTGTCGCAAAAAAGTAGGTGTTCTGGGTATGATCAGAAGAGGACGGCAATTGTGCGGCGCATTTCGGCAAACTGGATGACCGAGCCAGGGAAGGCAGGATAAGCCGATGGCAGATTCCCAACCTTTGCCTCGAGAATAAATCAGCGGTCGAGGTGGTTGAAGCAGAGCTGAGGCAGAGGGAACGTGAATTGGAAGCGGGAGCCAGCCAAGGTGGGAAGATTACAGGGCGATAAATCCCCCATTGCTCACATTTCACATTGCGCCGCCGAAGGCACCCTGCCGCTGAACCGCAGGACACGGCCCTGGGCGCCCCATCAATAAGTACCATCCCATGGAGAATGCACCTACCTGATCTTTCTAAAAGCGCCGCTAGACGCAGTGCAGGACATCGCCCCACTTGCGGGGGCTCTTTCCTCATGGACCGGACCCTCGAACCAGCGGCCAAGTCTTGCGCCGGGCTGGCTGCAAAAGCTTGTCGTGATATGTCATAATCGCACGGGGCGCCAGAAAGAAAAGACGCAGCTGCTCTATTCTATTTTTGTGTTGTTTCTGCTTTTCTCTTCTCTTCTCTTCTCCCCAGCGCTGTGATCCCCAGGCCAGAACCACAAAAGCCGGGTCCGGCTTTGTTGGTCGACTAGTCTGCCATGTACCTCTGATACTAACCCGTCTCAGAGGGGAACCTGCACCACCACCTACTCTTTGTATCCTCTCTCTCTCTCTCTTGGCCCTGCATCTGCAATGGCGGCTGATCAAGCAATGGGGGAAACAACAATAATAATGGATTCGCTCCAACTGAAGACCAGCTCAGGGTCCTCAGTATCCCGGTCAGCCCGTCCTGAGGTACCTCGTGGTGGTGGGATCGATTCCCACTCTGGACATGGTTGGTGAGCAAGTTTCTATTGGTCGCCATCGAGGTTCGGCTGCCAGGCGGACGCTCGAGTCTCAACGTTTCCCCTCCGCCATGCCCGCTAACAAACAACATAGCGCACGCCGATAAAGCAGAGCATCCCAATGAGGAGCATGGTCTATGCCCACTTTCTGCAAATCGCACCATGCGAACCCTGTGGGCTTTCTGCCTGAAGCCTGGGAGTTGGCCCTGTGATCTCTGGGTCTCTGCCGCTCGCTGACCACTGCCCTCATAATCAATATCACATTTCCAAAGGACGGTACTTGATTGAGCCGAGAGCAAACAGCGGTGGGCCGAGTCACTTGGTGCTTATTGCCATCCCACCGTGAGGACGTGAGCGATCCGTGGAGGGAATGGCTTCGCTTATCGATCACACAATATTAGCATGGAAACTAGCCTGTTAGTCCATAGATTTAAGCTGTGCCGTGCTCTTAACCGTTGTATCTTCTAAACGTATTAACGCCTGCTATCCTAGCCCGGAACCCAGTCGGAAAATGGAGGGTCGCAGTTCCGTTTGTGCCCTCGTTCAACATATCATTATGCCTGCTCCACTCTTCATAAGGAATTTCTCCTGAACTTCAGAAAGTGAACCAGCTGCGTCATCCGTGGGAGGTGTTCTCAAGAAAGCCTCTCAAGAACCACCGTCAGAGTCGGAGTCAGCAAACATGTCAACCGCACGCATTCTAGGCTTACGGCCAACGCCTTTGGGGCGGGAGAGATCTGCGTGACCGGCGCGGCTGGGTTCACCCTTGGACTCTGTTAGAACCTTGTCCGTGGGCCCCTTGTCTCCCGCCGTGGCAGAATGTGACGAAGCATGACTTGTTCCAACTGTGTCCTCCCCCATTGGCTCCAGATCCTCTTGGCCAAGCGCCTCGCCCTCTATATCGTCCTCTTCGATTGGCACCCCCTCAATATCATCGTCGTCTATTGGCTGGCCCTCGAGTTCATCTTCATCGATTGGCTCACCCTCGATGTCCTCATCCTCAATCGGCTCACCACCTACGTCATCCTCCTCCATAGGCTCGCCAGTCTTACCGTGAGAAACCAGGTCCGTCTGTCCCTGTGCCGCCACCGAGGGACTCTTCGAGCCTGTTTCCTGTGTTTGATTCTGCTCCACCACTTTCCACTTATTCTTCTTCTGCCCTTCATCCGGCTTTTCATCGGACTTGGCTGAGGGAGGGTTTTCAAAGCTTTGTACAAAGAGATCTTGACTCTCTGCAGCAAAGACACACCAGCCCTCCCACAAGCTCAGGACCAGATGGACGCTCCGTTTCCACTTCTCTGCTCGTAGACGGCCCCAGTTGAACTTCTCAGCCATCATACCCAAGCGCTCAAAGACTTTGCGATTCCGTAGCGCTACCTCAAAGAGTTGCCGGAATCGCCATGCGTGGCGTACACCGCTCGAAGACGACGAAGAGAGGATGTCGCCGACGGCATAGAGTCCAACCAAACTTGCCGCGGATGCATCCTGCGCGTCGGCTGCGTTGTTCTCATCTGCAGCAACCCCTTGCGCACTGCCCTCCTTTTTGTCCTGACTTCTATCCCTGTTGGCCATTGTCATAGAGAAAGGTTTTTCGATGTTTGATACCATCATGTCAACCACTTCATCAACACCACGGCTAGCGTGGGCGATTGCAAAATTCGTAACTCTAGCGATATCCCCCTTTCGTAGTTTCGACATTGTCGGAGGAAGCCTGGCCAATAGGTGGGTGAACTTAGCCTTCTCCAAGGGATTGAGAAAGCTCTTCTCTTTCTCATCTCCCTGGTTATCGCGGTTGCCTTCACCGTCGAAATCTTCGTCGTCTGATGAATTGTATTCCGAATCCGAAACAAACTCGTCGATTTTCGTAGTGTATTCAAAAGGGAGGCGTTGCTCGGGGACCTTCCAGGCGCTGCCACCATCGAACAGAGGCACATACTTTGGCCTCTTTTTCTGATGTCCAGAGCCGGTAACAATCTCCCACAGTCGCCATCTATACCACACACCCCCTGGACATCTGGCATTCCATATCCACGCCCATTTTTCCTCACGTTGCACCTCTGGCCGTGACATAAGGAGCGCCTCGATTTCGGGCCCATGGTCGAGAACTTGCTCGATAGTCTTGTTGATCAGTCGAATAATCCTGATATCATCCGGAGGTTTGACCGGGACATGGAGGAGTTTGCCTCTGCTGACGTTGCTAATCTCACGATCGTAGTTTGATGGCGGCGCAAAGCCTCGTTGGAAGCCAGAGTCTCTTTGTGTGTTGTGTGAATCGGAAGGTTGTTCAACTGGCTTTGCCCCGAATGGATGTGATTCGGACCCTGAGCCAGGAAGGTTCGTAAGAGCCGACGCGCTGGTGACGGCAGATGAAAGGTGTCGATGCAATGACAAGTATTGCCCCCAGCCCAAATATTCATTCTGTAGAGAGCTGACGGCTGCGTCGATATCGTTGGCTGGCGTCTCCTTCGAGAGTGTCACAATGGCGGTCTTGACTCTCGTGTCATAGTTCCCAGCCCCTGCAAGATTCTGAAAATTCACTTCCTCCACAACCAGGTTGGATGGAAGTTTAGACCTGATGGCAGCCTGCGAGTATAAGGAGGGCAAGTTGAGTAAGCGCAGCGTAGGCCTAGCTATGGCTTTCTCTTCTGCCTTGTCGGTCGCACCGCCCATCTCCTCATCCTCATCGTCGCTCGTACGGAATGCCTTTGGTACCGACAAGGACGATCGATCAAAGTCATCATGCCTATCTCTTAGCCCTCGCGACATGTCCTGATAGGATCGCTTCTTCGCGAACGAGCTCGGTGCTGGCCCTAGGCTCCCCGGGCCACTCTTCACATTGGGCGCGCCAAAGTGCCGCTTCGAGGTTCCTGGCGCAGGCCCGCCAAGTCCCGACCTGGGACCTGGAAAACCCTGTGAGCCAAACGGCGTTGGTCTCCTCCCATTGTCCTCGTTTCTATCGCCGCTTTCCTCTCGATCAAAGCTCTTAATGAAATCTTGGTATACGGCCGCAGTCTCAGCTTCCTCGCGTAGGCGCTTCGCCTCGGCCTCTGCCTTTTGCTTCTCAAAGGCCGACTGCCTCGTTGGCTTCTGGAGCTTCGCCTTGACGTTTGGGAACTCGTGCGGGGCCTGATCGGGCGGCATTTTGTCGTTGTGTTCGGTCAGCTTCGTGTCATTTTGCGAGGGCGCCTTGGTGGCTCAATGAGGCGTGACGGAAGCTACAGGCAGCTTCACTTCTTTGGAGATTGGTGACACTGCAGATGAGCCCCACTTTCTGAATGTTTTGCCTAAGTGCATAAACAGGCTTGACAGCTATTACTACCTGCCGCCGTCCGCAAGGGGACATCAGAAGTGGTCAGTTTATTCGGATATTAGAAACAAACTCGTATGTATTTTTCTAATGAGACATATGTACTTGACTCCACCTTTTCCTCTTCTCTTCATAACAATTTCATGACAAAGGGCGCGCCTAATTTATAGCTGCGATCGGGCCTTACCATCACGGAGCTTCTTTATCTCATCATCCAAGATCATGTCGGGCAATCCTCCTCTACTACCGTCCCAGGTGTTCAACCCCCGATAGACTCCGTTTGTTTCTTTTCCGAGACCGTCGTCCTCAATGTGCTTCCACTTCCACTTGTCCCCAAGCTTGCCGCCGCTACCCTGAAGGCAGTCCACCAACTTGTCGCCAATGACAGGCAAGAACTTGAATCCGTGTCCGCTGTCTCCTGTGGCGATGAACAGTCCCTCCCATCCAGGATGCCAGTCCACGAGCCAGTCTGCGTCTCTGGTGTCCGAGTACCAGCAGAGTCGTGTCTTCACCCACGGTCGCTGGTCTACGTCTTTTAAGGGAACCAGGTCCCGAAGGCCTTCCCGGAGGTCACGATCGCCCTCGGCAGGCAGGCCATCAAACCCGTTGTCACGAATCGTCCTGGGAACCGATACAACAATGGGGTCTCGCCTGTGCTTGTGTGACAGTGGCAGTGCAGCCGGCACAGTCTGTGGGTTGAGGTAGCCAAACCCGTGCCGCGCCACCTTGAGCAGCCTCTCCCTGGGAGGGAGGACAAAGAGCCCCGTGGAAAGGTTGAGGATCGTGGGCTGGTGCTCCATACGCTTCTGCTCCGCCTCGGTAATCTCGACGTACGCGACAGCCTGCCCCGTCGCCTCGCACCGCCCTCTCAGGTCAATCAGCGCGCCGGTCCAGGCACCCGCGGCGACAAATACCACGTCTCCCTTAAGAACCCCGCCATCCCTCAGCTTGGCGCCCACCACCCTTGTACCCTCGGTCACCAACTCCTTCACCAACGCGTCTACAAACTTGACCCTCCCTGTTTCCTTGACACGCTCGTAGAGCCATCTCATCGACGTTCCGTTATTCGACCAGCCGGACAATGTGTTCGAGTACCCCCAGTCACCCACATTGCCCGAGGCGCCGAGATACTCTTGTATCGCCTTGCGGCTCTCCAACTTGACGATTTTCTCCGTGGGAAGACCGGTGTCCAGGGCAATCTGGGTGACGTTCTCCCAGCTCGCCTTGACATAGTCGAGGCCCGTCTTGTGCCCGGACTTGGACGTGTACGATTGGTTGGCGGTCAGCACAAGACCATTCTCAGCATACCGGCCCTGCCCTCCGACCTCGTGGTCCTTCTGTTTCCGCCACTCAGTCTGTGCCTCCGCCGCGAGGGTCGCATACTCTCTATCCGCATAGTCGGCCCTCACAATGCGCGAAGCATCTACGCTGGCGCAGTCCTCCGGGGGGAACTGGCCCCGGGCGTCGTCAACAACCGTGATGGCGGTGTCGCGGAAGAATGGCCGCTTGGCGAGCGCCCAGGCGGTGCTGAGCCCGAAAAGGCCAGAACCGACAATGAGGATTGAGCCGGGGGCGGTCTCCATTCTGTCGCCTTGGAGGGTTTTTGGGAGGAATTGGGCTTTGTCGACACTGTTCACGGGGAAGGCAGGCACAGGAAGAAAAATCCCACGTTCACCAGGTGTGCATAACCAACCGGCTACCCTCTATTCGGTATCGTTCGATCTAGAGCGTTCTCGGAGCCCAAACGGGGCCATATAAAACACACATTTATCAAAAAATCTGGGCCGTATTTGCGGTTATTCCTAGATAAAGCAAAAGACTAGCACCAACCCGCATACTCCACACCGATAATCGGACGACACTTTTGGGAAAACTGGGGGTAGTGAGCCTTAACCAGATTCTCGGCACCAAAGCACACGACACCGCCAGAATTTACCAACCAAGTTCGCAACACACCGACAACACACGAACGACAAAGCACAATTCACGAGCGATTCAGAGCCACGAAAGATGAGATGAGATAATTATATTACGCTGTGAAGGAGGGAACTGCGCGATGAGGTGTTGAACTGGCCTGTACAACAGTGCCTTTGAATAACCCGCGCGGCAAACCTCCCAGGCATGCTCTCATCAAATTTTGCAAGACCTGGAAAGGTCTTCACACCGTTTTGTTGTCTCTTTCCCCCGAACCAGGGCGCACCCACCAACTGTCAAGCCGTCCCAGCCCATCCCATCACTCAGTCTCTTTTTAACTCCTTAAAAAGCATTAGGCTATGCGGACCGAACAAGGTATTCCTACCGAGCCCAGATCCACCAAAAGCAATCTATGTCATGTTTGTTGTGAGAATGTCAACTCTCTTTATCTTGTGGCCAGAACCAAGTGCGTCTGAAAGCAACTCCCCATTCCGTGCCCTCGCAAACGCCGGTGCAATGCAATAAAAATAATCAAATGATACAAACGTGCCCCCCGGATCAGCTACTGGTGCGAGTAGTGATCCTTAGGAATACGCCGTAGGACGAAAGTCAGTCGTAATATCGTGATGCAGCCTACTCATACAGATCGCAGTGAATGAGGCTGGAGATTAAAGCTGTCAAAATAGACGACAGCAAATCTGACCAGAACTCAACTTCTAGACCTTGCGGAAATCTGTGCCAAGTTAGAACAACTGCGCTTCCATGAAAAAGGGGTCAGAAGGGTTGACAAACCTTGAAGCACGGGGTAAATCATTTCAAAAGCCTGATAGATCTCTTCTCGGACTTTTGCACCCGTGAGTACGATCTTGCCGCTGACGAAGATCAGAAGCACAATCTTCGGCTTGATCATACGATAGATAAGACCAGGGAACAGTTCCGGTTCATAGGAACTGAAGTTGTGATGGCGAGAAGCCAAACCTTCCAAGCGGATGGGGAACTTGATATCGCAAGATCCAACAATATTTTGGATCTTGAAATCAGTGAACTTGGCGTTAAAGCCCAGCTTCTGGATAATGCGAGCATATTTGCGAGACGCTAGCTTGGAGTCATCTTCGGACTTGGCACCAGTAACAACCATCTTGCCAGAGGCGAAGATCAAGGCGGTTGTCTTGGGTTCACGGATGCGCATGATCACAGCAGCGAAACGCTATAGTAGGTCAGTAACAAGTTTATCAGACAGATCAGTTGCAGGTAGTACCTTAGGGTTGTACTCTGCATTCCTGGCATGCAGAGCGATCGTCTTCAGGTCTAGCCGGCAGTCTAAATTGACGGTGGCCACAATGTTCCTTTAAATCAAAGCGACATAAGCCTCTCAGAGCAAAACACTATCACTCAGGAGGATACATACTGCAGCGTGGGAGTGATTCCACTGGGGCCTTGATTGGCTCCCGGTGTAGCAGCAGGAGTGGCGGGAGTCACCCCATTTCCATTTTGCTGACCGTTGGGGATGGGCTTCTGGGCGCCATCCACCGGAGGAGTGAGCTCGTTCGTGGCTCCGGGGAACGACAGAGACCCAGGCGCAGTGAAGGCCTTGGCCTGAGCCGCGTTGGAAGGGTGTGTCTGAATACTTTCCATGATGAATGCTTGTGAAGCTTTCAGATGGTATCGAGTATGTCAGAGAGCAGTTCTAAGCAGCCGGGTTAGCAAGAGAAAGGTCCCGAAAAGATTTGTAATATGTGCGGCGGCGATAGCAAGGATGAAATTGCGAATGAAGACGCGATGCATTCAACGTCAAGACCACTTCGCTTCTCTATTTGTTGTGAAAGGAGCAAAGGGCCATGGCAGCTGTCAACGGCCGTGGTATTTAAAGGGCCAGGTATGTGTTCAAGAACAGGACCATCAAAACAAACAGCACAAAACCACCAAAGTAAAGAGAACATGTCAAACCTACCGAAATGTGGGAGATGAACAAGTGAATGTGTCCCCTACAAAGCACTGCTCTTTCACGTGGATGAAAGATGGGCGTCGAGTCACAGAGTATGTGAGATGACGATATGGAAGACTGCGAGAGTGATCGGTCGATTCCCAAAGGTCGCAAAGTAGACTCGCGCGCGCTCCGAGGATCAAATAATCAAATCTCGCCGACTCGATCCTTTACTTCAACTTCTTTTTAGAGCTGTCTACGAACAGCGCAACGATCCGATGGTCGACGGTAATGCGAGCCTCGAGTATCTGCTCTTGCCGGTCGGGGACAAAGGAGTCGTGTGCGGATAGGACAATGACTGAAGCAACGTGTTTCAGTTCTCAGTTCGCCTGATCGCTATCTTTTTTTTATTATCTTTCGCGCCCAACAGCGACTGCTGCAAAGCTTTTCCTTTTTCTTGAACTCGTCAGAGTGGGTATGTAGAGAAAGACGTCTCCGTGAGAGATGAAGGAGAGGTGGGTTGAGGAGAAGAAATGTAGAAAGAAGTGGGGCGGGTGTGTTTTGGGGTGTGGTAAGGAAAAAAGTGTGGCCGAACGTTCTGTGTGAGGAGGTACAGTACGTAAGGCTAGTCGCGGCATCCAGCAGAAACCTCCAGGCAGGACTAAGCTGACCGAGGGGGGGAGGGCTGGGATACTTATACTCGCAGCCAGCACAGGGGCAACATGGCCCCCTAGGCAACCACTGTGCCAGTGGCGTTGGCTCTGGCAGGTTTGGGCTGGGGCTAGTGGGCAGCGCTAAAAGTTTTTGGACCAATCACCACGCGTGCGCAAGCTGATTCCATCTCCCATTTCCGACTGCGGGTCCACCCCAGCCCCTGAAGTACCGCCATGGAGCGCCTCAAGTCACGGCTCAACACCTTGCCCAAGCCAACCAGATTTGCCTTTTTCTCGCAACCTGGCCTCTTTCACGTTCTTCCCAGGCTCCAAGCACGATGACCAGATCTCTCTATCGCGACTAGCCCGTCGCTTCCAGCTAACTCGGAATATCAAACGTGCCCGACCGGCAGCGTCACCATTTTCGGCTTCATGAGGGTCGACAAACGACAAGAGGGCTGCGCTGGGACAGCGTCGATATGAATTCGGCGATGGCTTGGGCCAGCGTTGAGTCGATGCGCGCCCGTCCATCTTGGGCGGAGGAGCGTGAGTGAGCTTACCTGCACCTTCATTCTTGACGGAGCAAACATGCAGCTTTTCGATATGAGTCGCGCACTGTTCCCCTCCCCTCCTCCGCTTAGGTAAATTACCTGCCAATTACCCTGTCAGATTCTTACTCCTTTCCAACACACCCCAACCACCGTTTCCTTTTGGGCACCCTGAATGGCTGAAACACAGAGCCTGTTCAACCTTTGCACAATCATCACCCTGGCCCTTACGTACTTGGCTCCCTCTATTTTTTTTTTTCCTTCTTTCACTTCGGACTGAGCTTGCCTAGCCCTAGCGCCAGGATTTGCATTTTCTTCGCTTTTCTACTTCCTCCCCGTCATTCTCGATCATGCTCGTTACCTTCATACACCCATTCCATCACCACACCCAAACAGATACTACGAGTACGCTATAACCATGTTCCAGTCACGGCAGCTTGCTATCATAGGCGTCGCATGACATCGGGGCGCCTTGGGACGCATCATCAGACACAGCACCCTCCACCTTTGTTTTACTGGGCGGTGCGGTTATATTGTTGGGGGTCTTGCTCGTGTTGCTTCTGGCCCACGAGGGTCTGCCTGTGAGTCATTGAATTGCCCTCAGCCAACGAAAGTCTAGCTGTTTCCGGCCGCTTAGTGGCTGGCCCCTCCAAATTCTTCTGGGTCCCAACACGAAGGAAGTGCCACGGAACCTGCCAGAAAAAATCACAGCCAGCTCCTACACTTGCTTTTTTTCTTTTCTTGCCTTTCTGTTCTCTCGATAGCAGCTATTTTTCTGCGCCCAAATATCCCTTTTTGATGCATCATATTGTCGCTTTGTGGCGGTCCGCCCTTTGCCGAGGCCGCGTCGGTCGCGCGCTTTGCCGCGTGAGACCAAGGCAATTTCTGACGGGCGCAGGATCAGCGCGCACGCAATTACGACTTTGTGCGTGCGAACCACCGAGGTACCTGCAAATCTTATCAAAGTACCGCCTTAACAATTTCCTCGCCAGTGGAGCGCACCCACACCCTCATCCAGAAGCGCCCGACGAAAAATGTGCCACGGCAATGACTGTGCTTGTGCGTCCTGCGTCACATTGATCAGCGCCTGCGATGTACATGAATCAAGCTGGACAACTAGAGTTCTTGCCGACTTTTCATACATCGCTCTGACCCAGACCCAGAAGCAGCGAGTCAGACGACCATCGGATCCTGATGCTTGCCTGTATTGCCACCCAACCAACCACGAATCCACATGTCCGTATCACCAACCAGCAAGTGGTGCCCACTAACGCCGAGTAAGACGGATTAGTCAACCCTTGAAAACCCTGGATCTTGAAGATACCCTTATCTCCACCATGGGAAATGATACGCCCGAAGCGTTGTCCTGCTACGCTTTAAATCCTTGGCGCTTATCATCCATCGTCCTATAATAGTAAGCACGTAGAGTGGTGATGCGCTCAGCGATTATCCCAGGGCTATAGGTGAATATTGGTATTGTTGATCCGTTGCCCTTGCTACTGTCTTGGCGATAGCCTGGACAAGGTATTTGCAATGCCAGTAATCGCTGCTCTCATGCATCAGCGTTCAGGGAACATGTCTTGATCCCATCTCGCAGCCGTAGCCAGCTATCCTCATTGAAAACCGGCGGTTGTACTCCCACCCCTTTAGGTGGTATAAGAGGCAAAGCAGGCAGTGCTGTTGATCCCTAGCCAGCAAAGCATACAAGTTCATGTTAAGCCGCTTAAAATCACGATAGGCCACGGGCTGAATCAGTCCCTGTAAGTGAGTATTGTTATGTTTTTTTATTTTGTTTTCCTTGATCCCAGCTCATGAATGGGAGTCCTTTTCGCTCCACGCCCCAGGTGTATTTCTCCCTCGCCATCCAAGACACTTTAAGATATGTTCAAAAGAATCCAGTCAAAAACCCAACACCGCTTCTCACATTGCATCTCCCGTGCGCCAAACCGTGTTGAAATAATTTACAAACAGCCCTAGTATCAACGTCCCCATGTTTTCAAGGGGGTGGTGTGAACAACACTCAAGTCATGTAGTACTTGGGTCCCTCGCCTCCCTGGGGAACCTGCCAGTTGATATCCTGATGAGGCGCCTTGATATCGCATGTCTTACAGTGAATACAGCTGGAACAGATTAGTCTAGACTCGGAGAATTAAGATTATGGGTCGGGTTGGGGAAGGGGGGACTCACTTCTGGGAGTTGATCTGGAACCGCACGCCATGGGGCTTGGATTCGTCCTCCACGTATTCGTAGACACCGGCCGGGCAGAACCTGTTCTCTAGGCCCTTGAATGGCGGGTACGTCTTGTCGGTGTGCTCGTCCCAGTCCTTGACCTGGAGATGGACGGGCTGGTCCTCCTCGTGGTTCGTGCCGGTTCGGGACACGCTCGTCAGGATGTCGAAGCTGATCTTGCCGTCGGGCTTCTCGTACTCGATCTTGGGGAATTTATCTGCTGGCTTGGTCGAGGCGTAGTCGGGGGTCTTGTGCTTGAGCGTCCAGGGCGTTCTGCCCTTGAGGACGTAGGCCTCCAGTCCTGAGTAAACAAGACCGCCGTACAAACCAAGAGGGTTGTGGAAGGAGGGGCGCATATTCCTGACCTCCTTGAGTTCCTTCCAGATGGGCGATTTCCGTAGAGACTCCTCGTATTCATAGAGGAAGACGGTGCCTTCGTCGCTCGTGCTTAAAGCATTCCAAGCCGCCTCGGCGGCCAGCATGCCCGATTTCATGGCGTTGTGTGTTCCCTTCACCTTGGGCACATTGATGAAACCAGCGGAATCACCGATGAGAGCTCCACCAGGAAAGGCGACCTTGGGAATTGACTGGAAACCTCCTTCTACGAGGGCACGAGCACCGTAAGAGATGCACTTACCACCCTCGAGGACATTCTTGAACAGGGGGTGATGCTTGAGCTTCTGGAACTCCTGGTATGGGGACAACCACGGGTTCTCGTAATCCAGTGATACCACCAGCCCCAAGCTGACGAGATTGTCGCCGAAGTGGTACATGAAAGAACCGCCATACACATGCTTGGACAATGGGTATCCCATTGTATGCACAATCAGACCTTTTTCAAACTTGGCGGGGTCGACCTCCCATACCTCCTTGAGCCCCAGCGCGTACGTCTGGTGCTGGCTGTCCTTGCGCAGATCGAACTTGTTGATCACTTGCTTGGTGAGACTGCCATGGCAACCCTCTCCGAACATTGTGACCCGGGCATGGAACTCCATACCCCGCTCGAATGTGTCCTTGGGTTGGCCGTCCCGGCCCATACCAAGGTCGTTTGTCGCGACTCCCTTAACCGAGCCATCGGCATTGTACAGCACCTCGGCAGCGGCAAAGCCGGGGTACACCTCAACGCCGACCTCTTCCGCACGCTCGCCCAGCCACTTTACAAATTGGTTTAGACTGACAATGTAGTTGCCATGATTGCTCATCTGCGGGGGTGCAGGAACCGGGATCGAGGAGGTTTTTGTCAGGAAGCGCATGCGATCGGTCCCGGCGGGTGTCGCATGCTCAAACCGGTCGGGATTCGACTCGTCGAGCCAGTCGGGGATCAGCTCGTTGATGGAGGAGGGCTGGATCACAGCGCCGGATAAAATGTGTGCGCCGATGTCTCCGGCTTTTTCTAATACCAGGACTCGGAAGTCTTCGTTGCCGGCCTCGTTGGCGAGCTGCTTGAGCCGGATGGCGGCACTCAGACCTGCGGGGCCGCCTCCCACGATGCACACATCGACCTCGTCGGACTCGCGCTCGATGGAGGCGGGGTCAAAGGCATCTTCCTCGTCGGGCATCAATCTTCTCGCATTGGTGCTGAAGAGGCGGGCATTTTGGGCTCGTCTCATGGGTAAGTACGTCAGTGATCTCAGTGTGGAAGGCCTCGCCCGCGAGGGTGCACGGCATGTGGCTGCAACAACCGAGGTGCGCTTCAAGCTGCACCTGGCCAAGGTCTGGCCGCTGCGCTGGACGCATCGCGCCCAGGGAACAGAGGCCGACATTGTGAGAAGGGCAATTTTCTGCGCCCAGTTCAAAGGAAGCAATTGGCGATTGGGAGACTGCAAGCAATGGCACAGACAATTGTGAAGCTTCTGTGCAAAGTCGAGGGGTCTGGCGGCTTGGAATTGTAGATTGACAATTAGCTGGAAAGCAATTGGCTGTGGGGGTGGCAAGCTCCAGAAAAAAGTCACAAGCTTGGATCACTGACGTCCCTATAACGTTTTCGGGTTTTGATAACCGGTTCAAGCCGCCGAATGGCTAAGAAACAGCCTGGACTCCCGAGTGACCTTGGCCCAGCTCCTTAAGAGCCGGCCATTGCCTCAAGACTGCTTTCGGCCCAGCAGGTAGCCCGCATGTACCGATTCTATCCTAAGCCGAAACCGGAGATGGTCGAAAAAAAAATGGCTGTGGGAAGCTTCGGCGGAGAAGCACTTGTGCCGACGCAATGTCACATGCCTCCAGTGTTACTTCGGGAATACCCTCCGAATCTGCTTCGCCCTCGTCGAAACGGCTATATGATGAGCCATGGCTATTTGTTTCGCTCGGTTATTATTTCTACCGCCGCATATCTGTTTGTCCAGGCCGCTGAAGTGCGTTTTCTAGCTCGTAGATCTTGGTGGGTTTTGCACTCGGGCGTCCAAGCTGGTATGCCGACCTGCATTGTTAGAGTGGTCAGCAACTGAGGGAACACTGAGTCCAATAAGAAGGCGTTTATAAATGCGAACTTCGAAGACAAACTATCCAATGGGCCCAGAACAATATTGTAGAATACACAATGTTTCAATTGCAAAGAGGTCGAAGAGCCGCGGCATGCCTGACGTCATTGCCTGTCCAAATCCTCATGCCGGGCGTATAGGGTAGGGATTAGCACTTTAGCTGACAGCCTTTGGCTCTTCGATGATGGGGAGGGAACTGCACAAACTGCTCTATGAATTAGTATCCCAAGCCAGAATATCGAAGCTTGGTCATTGTAAGTTTATGGTTATAGTTTCTGAGTCATGATCTATTTCACTTGTTGTGTATTTTGCCGTTAGATGTAACATCACGATGCTACAACCAAGGTTCCCCGCACACTCATAGTAGGTGGAGAGAGGCATATCACTTGACTGACCATCTTCTTCCAACCAACGACACTTTCACTCACACCGGAGAGAGTCATTGATTCACTTCGAGGATACGTATTTAGCGGCCATGTCCCTCCCCAAGAGGAACAAGACACTACGCCCTTGTTATCTTGCCCAGTGATTCCAATGAGACATCAACATTTAAGATTCTACAAGTCCATCAACCCCATGGTATTTGGCCCTGGCTTCCTTTCGTCATACAACATTGAGTATTACCCGGTTGATGATCATCCGCACCCTCCTCCCTGCAAATCAGAGTCACTTGCCACCCTCGTACTTGAACCCCGCAAAGAATAATGCCGATGTAACATCTGCAAGGAACTCACCTTCCCTCGACGTGAGAAGGCAATTGTTCGTGGAAGTATAAAATGGCACGCAGAAAGTCGGGCGGGGGGATCTGGCTACTGAGCCTTCATCTCCCCCGTCTTTTGATTCAGACAACCCCCCTCACTCTCTGTCGCCATGTTGCTTTCTCTCCTCATCCTGGCACTTACAGCTACGGCCCAGGAATGCCCCAATTATGTGCAGTATGCTGCCGAGCGCCATGAGCCTTTCTCCCCCGGAATCTACGAGTTCCCCTTCCAGCGGCCCACCAAAGATTGCCGCACCTACTCGGTAGACAAGGTGGAAGAGATCATCGAGGGCAAGAATGCCACAATCTCGGACCCGGACCTGCAAAGACTCTTTGAGAACACATGGCCAAGCACTCTTGACACCACAGTACGGTGGACTGGGGTTTCCAGTGACAACCCGGATGAAGAGGTAAGTTATGACCAGAAGGGCCATCCCTTTAGTCCAACCGAGAGGGGAAACCTATTGCTCACATTCACGATGTAAAAGCTGGCATTCATCATCACTGGAGACATCAATGCCATGTGGATGCGCGACAGCGCCAACCAGCTCCAGTCCTACAAGTCCATCGTGAGCGAGTACCGCATCGCCAGCCTGTACCGCGGGGCCATCAACCTCCAGGCCCGGTACATGACGCAGTACCCCTACTGCAATGCCTTCCAGCCGCCCCCAGAGTCCGGCATGTCCCCGCAGTACGAGCACGACGACGACGTCGTCACGCCCGCGGTGGACCACAATGTCGTCTTCGAGTGCAAGTACGAGATAGACTCGATGGCCGCCTTCTTCCAGCTCTCCTGGGACTACTACGAGGTCACAAAGGACGCCGAGTTCTTCGGCAAGTTTGGCTGGGTCGAGGCCGTTAAAGTCATCCTGAGTACGGCGAAGGACCTGATGCGGGGCACGTACGCAGACGACGGGAGCGTCATCAGGCCGCCGTACACCTGGCTCCGCACGGCGACGAGCGCCTCGGAGACGGTGTTCAACAAGGGCACCGGCGCGCCGGTCAGGGGCAACATCGGTCTCGTCCGTAGCTTCTTCCGCCCCTCGGATGACTCCTGCATCTACCAGTATTTCATCCCCGGGAATATCATGTTCTCGCGGTATGTCAAGGCTACTAGCGAGATCATGAAGACGATTGATGAGGCGCTCGCCAAGGAGATGGAGGATATCGCGGAGGGAATCGCCAAGGGCATTGAGGAGCATGCCATTGTTAACCACCCTGAGTTTGGCGAGGTTTATGCCTTCGAAATTGATGGCTTTGGCTCGTTCAATCTCATGGTAAGTACGAAGAGCATCCTACAACATGGTTCTGTTACTAAGTTTGATAATACCTAGGACGATGCGAATATTCCATCGCTCTTGAGCATCCCCCACCTCGGGTTTAAAGAAAGCACCGACTCAATCTATCAGAACACCCGCAACTTCGTTTTGAGCAAGTCAAACCCTTACTTTGCTTATGGACCAGTCATCAATGCCACCGGTGGACCTCACGTTGGACCTGGGAACGGCTGGCCAATGGCGGTCGTTATGCAGCTGCTCACCTCCGACGACGATGAAGAGATCACCCACGGGCTCAAAGAGCTTCTGGGCTCTACGAGCAATCTAGGGTTGATGCATGAGACTGTCAACAGTCACGACGACTCGCAGTGGACACGTCCGTGGTATGTTATTAATCGGTTCCCCTAACATTTTGAAATTCTACTTAACGATACTCCTAGGTTTGCGTGGGCCAACGGCCTGTTTGGCCAGATGATCCTCGATCTTGAGAAGAGGAAGCCGCATCTACTTGAACAGAGCTTCCAGAGCTAGACTCATATTGATCCCATGTAGTATCTGCCTCCCCATTATGAAATAGAGCGAGCACGCGTGTGTGCCCGCAGTCAAATCTACCATTATCTCCCGTCCGAAATCAACTGAGATCAAACCCGGCCCCAGATGTGATGGCGTACAGGAGCTTCTCCCGCATCTTTGCCTCGGTTTTGTACTGTGGGAGTTTCAGCAAGTTGACACATGTGCTTGTGCTGGGCAGCCGCTTTTCATCTCTACCGCCGTCCCTGATACTGAATTTGGGCCTCAGCTGTGAGAAGCCTAGCAGAGGCGCCCGTGGCGTTGAGCTCACGTATTTCAGCACATCTCGTCGTTGAGCATCTGTAAAACCCTTCATGACCTTCCAGAACAGCTCGATTGTGGGGTGCTCTTGTTTATCATCGCCAATTTCGTACAGGCCGCTATAGACAGTGTTGCGCCGTAAGTCCTCGATATCTATTTCTGATGAATCGCCGCCCACGAGGCGCTGTAGTTCAGACTGGTTGAACATCGATAGCCATGAAGGGCGGATAATAGTGCGGAGCCCGCGAAGAAAAGCGGCAGTCTGTTGTGCTGGTTGGACAACAAGACGATGCCGAGCGACATACGAGATGTACAAGAGGCGGTTGTCATTTGTGACTTGAGTCTTATCACCATTTGGCACCAAGTTTCTGGTCACTGTCTTGAGTGGTTCGCCGGGCAAAGAAACCTGATCCGTGATCGTGAAATCAAAGCCTAGCTCCGATACATCGCCTGACTGGTTTTTCAGCTGGAGAAGACCATTATACAAAGACTCATCCATATCCCGAAGGTCGTTGATGCTCCCCTTGTACGTGTTTCCCTCATTTGAGCCTGCAGATGGCCATTGAAGAAGAAAGAAGCCGGCAAAGGCCAAATCGACGAGGATGCCCTCATACAGACACTTTCCGATAATCCTGCCTAGAAACTCGTACCGCCGAAGAAGCTTTGCGATAGCATCCCGCATTTCTGGGTCGTACTCCCCGAGACCGGCCTGGCGTTGCATTTCGCGGACATTGTCCACGGCGGTTGGGTTCGGGTAGAGAAGTTCTCTGTTATTAGAAGTAAACATCCCTAGTTCGCCTTCTGTATTACTGAAAGCCTCCGTTGTCACACTGATGAGGAACTCCTTTGTGACACCGCCACCGTCGATTCCAGCCTCAGGTGCTCCAAATTGATCCACAAATGTGATGCTTATAGGGTCTTTTAAGCCTTCACCAAGCTTGTAGAATTCCTCATAGGCATCTTCAAATAGCTGTCCACGTCGGATGTTTGCTTGGTGTCGGGCGAAAGGGGCGTTGGCAAATCCGAATTGCGTCGCCAAGTTCGCCCCATCTCTCCGAATGCGATCTAGATTAATAAACTGGCGAAAGAGGTTGACTCTTGTCTCAAAGGGAACAACAAAAGGCATGTGCTTCAAGACTTCGAGTTTAGGACCAATAATTGCAAGTCGACGTTCTCTCTGGAGCCGTTTTTGTTTGATGCGGAGTCTCTCCAGTCTCGCATTATGCGAAACACGAGAGTTGGCAAACCTGCTCATGCCACGGAAATCAAAGGTAGGACCAAATTGAGCATCCAGTGCTGCCTCTTCACTGTCTTCGTCACTTTCTTCTTCGCCTTCTTGAGCTTGGCGCTCATCCTCTGCAATCACGGCCGTGACAAAATCTTCGCTATCTAATTTGTCCGTCATCAACCAATGATTGACAGGGAGGAAGTGTTGACGAGAATCTCTCTCATACAACATCTTCATGGTAGTAGTAACAATATCCTTGAGTCGGTTAACGTCCGATTTGGCCAATATGCCCGAGGATGGTGCCGCATCGGCTCCCTTCGATATGGATGTAGAGCCTTCCAAATATGACCCTAATCTTGAATTCGCGTAGTTCTCGAGTTCAGAGGCGGTGTTGAAGATTTGGGGTGAGTGGTAGTAGAGCGAAAATGCCGTTTTCTTTAGGAACGTCGTCAAACGTTCCAGGTCCTCTATCCTCAGACCACATGCTTGGATGCGGGAAGTGTCAGCGTTGGAAAACCTGTGTGGATGCATTGCCCTGATGAAGTCATCATCATCGCTGAGACGAAGTACGAAGATGTATATTTCCAGGAAAATCAAGATGATTCGCCACTCTTGCTCTTCCTCTGAACTATTCGTCGAGTGAGGATTTCCAATAGCATAGTTTCGAAGTAGGTGTATGGGTGATTGCGATTCCGTGATGACGTTGTTGAGCAAGGTACTCGATTTCACTTTGTTCCATAAGAATTTCACGGTCGGCGTATCCCCTTCTGGCGTTGGGACGGAGCCAAGGAAGAGTCGCATGCGGACATCATCGGCCTGGCCAGGGAAACATAGTAGAAGGGTTGAGATGTACGAGCCGAAGACACTTCCTTTTCGCAACTGAGCATTAGACGAGTCTACTAGAGTGTCTGTCAAGTTGCGCAAAAGGTTGGTAATAGCACCTTGGCTGACGAGAAGTAACAGAGTGTTCTTTACGTAGGGCTCTAGAGGTTGTGCTGGCGAATTGTTGGCTTCATCGTCTGTCGATTGGTCTGAAGAAACACGAAGATCCATACGGGAGTTGATCTCTGCCATCAAAACCGACAGCTGTGTATCCAGAGCCTCCAAACAAAGAAATTCATCTGTTGAGTTGATGGAGCTTTGAGAGATAGCAATATAGTGGGAGAGAAGCCACAAAAGCTCACTATTGCTCACCGATCTGAACGCTCCTAGATATCCATTGATGATCGTTGATGCTAAGCACTTCCTATCAAGATCAACAGAGAATGCTGCGATATTCGCCTCGAAGATGAGAATGCTTTGTCGAGTCAAGAATTCAAGATATATGGCACGATATGCCTTTTCTTTGAGGTCTAGGGAGATTAGTTTTTTTTTTTTTGGGGGGGTCTTATCTAGGAGTTGAGACTTGCTCACCTTGATTTGACTCTGCCCGCAGTGGGGCTGAGAAGGCATCTACAAGTATGGGAAGGACTGTGGACTCTCCGTCGGTGAGTTGACAGATGCTAGCCAATGCAGTATAATATGATTCGACAGATCCATGTACTGCGTCGGGGAGCTGTTGGAGGATCCGGTTCGATAAGGACAGAACTTCGAGTATTTCAGGCCAATTTCTGTAGTACTAATGTCAGCTGTCTGGCTATGAATTGATAGGGGTAGATTTGGACATACTTGTCTATTACTATCACCTTCAATGCGTCCACGAGAGCCCGCACAAATAAACTGACCCGTGAAGGGTGCACATCCGGTGGCACGATGTCCTCGAGCCTGGCCTTGCTACAGTTCCTTACGAATCGAACGAGCCGAGCAACATCATCCTTGCGACGATGAGAGAAGAAGGAAATCAGGAGGCTGAAAGCCACCGGCAGCGTGTTCGAGATATCTGAATTATTCTGATCCGCCCCGTATATGCTATCGAACGACCTCCGACGCAGTTCGCAAACCTGTCGCCGTTCCTGATGACCTTTCCAAACACGTTGGATAGTAGATGCTGCCTTCAAACGCTGTCTCTCGGCTTGTCGCTTCTCTCGGTCGGCTTGAGCATCGGAAACTGCCTTGGTGGCATTCGAAACGTTGGAAGGACTCCATGAGGTATTCGTGAATGGGTTTCCCGTCTGCCCGCTAAGGTTGACGTTCCGTGGGCGCCGTGAGTTGCCTGTGAAAGTGGAAAACATGATGGAAGCTCTCAACAATATCCTCAACTAGAGCGTTGCGGTAAGTGTTCTCCCGAGTAACATCTCTCTCCTCTCACCCGAGCAAGCGTGTTTTTCGATCCCAAGGCCGATGCTTTCCAGAAGATTCAGTCTCGCATTGCCTTGGTCAGCACGTCACGGATGCTGTTGCGCAGTTGGCCGCCTGGTGGTGGGGTTGCGGCGAATCTGGATGAGGTCAGGCTGGGGCCAGACTAGGCGAGCCGTGTGGGTCCTTGATAAGATAAGAGACGTGGTCGGCGCCACAAATCTTATGCCACAGAGGCTAATTATCAACATCCTCATGGAGGGAGGGATGATTGTTAGCGAGACCGAAATTACTACCCTAGATGCGACAGAGGACCCCTACTAGCCAGCCCTCTGCATCACAAAGGCATTGCATTCCATTCATTCTTGGCGAGGGACGTTCAATGCTGCAAAGAAAGACATGATATAAATAGTTAAGCACGAAGCCGGAATTATCAATGGATAAAGGGTGACACTTTGAGCATCGAACTTGGAACATAGTTCAGCATAATTGAGGGCATCTGCTGTCAATTGCATTGCTATATTTAATTCGTGGCAGGCATAATGCAGGATTGTAAGGGTTTACATGGTAGCCAGATACAGGATTGCTCCCTTGTTTCACGAACACGTTACCCAGGGCGCCGTGAAGACAGCCTCGTTGATCGCGGCATGCGCAGAGCATGAGACTAAAATCCAGCAGTCGCTGGACACTTAATGTTAGGGCTTTTGGAGGGGTAGTTGAATGCGACGCGCTATTACCATCACCGCCTTTCAATGGAGCGCGGCTGCAGAGGATTTGAGCAAGGTACCTGCTAAGGAGAAAAAAGGATCTGGCCGAAAACTGCTTGGCATATTAATGGGCAGGCGCACGTAACTTCCCTGGCGCAACAAAGGTACCAGCCTATCAGGTACCTGTCCAAGGCGGCCTCGCCTCCTGTCAGGTTGTACCTGCGACCAGAGATTTAGTAGCCGGATACCTGCTCGGCCAGTAGCAGGCAGGCAAGGCGCACACCGTGAGATAGAGTTAGAGGTGGCGATAGACAAAGCGACATGTGTAAGCAGCGTGAATGAGAAAGTGCGCAGGTGATATGGTCTTTCTAATTCTGGCGGACTGCGGTACCTTCTAGTCCTTGTACTTTTCTGCTAGTAGGGAACTCGCTGTCAAAGTCCCTAGCAAGTGCGGCCGTGCTGGAGCAGGTGGTGTGGGAGGTCGTTCCACCGCCCCCGATAAAAAAATTATGCCCATGAAGGAGAAATTTCTCTCTTCTCCTCTTCCACAACCACCAACTTTATAACCCAACAATCCAAAATCCCAGAAGTCGAGTCGGTTCAGAGGGACGGTCTTCGTACTAGTTCTCTCTGCTTGCTCACTTGTTCAATCACAGAAAATCAACAAAAAAACTTGAAAACCTTCAAAAAAATCCCCACCACCTTCTTCACCACCAACTTGTCTCGCTTTGGTCCTCCCCTGTCAAAGACACACCAAGCCCCTCACCACAATATTTCTACTCCGAGCCAGCTTTTCAGCGCTACTCGAAGTCTCTGTCCATTCTTCAAGGTGAGCATCTCTATCTATCGCCCGTGAATCCATTCTCGTGCCGCTGTAGCCCACCTGCAGGTACATTCGCGCGCTCGCCCCCCTCCTGTCTCAGACGGGGTGACCAGTAACGTCTTGGAGAACCAACTGACGATCCATCTCCCCCACTAGTCGTACTATATCGATATCTTACGATCTTCGAAATGGCCGCAAACCCGACCTCCGGCGCTGTTGATCAGCTTGCCAATGACCTCAACAACACCTCGCTCAACGGCAGCGACTCCAAGGCTCCTGCCATTGACACCAGCGTGAACCCTGGTGCTGAGGATCCCGCTGGCCCTACTCCCAGCTCGGCTGCTCCCCACCCCCAGAACTCCGCGTCTCTGTACGTTGGCGAGCTCGACCCCTCCGTCACTGAGGCTATGCTTTTCGAGCTCTTCTCCCAGATCGGTGCTGTCGCTTCTATCCGTGTCTGCCGCGACGCCGTCACCCGTCGCTCTCTCGGCTATGCCTACGTCAACTACAACTCTACCCCCGATGGTGAGAAGGCTCTTGAGGAGCTCAACTACACTCTGATCAAGGGTCGCCCTTGCCGTATCATGTGGTCTCAGCGTGACCCCGCCCTTCGCAAGACTGGCCAGGGCAACGTTTTCATCAAGAACTTGGATGTTGCTATTGATAACAAGGCTCTGCACGACACCTTTGCAGCCTTCGGAAACATCCTCAGCTGCAAGGTTGCTCAGGATGAGGCTGGCAACTCCAAGGGTTACGGTTTCGTTCACTACGAGACTGATGAGGCTGCACAGCAGGCTATCAAGCACGTTAACGGCATGCTTCTGAACGAGAAGAAGGTCTATGTTGGCCCTCACATTCCCAAGAAGGATCGCCAGAGCAAGTTTGAGGAGATGAAGGCCAACTTCACCAACGTGTACGTCAAGAACATCGCCCCCGAGGTTTCTGACGACGACTTCCGCGTGCTATTTGAGAAGTTTGGTGATGTTACATCTTCTTCTCTGGCTCGTGATCAGGAAGGAAAGAGCAGGGGTTTCGGTTTCGTGAACTTCACCACTCACGAAGCCGCTGCCAAGGCTGTCGATGACCTCAACAACAAGGACTTCCGAGGACAAGATCTTTATGTTGGACGTGCCCAGAAGAAGCATGAACGTGAGGAGGAGCTCCGCAAGTCGTACGAGGCTGCTCGCCTCGAGAAGGCCAACAAGTACCAGGGCGTCAACCTGTACATCAAGAACCTTGATGATGATGTGGATGATGAGAAGCTCCGCCAGATGTTCTCCGAGTTTGGCCCTATTACCTCCGCCAAGGTCATGCGTGATAGCGTCACTGAAGGAAGCGACGAGGAGAAGGATGGCAAGGACAAGGAGACCAAGGAAGAGGAGAAGGAAGAAGCCAAGGAGGAGACAAAGGAGGCTAAGGAATCCGAGGAGGACGAGGGTGCCGAGAAGAAGGGTGACAAGAAGGGCGACAAGAAGCTTGGTAAGAGCAAGGGCTTCGGTTTCGTCTGCTTCAGCAACCCAGATGACGCTACCAAGGCTGTTGCTGAAATGAACCAGCGCATGGTCAACGGCAAGCCTTTGTACGTCGCCCTCGCACAGCGCAAGGACGTTCGCAAGAGCCAGCTTGAGGCTAGTATCCAGGCTCGCAACCAGCTGCGCATGCAACAGGCCGCTGCTGCCGCTGGCATGCCCCAGCAGTACATGCAGCCACCCGTCTTCTACGCTCCTGGACAGCAGCCCGGCTTCATCCCTCAGCAGGGTGGCCGTGGCCTTCCCTTCCCCCAGCCCGGTATGGGTCTGCCTCAGCAGGGCGGTCGCCCTGGCCAGTTCCCCGGATACCCCCAACAGGGTGGCCGTGGCGGTGTTCCTCAGCAGATTCCTCCCAACATGTACGGTCTGCCCGGCCAGTTCCCTCCTCAGTACGGACAGCCTGGCACTCCTCAGTTCATGGCTGCCATGCAGCAAGTCCAGCAGCAGGCTGCTCTTGCTGGCGGCCGCGGAGGTGTTCCTCAGGGCGGTCGTGGCGGTATTCCTGGTGGCGTTCCTCCCAACGTTGCTGGTATCCAGGGCAACTTGCCCGGCTTCCCCCCTAACAACCGACAGGGTGGTGGCCCTGGCCGTGGTGCCAACGCTGGCCGAAACGGTGGCAATGCCCCGCCCCAGGCCGGCCGTGGTGGCGATGGGAACCCAAGTGCATTGCTTCAGGCTCAGCTTGCCGCTGCTCAGCCTGCTCAACAGAAGCAGATCCTTGGTGAACTGCTGTTCCCCAAGATCCAGGCCATCAACGGCGAATTGGCTGGAAAGATTACTGGTATGCTTCTCGAGATGGACAACAACGAGCTCATCAACCTGTAAGTGTTTAACCCATAGATTTTCCTTGATTGACCCTGAAGCTAATAATTTGTAGCATCGAGGATGATGCCGCTCTGAAGGCTAAGGTTGATGAGGCCCTGACTGTTTACGACGAGTACGTCAAGTCCCAGGGCCAACCTGCTGCTGAGCCTAAGAAGGAGGAGGAGGCCAAGGCCTAATTGTCGTGGCCTCGACCTAAAACAACCCTACATTATTTCCTTTGTCTTATTCCCTTTTTATGTTAAGAGCATTTATCACCCGTTACGACCTATGCATTTTCTACGCTTTGTCCTCGGGGCTATGAGCCAAATGATATCTCACGAATAAGGACCAACTCATTGGCGGCATATTTCGAGGCCATTTTATGTACAGGTAGAATTATTTGCATTTTCTTCGCAGGAAAGGAGGGAGAAAAGTTTTTAAAGGGTGCGGGCGTGATCTGATTTGATCACCATTTGCTTGGTTTGACTCGAGGAGTCATCCATCGACAAAAGTTCACCCGGAGGCGTTGAAGGTTTGAGGAATTTTTTTTGACCCTGCTTGTATGGCCGATACCCCCAAATCATGGCCAGTTATTTCCAGCAGGCACAAAAGTGGAGGAGAGAGTCTTCTATTCGGATAGGACTTTTATGATAGATGGAATGGTTCAAAACTTGTCTAACATGATGAATTACTTTGCTTGGTGACTAACATCGAATGCATTATGTTTACTTTGTGAAGTTGACACGTAGTTAACGATAGTCAGTTAGTATTGGGAAGGCCGCATTGAGAATGGAAGAAGATGCTGAAATATGATTGTTGGAACGCTCGACTACAACATAGTACTAGCCAAAGAACTCAGAAACCCCCGGAAGTATCCTTGCGCCGAATCCATTTATATACACACAACTCCGATGAGAATGAACAGACAATATGCCATGATGCACCCCGATACCACTTCTAATGCCCGGCAAACTCGATGCAGTATCATCTCTCCCAGCCACTATTGGGCGCCAGCTTCCTCTCGTTGGGCTGCCCACCGTCATATCCAATCGAATGCCTGCGGCCCGGCATGGTCCCGTAGAGAGTTTCCATGACCTTACTCTTCTGCTGTCTTCGTATTCCAGAAAGGTGATCGCTTGCCTCGGTGATGCCTTTCATCTGATCTTCGAGGGAGAGGATGGTCGAGTTGACGCCGCGGACGAGGGGGGAGAAGAGCTTCCCGCGGAGGGACTCGAGCGACGCCTGGAGGGTGAGGAGCTTCCCGTTGTGGTCGACGAGGACGGCCTTGTTGTGGACAGTCTTGCGGCGGACGTCTCCAAGTAGGAGGCGGTTCTGTTCGAACTTGCGGACCTGGGCGGCCTGAGGGCCGACCATGCGGGCCCAGAGACCTGAGAGGAGGTCGGTGTAGAGCTCTTCTTGGACAGAGGATTCGCGGACAACCGTGCGGGCAAGGTTCAGGAAGTGGCGGTCGACCGTCTCGAATAGAGCGAAGAGGGTGGCGGAATGTTGGAGCTCCGATTGGATGGAGTCCTCGAGCACGGCGAGGAATTCGCGGAAGAGGAATTGAACCATGCGCTGTTCGCGCTGGGGGTTGGATGGACCGAAGACCCACGAGGCTATCTGGCCAAGCGGCGTGAGGGCTCCCGTAGAATCCTCGAGGATGTTGGCCTGACAGAGAATGTTGTGGACATTGTCATAGGCAGAGGAGAGGGTGGAAGGGGTTGGGGAACTGTGGAAGCGATTGAGATGCATCCTAGCCCAGTCCATCACGTTGAGAATTCTATGGCAGGTGTGAGAAGAGCCGAAGCAGGTAGAAAATGAAGGGGAGGGCCAACAGTTCCTTGGAGGGCAGGGCAGGTGAAATAAAAGGGGTAACTTACGCATCGATGTCGCCATCAACTCTGGCAAAAAAGCGTGTCATCTCTTCTGCCAGAACCTTCATTGTGCTACTTAGCGTATCAAGGTCGGCCACGATGCTGGCAGCATCCTTCATGTCACTTAACCGTACACTTTCGCCAAGGTCCCACACGGCAATGCTAGTAGCCTGGAGGTCGTGGATTTGCGTTACAGCATACTCAGAGTAGTATATGAGGGGTTCAAACGATCGCGCGACGCCGGCAACCTTTACCAAGTCACCAGCAGGGCGGGGAGCAGCTGGTTGCACCAGAGATTTGAGAGCGGAGATGCTAAACATGAGGACGATGATGGAGAAAATTGTCGAGGTCCATGTAGCAGTAAGTGCGGTATACTTCTTTCGAATAAAGGAAATAGCTGATTCGATAGGTTCAGTGCGATGTTGTACTTCTGCTCGAACTGCGAAGCGAATATCTGTGTACCTAGTGTAAGCAAGTGTCCGTCGGGCAACCCTTACGTGGGCAGGGTAACAAGAAGATGGCGATTGCAGCAAACAAACACTCACAATTTTCCGATGGTGTTTCAAGAGGAGCGGACTTGGCGCGTGGAACGATTTGATTGACTTTCAAGGTAATATCTTCTGTCCTCTCAGGACTGACACTCCTCCCCTTCTCTGGGCTCATGCTGCCCCGCGGTAATTGGGTCCTAATTGCCTTCATCAATACCGGATCATCATCATCGCTAGGATCGTCCAACTCTTCATCGAGACCCGGCGATGTCTCCCGGAGGAACGGCAAGGGCGCAAATGTATTAACGGGCGGGGGTCTCCAGAAGCCGCTGCTGCGACTTCCGTTTCCGAGTCTCCGCCACGCCGGTGGTGAGTAGCCACCTACGGAACCGATCTCCGAGTTTGGGTGATGACTGCTCTCCCGGTCGTACTCCTCGTCTTCGCCGTCTGTTGCTGTCGCCGGCTCGCTGGGGGCCATCGAGTGGCGCGAGAACTGCGGGCTGAGAGGATGCTCGAAGTCCCTCAGAGAGACGTCGAGAGGATCGATGGTCTCGCTCATATTCCAAGGCTCTTTCTGGCGGTGGCGGTGGCGGTGAGGGTTGTGAGTGCAGCGCTGGGTAGTGGTTGCGCTGGCGACGGAGGCGGATGAGATCCGGTCTCGCCAAAATAAGTGACTGGTCTTGAAGGATGAGACTGCTGCCACCGCGAGTATCTGGTGGTTCAGGAAGCGCTTTATCCACGGCCGGGTCCCAAGTAGAGAGCGATGAGGAAAGCGGCTGGCGCAAGAACTGAGGGATAGAGAAGGCTAGTCGTGGAAGCTTGAAGGGTAAGCAAGTGATGAAGATGGCGAACAAGACGAGGAAAATGACAAAACTAGCGAGGTAGGTGCTGGGCGCAATAGTAATGCTGATGAGCGAGACGTTGTTGTTGACTGTCAAGAAGGAATTCATCGGGTCGACGGACCACCAGCCCCAAACCCCGAGTTTGCGAACGTCTTGTTGTGTGAAGGGTTCGTTTTGCAGCGCACTAAGAGAGAGTGGGAACTGCAGGGTGCTCAAGGGAATCGTCTTCTTCAACAGTGCGAGATTTGGCACTGAATGGGTGAGTTAGGTACTCGATAGGTTTGGAGAACGTCACTGAATTCGCACGGTTGTCTTGAACAGGAGACCGAAAGGGAAAGGTGGGAAGAAGGTGAAGCGGCTACTAGTATTTGGGCAAGACGACAGGCAATTGGACCGAACCAGTAGAGACTTGACAGCGAATCATTCTTCAGTTTTAAGGTGGTAGACAGATACTGGGGTGGCCGCTCAACACGGCCGAGTGGGTGGGAAGTAAAATATCGCGAGGTTGGGAACGGACAGCCAATGATATGGCGGCCACCGCAGGGATGCGCTGGGCTGGGCACGAGTGGGGGAGGGGGAGGACGAGGAGGGGAGCCAAGTCTCGGACCGCCTTCTTCGCTTCTTCTTCACCAGGGACGGATCACAGGAGATGGGATGGGACCAAGCCATAAGTCATTCGGAAAGAACCGAGCAGTGCAGACCTACATGGAGGAACTGGCGGCCTCGTGTTTCGGGGCCATGCATGCAGCTACCGCCTCTGATGCGATGCGATGTGGTGGTGTGGTATGTACTGCATCAAAAGTGCGGGAATGGAGACGGCAAGAGGCGATCACAGAGGAATGGATGCCCACCACTACCAACAGTCGTTTCGTTTCGTGCCGGGATGTATCATGTGAGTGGATGGTGTTTGTTTGTTGACACATCATGGATAGGCCAGCATGCACGAAGAACACCGACCAATAAATACGGCGCATCCCCGCTAGAAAAGCTGCCTACAGCTCAGTTTGGATGCATCATAACAGACGGCAGGCACGACTCGGAGTCATAGCACCGCGACTTGCCAGCTGAACCCCGCTCTCGCCCCTCCACGCCACCGCCCAGTCTGAAACCCACCGTCTTGGATGCTGGTGGCCATTGCGAGCTTGCTTGGGCTAAGATGTAGTTGAGAGAAGATATGTGCATGCGCTTCCCAGGGCCACAGTTTGGGTTATGTATTCTATTGAAAAGCTTATACATGGGCAAGTGTCTCTGCCATCTGCCCTCTCGCTGTTCCCTGCCCCCTCACGAGAGGGCGGGCACTCATTGGCTGTGACACCACACCGACTGAACGCTGGGTACCTAAGCAATAATACCTATTCTTAAACCACCCAAGGAAAAGCAAAAGAGTAGAAAATCAAACGCGGCCAATCCCCTCCATGTCTTCCCGTCACCATCCGCGTATGCCCGAGCGACTCCAGTCGCCCCCAAACGACGCCTATGGGGTCTCTCCATCTTCTTCCACCGCCCAGTCCTATTCAACCAACCTCGCTCTTGAAGTCCGCCTCCGAGCTTCCCCAATCCATTGTATATCATACCAATAACAACAAAATCAATCCAGATAAAAAGATATTAACCGAGGGGATGCGTGGGCATGAGTTGAGCTATAGCAGTTGTTGAGAGGAGGAAGTTGTTCCGTGCATGTATTGAAACGCGCAACAGAAAGCACAGGTGTACATCTTGCTCGGGCCCATCAATCAATCTTAGCATTTGCCAGACTCCGAGCTGCTGGGTTGCTCAGGTTATTCACCTGCCGCACGGCCTTGGTCTTGTACTTGCTCTGCTTCCGTAATCGCTTTCTCGCCACCATGACTGGCACGGAGCTCTTGGTGACTAGATAGTTGGAGAATGACCCTAGGATAACACTGCAGCATGTGGTTAGCACATTTATGTAAACGAACCGTCTCGATGAGTGACTTCTTACCCTTTCAGTGCACTGCGTCCCCTACTTCCTATCACAACGAGAGTGGGTTCCACCAGATCAATCACCTCGGTGATGAGGTGCTTGGGGTTCTTGCAGTGGAGTACCTCCACCACCACTCGCACTTGCAGCTGTGTCTTTCTTAGCAGACGAAGTAGCCTGTCCGTGATATCCTGGACCGCCCGGTTGCGTTCCTCCTCTGCCCTGTTCCACTCACCCCGTCCTGAAGGAGCAGGTGAAGCTCCCGGAGTGCCGGTAGATTCTCCCCGTCTGCTGCTTAGGACTGACTGCCGCTTAAGCTCCGAGACCTGAGTTCCAATTGCTGACACTTTGGTGTTGGCTAGTGTGTTGATGGCGGCAGCCTGTTCCTTCATCGCCTTGGGTTCATCCGGAATTAGTGCGCCCTCTCCAGCGTAGATGCCCGTTTCCTCATCAACACAGTAGATGGCAATTAAAGTATCACCGTCGCGAAGAACTGTCCCAATGGCCCATTCTAAAGCATGAGCTGATTCGTCACTGAGGTCTGTAGCAACCAGGTATTTCCTGAGTCTGTGGTGTTCTTCCTCTGCTAATTGTGCAATTTTCTGGTATTCTCCCCGGTAAATGATCCGAATCGCACGGTGGGCAGTGTTTTGGATATTTGTCATGGTAAAAGAAAGATTTTGGGCCGTTTTGATGTCGTCGTAGTCAGCCTCCTCATCCGAGTCTATGACGGATGGGGTAGCTGAGTTTGGATGACGATCGTAGCTGGTGTTGGGGTGTACTGCGTTCTTCGACTTGACCGTTGTCCCAGATGTGTTGGTTATTTTAATCTCAGGTTCCGGAATCAGTGACCTGTATTGATAAGGCTGCTGCGATGCAATGTCCTTCCGCTCCTCTTCCGCCGCTGCAAGGAGACTCAGCGTCGGGCGTTCTCCCTTGGCGCCATCGCCATCGCCCTCGCCCTTAGCATCCGGGTTCAGGGTTCTCGGAGTCTTCTTGCGTCCGCGGTCCTCATCGTCGGTTGAGTAGGCATCCTCTTCGTCACTGGAGCCCAGGTGCTCACCGTCTGGACCGAGGTAGTCCTTCACCAGTCTACCCTCACCTACTTCATCATTGCGCTTCCGCATTGGCAGCTGAGCTAGTGTTCCGCTAGAGTTCAGAAGATGCACATCAGACAGCCTACGGTAGGCACTGTTGATATCCACAACACCCCCATCTGCCAGATATGCCTTTCCAGGAACAAGCTGGGGACCAAAGGTGGCCGGGGACCTAGATCGGCTCCCTAGACGATTGTGGGGTGACTTGGACTGGTTTCCCAGGCGCGAGGGAAGTCCGCCGAGAGAATTGTTTCGCCCACGCTCATTAGGAAATTGTAGACCGCTCAGATCAGCACCTTTCAGAGCCTCGCCAAGACTGGAGGGGATGGCTTTTTTGGAACTGCTGCTAGATGATTTCTTCTTCTTCTGCGAAGCCCTTAGCGGAAGCTGGTTGCCCCCAAGGTTATTGTAGATCCCAGAGAATTGGTAGTCTGCTGTGATATCAGCGCGGTTGGTTGCCCGAGGCCCGAAGTCTGCCGGCTTGTACCCTGCATCGGACATGCTTCGGTGATGCGACGACTGACTAGCGCTTCGCATCTTGAAGGCTGACCCGGTTGGGGATGAGGGTGTGCTGGTGGGCAGCTTGGAGCTCTCTGCAGACGTCTTCTTGACGATGGAAGGTAATGGCGTGTCGAGGTCCAGCATGCTTCGAACTGGGGGCTGCATTGTAGGGCTTGTCTTGATCTCGCCGGGCCCTTCCTCCTCAATGTCGAGCATGCTCCGCACAGGCGACCGACCGGTTGCGTATGGGCTAGCTGTTCTGCGCTCCTGCTCTGGCGGAGGCGCCTCCTTCGGCTTGTTCTCGAGCAGAGCCAGAACCTCCTGTCTCTCCATATCGAGCATGGCATCAATGCTCATCGGGCGGTCACCCATAGGGGTAGGTGCCGCCGACCTGGCGGAGCCCCGAGAGGAGCTTCTCTGGTATGGGTACATGATGGCGTTGTTCCCCAAGACTTGTCACCTGAACTATATCCTCGTTGTTTTCCCTTCCTCTCCTGGGATTCTGTTTCTTCCCTGCCGGCGGAAGACAGCCACCCAAAGAGGATCCCGGGCGGAAGACGGCAAGTCTTACGTGCCGCAGCAGTAGTGGATATGATATCTCGTTGCGCGAGGCCAGAGGAGCGGCTGGTTCTGAAGCTACAGCCAATGCTCAGATCATGGCCTCGGCGCGCGACCAGGTATTTGTATTTTAGGCTCCCTGCAATTGGGCGGTTGGCGGGAGAGATGCTTCGGAAAACTGTTCAAGGGTGGCTCGAGCTTGAGGACAAAGCGGGGGAAGGTCGGTATTGATGAAGAGAGAATCGCTGCTTGGCCAAGTGGGGTGGCGACCGAGTTTTGGGCTGTCCTAGATGCGACCTTTTGGAGGCTATCGGCGGTAAAGTCGTGTGGAAAGATGGGGCAGGAGCTGCCAAGTGCTGTCGGGGCAGGTGGTGATATAGGGTGCTGATGGTGATGCTCGTTGTGGAGGCAAGCCTGGCGCTGGAGGATGCGTGGTGGATAGAGGGTTGCACAGTGGAGTGAACACTGAGGCGCAGACCTGGGGACTACTGGCGGGTCCGCCCCGAGTTAAGGTTCTAGGTCCTTCAGCTAGCGGGGCTGGCTGCGACTCCCCCAAACTAGATACTTGTCGGCGTATCAGGCTGTCAAGAATGCAGATGTATCTCCCGCCTTCTCACATGTGGAGGGGTCGGCTGCCAGCACTGATTCGCAACTAAAAGTCGACCTCAACCCAATCATTCCGAGCTAAATTGAAGCCTGTAAGGCGGGGACATCTTCAGGATGGGGATAGACACATGTATACGTAATCAGCCTAACGGAAGTGATGAGGATACCTTCGGAACAAGTAGTGCTCTAGTTTATTGTCAGTGCCGAGGGAAGAACCATTTCATACTTGCCGGGCGGACTCAAGCCTATTCGAACTCAATCTCCCGCATTGACGGGCTAGTGCGCATTCCATCCATCAGCATTTTGAGTTTTTGCGTAGATAAGTGGATGTAAGGGAAAATGGAAAGGAAATACCACTCTTTTTGTGTTCACTGGGTAGTACCTAGGTAGCATGTCACAGGGGCCTCGCATGCAGGTCTTAGATGCAGCCCTGAATCGGCATCGCCAAAATCCAAGTCCGGTTATACATCTATATTGTTACAATTCAACACCTCAAGATATATATTACACAGCAAAGTGCCAGATTCCTCCGGATCATATCCAAGTTTTTACATCCTCTTCTTTCCCTTGAACGTGCTGCCGGCGTTCGCTCGTGATGCAGTTCCCTGCTTGTGAATTATCTTTCTCCTGTCCCAGACAGTTGATCGCCCCTCGATTACAGCGATGATTTCCTCAGCGACTCGCTGTGGGAATTGTTTCCGGCCACTGCCCTTGGAAGGCTTCTTCTCGACCACATCAAGGATCCATGAGAAGGCCTGTCGGCGACGCTGTCGCACAGCAAGTGGCATGGGAACTTCCAGAGCACGACCTCCACCTGCAGCTCCCGCAATATTCCTGACTTTAATTAAGGGCGCAACCGAGTCGATGGCAATGGTAATATAAAGAACGGGGTTGAGCGGGAGGTGAGAGGCTGGCGGGGTGCCTGGAAGAAGAGGGAATTTCGGGCTGTAAATCGGCTCGGGCGCCATCCGGAGAAAGTTCATGATAATGGACATATTCTAATTCCAATTGATCGTGTTAGATCACCCGTAAATAGTACCAGGGAAAGACAGGCATATGCATGTCGTCAACTTACCCTCTGGGCCGCGGCAAGCTTCCCGTCCTTCATAAGTAGGCGAGTCAATTGGTCTAGGACAGGATGGTAACGCTTCTTCACGTTGAAGTCCTCGGGGTAGGGCTGTGTGGGTAAGGGAAACTTGAATCCAGGTGTGAGATTGCCAGCTTCCGCGACCTTGCTATCAGCCTGGGCAACAAGAGCCTCGGCCTCAGCAGGAGGCCGAATAACGCCTTCCTCGTATAAAGAGTCCTCCTGCGCTTGGGTCAGGCCACCCTCCGCCCCGCTGGCAGCCACACGCCCGCCATAGAAAAGATTATGAAGGTCTTGGTCGCTTAATCGATCCTCGGGCCCGGATTCGGAGCCAGCGGCGGCATCTGTGGCTGGGTTTGTCGATTGAGAAGAGACGGGAGTCTTGGATTCTGGTTGGAGAAAATCGGAGATGTTCGTTGATCGTGGAGGTTGCCCGTCATTAGATTCGTTGGAGTACCATTGTTTTCGAGAAATTGCGCAAAAGGACTCGGGTTGGGAAGCAATTGGCCTAGACCTAATTGCAAGAGCCCTGCAGGCGCCCCAAACCTTGGATCTTGCAGCCATATCGATCCTCCCCGGCGTATATAACTTCCTAGAGGCTCTGAAATTATTCGTCACGTTGATCCACGATGAAATTTCCAGCTTGGCACCCGCTGGTCGGTGATCGGATTAATATTTGATCCACCGCACCTCAAGCTCCAACCGTTGAACAAGCTGCTTATTAAGCATCTCCTCCTCACAACTTCATCGTGACAATGAACACTTCTTGTCGTACGCATTGACAAGTCATCAGCGAGAGTTTTGCGTAATCTAGTGTTCAGTGATTAATAATTCAGCTGGGGACTGCCTGTTACAATAGACGTTTGAGCGTTTTGAGTAACCAACTCGGATCGGCCAGCTCCGAAATCTGCTGCATATTGTTGGCATACAAAAACATTCGATAACAGGCACCACTCTGGAACACTAGTCTTGATGACTTGGCTGATTCAAGACTGATCTAAGATGCAGCATCTCAATGCAAAACGGGGATCAGAAAAGGAAAGAAACGAAAGTTACCAATCTGATCCTGGTCGCATATGGCAAGGAAACCTTTCCTCTCACGGCATGGGGTGGTGACCACGCCACAATCTAGCAGGCTCTGTCAGTAGTAGCGCCTGTAACACAAGTGATGCTGCAGTAATTAGCTGAGCCAGCTTGATAGTCACTCCTGCTGCTTACATTAGAGCTCACACCGACTACCTCTCGAAGGCAGCTAGAGCTTCGTTTAGCGGCCAACCTTCCATGTAGCGTTTTGACCCAGCTTGGAGCCCCATTGAAAATGGACACCTCAACCTGACTTCTGAGCTTTGCCTCATGTTCGTCACTGGAGACCCCCGCCAGATAAGAAACAATCCATGTATTCCGCGTGTAGCCATATGGGACCCTAAAGGTTCCCGTCGTTTTCCGTACAATTTACGCTAAATGCTCCCCTGTTGCTCCGTCCGGTAAAATTTCCTGATATCCAAACAAGACTCTCCGTCAGTTGCATCCCGCCAAGTCCCCCATTGATGACCAGAAATTGAAGAGAAAGACAGAAGGAAATAAATGAAATGAAATGAGAAACGAGAAACCAGCATCTCTAAAGTGTCTTCAATCTCCGACGCCTTCCATGCCAACTCCCCATATGCAAACAATGTGAGCCGGCTCTTGGGAACAATCTGCTTTTGATTTTTCGCCCGTGTGTGCTCCCGTGTCGACTCCCTTTCGCCTCGATAGTGTCATTATACTTCTCCTATTCCACTTTCTCGGGATGAACCGCCGACGAAAGATGAACCAAAAGAAACCGATGCCAAACACAAGGAAATCATATTAGTATCCCCTGGATAAGTAAATCCCCCAAGAATTGCCCTGGGCCGATAATTCAAGGCTTTGAGAACTCCGTCAAGCAAAGTATAAGTCGAACCAACATGACCGCATGTCTGCCATCGGGGCAAGACATGTGAAAAAGAAAACGTGGGCCCCAGGTCTCTGTACCAAGTTAGATCTGGTGACCGGACCACTACCAGACCACTCGCGAGAGATCAGTGTTGGCAGTGTATGAGTTTGCGTGTGCGTGTAAATCCAGAAGTATAACGGGAGAAGGTCTTCAAACGTGGATATGTGTAAGTCCCGATACCCGGAGCAAGGAAAGTGGCGAGCGGGCATGCTTAGATCCCCATGAGCCAGTTGTATGCCACTTCAGCGACATCTTCCTTGGCATTATTGAGATATCTACCATCATACCAATACCTGGCAGAATGGCAGTGTCCATCAATGACGACTTTGCTAGACCATGCAGTTCGTCCGCCTAGGTGAATCACGTTAGTACGCGGCACCCAGGGTCGTATAACACAATGAACTGTTGTCTCAGAGGGGGCTGGGTGTGTCTTACCACGGCGGTCTGAGAACATCTGGAAGACTGGCTGGGGGATTTGTGCCTCACGGCAACATTCTGTACGTCATGGCATGTCAGTAAAAGATAGCATGGGGGGAGGGGAAACAGAGTAGGAATCTGAATATTGAGACGACCCAGAGAGGAATGCTATACCTTCGAGGCGATCCTGCCATGACATACCGCCAGACATGGAGCTCGATGATGTGGACATGATAGCAGTGGTCATGTCTAAGTGGATCGATGAGATAGTGACCGTGTAATAATTCAAGATGGGTAGGTGTAAGCCGGAGCAGATATCTCAAGATGCAATTGTAAGAAGATGTTAAGAGACCAAAGGGCTAATCAAGGATTCATGCAACGTGGGGGAGTAGAGGATGACCGGGGGAGATCAAGAGGAAGAGCAGGGCAGCAGGTGGGCTCTGGGGTCCTTTTAAGTGTCGAAACCCAACAGCCACTTCAATGGCACAGCACTGGCCTTGTCCAACTGGGAAGTTCCAGACCAAAAGTTTCAAGAGGCACAGCAAGAGAAGAAAGCCCGGCAGATGAGGACGAGGAAGAGAGAGGCGCGAGAAAGAAGCGGAGTGAGAGTGTAAGTGTAGAAAGAGTGCTTGGCGCCGGTCCGGTGCTTTACCTCAGACTGGGTGGAAGTGATGTGGCAGAAAGTGGATTAGCTGCGTCTCTGCCGATGCCCAGTGAAGCCAAAAGGTGTATATGTACTGCCTGTTCCGTTGGATGTATGTAGCTTCCCGATGCGAGGAACGACAATGGCATGACTGCCGGGTTTCTGTCCTGGTGGTTTCTCTTGATCCTGTGTCCCCGTTACAATGAACAGCACAGCATACGGCAAATTGCATGGGAGGGATATGAAGAAAGGAAGGGCAAGGGGGGCGGGGATAATGGGAAGCCGGGTTGCAAAATGTATTTATTTTATTATAATGAATACATGATCAGGTGGAGGGAAAGGGGCGTGTAATGAGCGAAAATGAAGAATCCTGGGCCATCCCAATTTTTCCCACTCCTGGCTGTCAGGGTCTCATCCAAATAGTCGGTATAGGACCAGTAGCTCACGACTATATGAGAAAAGGTAAAGCGAAAAAGCAAAAATAGAAAACCAAGCCATAGACATTCCGTTTTCCAGACACACTACGTATCTGGCCGGAGCCGAGGGGGTAGAGCGAAGGGGGCATGGCTAATCTGATTACCAGCATGCGAAATCCAACCAGACCACGACAGGGCTGTCATTGCTTTTTTCCTCTTGGACATTGGGGGTGAAATGATGGGATGGGTTACGGTGGGAATTGGGACTAGACTTGTTTGTGTAAGTGCGATCGACCAGCCAGAGGCTACTCTTGCACCTTCAGCTCACCGGGCTGGGCAGCCAAGGTATGGAGCCGGGTTGGCGGCGTGTCATAGCGGTGGAAGAGGAAGGGGAAGGGAAGGGAAGGGGTCGAGGTGGTGACAGGGAGGGAGGGCAGGGGGGGAGGCCACGGGGAGCTCCCGATCGAGTACAGGCAAACAAGCATTGTACATCCAGACCAAGTGTGCAGCCAAGCGTAGGTATTTGCATCGAGGACAAAGCTGGTAATTTGGCGGCAGAGGCCTGGAGTCGACGTAGTAAGGCAAGACAGAGGAGCAAAAGGCGGAGAATAGCTGTCGCTGCTGGCCAGACTCCCGATTGGATTGCGTCCCAACGCGATTAGAAGAAGGTCCGTGTACGACTACTACTGTAGGCAACGTAGATCCGAGCCGCATGTTTGGGTCTTGGATTGGGAAATAGCACACGCTTCCAGGACACGGACCCTCTGCGGTGGCTCTGCGTGGGAAGCCTGGCAAGCCCCTCCTCCCTCCCTGCCGTTGGCAGTGGTAGTGAGCATGCCGGACCGTACACCCACATCAAATATCATTTGATCTCCTGTCCATGCCTTCCTTGGGCGCTACGTGATGTAATGGGGCATGGCATGTCCACTTGAGAGAAGGAGCGAAGCCGCGGGAGAATCTCGACGGAAGGAACGCGGCGAGTGGCAGCAGCTGCTTGCCTGTCACCACCTGCCATGTACGATGTACCGGCCTTCACACCCATTCACGACCCACGGGCTGAGGCGATCGTGGGCATCATCATCGTGGGGTTGAGAATTTTGAGCTCTCCTCATAGGCAAGCCAGCTGCAGGTCGTCTTAGCTGACGGGCCCTCGACCTAGCTGGGGGTCCGACGGGTCCACCGAGTGGGCTGGTTCCAGCACCAGGCATTAGCTGGCAAACACTTCGTGTCGGCCGCTAACACAGGGCCTGACGGGTCCATTATCATTTGATCCTATCGCGAATTTGTCAAAGAGCGCCCAGGCCCAGGCGCTAGCATCCATCTACAAGGTGCTGGTTACGTAGGGATATGGCCGGAGTTCACGGTGCTTGCTATGAACAAACGTCCTGTCTAGCCTATGCTTCTTCAACAACCACAGTTGACATTAGTTGGAACTGCTCAATGCGCAGTGCGTCAGACATCAAAATGCCTCGAAACCCGCCGGATGCGTACGGCAAATGAGACAAGTCAGATCAAGCCGAAAAGAAGAAAGTCAACCCAACAAGGGGGTTAGGAAGCCCACTTTGGAAGATCATAGGATACGTGATTGATGCGCAAAAGACCGTTCTTGCTACGCTGTCTCCTACTGGCCCATGGTAACACGCGAAACCCTCGGCAAGAGCGTTTGAGATGAGGAAAAAGAAACGGTTACACGGGCTAAGCAGACGCGCAGAGCAGCATCCAATGGCCTCGACGGGAAGAGAAAATTTCTCTCACAACAGACGAAAACAAGACCCTGCTCAATGCCGCGACACGCAGGAAGAAGCAAAACTACTGCCAACGGGGTGAAGACATGGCGAGAAAAAGCAACTTTGCTGGTAGCGCCTTGGCCACAACGCGCGCAATGAGCACACGTGATGCTTCATCCTACCAGCACACCCTGTCCAGGCCCGAGCTTGTTCTGTCACCCACGCACTGCGGGCGCGCGTATAGGACAATCAAAGTGCTTTGATTGTCATCTAGCTTTGTTCTGGCTTTGGTCGATCCAATTGAACTATTGATTTCCGACAGCCCCCCCCCCCAGGTCCCCACGGAGGTACCTGCTGCCAACTCGCAATACATTAAGTGGCACACTTGTACTTGCATATCGGGCATACCAGGATCAATTTCTTACATGCAACCATCCCAGGTGTATGTGCATACATTGCATATACATATCAACTATTACTATATGCATTCCCTAAATCGAAAAGAAACCATGCTTCGCCTCGGCTCTATCAACGCATAATTAATGCATCGATCTGAAGGCCGGTATATACTAGCCTTGGCCCCCAAAACCGTGATCCGTGTCGTTCCTAGCCGATCCATCCTTACATTGCGGAGAGCATAACACTACACTAATTACATGTTTACATGGATTTGATATTGGAAAGGCAGAGCGATGAGACAACGCAACTGCACACGAGAATCACAGTGGCGACAAGTTCGTCCATGCGATTCGGTCAGGCGATCGGTCCAAATTCATGTCGCAAATCCACCCCAAGTCTAAAGTCTGAGATAGGCCAGTTAATGTTCTAACTAGTTCGGTCTTGCTGGCTGTCGGCATATTTCCGCTTCTGTACATTAATGCACTGCGGTGTATACATACCATACGCCTATACTCACTTACCTACGCGTTAATACATACATACATGCCCAATCTCATCTGACAGATCATCGATGAGGATACCAAGCTATCGTGAACCACAGTAGTGGAACGCATAGATGTACTGCCTCGGTCATCAGACGTGTGATAATTCACGGTCCCGGCATATGGCTATGCTCTTAGCCGGCAGTGGTAGGAAATATCATCAACCAATACCGTCTTAGAGATCACCAGCGACAAAAGCGAAGCCAAGATTAATATCCTGACGTTGCTTGCCACCATCGGCCCCCCCTCAACCCCCCACGCTATCTCGCACTCTGCTTTGCTGTTACCTGGCTCTTGATCATCACGGCTTGCAAATCCGTCTCAAGCCAAGGTTTTGGGCCGCTCTCAACCGGCCACATATGGACGAGACTGCAATGGTATGACTGGTCGACCTCTTCAGCTGATGTCGATTACGCATCAAGGGAAGCTGGCGCTGTGCCATGACGATAGAAATCAATTATGTTATCTTGGACGGCCGCTGGAGCCCAAAGATGTACATTGTTGTTGATACTAGCTGGGAGGGGAAGTCCCAGCTGCAGCCATGCTCCAATAATCAGACGTGGTGAGGGCGCGCTAGGTGGTATAATGCAGGCCCTCCTATGGAAACTAGGGGAATAGATCATCGAGTCTTTCTTCTTTCGCCCACCCCTTCTCATCTTCTGCTTTTGGGGGGCGTGTTCAGGAAAAGCGGCCTCCAAAGCTTATCCTGTAGAGGTTATTTAAGAAACCCTCAGAATGATGGGGCAAGGCTATCCGTAATGGAAAGCCTAACTTACAAGTATATTGGCATTTGATATGCTTCCGAACCCTGTGTTAGGGAGGATTCGAAACGAACATCAAAGCAGATCGACGATGAGCTTGGTTGGTGTGTGGGATGTGGCTGCTTTTTCGTTGTGCTGTGTTGTACAAGATGATCTATCCGCTGGGCTTGACCGTTTTCCCCCAAGGGGTGGCCAACACGCAACGGCAGGGCTGCTTACAGCCTCGAGGCCTCATTCGCTCAACATACAGGCTGGCTGATGCTGTGTGTGTGGTACGGCCGCCGTTATTGTCCAGCATCCCGGTATTTTGCAGCCCTCCCCCCTCCATTGCAAGGGTAGCAAGGGCTGAGCCGTCTCTAGATCCCAACGGGGCGGGACGGTTGGTGTGACCAGTGTGCGAGGGAGGGCAGGACGAAGCAACCCATCATATTTATTAGCTGAACAGCTGAAAGGGATGGCTGCCTCTGGCATGAAGGCGTACGTGGGCGAGCAGCCAGCCAGTCGCTATTTTTCCTTTCTTTTTCTCTCATCACACGTGCAACCCAAAGGTAGCTCAGGTTGCCGGTTGTTCCCACTCCTTCCTCCCCTTTCGCTCCTGGCCCCATTCCGCCCCTCAGCCGAGGGCTCCTCTCATCATCCTCCCATGTTGCCTTTCTAGCCTCCATCCGGACCCCCGTCCCCTGCCTCCCTGCTTAGGTCCTGATGCAGCCGGTCAAGATAGCATTGCCGTGACATATGACTGATCATTTTACAAAATCCCGGGGGATGGATCATCAGCGGTTTGCGGCAAGGGAGACCATGATACCAGCAATAATCTACTCGACGCAGGCATGTACACATCCTACATGACGCCCACCCAGCTATCAAGTAGAGATGTACATCGCAGCTGAGCCGCCTTTGATGTCACCAGATATTGATTCGGAGCCCACATCCCATCTAACGAATCAAATATACAAGTACAATTAAATCAGCCATGTCTACCATAGTAAGGACGAAGGTATACGCAGTCGTGGCTGGCTTCGCGATTTCTGCTCGCAAAGCCGCCGTGGTGGTTCAAGAGAGCGGGAAGATGCAACAAGCCAGTAACAGATTGTATACAGGTTACGTCTAGGGTTCCCAGGGTCCAATGGGGTCTTCGTATCAAGTTCCCTAAGTTTCTTAACTGAGAGCTCTTGGCTCATTCGTCTGCTCTCTTTGGACACCGGTCAGCTCGATCCAGACTACGGAGAACCCGCGGGGCCGCAGGACTTAGAACACGGCTTCTATCAATCTAGTATAGTATGATGACGAAAGATGGGCATCTGCTGCTTCGGTTAAGAAGGCGATGCATATAGAGGTACGCATGTGGGCGTCTCGCCGTGCCAAGTGCGCATATTACAGCGTTTAAGATGCGATATTATGCCTCCGCCCCCCGGCCTGCGCCTGTTAGAGAAGGCGATCCTTGCCAGTTGTATCTACGTACATCTTCTATGCGCCCGAACTCAAACCCCGGATGTCGGCCATTCGACGCACGTACGCGCATCATAATCGGGCAGGCCGGCTGCATAGTGCTGGATATGTGCGCTCAGGTGCGGAGGTGCAGCGGCCCACTGCCAGGTTGAGGAAGCCGAAGGAGAAGGAAAAAGGAAAACACGAAATCATCCCTCCATCACGAAATACCGCCACACGCCAGTAACCACACCGGCCGGGGACTCCCAAACTGGAGGAAACAAGAAAACAAAGGAAGTGACAACAGCATAATTAGACAGCAGATCCGGGCTGGTTAGGCGTCTGGGTCTGGGCCCGAGAATGGCCGGTAGCTGTCCGTTAGGTTGGCACACGAACTGATTCGTCACATCAAGGCGAACAAGTCGGGTTCCCTCCAGCTGGCCTTGGTTGTTCCGGGATCGGGCCTCACTCTTCGATAGGGCCAGCCTGTTCAGTCCCTCAAACACTTGCGCTTATTGTCATCACGTTTTGAGAAAATGCCACCTAACCAGCGTTCGTATCCGGCCATGGCATGTCTCGGTCACCCCCCTCCTGGAACAAACATCTGGCAGCTAGGGGGGACAAAAAGTGAAGCGTCATGTGGAACTTGGGGTGCGAGAGAGAGGAGTGGAGGTAACATGATTGTCGACGTATGGCCAAACCCTCGTTGTGCAAATTGTTTGTTGGCCTCATCATACGAGAGAGAGGCCCGATCGATGCCCGAATGGCAAACTCTGTTTTTGTTCTTGTATCTTTCTCTCTTACGGGTGGATGCACGTTGTTTCCCCATCAAATATTTGCTGTTCCCTCGCAAACACATCATAGCGGGAAGGCAAAAAGATTTGGAGCGAGTCGGCGCTTGTGAAACGGCATGGCGTCAACGTGGTTGGGTCGTTCTTTTTTGTGTGTTACCTCCCAACCTGCGAGTCTCATACATACATGCTGTAGACCCTCCCACACTGCGCGACTCGGAAATATACATGCAGGTTGTGTGTGGGAGCACCCAACGGTTTCTCATCTCCGACGCCGTGGCCAGCAGGGAGAGAACTTTGGGCAATGCTGTGTGACGGCGCTGTCACCACGCACGCCCGGTGCGAAGCCGCAGGAGGAAACGGGGAAATGGGCTGGCTGTCTTGAGCCTTTTTTCTGTCACCTTCTGGAAATGTGGCTGTCACAGGCTGCAGTTTGAAAGATGGCACAGCGGCTGCAGGCAGCCCAAAGCAGCAAGGGAAATTTCGTAGGCTAGGACAAGACTCATCCAGGAGGGGAAGGGGGTTCAACTACTGTCTCACAATGAAAAACAAGCTCGATTAAGTGCTGGTATTAACACATGTACGTATGTGGCTGTGACAACACTTTTCCTCGTGTGCCCGAGCAATCCCACTCCCCCTTTAGTTCAGCACGAAGCTCTGACTTGTACCTTCAAACGAGGAGATGGTGCCCAGCAGGTTCTTGGAATCCCCATAGTACTTGAACCTGTACGTGCCTGGCTCGGCGTTGCCGGCCGTCTCCCAGGTGGCATCCACCTCGCTGTACCCGAGGAACCAGTCCGTCCGGCGCCACGTATATACGAGGAACCAGTCGGCGTCGTCGCGGACCCTGGTCCAGGTGCTGCCGTCCTGCCTCTCGACGGCCAGGTATGTCTGCTCGAGGCGGAGGTTGTTGCGGGGGTTGGCGCCCTGGAAGGTGGCCTTCACCACGTCACCGACCGCATATGTGGCGGACGGCTGGGTGACGACGGCGCCAAAGGACTTGCCTAGCGGGACGCCGTCTCTCACGACGCCCGTGATAAATGACAGGGAATTGTCCCTGTTGTCCGGGGGGAGTGGGCCTTGGGCTGGCTGCCCGGTCGCATCTGGGGACAGGTAGTTTAGGTTGCTGACGGTGAGGTTGATGTATGCGCTGAGCGAGTCCCTGCCGTAGAGAGTCGAGGCGCCCTCGTACCGCTGGATGTCATATTCCTCGGGCGTGGTGAGGTAGTGGGCATATGTATTTGCAGGGCTGCTCAGGACCACTACTGGCTCCTCGTCCAGGAAGGTTGACGCTTCGGAGGCGACGGCCTCTCTCCACCGTCGGCCTGCCATGGTGGCAACCTCGCTGGGGCTGGTGATGATCAGGAACTGGCCGACGCGAAGCACCTGGATGTCTACGATATTTGGTGTCCATGCGTAAGGGTCGGACATCTCGCCTACGTCTAGGAGGATGGGCTTTGGTTCATGGCACGCTTTTTGTTTCGCGGACGGGGTCTTGAGGAGGCCCTTGACCACTTCCCAGAGGGGGTTGGCATCCGGATCACCAGAGTCTCCTTGCTTGAAGTCGAACATGCCTGGCCAGTCAGATGTACCTGCGGCGAAGGAATATCCAAGAGCAGCTGGGCAGGTCTGACCCTTGGTCCCATCCGTGCGGGTGAACTCCCAATATTGCATGTCGTGGAAGAAATGGAATGACTTGACAGAAGACCCAACCACGGGCTTCGAACTGGATAAAGAGTTCTAGTCATCGAGCGTTAGTGAGTGGAGGCTATCCATTGGCTTGCACAATATGAGACTTACATATGCTTTTCTAGCAGCAGTCACCTGTCGGCTTGCGATTTCGTAGCAGCTGGAGATGCCGAGGTCGAGAGCCTCAAACTTGGGTCCTCGTCCATGGCATGCGTCGACAGTGCCGTCTGAACAGGTGCTTGTCTTGACATCGCACTGCTGGCCTGAGCCATCATCACACCAAGCGCCCAACGTATTGGGCGATGTATCTGCGTGATTTGCCTGGCTGAATCCTGCAACGAATCCATCCGCAACGCCGTCTGAACCAGCCAGCTCACTCTCGAACAACCAAGCAGCAAGGCCCTTGTTGTCGCCGGCGGCATGTGTATTGTTGCCGAGCATGGACGTGGCGTGGACAGCATACCATGTGAGAACACCGATGCTCTTGCTATCAGAAGCACGCTTGAAGCGAAGCATGGTGAGCGTGGTGTCAACACTATCACTGTACTTGGCACGTTCATCTGCAGGATTGGCCTCGTAGGCATAGATAGAGCGGTTGATAGAGCCATCCTCTACTTCTGCCGTGGCAACATCCAGATAGCCCTATCGTCCAAAGTCAGTCAGTCTATTCAGGCAAGGGAATTGGATCGCCTACTTCTTGGAGACTCTCTTGAGCCCGCTTGATGGAGAGAACAGCGCCATCGACAATAGCCTGGTAACTCTGCTTGTCAAAGCCAAATGTAGTAATCTGAGGAAGAAGATAGTTGAACCAGGCTCCAGGACCAGCATGGCTGTGCGTGGCCGTCACAGCAATGTTGTGATCGCCGTACAGCGCATAGTCACCACCCAGAGCTTTAAGGGCCTCCAAGATGCCGTTGCGCATGGCAGTGTCGCCGGACTGGATATCCAGAACCAAGTAGACGAAGCGGTCTTCTGGTTTATTGACATCCCCAACAATGAAAGCTCGGCTGTATAGCCGCTGTCGCAGCCCGGCGCCCTTCTGAGCCAGGTCAGCGTAACCAGCGAAGCCTATTTCGACAACAGGACCAGTAATGTCAGCTTTTCCTACGCCGATCAGGTATTTGTCGCCATCTGCACGGCTCTCGAGCTTAGGCCCGCCTCCCGTACTAGCCCGGGCAAATACACCCGGGACGAGAGAGAAGGCCAGCAGCGTGGCTAGCAGAAGCCCGATAAAGGACTGCCTCTTAACCAACTCCATGATTGGGGCAAACTGGGAGACGCAGCTAAGTGGAAGGGAGTTGGAGAGCAAAACGAGACGTCTCCAGACAACCTATGTATTGCGTTGGAGATGTGCGGCCCTCGCACCGCTGGTGATGCATGAATATATACTCAGACTCAGGCCGTGGTTGGCCATCTACCCCAGCCAGTCTTTGCCACTTTGAGATACGTATAAGTGGAAGGTCGAGTACACGCAGCCCAGCTGGCAATTTTGGGCGAGGGGTCCGAGATTATCTCGGCTCACAAGGGCAGGTTGGAAGCAAGACTCGGATTGGGGGGGGCGCATCGTTTACCATCCAATGCAGCCATGGGCATCAACTGACCACTCGTGCCGGCCGCCTGGGGTTACCTTGGCCTGCGTGCTGCATCCTGATGACGAACCAGCCCAAGCGATGGGCGAGAGATGGTTGTAACGTCATGGACTTGCTCAGGGTGGTATCGGCCGCTTGGCCTATGAGAGAGGAACAAGAGGAAGTGCCGGATTCAGCCCAGATAGCGGATGGCGAGCTCACTCTACGTAGCTGAGGGCGGGCAGCTAAGCAAATGCTGGGGTTAGTGGTGCAGGTGCCCCTAAGCGGTAGGTCCAGAGGTTAATTGCAGGGAAGCAGGATTGACTATTGGCGGGCCCATGTCCGCCCTCTAACTAAGGCACACACTGTAACTGCCCGGATACATGCAGGTAGGTTGCCTGTTGGACCGCCCCCGCCATCCTGCTAACACGCCACAACACCTCAATCCAGCTGGTTCTGGCCTCTACACTATCCATGCTTCATGGGCAGATAAAGTGTTGGCAAAGCTCACCTCATAGCTACTGGGGCTTCGGAGCCTATATCAGGTGCTTGGGAAGAGTATGCCATCAACTCCTTGTGTTGAAGGGAAGGGGATAATCACTAGGCTTGACTCGAGGCCCTCAATCATTGTACTCTCGTCCAGCGTGCATATACAGCGATCGTCATTAAAAGCAAGCATACAGAGTTACCAAACTCTAGAGATCAATATATAAGACTATACGGCTAGGTAAGATATGCAAGTGGGCAGCCGTAGCGTCGAGATGTAAGTAGCCGCAACTTGATGTCAAGAAACAAGCAGCGTCACGCCAATGGGAAAAGGCTGAAACCTCGACCACCTCTTACTTTATAAATGGAACTGAATCGGCTATACTAGAGGCTTACAGATTTTATCTAGTCATTCGGGATTTATCTACTGGTAAGCCTGGGAGTAAGCGATCAGTTTCAACTATCTGTTCAATCACCTCAACTCATCTCGGTACGCTTTCTCTCGATTAAGATTGATCAGTGGATATCACGGCACGGAAAATATCTAGTTTAAAGAAAATAAGCACCGTGATTACCATGTCCTATTTGGGCTTTCGGGATTCTCGCTCATCTATGCTCACTTCTCGCTTGGGCGTGGCCATGGGTTGCTACTTCATTTCAATTTTCACATCATCCGATCCGTCAGACAATTAGGGGTCTGCGAGGGGAGAATTACGCCGTATGTAAATTACTAATAACTCCCTTGAGACTATAAATCCACAAAATGAACGAGCCCCATGTCCCTGCTGACGATCCGAAGCGGCAGCCTCCTTCCCGGCTATGCGAAGAGAGCGAGCCGTCTCGGGATCATAGTTTCTCGTCCCTCCCTGATCCAAGCCAAGAGGGGACCCATCCGTACCGATAGCAAACATAGCTATCCGCGACAGCACCTAGAGAAAGCCCAACAACGATATTGCGGCGAGTTTTGCTGCTAAGGTTCCTCCACGCCCAAGTCTGAGCCGTAGGCACATTGGTACTCATGGGCCTTGCGAACGCTGCCCTGGCACGCGGGAGGGAGATGGAAGGAACATTGCCGGTGACAGCCTTGCCGAGACGAGGGGAGAATTGTTTCAAAATGGCCTGCATGTTTGCTTATAAGTTGGCTTTCGCTGCTGACCAAATGAATGATAAGGTATGAGTGTGTGATCGTAGGGACAACGACGAAGCAAACCTCTTGCAGGTATGTTTGTCTTCTTTTTTGAACGTGATTGATGAATTGTGAACCGCTGATTCGATTTCTATCTGATCCATTGTAAAATCGCTCTCATTTATACCTATATATCGTTGGTCTATCTTGGCCTTACAAGTATTGGTGTTAGTCGTTATGCTTAACCATAACGTCTTATGGCAGCGCTAACACCAGCATCCAGCCACGTTGACTCTCCATGCGTTATGCCAAAATACGCCCTTTATACCCATTATTAAAATCCCGTAAGACGCATATCGTTATTGTTTGTGTCAGCCTACCGGCCCTTTGGCCGATTCATCGTCAGTGGCTTGAAAGGTTTTCGCAAGCGATCTAACGACGGAGCCGGCCCCATCCCAACTGGTCGCCTGACACCCAGCCGAGTGCCAGCAGTGGTGAATGTAGTGGAATGAAAAACAGCTGCTGGTCGGCTAGAAGCCGATACCTCCTTAGTGGACTCGTTCTCAGGTTCTTCCGGAGAGGGTTGTCTTGGAGGTGAACTAGAAAAACAAGAGTATTGCTTTCCTGCTCCATCTTGTCCTGGCTTTGCAACCGTTGGTCGCATGGGCCGCTTCCCACCTCCAAGCTTGTGCTGGGCCAGCGCCGGATCCAACACTGGCTGTTGCCTTCCTGAAATCCCGATAGGCATCGATGCTTGGGGGCGAGAGCCGTGCTGGGGCTGTTTACCGAGAGAGGAACTGCCAATCTTCGCCTCTGGGGGGCCAGTACCAGCGGCTCCGGTGCCCTTGGATACGAATCCGAGTAAGCTCTTCTGGTTTGGATCACGGTGTGTTGATCCTTTTGTGACCTTTTTGTTGCCAGAGGGCTGGTTTTCTTTCGCGGCTAGTGATGCCGAAATGGTTGATCGGGCCTGCCCAGCAGTCATAAATCCAGGCAGTGACGACATTGTGAAATGACTTGAATCCTCCATTGTAGTCGAGTAGGCTTTGAACAGGGGCTGATCCGCATTTCCCGAGTTGCACTTTTCGGTATCTTTCCGTTGTCGCTTCGGCGCTCGTGCGTAATGTTGCTCGCCATTTTCTTCAGTGCCATCCGAGTTCTTTGGGTCGATTGGGCTCAAGGGAAAGGTATCATCTTCAGGTGAAAACATGGACGGCAAATTGTCGAATACCCTCTTTTCTGGGGGCGCCTCTCTACCGAGAATCTTGGCCACACTTTCAAGTACCTTCTTATCAATGGAAGGACCACGGGCAGCAAAAGCCTTCGAAGCAAAGGGTGCAACAAAACTAGAAAGTTCGACCTTATTGCTCAGTCCCTGTGGGCCGTAAAGAGGACAGCTGAGATACAGCATTGCCTGGGCCCTTGTCATGGCGACATACAAAAGACGCCGTTCTTCTTCTATATCTTCTGATCGCGAGTGAGGAATGGACCCTACGTAGACGGATGGTACAAAGACAACTGGCCACTCGAGGCCTTTCGCGGCATGTATCGTGGAGATTGTTACCATGGATGATTTATCGCCATCCCCATCATCCCGCTGTGCATCAGATGCCAGCGAGACATTGGCCAGAAACTTGCCAAGGATATCGTCCTCTTTTGTTTGAGTTACGTTGTCGATCTCCGGAAGCTCCTCGGTATCCATCTGACTGTAATCTCTCATGAAATCCTTGACGAGATTCATGAATTCCTGAACGTTGGCCCATCTTGTTTCGTGTTCCTCTGGATATTCAAGCTCCAGATACCTTTTGAAACTGAGCTGATTAAGAAGCGAGTCTATTAGGTCGATAAGGGTAACAGCTCCATCTTCTGTGATTGCATCCGCCTTCTTTCGCAGGGTAAATATCGTGTTCAAAAGGCCAGAGCTAAGCCTTTGCTCCATATTCGCTCTGATGTTCGTAGATGCCCGGCGCTCACCACGACAATGTTTGCATAGGACCGCCCAAACAGATATCTTTGCCTGTTCAGCCTCTTCAAGCAGGGATTTGACTGTGACATCTCCTACGCCCCTTCGTGGAACATTGATAATGCGTGCAATAACATCATTGTTATCCGGTTGATGAACTGCTCGTAAATAGTCGAGCAGGATTTTGATTTCTCTCCGCTCGTAGAACTTTTTACCGCCAATCATCTGATATGCAACGCCAGCCTTGCCGAGCGCAGACTCAATATGTCTTGAAAGCGACGCCGACCGTAAAAGGATCGCTACATCTTCGTTCTTTAGCATACCTCCAAACATCATACCAAGACGTTTAATTTCAGAGACAATCCATTCTCCTTCTGTTGAGGTTGAGCCAAGGCTTCGTAGAACCGGTTGCGTACACTTAGTATGAATCGGCCGAAGAATCTTTTTGTATCGATTTTTATCCTCCTCGATGACTTGCAACGAAATATCCAATATGTACTGGGAAGATCGGTAGTTCTCTTCCAGGGAGACTTCCTCGGTTTCCGGATATTCACGTAGTAGGCGGTAAAGATTCCGCACTTCAGCTGATCTCCAGCCATAAATACTTTGATCGGGGTCACCGACAATCGTAATCCGTTCTCTTGCTTGTGCGAAGAGTTTCATCAATTCGTATTGAATTCCGTTTGTGTCTTGATACTCGTCGATGAGAACAGTCTGAACGTTTGAGACGCATTCTGGATTTTTCCGAAGAAGTTCCACGCATTTGACTAGAAGATCGTCGAAGTCGACAAGATTAGACCTTTCCAGGTGGTCTTGGTACTCAGCAAAACACCTTGCGAGATCTGGGTGCTCCTGCTGTTTGTTCTTTTGGCTCTTGGGGGCGTTGACAGGAGGCGTCCCCTTGGCCTTTTTCTTGCTGATCCATGCCTTTGCGTACGATGGCTCGACCTTTAGATCCAGTCTTTTGCAGATTCGCTGTATGATAGCCTTGGAGTCTCCGTCGTCTGCGATATTGAATTTGGACTCCAGCCCAATGTGGCGGCCATAGATGGAGAGGTAGCGCCTGGCTATCGAATGAAAAGTGCCCAAAATAATCTTCTTCTCTACCTCCTCTCCCAGCAATTTTCCGATTCTTTCCTTCATTTCCCGTGCAGCCTTGATGGTGAATGTAGCAACAATGACATCGGAGGGCCTATAGCCCATATGTTGGATGAGCCATACCACACGAGAAGTCAGCGTGTGGGTTTTGCCACTTCCTGGGCCCGCCAGAATGGCCACTGTAGAGGCCTCGGAAGTTACCGCGCGATGCTGCGCTTTGTTCAAGGACCTCAAGATAGTGTTCTCGAGGTTTGGCTTCGACATTGTGGTATCAGTGCATCCAGGAGGATGTCCGGAGGGTGGGATTTGTAGCAATTGATTATCATTGGGTTATTTCACGCTTTCTCGATGACGAGTAAACATCACAATTAAATGAGAGGCTTGGGACAGGCCGATCGCAAGACATTCGCTTTCATGCGCCGACACGTCTAGATGATACACGCGACGCGGATTAGCTCCAATCAATCGCGAAGTCACGTGATTACCCAACTGACTAAGCTCCTCTCGAGCGCCAGTTAGAGAGAGCGTCCAGCTTGAAACAACCAGATGATGCATATTTGGTGCCTTGATTTCAAGAAACAAAATATACAGAAAATTTTCATGGACACCAATTTGGAGTTCTGATTTGTCCTTCTGGGTCCACGCAAATCAATAATGCTTTTCAGACATCTTGATCCTGCTACTCTCTCATGCTTCGGGTACCTACCCGGTAGAGAGAATACTCCAGTTGAATGCCTGTCAAGCGACTGATGGCACACCCAGAACCTCGAGCGTTGAATTTCAACACAATACCCAAAAAATTAGACTAATAATTAACACAATATCGAGCTAAATACTGTAGAATAATTCGTGGTTGACTAATTATTATGTTTAGGGTAATTACCTAACAAGAAAACGAGGTCCTTGTATGAAAAGACCTTTGATGTGCCATGTTTCATGTCAGTCGTTTGCCTGTCTCGGGCAGGTCACCTCCCTAGAATGCGTAAGTGTTTGTCCATTATTTGGGATGGCTCGATTATCACATTTCTCAGTCGAGACTACAATGTGGCACCATCATTATAGCGCCATCAACAAACTAGCAGACCGCACCTGTGATACTGCGTGATGAGTGTTGGAATCACACCAAACATATGCCACGATGTAACCGCCGCCCAGTGTCGTAAAAATAGCTAGGCTGATGGCTAGGCGAGTGAAGTGGCGGAATGTGAAACAGCTTGCGACACCACCATACGACAACAACACTAGCATATTAACGGCCGGGCACCTCTTGACACGGCGAATGAGCACATGGCTTGTGGAAATTCCACTGAATCCCTCGAACGCCTCATGATACAGAAATGAGATGGAGCTATAAACTCATTGTCCTGGGAAGTTGGGGGCAAATGGGAAACGTGCTGGTCTAGGTTAAGTGCTATCTGCAAGCTCTTAACCCCGCCTATATCGACACGATTGGATAGCATAAAGAGTGGAGGGGGTTGGCACCTGCAGCACAGCCCGTTGATCGCCAATCACATCCCTTGTTCTCTCAACGTCGGCGCTTAAACGTCAGACTATCACCAACTTCCGTCCAACCACAGGCCATAAACCCAATCACTCTCGCACCGCTTCTCCCCAGTCTCGGCCACTGCCATGGATCTTATGCATGTCCTAGCCATTTTAGAGTCCTGCCACTGAGCCACATGTGAACCTCTTGGAGACCCCAGCAAGCCCATTCGCCATCCTCAGCGCTTAACCACCGACGCTACGATGGCAGATCACACAACCCAACGTTGGGTCTCCACGTCCTATATACTCACCCTGTGCCGTCCAACCGAGTTTCACTTTGTGCCCGATTGAACTGTGTGTCTCGTTGCTGCCATCACTTAAAGATCACATTTCGCTGCGGTCACATCGCTCTTCGTCCTTAAAGGACTTGTCCCACCATGCTTCCAGAGCCCGTCCCTATACTTCTGCTAACCATTGCGACATACATCCTTCCCACCACAGCTGCCAGTTCCCCAGAGTCATCTGAGGGATTGGCACGTAGAAATTCAAACCCTCTCGGTATCAACTGGGCGCCCGCACCGGCACCAGAAGACGGACCGCCATTATCTGCCGGCTCTCTCCGGAATCCTGCCTATCTCCCTGCCCAGATCGGCGGCATCGTTGGAGCATACGCCTTTTCAATTGTTCTGGTAGCTGGCACGCTTCTTGCTCTCGCCAAAAGACGCCGGGAGCGTCTCACTGCGGCCCACGAAGATTTCGAACCGTTCGAAGTTCCCGAAGACGTTAGGTTCCAGAGCTCGGTTGAGCTCAAAGAAGGCCTACCTGTTCCAAACTTTTCGTACCCGTCACCACAAAAAGAAGATTTCGACGTCGAGATACGTGGGCAGCTCAGAGGCTCACCTACATCATCAATCTGCGGGCCAGGTGTCAACCCTTTTGTTGACCCAAACATCGTCGCCGCCGATCGGGTAATGGCCCAGAACCAGCTCGAACAAATGTATAGACACGTCATGGACCACGAGGATTCGAAGAAGAGGGGTGTTGTGACTGAGGTGACGATTGAACCGCCTACGCCTTCGCCAAGAAAGGAACGGATCAAGCCTGCAAGCTTGAATCTATCCGAGGCCAGGGAGGCTGAAAGGCCACAGTCCAGAACATCCTCAATTCTCTCTTCATTCCGATCCTCAAAAAAGAAGCAAGTCAAGGGATTGAACATCTCATCCCCAATGATGACACCGCAGTCCGCCACCTTCCCACGCATCACTGACCCTTACGCCAATGAACCTTCGACCCCTCGCTACTATGCCCCGCCTCCAATGCCAACTCCCAGGGAGCACGTCTTTCCTCCTGTTCCAGGTCTGGCGAGAACCAACAATGTCCCAGTACCACCAGACCAGTCACCAGAGAGTGTTATGAGCATCGACGAGAGACTCGGCCTGCAACTTGACAGAATGAACATGAACCAAGGCAACCCGAGCTCAGAGCGGGTTGTATCGCAAGCGTATACAGAGGGTGAACCTGTTTCGGCCATCTCGAGGCACTCAGGCCACTCGCAAGCTCCTCTGGTTGGCCTTCCGTCATCACCCAAAGCAACAAAGACTTCCTTCCCCCCTCTCCCCTCATCCCCAAAACCTGGTGCCTCATTCTCTCGGGTAAATGCACCTTCTGCAGTCCGGACGGGTGGCTCATTGCCGCTTCGTGCCTACGAGCCCTCGGTAGGCTCACCAACATCTGTTACACACTCTACAAAGCAAACCGTATTTGAGCGGAAAGGACCTCTCTCGCCAGGAACTGCCAGAACCCCAGGGACCGCTATGCCCTACTCTCCCTACCAGCCTTTTACACCATGTGTACCTGTCACACCTAGCTTGGTCACCAAGGAGGAACGTAAGCGTATGAGGAAGACGATGCCCAAGACACCGACAATGGAAATGGTCAAGAGTTCAGAGGAGATCTGGTGAGCCCAGGGGAACCAGCCAATCATTGGAATATTAATACCGTGTTTCATTCATGTTTGCCTGTTTTGGTTGATGATTTCTTAGATACTCCATAGTCGTTTATGCTCATGAATGCGCGAGCATCTGTCATGTCGCTGCCCAATTCATTTTGTTATACCATCTCTTTCCCGTACCTCGCATTTCTGCGTTTCTTTGCCTTCTCCCAAAGTTTCTTTTTATTACCCCTCAGTGAAGGCAGGCCCTCTCGAGTTGCAAAGAAAGGAAGACTGTACAAGAGGAGTCAGGGGTGCCGAAGGACGGGCGGCTGGTGTTTCAACTGTCAAGCTTTTGATATCCCTGTTGTGTCATTTCGCCTTTTGGTTTTATTTAGCTAGCCATGAGAAATATACTTCGCTACTAGGATATCGGGTATTACTACTGCTACTGATTCCATTTACGCGGGTCTGGCCGCCGGGTTTTTCGGTCACTCGGAAAGTTGATTCGACGTGATGCTCTGTGTTTGATTGAATTCATGCACCAAGATCCGGGATCTCACATGGGGTTTCAAAAGACAGTCTTGAGACGGCATCTACACATGCCCATGGCCGCAAAGGCTCGCCCCAGCGGTGCCGACTTCATGCCGGCAGTACTGTAGAGCTACTTCATTCGCGGTCATGGGGACAGCGGCGCCGAGCTGCGAGCTCTCTTGGTGTCTGACTCGATTGGCGGCTTACCATGGCCATTGGCATCGTACGTACATAAGCGGCGTGCATGATATGACAGGTAGTATAGGGCGCATGACAGGGAGCACCCAGCCAAGGGACCGTAGAGGTGGGATAATATTACATGAGGGCCTGGCAAAAAGACCAAGCGCCTCTCGCTTGCAGGGACATCGGGGACGATGGAGCCCAGGCCAATGGATATATCTGCTCATGTCACGCAGCTGTGTTGACGGACATGGTAGATAAGGCCCGCAGGTGAGTCGAAGCGAGGAAGAACATTTCCAGATCATCATCATGGCCTAATTTTAGTGGGCTGCTAGCTGAACGCCGCGCCGTTTGAGGGACCTGGGGGGCCACCTACCGCGCCTAGTTAGTGGGGTGGATAGCGCTGTTTGGCGGCGGACGGTGGCCTATGTTACATACGGATACCTACAAGCGGACGGCAGCTGCCTGTAGTTCAGTGGGCGGGTGGGGCGCTAGCGACTCTCGTCTGCCAAACCACCTGGGCATTGGAAGGTTGCAGAGGCAGAGATCCATCGCGATGTGCATACATGCGCAGGCAGGATAATTCACACATAGGTGGTAAAAAAATGCAGAGCAGTGCCGTGGGTTCCTACCCTACCTACAGACCTACATAGCATTGTGCGGCCAGCTCACGTCATGTACGGTTGCTGTGCATGTGATGGGGAAGACGTGAACGGGTGTTTTCGGAGAGCGGCAGCAATGGGCATCTTGGAGTGGCAGGACGTCTTTGGCCATCAAGATCAAGCCCGGAGCGGGCAGCCCCCGTGTGATGCGATGTGATCCCGGCCAGCGAGCGCGAAAAAGGATTTTACAGCGCTTTTAATTCATTAGTGTTCGGACCTCGCTGCCCACCCGAGGCGGTACGTCTTCGCCCGGGCCGCCTGGCCAGCAGGGATGGCGCACCCTGTTGATTCGCTACATGATGTGATAATCGCTGTGGAATCGTACGATTCCCACCGACTTGCCTCCCACGCCCGGAAAGCGCAACACGACTGACTCCCAGGCACTGGGTCTCTTACCCCCCTTCTCTCCTTCATCCGCACACAAACATGGGCGACATCCTTTCATCTCCAATCGATCCCCCTTCACCGTCAGACGACTAACAGAAACCTTTCGACGCATCTTCGGCGCCAAAACCTTACTGCCAGGAACGGAACGCGCGAACCCTCGTTGATTCCAGCTGTGGCCCCTCCTCGGACAACCGCTTGACTTCCGACTCGCCATTGCTCGAACCTTGTAGCCAACCTCCCTGTGATCGGGCTTCGCCTCAACAGCCGGGTCCTTCCGGATAGGTACTGTAGCCCTTGAGGCCCCTCCTCAATCAGTCGATACTGCTGCTCTTCGCCTTCCCACTCATCAATATACACCACCTCTGCCTGGTTTCCCTCTGTGGCAGTTCTATAATCACAAGGGCCTCAGCCCACCAATCTTAACCCTTCGCATGGTACAAATCACACTCAACTCGACACCGGAGCAGCCCTACATCAATCAAGTCATGACGGATGAGGATGCTTCAAACCTCTTCGGACTCGACGACTCGAGTCTCGGATTCATTGACGATGGCTCTGCCTCTGGTGATGTAAAGACTGATCCTTCCAACACATCCGACGGCGACGCCCAGTTTGATTCCTCGGGATGGGATTTCCCAGAAACCAACCCTTTTGCATCTTTCGACGGCCTCACCACTTCTGTCGTCCAGCCCAACTACCAGACAACTAGCTGGGACTCATCTTTCTTCGACGCAACACAACAGTCTCCCTCCGCCGGCTTCGACACCCTCTCATCACCTGATAACAACCCAACTATTCTATTTGGCGGGCCAATCGTAACGCCGCAGGATAAGATCCGTCCGCGAAACCCGGTCGTCCAGCAACAACCACAGCCACAACAACAAGCAGCGCGTAATGGTGTTGCCCTCACACCGGCTCTCCAAGAGAAGCTACGAAACATTGCCATGCCTCCCCATCTACAGTATCATTCCCCGAAGAGTGCTTCAAGCCCCGAATCGCCGACGGTCGACTCCAAGATGAGTGGCTCCCAGTCTCCCGACCATAACCAAATGGGCAAGCCCAATGCGAAGAAGCGCAAGGTCTCAGAAGAGCTTGAAGATGACGACGACGATGAAGACGGCAAGCCCGTGAAGAAGACATCCCACAACATGATCGAGAAGCGATATCGAAACAACCTGAATGATAAGATTGCTGCACTGAGAGACGCAGTTCCCAGCTTGAGAATCATGTCGAAGAGTGCGAGAGGAGAAGACACGACCGAGGACCGACAGGAACTCCACGGCTTGACGCCCGCTCATAAGCTCAACAAGGCAACTGTGCGTATTGGTTTATTGATGGGATGATGGCTATCTTTATTGACACTTCTACAGGTCCTTAGCAAGGCTACCGAATATATCCGACATCTTGAGAAGCGGTATACTCGCCTTCAAGAAGAGAACAACACAATGAAGGCTAGGATTGCAGCTTTCGAAAAGCTGTTCATGGCCGGCGCTATGAACGGTTCCATTACGCCAATGCAGCAGCAGCCACCGACTCCAGTCCAGTACGCTGCCAAGGACGCCCAACAACAGCAGCAGGACTTCCTCCACTCCCCTATTGCGGGCTCTCAAGATAGCTCCCACTCGCCGCCAACTGGCATGATCCAAGTTCCCGAGGACATGAAGCGTATTCTGGCTGCTCAGATGGCCGTTGGTCAACCATACCCCGTTCCTCAGCAGCCATACCAGCAACGAGGAGCCCAGCAAACACTGGTATCTCAACAACAAATTCAACAACAACAGCAGCAGATGCCACAAGGCCGATGGGGCAACGCTGGTCCTTATTTCGGTAAGCTCATGGTTGGATCATTGGCTGGTCTGATGATCATGGAAGCAGTGCGCGAGAATGAAGTAAGCAACGAGAGAACTGAAGGTCGCGGCCTCTTTGCCCTTCCCGTACACCTGCTCGGCAAACTTGCCTCCAGCTTCGATTTCAACTTTATGGGTTATCATGCCCATAGCACCCTCAAGGTGCTCTTGCTTCTGGGCACTGTTCTCTGGGTCTTCATCCCATCGCTCTTTGCGCCAACCCAACAAAAGCCAAAGAAGGCACAGATCTCTGCCCTGCATGCTGCACCTCCCTTGGCCTCATCTATCCACGTCCGCCGACAAGCCTGGCTTACTGCTGCTCAAAATGTCTGGATTCCTCGCCACAACTTCTTCATCGAGGCCGCTGCTCTGATGCTCAAGGCTGCAAAGCTCAGTCTCTGCAACATCGTTGGAGCTCAGGGGTACCAGACAATCACTGGAACTTCGGATGATCAGGAGACCGCACGCATCCAGGCTTGGTCTATTGCACTTGACTCCCAGCTTGCTGGTGGAGATGTAGATATCAACCGCAACCGCCTCATTTTGACTCTTCTTGCCTCTGGCACTCTTCCCAACTCACCTGCCCGCTCCATGCTCAAGGCTCTTCATATCCGTCTCCTCCTTTGGGACCTCAGTGATCACAAGCTCAGACTTGGAATCACTAAGCCATTTGCTTCAAGGCTCGCTGCCTGGAAGTGGAATGAAGCTCGTGTTGCGAACCGGCGTCTTATTGCTCTCGGTGCTTCAGCTAATGAAGCCGAGAGAGAAAGGATGCTGCCAGCACACCTTGCCATGCTGGTCGAGCAAGACTGTGACGTGGTTCTCAATAGCGACGTTATCCAGCGTGCGCACAACCTTGCGTTCAACAAGGATACCCAATACGGTGTTGAAAACCCCATTGATGGTATGGACAGTGTTGTCGATGATAGTGCCGTCGGTACTCCCATGGATGCTATCGCTGCTTGGTGGTCAACTCAGACCCTGCACCAGGCCCTCACGGCAACCTTGGACAAGACTCCTGAGGCCATTGTTGACATAGCCGACAAGATTGAGTCTGCCATCCTGACAGCCCCCGAAGGCTCTCTTGCTAAGACAAGGGCCATTGTTGCCCGCGCCGCCTTCTGTGACCAAAACAGAGGCAAGAACATTGCCGCTGCCCTTACGACCGTTGGATCGCAAACCCTCGATAACCCCCTCAACAACTCCACTTCTATGATTGATTCAAGCTCATTTGCAACAAACCCTGATCTTAGCCTCGCTCTCCGCTGCGCCACGGCCATCGCACACATTCGCCGGGTACGAAACACCGCTGGCGCGGACCTCCAGGGTCTTCGTATTGTCGATACCATCATGGTTCCTCAAACCACCTCTGAAATGTCCCTTCTCGGGTACACTGCTGCCATTGAGCTCATGGAGCAGCTCTTTGAGTACAAGGAAGCCGCAGAAACCTTCTCATCATCTCTGGAGAGATTGGCCGGTGGACTCCGCTTATGGATAGGCGGAACCGCTGGTGAGAACTGCGGAGCTACCCCTGAATTACGGCATAAGGTCGTGGATCGTTGCCTGGGTGTGACCAAGAGCCTAGTTGGCATGGAGGTTGACACCGGGTACGGGAGCATGAGCGAGGACGAATGCTAATATTCAGCATTGCTCACCACACTCTCTATTCTCATTTTATTTCTAGTCCATTTAGGACATCATATAGCTTGCAGGCTCACTTGCATTTTCTTCACCGTCTATCGCATGCATTTATATCAACTCTTTTTTCCAGTTTTCTTTTTCCTATTATTTTTATACTTCAAGTTCATGCAAATCACCAGTTCTTGCAACGTTCTTCTTGTTACTGCCAACTGTGTACATATGGATATGTTGCACACCCTCTCCTCACCTACGACGACTTCACGATTATATGACCTGGCGTTCACGAGTCGGAAAAAAGCAATCGTTCTACAAGTGGACTCCGTTTATGGTCTTCGGCTTAGCATGGCGGCCAAGTGTTGGAGGGGAAAGCAACTGCAAACAACAATCATCTCGGCTCAAATTTGTTTTGACTTCAAGTTGGCGTTTATTGGCTCAATCAAAGTCGTATTTTGATTCTCTTTTGGGTTAACTTGGATTGGTAAAGAGTTTCACTCGAGAAAAGAAACTGCGGGGGATTATAGAAGAAAGTTCGGACGAAAAGCATGATAGAAATGCAACCAACTGGACACAGCACATTGATAATTTACAGAAGAACTCGTGTGAAACCAGACTCGCTGAAGCTCTCTGCGCTCTACTTATGATTTGTGATACCTGAGCTGCTTAGCTCCTAAAGGCTTCACTCTGTATAACACATTCGAGGAATTATCACTGCGATCCAGACATTGAGAATCATCGAGAACACATTATAGATATGTATGGGAGGGCATTTTATCGAGTCTTAAGGGAGGCTGTCTGTTTTCAAAGCGTTTCTGCAATAAGGAATTCTACCTAGCTACATATACCCAAGATCCATTGATAATCAATATACTCAAAGATTATCCATTCCGCCGAATTACATTTTAACTAGAGTGCCTTGATTTCAAATGAACCTTTACCATGGTGGTGTCCAAATCTGAGGAGGAAAGAGACTGATTTGTTCAAGTTGCAGTACTTAACTAGGTAGGTAGTTGGTGGCCCTAAGGTTAAGAGCTGTTCGACCCCACCGCCGACGTAGTTCAACCTTGTGCCCCTCCAACAAACCCGCCGTTCCATCTCCCCCAAATTCGAGAACGCTGTGCAACCAGACCGACACCCAACACACCCGAGCGAGCGAGCGAAAAGCGTCCCCGATCTCCCCCCGTCTCTCTGCACTCCCCAAATATGGCCGCCGCATCCACCGCAGCTGCCGCGGCGGGCGCCGACGCGTCGTCCTTCCGCTTCCCGCGCGAGTACTCGTTCCCCGCCTTCTTCACGCGGCAGACCAACCTGACCACCCACCACGCCCAGCTCTCCAAGTGGTCCGCCCTCGTGCTCGCCTACGCGCGCCACCACCGCATCTTCCGCCTCGGCCTCTCCGCCGCCGCCGACTCGGACCTCTTCTACAACCGCCGCCTGGACCGCAGGCTGGGCATGCCCGACATCCGCGAGCTGCTCGACTTCATGAAGAAGGACGGGCGGATCGAGTACGCGTCCGGGGGCGGCGGTGGGAGCGAGGGGGAAGTCGTGTTCGTGTATTGGCGCAAGCCGGAGGAGTGGGCGCGAAAGATCGAGAAGTACGTCGAGGAGACGGGGCAGAAGGGCAGCGTGCTGACCGTGTACGAGCTGGGCGAGGGCGAGGGGACGAGGGGCACCGAGATTCACGGCATCGACAACGAGGTGCTGCTCAAGGCGCTAAATGTCCTCGTCCGGAAGGGGAGGGCTCAGATCTTCGGCCAGGATGACTCGCAGGGTGTCAAGTTCTTCTGAGGAAAAGGGGGAACAACGCCGGGAGAGTTACGACATGGAATTGGTGATCATTTGGAACGGGGGTTGGAATATTATGTTCATCTCGGCATTACGGGGGAATCTTCGACTTCCACTAACTAACTATTTACAATGAGGGTCTGGCTAAGCCACTCAACTGGACGGCGAAACAAGCAAGGCTGGCTCTCCCTTCACGAGTCGTTCTGGAAGAAGTTCTCGGCCAGGAACTTGTCGTTGAATCTGACTTGTTGCGCCATTGCGACGTCTAACAGCCAGTCTGGCGCCACTACTCGTGGTTCCATGTTGCCTTTTTGTGCCATGTCCTTGAATCGAGCCCACATCTGCTTCTCCTCAGGGCTGGCGCAGCTGATGAGGTAGACGGGCTCGGGTGGTGCATGGCCATCTTCCTCTGCGGTGGTCGGCTTGATTGTTGTGCCGCTGCGTGCCCGATAGATCTTGAAGATGGCACCGTTGGCCTCCGCAATGGCCTTATAACTATCAATCCCGTTGCGGATTTTTTCGGTGCAGTATATGCCGACCCCCTGGAGAAGCTTGCCCTTGTTGGCCTTGGCCCTTGCAATCGAGCGTTTGAGGCTCATATCAAAGCGTGCTTCCGCCTCGTCGTCCTTGAGGATGTAATCCTCTACAGGAGGCACCGCGCCATCCTCCAAGGTTTTCTGTATGAAGTCGGAGGAGATGACTGTTGGGCCGCGCGCCAAAGCACACAGAAACTTGACTGTCCGCACAATATTCGGTGCAGCCAGGTAATCGCATGGTTGGCCCTCCTGAACAATCTGAATACCCAGATCTCGAAGTTTCCTCTGCATAAATTAGTTAGCGACATAGCGGCACAATCCAAGAAAATGCAAATACTTACCCTGTCTTTGTCCTCTCTGTTTTTATCCCCCACCCAAGAGCTGAAGCCGGTCAAGACTATGCGCAATTCGACATCCGGAAGCGATGGTCTTGCCTTCTTAGCTGGCCGCTTGCGTTCCTCTGCGTCGCCTTCCTCTGGTGATGGACTGGATGTATGTGCCTGTTTCTCCAACTTCTCCTTTTCAGTGAGGTCCGCCGCGCGTTTACCCCCCCAAGGGGCGTTTCCAGCTTTGCTATGCCTCTTCTTTTCCTTCTCGTAGAGAGCAATGTCGGGCGCAATGTCGTGCAGGATATCCCGAGCCTTGGCCTTGGCGCTTCTGCTTCCCGTGGACATGACGGATGGTGTGTCGTTTTCCTTTCCTGATGCTGCCCGTCGGGGTCTGATGGGAGTTGCAGCAGCTTCCACCCCCACCTTCTTTGGCTCTCTCTCTTTGTCTGGTTGACCGATAACAACGCCTTCAGCTGGTCCGTGACGGTAAGAGTTGTCCTCGGCAACTTCCAGGATCTTCCGCTTCCGCTTCGCTCGTGGAGACATGTGCTCCTCGCCTCCTGGGTAGTAAAGCTCCCGCAGCCGTGATTCATCGAAGAAGGTCTGACCAATAATCTCGCCTAGATTCGTTCGCAGAGGGAAGTGGTTGTATTTCTTGATGTTGTAGGGCTTCATTTCGGATTTGGCATAGCATTCCTCGATCCAAAGGTGGTTGACGACTGCGATGCCCCATTCCGGTGCTGCCCTACACTTTTCGCTCGTGTTCCGTGCCGTGATGAGATGTGTGTTATCCGCCTTCATGGTTTTTGTGAACTCAGCACCACATGCCTTGATAAGATTTTCGAGGTAGATCCGAGCCTCTCCGCCGTAGTTTGAGACCGTAATCCGCAAGTTCTCGAATCCCTTGATGCCGTTCCTGGGGATAGGATAGTGCATCAGACGATGTAGCGGAGAAGACCACTCATTTCGAATAATAAGATAATAGAGCCAGGACAGGTTGCCCACGTCCTTGCATGACTGTCCTGCGCGCACAAACTGCTCGCCATCTCGATATTGGCAAATGAATGTATCGCATTCCGAGACGTCAGTGACGAATTTTCCGCCTCCGTTCACAATAATGTCTTCGATGGCTTTCCTGAGTCGGAGGGTTATCCCTAGGTCTTCCGAGAGCATCACTCGTCGATCTTGGAATACCGTGACTGGTGGCCGGACAACATCAGAGTTGGGGGGAAGAGGTAGAGACTGAGGGTTTGCTGAGGTCGCGCCAGCCAGTTCGGGGTTGGCAGGTATTTCGAGTGAGTCGTCGGGGTTCGATCTCAAGATCGGAGGGTCAGGCAAAAGGTACGGTCGCTCGTCGATTCGCTTGCCCAGCTTGAAGCAATCATCAAACCTGTGTTGCCAGATTAGACAAGTCCACGCGGTCTTCTTCATCTGTACCTACCAGTGCGGCAGGACCACTTTGCCCTTCCAGCCCTTTTGAAGCGACGCTTCGACTTTAGGGTGATCCATGGATAAAGAGCAGATATGGGTTGTCAGGCGCGTGGCATCCTTTGTCTCTTGCCCACCGAGGGCCATAGTCGCGCCCAGGATGCTTTCCTTATCCATGATGGGAAGATCGCCGCAGGTTACAATAACCTGTGAGAAGATCATCCGGGGGTCTGGCGAGAAGGTCCGTACGTTTGCCTGTTTGCGGCGCGCAATAGATGTAGTAATCCAATCGGTGGTGACGACGGGAATCATGATCGCTTGCGACTCGGTGAACTGGGTGAAATCGATCGTGTTGGAGACGATATGTGTGACCTTTTCAATGGGAAGGGAGCCATCGCGGCGCGGCTCGCATACCGTGGCTCCATTATCCTGGACAATACTGGATAGCTGTGATAAGTGTTTATTAGCTATGAGTAGCATTAGCTGAGAAGAAGTCGACATACATCGCCTATGAGCTTTGGAGTCAAACTACTGCTGGGCACGAAAGCAATAGAGCAGTCATCGAACATGCCAGGTTTGGCGTCCCCCATTATGGAAGCAGAGACCGCGTTCACGGTCTGTGGTAGGACGAGATATCAACGTGGGATCAACGCGGAGGTGGTATTGGGGATTCAAATACGCCACTTTGAACGGCTTCAGAAAGTGTGGATGTGATGAATGCCAACCAGAAAAATGCCCCTCTGAATGTCCATGCTTCTCTGTAGCCTATTATTCTGAAGAATGTTGAACGCGACTGGAGTCAACGCGAACCAGGCAGGCGGTCACGTGAGTCTAAAAGTAGAGGAACATTGGTAAACCATTTCCCTTGTGGCTGACACCTGCATGATAGTGGGGCTCAAGGTTCTGGTACTTTGTGTTAATGGTGTTCCCCACAGCGCGTATGGCACTTACTCCATTAGGTATATGATGCATTGGCTTCAATCCTAGTTGACACGATTTGGTTAGATATGAAAACAAGTCTCCCTTTTCGTTTCTTTTTTAGTAACAAGGAACAGTCTTGCGGAACAACATTGCATTGAATGCCTGTCGTGGGAACACAACCTGCGGGTTACGTTTGAGAGGCTGGCATTGCTTGTGGATCCTAGGTAATTCAAGATCACGTTGAAGCTGTTGATTGAAAACAAACAACTTTGATTCATGTTAACCATAAATACTACCTACTAAATGCCCCTCTTCGCTTAAAGGAGAGTTCGGTGAGAATGTTCTCTAGCTATATGCAAGTTATATGTACTTTATGTTCCATGCCTTCATTAACAACCTAAACCAAATCCTGTATAAATGCCAAGAACTCCAAGTAACTCCCCCAAAGAATTATTTGACCAGAATTAGATCCAGAATATTCCCAGTACCGTAGGAAATATCCGAGACAACGCAAGGCTCTTGCAAAATCAGCCTTAAACACATGCTGATGCCACTGCCGTCCCTAGTAGCGAGCTTTCCTTGGCGGGGACCAGCTTGATGCTACCCTTCTCGGAAGAACCTCTGCTTGCCGACAACTCATCAATGTAGCGCTGGCAGCTCTCCAGATAACCTGGATAGTGCTCGATGACGCTGCCGTTGAATGCGACGGTGGTGTTTTCCAACTTCAGGTCGTCGTGAGCGCTTTGATAAAATGTCGAATCCTTGGGAAGGGTCTCGACCAGATTTTGGTTACTTTCGCGTCGAACATCCCATAGAGTGGAGACACATGTTGCCACTAGAGCGCTTGAACGTAATGAGATGAACGATGCGAGAGACTTGAGAGCTGCGATATCCGAAAAGGTTGGCTTGTGGGAGGAGGGGTGGCGATTCGAGAACAATTTCTTGGCAGAAGCGAGGTCCTCTGAGGTATCACTGCATATGATTAGCATCGATGTGGGACAGACAGCCAATAGGATCTCTGGGGTTTACCTTGCAATCATGGATAGTGTTTCAGTACCAAGAGAATATGGGGTGGATAGTGATGGAGGAACAAGGCCGCCAAATATACCAGTAGTCTCTATGGCCTCGATCAGGGCAAAGCGAGCGACCTCTCCTAGATACATGCCGCTAACCATGTGCTCTAAGGGCTGGAAATCAGGGCGACTGTGCCCATCTAGGAGTTGTTGGTCCCATCTTGTGACAGGAAGAATGCCATAGCCGAACATACCAAGTTCGGTGTTGACGATGACATGGCTGGCACGGTCAAACCACCCGTCAGGACGGGTACCGAACTTTTTACGGCTGATGAGATTGACAGGAAGGTACGCGGCGATGTTTACGCCGGTCCCAAGAATGAGACCGAATCTGGTCGAGGTTTGAAAAAATGCTTCGGAGAGGAGGCAGGCCGTCGAATCATTCACGATGGCTGCTACCTCAACATTGAGGCCGTGGGTTTTGCAGGAGCCTGCGATGAGCTCGCCAAGGTCACGGCCCATCAAACCTTTGTGTGCCACAAACCCCTTGCCCATCGACTGGAGCTTGCCAGCTCCTAGTGCTGTTTGCCTGATGACACGTTAGCATCGATCATTGAACCTGGAACGAGTTGGCTTACTCAATAGGAAAACTCCAAGCAATGGCCATGGGTAATGGTTCGTCAGACTCGTGGGGCTGGGATGATAATGTCTCGATGATTCTCGCAGCCATCCAGTCGAAGAATAGTGTACCCTCAAGATCTTTAACTTCCTTCCCTATGACGAAGTTGCAGATGCTCAGGATCTTGCTCGTCTGCTCATGAAGGTGTTTTCGGCCACTCAATTCCACCAACGCAACCCTGAGCGTCGAGCCCCCAACATCCAGAGCCAAATATCTTCCAGATTCATCGCCAGTGGGCAGTCGGTGGCTATAGGAAGGTAGCATGCACTCAACGCCTGACTGGAGTCGGTCCAGAAACTGTGCCTTCAACTCTGCGGATAGTTGCTCTAGCTTGTCGGGACTGACTGGGTCGACAAACTCTTTCTCGGCTTCCTTGAGGAAATCTTGGATGGATCGCGAGATAGGCGCGGCGGTACCGACCTGGGCGCTATTAGGCGTGCTCAGGGAGAGGGTACCGAAGCAGTATTCTAGCACAGCCTGTATGAGAGACTTGCCTCGGAGAAGACTTTTAACCATTGCGGAAATGAGGGTTTTGTGGAATGAAGACATGACATGAACGAGAGACCGAACAGCGTCTAAATCCTGTATGGGGCAAACGGGTAGACAAGCGAATGAAGGTGTGAAGGACTAAAGGATGAGGAACGAAAGAAGCCGAGAGTCTTATTATAGGTTGCAAAGAGAGGCGGTGGGCATGGGATAAAGTAAAGACGATAGAATGCCGAGGGGTCACGACATATTCCAGCCCGGTGAAGGAGACGAAAGTCGTAAAAGGCAACGCTGAACGGTAACAAGACGAGGGATACAATGCAGGCTGCGGATCTACCCAAGCAAACGAACGATCGAGTAGGTGATACGGCCAACGAGCGACTACGAGTAGACCACAGGCACAAGCATATACGAGGTGTAAAATGAAACGTCTTGACACAATGCCAACGCTAAAAAGGTCGATTGGGAGGGGGTGGGCGAGAGAGCGTGGTATAGGGAAGTCGACATGTAAAACCGCCAGGTGGCAGGGTGGGCTTTGTCGACGTTGCAAACTGGAAGCCACCTCCAACAGCTGGGAGGTACCTCGTAAGCCTTGGGCGAAAGGCCGGCCCTGTTACGAATTGACGAGTGGTCGTCAAGGCAGCAAGGAATCAGGGGGCGGACCCTGGAGGAGCGCGCAAATGGGAGGGCATGTGGTATGCTCGAGGTGTGTCGGACCACTGTTGCGGGACTCTGTTGGCTTCCCATGCCCGATCCTCACTCCATTCATCATCCATTTCGCTTGTTGCGTGGGCGTGAAGATGAGCAGGCGAATAGTGCTGTAACGTTGCGGCCACTTTGGGGGCTTTGGTAACTTAGTACTGTGATGTGGAGCCCCTGTGTCTTGGGCCTGGGACTCGGGTCTTGGGGCTTCGGCCGTGGGTCGCTGGCCTTGAACAGGTCTGGTATCGAGACAGTCGATGGCACTAACTGCTCTGGGCCCAGGTGGCTCTACCACTGGCCTTGCCTGCCTGGGCAGGTTGCGGCTGATCGTGACTACCCTTTTTGAGACATGGGGGCCGTTGTCTCTCCACTTCCAACGTACGTGCCTTCCTCCTCGCCACGCCCATTCCTCTCTATGTGCGTGAGGGTAGCAAGAAGCACCAGACAATGGACGGATGTTCTGCCCATCCTGGCCGCGACTGCAACGGCGTCTGTGTCTTGTCTACCGCACACTATCATCATACTAGGCCTCACTGGCAGATCTAAGCGCTGTCACTTTGCTACCTACCTAATCTAATTGGGATAAAGCTTCTACTGATATAACAGAAATCGAGCCAAGATAGGTAGGTAGCGGTATTGAATTTCACCTCTATCGCGTCCATCAAATATGGAAATCAGGAGACCGAATAGTTGAAGCCTATTTCCTTTTTGTACGGCTTGACCGGTAACTTCCTCCCCACTAGCAGCCTACTAGCTGTGAATGTACTTCCCGAGCAAACTCTTTGGTCGTCTCATGACCCAGATATCCTTCAAATACCCAAACAGAGTAATGTCGTCAAAGATTTTCCCGGTGACCTCATGGTATTCCGTAGGTACTTGACTGTACATCTACTTACTTACTGTCTCGCTGGCTCCAGTTGTGGCCATATTATTAATACCGTACAGAAGCAGAGAGAGCCAGGGCGAGGGACTCGTGACAGCATATGCAACAATGCCGGCACCATCCGAACATACTCTGAAGCCTGAGCCTATTTGGGCGAATACATCCCGCCCCGGAAGTAGAGCCCCAGTTCCGGCTTTGATGGCAGTGACGTTCCATCCATCTCACGACTGTGTGAGACTGGAAGATGAGCAGTCATAAGCTTTCTCACTAAAACAGGGTTTGGGCTATCCACCGCGCGCCACGTTGCTTAGATTGATCCCATCATGATTCAGAAGGGAGAGCAGAGCGCTGGCCACTCGGCATTCGCTGCTCCCTTCCCAGGTAGGTATCTGGGAGTCACCCGATGGTTGGCTAGCAAGCATACCGGTCTGCTAGCTACCTCATAAAACACCCGCACCTCTGCTTTTCTCTTCTTTCTATCTCTTCCTCGATCTCTCGAGAGAATCGAGCACACCTACCTGCCACCCTTGTTAAAAACACCCGATACAGCCTTTCTTCTTTTGGCAATCCTCCATCAACATCCTAGACTCAACCCACATTCTCTACCTAGTCTAGATCGAGTTAACATAACCCTGGTCCATCATGAGATTGATTATCCGGGAAGACGCTGATGCGGCCAGCACGTACGTTGCCAAGTATATCATTGAGCGCATCAAGGCGTTCAACCCATCCCCTCAAAACCCATTCGTGCTTGGCCTACCCACGGGCTCCAGTCCCCTTGGAGTATACAAAATACTGGTTGATACCTACAAAGCTGGCCAGGTTAGTACAGTTCACTTTGTTGACCGATGTGTGATTACATGGCTAATCATCAAATTCGATAGATTTCGTTCGAAAATGTCGTCACTTTCAACATGGACGAATATGTCGGGATCCCCCGCGACCATGAGCAGTCTTACCACACATTCATGTGGAAGCACTTCTTCTCCCACGTGAACATCCACCCATCAAATGTGCACATCCTCGATGGAAATGCCCCGAACCTCGAGGCTGAGTGTGTCGCATATGAGGAAGAAATCAAGAAAGCCGGCGGCATTGATTTGTTCCTTTCTGGAATCGGGGAAGATGGGCACGTCGCCTTCAACGAGCCTGGTTCAAGCCTGGCAAGTAGGACTCGGGTGAAGACCTTGGCCTACGATACGATCCTTGCCAACTCTCGTTTCTTCGAAAACGATGTGAGCAAGGTTCCCAAGATGGCTCTCACAGTGGGAGTGCAAACCGTCCTGGAAGCACGCGAGGTCGTTGTGATCATCTTGGGTCAGCGAAAGTCTCTCGCCCTCCAAAGGTGCATCGAACAAGGAGTGAACCACATGTGGACACTGTCCAGTCTCCAGCTTCACCCCCACCCCATGATTGTTGTGGATGAGGATGCGACCCTGGAACTCCAGGTGAAGACGGTCAAGGTGAGCGCTAAGACATCCTTGGTGAGAAGTTTCGTCGTGAAGTAGGTAAGCTGACAACAGATGGATAGTACTTCAAGAGCATTGAGCAGGTTGCGCTGGCGCAAGGCTTCGAGCAGATCCTCCCCTCCAAGGTCCGCACTGGCAATGGAGTCGTTCCCACAACCAGGGTTGAAAAGGTTGAGTCGCCCACGATCCTGGCTCCTCAACCGACAACCTCTCGCCTCCTGAGGGCGACTCCGGCCACGGAATATCCCATCCGCTCCGTTTCCCCAGATCTTGTGCCAGATAGAATGGCGTCCCGAATTCCGGAGCCAAACATAAACCAGAGGCTCACGCCAAACCCAGAGCAGCAGGCAATGAGACAGCCTAGCGCTATTGCCGTGTGAGAGAAGGAGCGCTCGCGATTATTCCATACGAGGGTTCTATTGTTGTTTTATTTCCCTTTGTCTTAACTTAGGTAGTACTCAAGATTGTCCCACTAAGAACTACACCACGGAGTTGCATTATTAATTTGATAATTTTAAATGGGTGTCTGAGATTACCAACTTGGCTTTGGTGTGTACGGCTAGGGTTACGTGGTTACTAGAACGGTCACTGGAAATTATACAGTCGGTTTAGGTTTACGAATGAAATGATACGTTACGTTATTTTTGTTCATTGATTGAAGAAGAAAAAAAATCGGCTGTAATTGTGTCCCCGTATCGAGGATCTCATACATCATAATTGAGGCCTACTCCAAACAACCACGGGTATAATCAAGACCGATAGCTAAAGTTGAAAAGACATAGCCTCCAAATTCCCTTTTCCTGTAGGGTGATAAATAAAAGGAGAAAGTGATGCAAAAGTAAAGGAAACCAAAAAAAAGTAGCTGGTCGATGTGGCGTGGATAGGCAAATCACAACAAGCAGACAGCCAAAGCCCTCTCCAAAGCTTCTACTAGTATACACTATTCCCCACCTTGAAATCTTGTTCTTACACACCTTCAACCCTTCCACGCACGTTTAATCGGCAGCAAAGTAACGCTTTGCCTTTCGTCGAATCTGTTGGGCTTTTATCTCCGGCGGCACAACGGTGTGGTGTACCACATGTGGTCGGTAGACTGCATCGACTGGGGGCATCCTGTGAAATGTTAGCATGGAGGGAAACTCGTTTGGAGAGACTCTTAGACGCACCAGTCATCGACGCTCAAAGGGAAGTATTCGTAGAGCGGGTCACCCTCTTCTGGGGGGCTGCTCCCAGACACTAGGCCAGAGATTTGCTGTGTCTTGCCCCGGGGACTTGAGATTTCAGCGCTGGATCGATTCGGGCTTCTCTCGTCTTCAGATAATGATAGATTGATGGGAGCTGAAGGCATCTGTCGGGGTACGCCCTTTGATGACGGGTTGGTGTTTGATTTTGCCAATTGTGCATCACTCGTCCATCCCGGAACCGGGGGTTTTGCCATGGTTGGAGAGATGGCTTGGCGTTTAGATGGATGTGGCCCTTGGCCCGGCTGAGTATATGCCTGTGGCGTAGCCCATTCGCTTCCTTGATCGGACGGTGTCTGTGATGTCTGCATAGGATAAGATCCTGTGTCAATATAATTGGCTGGAATATTTGTTTGGAATGTCTGGCAGAGCAAATTCTCTCGCTCGCTCTTGATTGTTGGATGATCGGTCGAACCCGACGTGTTTCGCCGTTCAAACTTGCGATCTCCTGTCAATGGCACATCCTTCCTGCTGTCAAAGTTCCTTGGACTGCGGCCGCGAACAATGACGGGTCCTGATCGTATCTCGGCGATCTTGATTGTGTCTCCAGCCTTGGTTCGGCCAACAAGGTTAATTTGCACAACATAGTGTTGCTGCAACCCCTTTCTCCTTCCATTATTCGCAGTTGCATGTTTGAATTGCAACCTCTTCCATGCCACCGAAATGGTGGTTCGATTGGCGTCCACTTCATGTCCAGTGGATGAATCAAGTGTGATATGTGAAGGGGGGCCTGCGGTCTTCGGCTCCTCACTGGCTTGGGGGTTGGAGCTCTTCCAGGGAATCGATATGATCTCCGTCGCCTTCTTCTCGATGGACTCCATTGCAGTGATAGAAGCAGATAGCTCAACTAGGGGTAGACGGCGGCCCTGGTCGTCCACCACCGATGCCATCCGAGGAAGTGTGATCTGGCCCGTGCACTGCCAGAGGTTGCGACGATAGCATGTCAACTCAAGCGGCCGGCCAGTAGTATCGGCGCCAAATACGTCTTCAGCAACGAAAAACATTCCATATAGTTCGGCCGTCATCCCGACGTCGCATACGTTTCCCATTTCATCTACCAGTGTCGTAACAGTAATGGGGTCTGAGAATCCGAGCAGCTTGTTGTCCAGCTCCTGCGGAGAGGAACCATCATTGAGGTTATCCTGGTGGGTCGACGGCGCTTCGAACGGTCTCGTTGAATAGGAGAATGGGTCCTCAAAGGTGGCCGCTAAGCCATCGAAATCGTATGAGGGGGTGAACGGGAGTTGTCCAAACGCGCTTCCATCACTGCAAGCATGGGGCGATTAGTTGTCATATTCAGATATTCTAGGAAGCCTCTATTGAGAAAAAGATGTCTTACAGTAAGGGATCTTCGAAATTGATGTCCTGCTCGAAGCGCGGGAGTGACTGTTCAAGCTGACCAGTCGGGCCATGGCTCAGTCCATGTAGACCATCGCCAGTCGGCATGGAGTTGAAAGCCGCCATGGCATTGTTTATGCCAAGTTCAACGCCACCGCATCTGGGGAACAGACTACGCTTAACAAACGGGCGGTCCGCGATTGGAGTCCACTGCTGTGTGTGGTTGGGAGTTTCTGGCCGGTCCTCCGTCTGTCAGCCTACGCCGGCCAGTCCAACTACTGGTCCCTTTTTTGAAACACAGGATCCGTGTCTCGCCGTGCTCTTGCGCAATCGGCGTGGGTTCAGACAAATGGTCGCTGAGTCGCAATGCGGGTATCGAAGAAGCCAGCCGTCGAGCCGAAGTGGTGCGGAGTGGTGGAAGGCGCAAAATCGAGGGGTCGCACAAAGGCAACAGCAGTGGGATCCTTACGAGGCACAGGCGTGATGGTCTGGAGATGAGAGAGCGCAGTAGCTTTCTCGGACCTGAGCGTTAAGCTAATAGCCACTGGTAGCCGGTTGCCTCTACCCGCCTGTCCACCCGCCGGGCTAGGGAGGTAGGAGGTACTACAGGTACCTCCTTGAGATGATAGTGCCTGTGCTACCTGGGCCACAGTGGCATCGGCCCCCCAAAAAGCCCGCCATCCAGGCTCCACACACAGGTTCCTCCTCCATATCCTCAGGGTTCCACCTTCTGTAAAGGGTTACGCTTTGGGGGAGGGGAAGGGGCTTCATTGGACATCTGCCAGATAAGTAACTACTTCGAGAGCAACCACCCGCTGAGAAATGACGGGCAGATACTAAGATGACCATGAACATCATTGCCTAGCTCGTAGCGCGAAGCTGGACCCCGCCAGTGAAATCTTGAGGCCGGTCACCCGACACTGGCCTCCCGACTCATCAATTGCCCATATTGACATCAGCTCTTATCTCGGAAAAAAAGAAATTAGGTAGGTACCAGTCATCACTCGCCGTCCCCCTACCTACAGACAAGCTTCGACACGACATGTCTGATGTGACTGCCACAAGACATCTTCAGCCGTTCCGCTGCTAGAGCTCGGTACATGCTCCCACATGTTATAATTACATGCTGCTGCTATGGATCCCAAAACATCTGGAGGCGGGGAAAGCACTCTAGTAGGGCGATCCTTCCGACACACATTCCTGACCGGCCGAGATCCCGTGACATTTATATTTGGGCTACGTGCGACAGGCGGCGACTGAAGGGCCGAAGACGGGATGGAGCCAGCCTGAAGGTGGTGCCGTAGCGTTGCATTTCCTTGCCCATCATGACCTTATCGCCACAACGCCTGGTTGCCTGCATGTTGACGGTTTTGAATATATTATCTCCTTGGGCCAGACTAACACAGAGCATAATAACGTAAGCATCACCCCTTTCGCTACGTCTCGGGTTGTACCAAGGAGTACCTTACTTCTATTTTAGTCTACCTAATCTATACCGGTGAACGAAAAAAAATTGAAAGCAAAACCCTGCCAAAACTCCGTACAATATGCTTGTTACAGGTCCCCACCACCAACTAAGACCATTCTAACCCAAATGTCTGAACAACCGAGACAGCAAGACATAAAATACTCACACTAATCCATTCCCTGTTTCTCGTGAGTAGTACATTCTACAAACTGCCCGTTCTATGAAAGGTGTGGGATACTCGATGTACATGAAAGTCCTGTTTCCTAATAAGATTAAGTGGTCCTCTTACTAGGCCGGGATACCCGGGTTCCGAACTTCCAAACCTCTTCTAATACCAATTGAGTTGAGCCATCGAATGTATGATCTGATAGAATGATGAGGTCAGCATCGGCATCGGCGTCCAATGTGCCTTTAATGCCCTGCAGCCCTAGCATGGCGGCTGGCGTGGAAGTTACCGCTTTGAGGGCTGCTGGAATGCTGGTCCCTGACCACTGGAGGAAGTTATTGACACACTCAAGAAGCGTGATAGAGCTACCAAGTCGGTCAGTTGGATGTCAAGTTGGCTAGGGGACTTTGGGTAGTTTCTGCTCCGGCTTACCTTCCAGCAATTGTATTTGATCCCTCGAGGAGCAGAGTATAGCCGTCTTTGACTATGTTGCAGGTCTTCTGCCCATTGGTCCATGGGTAGACGCCGTCAGGCAGTCCCACCATGTGCATTGCATCTGTAACCAAAATGAAGCCTTCTGGGTGAGAATTGAAGGCGATTTTGATCGTTGTGGGGTGGAGATGGATCCCGTCGGCGATGATACCAAAATATGGCCGATTCAAGGTCTCAGCAATGCCCAAGACTCCAAAGACGCCTGGGTTTCGGTGATGAAGCGGCCGCATAGCGTTGAATAAATGCGTTATCATGGTGGCACCATTGTCCACCGCGCTCGAGGCATCCTCGTACGTGGCTTCAGTGTGTCCGATGGAGTATATGATTCCCCTTGAACAAATCTCGGGGATGAGTTTCATCATGTTCCCACGCTCGGGGGCAGCAGTGATCATCCTGATGGGGATGATATCATCTTCGGACTGGGGGGTCAAGTTCTCAGCCCCATAGCAATCCTCAATATCCTTGAATGAGTGAGCCTCTGTCAACACATCCACATTGTGCACACCATTCTTGGCAGGGTTCAGGAATGGGCCCTCGCAATGGGCCCCGAGTGACTCTGCACCATCTGCTGCTCGTCTCGCTCGGCCTGAGGGTCCTAAGAAGGGCACGACCTAGATCAAACAGGCAGCTTGTCAGCGATGTGAATGAATCATTAGCGAACATGTGCACAAACCTTCTTGTACAACTCCGGACGTTGGCTGGTGACGGTGGGAACGTAAGACGTGACACCAGTTTGAACCAGAAGCTGGTTGAGCTCCCCGACCTTTTCCCCGTACAGATGGTCTTGTTCCAGCACGGTGGAAAAGTTGAAGCCAAAGGCACCGTTGAGCTGGCATTCGATCATCCCGGGTGCGAGGATGCGTCCGCCAAGATCAATAACCTCATCGGGTAAATTGAGCTCATCATAGAATGAAGCTTGGCTGTGAATAATCTTCCCGGTCAGAGAACTGACCCAGAGATCCTCTTCCACCAACTTGTCGCCTTTTAGAAGACGGCAGTTGGTGAATTTTGTAAGGCCATTGCGAGCCCTGGTAGGAGAAAGGGCAATGGGCATGGCTGATGGATGGATGTGGGTGGGTGTGGGTGATTTGATGTGATATCAGGTGTGCTCGGGGAGGAGGGAGTAATAGTTGGGAAGGATAGGTTCGGAGAAGCTTGCTATGAGATAAGCAGCCTACGGTTCAAATAAGATTCAGAGGCTTTTCTGAAGGCAAGGTTCGGGCAGTCTACTATTATCACCACACACACACATGACCAAGAAAGAAGTACGTACATCCGACTAATACCTTGGTGCTAGTATATCTCTTCCGTCTTCGGAACCTACAACCGGTCAAGGTGCAATTCTGAGCAATTCTGGAGCCATGTTCCAATGGATTGTTCCAGCAGGCCTGGGTTGTGACAAATCTGTTCGAGAGGTGAGGTGATGTGATATGAGCAGACCTACCATAACACTGGCTCTATCGCCGGCGATCCAAGCATTCTTCCCACATGCTTGTCTGATACGCCGAGCGTGTCCCAGTCAACGTGTCCTATGATGAAATGGAAGCAGTGACAGTGGATACATCCAAGACCCAACGCACCCCGGAAGAGACGGACACCACCGTCAGGTGTCGTGGCAGTCGCCGTCCGGTGGTGATGCGACAATGATTTGTGACAGGCGCCGGCTCGCGCTTGGCATCGGCGAGCAGTACATAGTATCAGAGGATTACTTGGTAGGTTGCTTCCAGCCTCCCATGTAACGTTGGGTCGGCCGCCGTCCTTTGTCTTGCCTGGGCGGTTCTCTCTATCCACTCCTTCTAGAAACTACAAACCACCAACAGCTGCCAAGGAGCTAGTGCCAGTCGCAACTTAACCTAAGACACAGGTACATGTAGGTACCTCGAGAGCCCATTCACCAGCACGCGACCCTGGATTTTAGCGGACCCATCTGTGGCGGCCTGTGGCTAGAGGCTTCGGTTGGCTGGCTTGGCTGGTGCCCCTGGTCCCCCCAGCAAGGTACTTCGGAAGGTCGTCAGCAGAGCGACAGTGCGTACAGTGTGACTGGGCTCTTCGCTAGGAATCGGGTGGGCTGGCTGAGGCAGGTACTTTGCAACGGCCCTATTCCGTGTCACAGCCAGTGAAGCCCATTCTGCGGCAGGCGCAAGTGACATGGAGCCTCTGTCCATCCATCCCACGTCGTCGCTGTCCAGGCTCCAGCTTCCCGCGCGCCCTGTGCACACAACACATCCATATCAAACTCCAGGGACCGGCTGATCTGAGGAGACGTCAGCGCAGAGCCGGATTGTTACATTTCTTCCTCACTCTTCAGCTTCTCGAATTTTGGAGCCTTGCTAGTGCTGCCCGTGCCCGTGGCGGCAACGGTCTTCAGGGTCTCATGCCTACTGGCTTGCGACGAGCTCCAGATCCAGGCAAGCGGAGCATGGTTCGAAGCAACCATAGCGTGACAGGCCGAGTTTTCTTGAGTTGGGTGATTTCACGGCCCTCAGGATGGCGAGCAATAGTGAATTAGACCCACTATGGAGGAATGTCGATTGGTGCGTGAGGCTCTGCATACTCTCTTGACAATGTGCATTCCAGTTGGTCCCTGTGTGAAGCCAGCCATGGCGCCAGCCTTGCATGGCGAGCCGTTATCGACATGTGTCGTTGTAGGAATGCGGTTCTCCCGCTGGCTCTACCCAACGGCTTCTAACGTTTTTTTGAACGCCAGATCGCTAATGCTTCATGTAGGGCGATTGGTCAGACCCTCCTGATGGGATGGGACGGCACAGAGGTCACCGCGGAGATCAGAACCCTAATTGAAGATCACCATCTCGGATCAATCATCTTGACTGCCAAGAACCTCGAATGTTAGCCCCCCTTGTTTCTGTTCTCATTTTCTTTGTGCCTTTCTCCCCATTGCTTCCAGCTGTTTTCTGCCATTCGCATTCTATCTACGAGATCTGTGTGATGTTTCATTTGCTCCAGTACAAATATGTGTCTGGTTTGGGGAAAGGAGTAAAATCATATATATGCTAACTTGCTCTCAGCGGCCCAGCAAACATCAAGACTTGTCCAGGAGCTTCAGACAATCGCCAAAAATGCTGGGCATCCGTATCCCTTGTTGATCGCCCTGGACCAGGAGAACGGGGGGGTAAATAGTCTTTTTGACCAAGATCTTGTCTGTCAATTCCCGAGCGCAATGGGAATTGCTGCTACAGGGCGGGCTGAGCTGGCATACGAAGTCACCAAGGCTACAGCTACGGAGATATCGGCCTGTGGCGTAAACTTGATGCTTGGTCCAGTCCTGGATGTGCTCAACAATGCCCGCTACCAGCCTTTGGGAGTGAGGGCGACTGGTGATGATCCCCAAGAGGTGTCTCAGTATGGCCTAGCCGCTCTCAGTGGTATCCGTGACGCCGGAATGGCTTCTTGTGGCAAACATTTCCCTTCCTACGGCAATTTAGACTTCCTCGGTTCCAACTTGGATGTTCCCATCATCACTCAGACTCTAGAGGAGCTAAGCCTCAGTGCCTTGGTTCCTTTTCGCAATGCCATCGCTTCTGGGAAACTTGACGCCATGTTCGTTGGTGGTTGTGGTATTTCCAACCCATCAATGAACGTAAGCCATGCTTGTCTCTCGGATCAGGTCGTGGATGACTTGCTGAGAACCGAGCTTGGATTTGACGGTGTTGCTATTTCAGAGTGTCTTGAGATGGAAGCGTTAAGCCACGACCTCGGTGTTCAAAACGGAGTGGTCAGAGCTGTGCAGGCAGGATGTGATCTGGTACTGCTCTGCCGTGCGTACGATGTGCAGTTGGAGGCTATAAAAGGTCTAAAGCTCGGCATAGAGGACGGTATTATATCAATGGCAAGACTTATGAAATCTGTCAAGCGGGTTTTAAAACTCAAGGCCCGCTGCACCTCATGGTCAAAAGCTTTGCAGCCACCGGGAACATCGTTACTTTCTCAACTTCACCCATCACATTTGGCTTTATCTAGACGAGCCTATGATGATTCAATCACTGTCATCAGAGACAAGGAGAAATTGCTTCCGCTCTCTTCTTCTATGCACCCAGGCGAGGAGCTTCTTTTGCTTACTCCTTTGGTCAAGCCACTCCCAGCTTCGCAGTTAACCAAGAGCCTCGCCGGATCGAAACCCAACGGCCAGTCATTAATACCCACTATTCACGATTCTTGGAACCATAGTGAACGGGAGAGAGGATCAATCCTGAGCGGCGAGGGTGTCTTCAGGGAATTTGGAAAAGAATTGGCGCGCGCAAGAAATGAAAAACTCCTTCACACGAGCTATACCGCCAATGGAGTGCGCCCAGGTACTACTATTTTAAACCCCTCCCGCAAGCTGCGCCAAGATATCGAAGACGGAAGCTAACAGAAATTAGTTCACGAAAATCTGATCAATAGAGCATCCTGCATCATCATCATCACGGCAGATGCAACTCGAAACATGTACCAGGCCGGCTTTACTAAGCATGTCGATATGATGTGTTCCATGCTTCGTAGCCGTGGCCAGAAGAAGCAACTCATTGTTGTTGCAGTGAGCTCGCCATATGATTTTGCCATGGACACGTCTATCGGTACCTACATTTGCACTTTCGATTTCACCGAGACAGCTATGCATGCTTTAGTCAGAGCACTGGTGGGCCAGACGACTCCTAGTGGCACCCTTCCTGGAACCCTCCGAAAGAGTAAGAAGGTTCTAAAGCCGAGGCAACATTGGTTGGTGGAGGAATATGACCGCAACCGTGATGCAGCAGGGTTGGGCGATCTATTGCGGGCCGTCAACCGGGCAAGCATACCAGATCTCCAATTCCTGCGAACTACAAGCGCGTCGTCGTTTGAACTATCTAACCCCAACGTTAAGGAAGCACACTTTGTAGTTCGCAATAGTAGCACGCACGCCTTGTATGGCTTCGTTGCCACATATTTCGTCTCTGGCGTGGGTATCCTCGGGGCATTGATAGTTGATCCCAGTAAGCGAAACGTGTCGATAGGGAGATCTCTCCACCGACGGGCTTTGCGAACTCTCAAGCAGCAACAGGGCCTCAAGAAGCTTCAGGCGGGGACGTCATTTCCAGGTGTCTTTCTCGGAGTCCCTGTAGACGTCGGGTCCCATAATACGAGAGAGTGGCTCGCGAACAAGGGCTGGGACACTCAGTTTCCGCGGCGGTTGACGAACATGATTATTCCAGATCTCTCGAACTGGACTGCCCCAGAAGGGCTGCTTCAGAGTATTCAAAGGGCCAATATCACCTTCGATTTGATCCATGGCTTGGAAAATGCGGATAGCGTCTTGAACCATGTGGGCAGTCATTCAAATCCGGAAGTGCTGGAACTGTACAGGACCGCACTTTCTGAGACGAAGTTTTGCGGGATTGTCCGAGCAAAGGAGCCTTCCGGGAATCTTCTCGGCACCATCATCATTTCCAGGCAGCGTAGCCCCCTGGCTACCTCAATTTCTCCACTCATGTCTCACACAGAAGACATCGGTGGGATACTTGCGCCCGTTGTCCCCATCGGACCACTCTCAACGCTGACCCTTCAAGGGCTTGCCTTGATGGGAATCCGTCAAAACAAAAGTCACAAAGCATTGAAAACGGTTCTCTCATGGGTACGTGTCTATTAGTGGAGTTCTCTTACTTATAAAATGCTAACGTATAGTTCCAGGCTGTCGATGATGAGTACGAACCACTGCTGGCGATGGGATTCGAGATCCTACAAGCATTTGAAGAAATCACAAACTCTCCTGATAATGTATACATTTTCGGACCAGGTCGCAGAGAGTGTCTTGCTAACTGTGAACAGTTCTCAGATCTCGTGTAAATAGCCCGAGGCGGCAACGATTTACGGACATTTTCATGCGCATATATGAAGTTATTTTGGCATCTTTTTTTCTCCTCAACTATTTTTTTACCTACAGCGCCGACACTTGGATTTTTTGGATAGCCAACAGTCACGGGTCTTGTAATAGTACCTAAATTGGTTTACGGGCATCAACATTTTATCTGATCACGGTTTCACCCAATGGTTCTCGTTCCTTCTCTTCATTGTGAGAGGCTAATAACTAGCGAGAAATTCGCGTGTCATGAAATCAGCTATTAAGAGGATTCAATGGAAACCGCCGCATCGCCCTGCAGATCTCGGCCCTCGGAGCTAATCTTGACATCACCGCTGAGAGCAGAGGTATCTTTGAGCTTCCCATCATCTCCAACTTCTAACTCGCCAATACTGGTACCATCTGACTTGACAAGCTTAGCTTTGGCACCGGGAGTAACCTGGTAGAGCGCGATCTCAACATTCTGTCCGTAGTCATACACGGCACCGACGACTTCCCGATTGCCGAGCACGAGAACAGTGTTCTCTCGGACATACAGGGGCAGTGTTCCAAAGCCATGTTTCTCCTTGAACCAACCTGGGCCAGTGCGTACTTCGTTGGTGTAAAATGATGTCCATTTCCCACGGGGTAGGTAAAACTCCACGTCTCCAGACTCTTCGAAAATAGGGGCAGCGAGGAGCTGGGATCCAATCATAAACTGACGGTCTATGTACCACGCTGTTGGGTCCTCGGGGAACTCAAGAGCTATAGATCGGAGAGAAACGGGAAGACCGTCTTCTCTAGAATCGATAGCTTGGGAGTAAATGTACGGCATGAGGCGAGTCTTAAGGTTGGTCCACTTGGCCAATGTCTTTGAGCACCCTTCCTCGGACTGATCATCATCGTCGATAGTCCATGGAACACGGTACGAGTTGCTGCCATGGAGGCGGCTATGGCTGCAGAGTAGACCCATTGCCACCCAACGTTTGTAGACCCAGGGTGGAGGGTATCCTTCAAATCCCCCAATATCACAGCTCCAGTATGAAAAGCCGCTAATTCCCAGAGACAGGCCACCTCTGATAGACTCTGCAAGGGCTTCGGGTGTGGACTCACAGTCTCCTCCCCATTGCAGAGGAAATCGTTGTGTGCCAGCACATGCAGCTCTAGCAAACAAAACGGCTTCGTCGTTGCCATATCGCTTCTGGAGGGCTTCGTATACAAGTCTGTTGTATAGGAAAGCATAGTAATTGTGCATCTTGTGTGGATCGACCGATTCGTCATACCACTGAACATCAAGTGTGGGGATACGCTCGCCAAAGTCCGTCTTGAGAGCATCGACTCCTTTATCAAAGAGTGAGTTGAGGCAGCTGACATACCACTCTCTTGCTTTGGGGTTTGTCACATCCAATAGGCCCATGCCGGCCTGCCAGAGGTCCCATTGCCAGACGTCTCCATTCTTGCGCTTGAGCAAAAAACCGTTCTCTGCTGCATGCTTGAAAGCTGCCCCATGCTGAGCAATATAGGGGTTGATCCACACACAAACCTTTTTGCAGAGTCCGCTCTCCTTGAGTCGCGAAATTTGAGCCTGGGGGTCGGGGAATCTCTCCGAGTCGAACACAAAATCAGTCCAGGTGAACGCCTTCATCCAGAAACAATCATAGTGGAAGACGTCGACGGGTGAGCCGCGATCCTTCATTCCTTGCAGGAAAGAGTTCACCGTAGCTTCGTCGTAATTAGTGGTGAAGCTGGTCGTCAACCACAGGCCGAAACTCCAGCTAGGCACCTTGCCTGGCTTACCCAGCAATATGGAGTACTTCTTCAGAACCTCCTTAGGGGTCGGGCCATATATAATGTACCACTTAAGTCTCTGGCCCTCAACGACGGTTTGGACTCTGCAGGATCGCTCGCTACCGACTTCGAGTTCCACTCTACCGGGATTGTCAATGAAAACACCGTATCCGCGGCTACTCATCCAGAAGGAGACGTTCTTGTAGGCCTGCTCGCTGGAAGTGCCGCCGTCCGCATTCCAGAGGGTAACAGCCTGGCCAACCTTGTTCCAAGCGCCAAAGCGCTCGCCGAGTCCATGAACAGACTCTCCGACAGATAGGTTGGTCTGGTAGAACATGTAATGCTGAAAGTTCCTCATGTCTCCAGTTTGCATCGGGTTGCTAGGTGCTGGTGTATACGCAAAACCGACGCTACGTGCCCCGAGCTTGGTGAGTTGCTTGGTGCCATCACTGCTACCAAATTGGATTTCAAATTTGTGAGGGCCAGGGTGGACCGTCGCAGACAGCGATCCTGATGTCAACGATGTACCCTTATCATTCGTGATAATCTGAGCCTGTGGGCTGGACGGTTTGCCGTCGGGGTATATTTCATAATGGGGGCCTTTGTTCTGAGCGCCAGCCCAGTGAGTTGATTCAATCGAGATGACACCATCAAACTCAGCTTTGATATCCTATTAATATTTCATTAGGACAATCTTTCTTTACCAACTGAAGTGAAAGATAAAATAATATCATACAAGTGTTATGGTGGGCTGGTTGAGAGTCCAGCCCCGGGAGAGGATCTTCTTGACTGGGCACAGAAGGCTAATACTCTGCTGGTCTTCCGAAGGTGTGATCTGGTACACCTCTTCCGCATACTCAGTCTGGACCCCTTCGGCGGGAAGCCACATGCCATCGCGGAGGCGAACCATTGTGCAATATTGGGTGCGGCTGAATACAAGGGAGCTCTAGTTAAGTGCGAGACACACAAGCTTGTGTTTGAGACTTAATATCCCCAAGTCTCAGTAAAATGAGGAGGGGAATGTTCGAAGAGCCCACGCCCTGGCCCTAGGACACTCGATGCATTGCACCCTTGTCACCATCTACGTCAGGTCTGTTTAGCCGCCTTGTGGAAGCCTGCATGGCGAACGACGCGAGATTTGATAATGTAACCGCACAACTACTACCATTCGAGCGTTTCTCACGCCAGGCCTGAAACTTGTCCGCCCAGCAATTGGCAATTGGTGGGAGAGATTACCTCCGGGGCCGGATAAATCGATGTAACAGTTGGGCATCCAGGCATAGCTACATCGTGCAGCAGCTCTGCGGGGGAGGAAATGCCAACCTTGACAACCCTCTCATTCGCCCGCAAATCAGCTGAATTAACCGAAACATCCGAAGGAGACGGTATTACGGGACGCTTACCCGTGTGCTATGTGTAAGACTAACCCATGAGTTCGCTGGTCCATTCGACCAAGACTCTTTTTCAACCTCCGATGACCCCCTCACACTCCACTGCCGTGAAGATCCCAGTTCTCGCATCTGCAAAACAGCCCGGATAAATATAGTCAACTTCGGTCTGATCACCGTTTTCGCAATGCTCTCTAAGGCTCCCGAGTGCGGCCTCCTGGGATCTCTGCTCCACGCTGAACTTGGCACGCTTGCGCCTTCGAGGGAAGTAAAGTGTGCAATTTCCGCTTCTGCGTCTTGAATTGGACTAAGAGTCAATATCTCACACACGACTATGATTGCCGAAGCTTCGGCTGTTGTTCCTCGTTTTTGGCTGGGCGACCTTCCCATTGTGGGAGTAGGGGAGAGGGGGGGAGTATGACTGTATGTCATTGCTAGACTGTAGTAGAAATAGACTCAGGCGCCCCCTTTTTCCAAATCATTGGAATTCCCTTCATCCTAGGTGCTTTTCCAGTCGTTGCAATGAAAGCCTTTCTCGCCCTGGGCACGGCCTTCCTGGCCGGGTTGGCCCAAGCCACCAACTCTTCCACGCCGCTGTATAAGCACCCCAACGCCACTCTGGATGACCGAGTATCTGACCTCCTCAAGCGGATGACCATCCAGGAGAAGGTGTCCCAGCTGGTTCAGGGAGACATAAGAAACTACCTCAACCTCACTGATGGGACCTTGAACCAGACCGGACTGGAGTGGAGCATGGCCACCCGCGGCCATGCGGTCTGGTCCGGTCTCTACGCGAAGCCTGAGATAATCAAGCTGGGTGCCCAGATAGCCCAGGATTATCAGATAAATCAGACCGAGCTAGGTAGGCAGAGATACCAGAAGATATCATTAAATCCCAAAGACATTTTTTGCTGATGGTGAGACAAACAAAAAAGGCATCCCGACCTACGTCTCAGGCGAAGGTCTGCACGGATTCCTCGCCCTGAACGCGACCATTTTCAACTCGCCCATCGGGATCGGCTGCTCGTTCAACCCGGAGCTGGTCGAGAAGATGGCGAGGGTCATCGCCGTCGAGGCGCTGGCGCTGGGCGTCAACCAGCTCTTCTCGCCGGTTGTTGACTTGGCCAGGGAGCTGCGCTTTGGTCGTGTGGAGGAGACTTTTGGGGAGGACCCATACCTGTCAGTTCATGTCTCCCCCATTTCCCAATTCTGAGAATCTAACACTGATGGTGAATTGCAGGGCTGGTGAATTTGGATACCATTACACCAAGGGCTTGCAAGATGAGGGTGCTTGCGCCCAGGTCAAACACTTTGTAAGTTTCCGTTCGGGTGTGTGAGGGGAGTCACAAAATGATGAGAGCATTTTGTTCTAAGTCCGTTTGTTTCTAGGCGGCTTTTGCTTCTCCTGAGCAGGGCATTAACACTGCGCCTGTGCATGGAGGAGAACGCGAGTTGCGGAGCCTCTATCTCCCGCCGTTCAAGCGGGCCATTATCGACGGCGAGGCTCTGTCGGTCATGTCGTCGTACAACTCGTACGACGGGTATCCCGTCATTTCGAACCCTCACATCATGACTGACATCCTGCGTGGAGAATGGGGGTATGAGAACTTTGTGATTTCTGATGCTGGTGCGACGGCCCGGCTCATCGATGCATTCCATATCTGCGGTAAAAATGATAATGAATGTATCACGACTGAAGTAAGTGGTATATTCTCTTAAATGACAGGGGGGTCAAAAATACAAAGGAATAGGAAACTAATGGCTTGTAGGTCCTCCCTGCAGGCAATGACGTGGAAATGGGCGGTGGACTCTACAGTTTCGAGATCATCCCTGAGCTGGTCGAGTCTGGCAAGCTTGACATTGAGATAGTGGACACAGCTGTTTCTCGTGTTCTGCGCGCCAAGTTCGCTCAGGGTCTGTTCGAGAAGCCATACAGCGGCGTGCCAGATGACAAGATCTTTGATTATCTGGGCACTGAAGAGCACAAGAAGCTTGCTCAGGAGCTGGATGCCGAGAGTATCGTGCTCCTGGAGAACCACAACAACGTTCTGCCACTGAAGAAGGACGCAAATGTTGCCGTCATTGGCCCCATGGCCCATGGCTATGTCAATGTATGTGAAAACCACCCAATGAAAGTTAAGATTGCCAACAGCTAACGTTACTCCCAGTACGGTGACTATGTGATCTACACTTCCCAGTATCATGGCGCTACACCTCTCGACGGCATTGAGGCTGTCAGCGAAGGAACTGTCACGTACGCGAAGGGTTGCGAACGCTGGTCCAACGACGAGTCAGGCTTCGCCGAGGCAGTCGCCGCAGCAGAAGCGGCGGATGTAGCGGTCGTGGTTGTGGGAACCTGGTCAAGAGACCAAGACGAGCTCTGGGCACCCCTCAATGCCACGACGGGCGAGTCGAGAGACGTCCACGACCTGGGCCTCGTCGGCGCCATGCCACGTCTTGTGCGTGCCATCATCGACACCGGTAAGCCCACAGTGGTGGTTTACAGCTCTGGCAAGCCGATTACCGAACCATGGATCTCAGAGGAGGCCGCTGCTCTTGTCCAGCACTTTTACCAATCCGAGATGGGTGGCCATGCGCTGGCCAGCATCCTCTATGGCGATGTCAATCCGTCGGGCAAGCTGTCCGTGAGTTTCCCTTATGACGTGGGCACCACGCCTATTTACTACAATCACCTCAAGTCGGCGCGATCATTCTACAATGTCGGCCAGGAGTATGCCAACGGCACTCTCCATTTCGGCCAGACCTATGTTCTCCAGAACCCCACGGCACTGTACACATTCGGCTATGGCCTGTCGTACAGCAACTTCACGCTCTCCAACATCCAGGCATCATCGGAGACGGTTTCGGCGGCCGACACGGTCACGGTGTCCGTCGATGTCCAGAACACGTCTGACCGTGACGGCGCCGAGGTTGTCCAGCTCTACGTGCAAGATGTGCTCAGCTCAGTTGAGGTGCCCCGCTGGTCGCTCAAGGGGTTCAACAAGGTCAAGGTCAAGGCGGGTGAGACAGAGACGGTCAAGATAGACCTCAAGGTGGAGGATTGGGGCCTGTGGAACCGGAAGATGGAGTATGTCGTCGAGCCTGGAGAGTTTCTAGTTTTGGTGGGCACGTCTAGCGAGGACTTTGCAGGCAACGTGACCGTTACGGTGCAATAGCGAGAGCCTCCATGTATGTAAATGATACATCACATCACCTGTGCTATCAATACGGTGGGAATAGGTGTCGCACAAGCAATCGTGTTTGTTGTAATGGTTCACTACTGCACGCCAATATGCAGGTGTCTTTCGTTGCGTGTCAGTGGCATCTGGGCGCTAAAGTACTCCAGCCCCGTACAATAGCCGTGATTATGATTATGATTAAGCGAGAGTTGCACGGCATCGGAGAAAATGAGGTCCGGTAGTTGCTCTGCGATTGGCTGAACTTTTGCCAGTGCTGTCATGGCCCACATGGAGGTGGGCAGCCTCGCTTTCCAGTGCTGTTTCCTGTTCGCGTATTTCTCCAAACCATCGCCCTGCGACCCTGGATGTTGCCCTGTACGCCCAGCCAGCCCACGACGCCGTTTTCCAGTCGCTGCTGCGGGAGAGTGTGTTCCTTCGACCTAGGATACTCCCTGCTCGATTTCTTTCCATTCACCCACCAAACGATTAATCGATCCAAGTATTCCTACCCAACCTCTGTGGCTCGACGGCGGGCCACCTACTCTGGCCCGATTCCCGCCCTCCGCCTCCCTAAAGCCTGCCCACAATGGCCACTCAACAGGTTCTTTTCGCCGAGACGATTGCCGGCATGAAAAAGGCCTTCAAGCGCAAGGCATATGGTGCGCGCTCCTCCTGTGCACTCAATCTACGGAACCCTACTAACTCGATGGCCCACCAGAGTCTGATTCCGACTCCGAAATCGAAAAGTACGGCAACCGAGGCCAAAAACTCAAGCGAAAGGCTCGATTGTCACACAGAGGGCAATTGGTGCCCGCAGACGGCATCGGCTCATACAATGAGGTAGGCATGATGTGTCGCCTGAGCTGCGGAATAGGCTGACAAATTCTCTGCAGTCCGTAGAGTACGCCGGTGTGCGACGGTCGATCATCCATCGCAACCTACCTCTCGTGGACGAGGAAGGCTACGAAATCGATAGCGACGACGATGAAGCCCGCATCGAAGAGGCCCTGGCCGCGGCCATGGAGCTAAATCCATACGCCAACATTAACCTAGACAGTACGAGTTTCGTCGGTTTTGCTCCCTTCGGCAAGTTGCTAACAGTGTACCCAGATATTCTCGCTCCCCTGACCGCATCAACCGATTTACCAACCCATCCGACACTATCCAAACCGTTCACATCGCAGAAGCTGACCGACCTTGCCTTTCAGAGCAGTATGATGCTTCGTCGGGAGAACCACTCGCTCTGGCGAGTTCGACATCTCTGGACCAGCCTTTGCGGCGACTACACTTGGGCGCCTTGCCAGATGATGCTGGGTCCGAATGATTCCGACCTCTTCACAGACGATCATGTCGCGCAACATTTGTTAAACCTTTCCAAGCCAAAGGGACATGGCAACAGCGGGGTTTCAACACCCGCCACAGTCACTGCGCAGGCACGAAACGATGACGCCGAAGTCACAGCCAATTCAGTTGATCAGTCCCGCGAAATCGTACCCCCCACAGCGACCTCCAACCAAGAGGCCGATGTGCCCATGATTGACGTTGGCTCGACAGGCCCCAAAGACAACAATGACGGTAACAGCGCCCAGTCAAACGGTTTAAGCAAGACTGCAGCTGTGAACGGAGACGAGAACTACAAGGCTGGCAATAATGAGGGAGCGGAGAAAGCTCAGGATAGTGAGAAGGCGGGCCCAGCTCTGCAACCAAACAACAGCGTCGATGAAGCTCACCAAGACCTTCACGTACCGGAGATTCCTAAGTCCTCAGCGCTATCGGAAGCTCCTGAGGACAGCTTTATTCACCCGATGTTTCTACCTCCAGTCGGCGCTAGCCCTGACAGAGACCTGGGACTGCCTGAACAAGAAGCCGAGGATGTCCGAAGACTGCTTGCGCTCTTCGTCCAGAAACAAGAGGAGGTCTGTCGCGGGGTCAAGAAGCTGCACGACGGCCTGTACAAGGCCCAACGACTACGAAAAAACGTTCTGCACTGGTCCAAGGCAGAGGCGCACTGTGGCCCGAACCGTGACTTGTCCGATGGCGAGGACTGGTATGATAAAGAGGAGTGGGGTCTCACAGAAGACTTGAAGAAAGGTCAAGATGACGAGGAGGAGGACACGACAGCCACAGCCAAAAAGACGAGGAACCGAAAGTAGACTCAGCCTTGGGCAGCATAGTTTAATGATAATGACTACACTTGGGGTGGAATTGGTTTGTCCTCAGTAGGACAATGATATTTGCTATCTACGCATTGGACTAGGACGGAGTTCAGGGCTCAAATGCACTTATCGATAGATGGTGTTTATTAGCGAGTTTGGATTTACGCATAGCCTCGGCATTTGTATTGGGCTGATAATTAATATATTACCTACCTACATATGAACCTTGAAATCATGTAGATGTCTCCCCCCAAAACAGCTGTTGCGACCGGCGGACATGTGAATGACGTGCAAAACAAGCTGTGCGGCTTATGATGGCCTAAGACGGAACCGGCCCCCGCATCTGTCACTGAGGCGTCCATACAAAAGGCGCCATGAGCTATCACAAATTTCAATAATTCTCCCTTTACCCTACCGTGATTCTCCTTCTTTCATCTAGCAGCTCTCCCGTTTGCATTGCTACACCCGCCGTCTTCGTCGTGTTTCATTGTTTGTGTCTCTACCACTACCAAGCTACATACCCCTCATTGTCGCCATGGAACACCTCCAAGAGCTTGTCAATTACGTCGACTTTGACAAGCAGAGCTTGCTCGGTACGTCCCGGGAGCTCCCAGGGTAGCTCTCCATCTACACAGGCATTCTGACACATGTCCCCAAACAGTCTCAGCCGGCTCAATCCTGTTCAATCCATTATTCTGGAAGTATGTCGTGCCTCTTTTCCTGCTCAAGTCCGCACTTAATTGACACAAACCTAGCATCGTTGCTCGCCAAGGTCCGAACAATTCACTCAAGCAGGGTCTCTCTCATCGCTAACCGAACCGCCATCCAGAGTACCGCAACAAGGTCTTGACAAAGCTCTTTGGCGGGAACTCGCAAAATGCCTGCTATGCCCTCGCCGCAACCATCTTCTCTCTTGGTCTCCTCCGTGACTGGCTCTACAAGACGGCCATCTTGGAGCAGCCCTCGCACCCGCTCCTCGAATCCGTGTACTCGCAGGCCGCGGCCTACACGCTGCTCGCCTGCGGAAACATCCTGGTCGTCACGTCCACATGGGCCCTGGGTATCACGGGCACTTTCCTAGGTGACTATTTCGGGATCTTGATGGATGAAATGGTGACAGGCTTCCCATTCAACGTTTGTGGTGCGCCAATGTACTGGGGTTCCTCCATGAACTTCCTCGGCTCTGCTCTCCTCTTCGCCAAGCCCGCCGGGATCCTTTTGACCGTTGAAGTCGTGCTGGTTTACATCGTCGCTCTGAGATATGAAGATCCCTTCACTGCCGGAATCTATGCCAAGCGGGAACGTGAGAGAGCCGCCAAGAAGCAGAAGTGAGCCACGCCTCCTCTGGACAGGGCCCGAGATGGACGTTCTGTTCTCTGTCTTGGGTCTGCCCTTGTAAGAGGCTGCTGATCGGCCTCCGTACCAACAATGCGCCATCCTCGTTTCCCCATCTTGAATGTCTTGCTCGCGTGGACGTGACAATACCTACCAGCACAGTGAGGCTTCTCGTTTTGATGGCACCCCCTTTTTTCAACCAACCGGCAAGCATTCAACAACAGCCGATGCTGGAGAATTGCTCTGGCATACTGAATACTGAATCGTCTATGAATACATGTGATGCAGTTGATTACAATGATAGATAGACAATTGAAAAAATACAAGAACAACCATGAGTTTGTTCGCCAAACCTTGCGCTCCTGAGCTTCGATGAACAGGGACAGTAGCTCTATAGACAGCTTGCTCTGATGAGATGAGACCGTAGCTGGCTGTTGATGGAGACACATACGTCAGCGGGCATGTGCCAAACCCCACCACCGCCCAAGTACCGTCGCAGCGCGCAACCCCGCGCATTGCTCAGGTACTTGCTGAAGCACCTACCACTTATTCACTGTCCCCAAATACGGCAGAGACTGAATCTCGCCATTCTGGACTGAAGCTCTGGGCTGCAGCTCTTCGTCGTCGGTCCACCGGGTGTGACCTCCATCCAATTACATTCCGCGCCGGCTCCATCACGCTGGACTCAAGTTGGGTCTTGCCCTTGCGCAAACATCCAAACTCCAGCTCTCCCATTCTGTCGCATTTGCCCGTCACGCATCTTCACAGGTCGGGCGTCTCCCCGACTGGACCCCCGCAGCAAGCAGACAGATTTACTTAGTTTGGTGTGGGTATTATCTGAACTTTGGCAGGGCGAGCTCGCCTCACAGCCACCTGACTACTGGGCAGTGTTGACCTAACTTTCCCAATAGCAAAAAAACAAGCTTCTACCTATTCATACTTGGCTCGAATTACGGAAGCGCACTGTAGTAGGAAAATAATACACAATGTTCCAGCAGGTAAGAAAAGCTTGAGAAGTGTATATCATCGTGAAGGACCTCACGAGAGATATCACTCAAGAACCCTTGTGGTCCAGCCCTATTCATTCTGCATACCGAAGAAATGCCACGCGAAGACGTCAAGACTGACAGGCTACTTTAGAAAAAACCGTACTCGGCGGTGACGGTCACCATCGAGAACCTCACGGGTGAGACCTACGAGGAGGAGGATCTCAGCGGCATCCCGGAGCTCGTCGAGGTGATCAAGCTCCAGGCGTCGGGCCCCAGCGAGGCCGCCCGCGCAATCAGGAAGAAGCTCAAGTACGGCAACGTGCACCGCCAGATCCGCGCCCTCGTCATCCTGGACGGCCTCATCCAGAACGCCGGCCCAAGGTTCCAGCGAGCCTTCGCCGACGAGCCGCTGCTGGAGCGGCTGCGTGTCTGCGGCACCTCGGACCTCTCCGACCCGGAGGTGAAGAAGAAGTGCCGGGAGCTGTTCCGCGGCTGGTCCCAGTACTCCAACACCCAGGGCTTGCAAAAGATTGCTCAGCTGCACAGGGCAAGTGTTCCCTTTCGGTATAAAACACACGAGACAAGCGGCTAACGTGTTGTCTTAGGAACTTCCAAAGCGCAAGGTTACTGTGACCCAGGAAAGGTCCAAGGTCTTGCGGGAGACCGAGGACAACCCATTCGGAGACGAGGAGGAGGAAGCCGCTCGGCAAGCCGCTGAGCAGGCTGCCGCGGGAGCCTCTGCAGCTTCCTCGAGCAGGGCACCGGAACCAACGCCCCACGCGCCCAGCCATAAGAAGACCTCCTCCTCCGGCTCGTTCTTCGGGGGTTCCAAGGACAAGAAGAAGGAGAAAGATAAGGCCAAGGGAGGGAAGCGGAAGCCGTTCAACCTCGAGGCGGAGAAGGAAACAATGAAGGTGGTAATTGCCGACGCGACGATCCACTCCACGAGCCTGCTCAACACCATGCAGAGCATCAACAGAGAGACGCAGAGAATATCCGATCACCCCAAGGCAGTCGAGGAGTTCGAGGCCTGTAAGCAACTCCGCAGGAGAGTGCTCCGCTATGTGAGTAACAAATCTTAACCCTCATCTTGGTTACCCTGCTAACGATTACCAGATTCATAGGGTTGAGCAAGAAGAGTGGCTCGGAAGTCTTCTCAACGCCAATGATGCTCTTGTTCACTCCCTCATGTCATTCGAACAAATGGATCGCTCAATCGACGCAGATAGCGACTCCGACGATGAGCTGGCAGAGCAGGCTCACATGTACAGAAGTGGGTTTTAGACTTATCCCACGTTTACTATTCATTCAACGTATACTAACAGCGTCTAAAAGTGATGACCGAAAAGGCCAGCCAGTTCGGCAAGGCTCCAGCTTCGCCTACGAGCTCCCAACCCCCGGATCTGGGTGGCCTGAGCTTGAACGCTCCCGGAGCTCCCCCCAGGCCGTCGGCGACGTCGAAACCTCACAGCTCCCCCCCGAGGCAACCTCCCCGCCCGGCCCCGGTCCAGGAAGACTTCGCCGAGGATGACGACGACGACGACGAGGACAATCCCTTTGGAGACAGGAATGTTATCGAGACACCATCACTCGAGAAGGGCGCTCCTCGCTGGTGAAGGGGGGGGGAGGGGGTTCCAGCTGGTTTGGGCACGTTTGAAGAGAGGCCGATTTCCTTTGTTTCGAGGGGAGCGATGCGTTTGCTGTGGAATGCGGCGGGTTTTGCATCCTCCGTACCTGGCTTGAAGTTAGAGCTTGTTGCTATTTAGTGATACTCCCTGGTCAATCTATTGTGGTCTTGATGCAAAGCATAGCTTCCCCTTCTCCCACCCCATTGATTGTTCTATGATCCCATGTGTTATCAACAACTATACCTGATCAATGCCTTTTCGTCCGTAACCATGCTCTTAATGTGATCATGCGGACTAGTGTTCAGTGTTCTTGCATATACGAATATGCCAGTTCGTTAGTCTAGGGTAGCCCTCACATTGGTGAAACGCATCGCAACTCCTCCAGCGGAAACCTCAAACGGACACAAAACAACCAAAAGTACGTCATATGATCAGTGAGTCAGCCTCGTCGTGTGTCGTCCCGGCGGTCAGATTCCCAAAAATAGATCAAACACTGAGTTTATGCAAGGCAATGAATCGAACTTGACCGGCTGGGTGAACCAAATTCCCCGCCATGGCCCAGGGGGGGCTTATTGCTCAGGGGCTCACGTTGGGCTCGGCCATGCACGCTTGTAGGATAGGTGATGTACGTTGGTAGATCTTGAGCTGGATTCTGGGGGCTGTCCCCCCCCCTCACATGGTATGTGCTTTGCTATCGGGCCATGGATACGGTTCCTCGAGTTATGCGCTTGGCTTGGCTGTTTGCTTACACGCTGTTGGGAGTTAGAAAGGGGGACGGCTTCTGCTGATGTTGTTCATGCCGACCAATGCGTGTTTGCTGGGATCGGACAAAGGGCTGCTCGTCATAGTTGGTCGGGAAAAAAAGGGGGCCCTGGTTAAGGCAGGGTGGGTTTCGAGAGCGACGAGAGAGTGATCATCATTCTCCTTTGGGACAGTTGTGCCGAAAGGTCAACCATTGTGATGCTCAAACGGCATCCACAATAAAAAGGGGACATCACTCACATCAGCCAGTCTTTGTGCTGACCTCGGGTGTGAGATGAGCATGGCTGCTCTAACTCTAAGCAGGCTGAATATTATGCCTTGAGGGCGACGACCAGTAGGTACCCCTGGCAAGGAGATGTCCGGATGGACAAAGGGCTGCTTGGGGAATAGATGTCGTGATCTAGCAACCGGGGAGAGTCAATACATATTCACTGATAAATGAGTCACACGAAGCCATTTATGGGGGCGATATCAGCAGAGAATAGGCATGTGAGATCTGGCGGGCACAGGCCAAGCTGGACGACAGTAACGTCACAATGGACGGTTAGTTGACATGACATCGGCCCCGGATTTGCGAAATGGTCCTTGCTTTCCCGGCGTCGGGAAGGGACTGCCGTCTGGTGTCACGGTGCGTGCTTGCTCAAGGAAAAGGAAAGCTGGATCGGAGTGGGAGCTCTCCACGATCCGTGCTCACCAGACAATGTATGCACGTCTGGCCGCTCTGGTGCACCAAGCTCGCAACCTTCTGGAAGCGTTCAACGGCTGCTACCCTTCTGCCCGTTCCTTATTTCGAGCCAGCCCTGTCTGACATCTGTCGGTCAATTGCCGTCGAGTCCCACCCAGATGGCAAGTTGTAACCTCCCACCCGGGGCCAAGAGTGGTAAAAAATGAGCTGAAATTAAACTAACCCTTGAAGCGTGGGCGAGGAAACGAACCCTAAGGTCGTTTTAGGCGGCGTCGCCGTGGTTACATTGTCTTCTGCCCTCTCCGCAGCTGCGCGCTTGAATTGGTTCGGAACTGGACAATCAGTTCAGCCACCCATTGATAGCTCGTACCTGGATCATTGCCATTGCAAAGATTCCAAAATCACCACATTGGAATAGAACCCCATCAAGGGGCACGAAATTGGGTCCAGGCGTTTCAGGCAGGGGGTGGGGAGCGCTATGTAAGGTGCATGATTTTCATGCAAGGGGGAGCTCGGATAGGATCGACAATGGGAAGACTAGAAGTCTTGGTGTCATTGTCTATCCATCACGCTTCCCCGCCCGTGGTCATCCCCAGACCCAGGCCAGTCCGTGTGCTCTCAATGCAGGACCGTGTTGCCATATCCTTATGCATTGACCGACAGATTGCTGCGTCAAGGGCTGCATCAGAGATGGGAGGATCCTGAGACTGATCATCACGCAGGACCGGGTCGTCCCCAGGCATGGACGAAACTAGGGGAAGCGAACACTCGAACACCGCAACGTAGATTTGCGGCGGCGAGTAACCCGTTTCACCTGGCTCCTCCCAACTGAATTGTCCGTAAACGATATCCAATCCGGCTCTCCCTACCGTCCGTAGCGTGTCCTTTGTAAAGTCGGCCCAACCAGCCAGCAAGGACTGGGACTGGGGTGTGGGCTAATGATAGCTACTCCCATCTCACGGCGCCATGCCCGATTCGTGCCTAAATAGGTCGACGACAATATGATCAATGCTAATTTTGGGAGCCCATTGAATCGCACACCGTAGCCCTGGCGCCTGAACGGCTCTCTGGGATTGGCGGCGTGTGTCTTTGATGACGGATGCTGATCACGATGAATACGGCATGGCGCGTCGCTCACACCGAGGCGGCTTAATGCCAGTTGACTTTCGACCCAATGCAAGTGTGGCAGATGGCACAGCTGACAGCTTTTTCGCCTCACCGACAGCCTTGTCTCAGCGCAGGATGGGGGCAACAATAGGTGGCTGTTGCTATTGACCAGACTCCCGGTACGCATGAACGGCGGCGATTGGTAGACTCGTGTGCGTCTGACCAACAGAAGCGACACAATACGTGCATTCCATTGCATCCGATCTCACGCAACAGACGGCACTATCGGGCACTGTAGGCCGTCAAGTGATGCAATCCAGTCCAGAGAGGTCCCACGAAACACTGGGCATTGTTGGTTTCACTGCGCCGTAGACCACCTGAACATGAAGAAAGCCAAGCTGCGTTAGAAGTCTGGCTGCGTCATCGCTTCTTTAGGCAAATCATCTCTGGAGCCGGAACCCCTCGCTGGAGTTGGCGCCGGTCGAGGCTCGGTTACCGTGTCATGTCACATGGGAATGCTTCTGGAAGGCCTGTGGAAGGAATCAGAAACGCCCCCTCGCCGACCGAAACAACAGCCCAGGAGGCTTGCAAATCCGAGAAAGAGTTTCACCAGCGTGAGGCATTCTCAGCTGCTCAGCGCGGTGTGGGTGGAGCTCTTGGATCACGACCGGGGGCCATGGGGAGTCTTTCTTGCCCTTGCCCCTCCTGTGGGTGAGTTCATTCCAGAAACCTTCCAGAATGATTCCGGAGGTGGCTAGAAGGAATGCCTTGGTGCGTCGGCTTCCCCACAGAGTGGTGCAGTGTGTTGTAAATAGCCACGCCGCGTACAGTGTCTGGATGTCGGCGAGTTTCTGCTAGGCTCGCCCCCTGCTATGGAGCCGGTACGCCTACCCTTTTGATCCGCCTGTGTATGGACAAACCGTCAGAGATGAGCGGCCTGAGAATTGCGTTGAGGATGATGATTGCATTGCCTCCGGAGACGAGACGGGTGGAGTGTATGTAAGTGCCTTGGAAAGGTAGGATAGGCCCTGTGGCGTGGCCTGAACATTGCGGCAATCGATCACGGGCGGGTTGCGTGGAGTGGCCTCGAGGTGCTCGCGAATGGTGGGCAGCAGCACTGTGCGTGTTCGATAGTCTCGATTTCATCAATCTCGTGGTCAGAGCGCCGATTGACTCTGTCTGCACGAGGGGATGGAGGGGTTGTCAACGGCCCGGGGAGAACTAACAGTGGTGCATCGACCGCCTCGAGATTGATTTTGCTTTTTGGCTGCCACTATCACGATTGACCGGATTAGTTCCTGCCTTGGCTTGCCCTGCCTGGGCCTGCCTGCCTCCAAGATGGCTGTTGCGACGTTGCGCTGCACAGTTACGCAGATAGTGTCCATTGCATGCATGTCGCAACCCACACTTGCACCCACACTAGTTCTCTGTGATTGCTTCATTTATTATTCATGCCGGCGATCATAAACAAAGCAAGGCGTTCGAGCACTGAATTGAAGTCGGGTAGCTGCTGGTGGCCATGCACACGCCCTCTCTTGCCGCGGATTCGCGACACGGCTGATGCATGCAGTCTGCTGTCCACCTCGAACCCATTCATTCGAAACCGCAGCGCAGCTTAGGTGTGTATTCGTATCGCCATTCAGCACGTTGGTAACTTCACCCACAACTGGCACACACACACACACACACACACACACACACACACGACGCGTGTGGAGGACCTGGCCCTCTTCTCAGCCGGGGCGTATCAGTGACATCGTGCCCATGGAAGCGGTAACGCGCGGACAGGGGTCATGGAATTACTCTAGAAGGTGGCCTCTAAAACAGGGGCTGCTGAGTGCCGCGACTTGGCTGTGCTAATAAGCTCATATTCCTTTCCAATGCAAGGGGTGCTGCTATTACGAGCTTGGCCAGCTGGTGTTACTTACGGCGACCCCCGGACAAATATACAATGCTTGGAGGGTGGCAGCAAGTTGGTCATCGGAATTTCGGAAGAGACGTTATATATTTAGGTAGTATTGTTAGATGTAGTGTGGGTTGGTTAGCACTGAGATTGGTGGCTGGAGTTTATCTGGATTTTTCTGCCTGCGAGCGGCGCGCACAGTCCATGATTTGCGCCTACCCGCATCTGATTGTCACAATTTTAGAAGTTAGTCGATGGAGGCGCGGCCAACACGTACGAAAGTGGTTAGATGTATGCGTCCGACAGCGTTGTTCAATGGTTCTTCTCCTGCTGCTGCCAGCAAATTTTGCAATGGTTGCCCCGTGAGAGGCGATTGGCTACCGGCAACACTCAATGGTCCCATTTTTATTAGTATTGACGTATTGATATAGGTGTCTACTGCAACCCTTATCTTATTGTTCTTAACAGGCAGCCATATGACAACAGCCACAGTGACGCGTTGCAACCCCTGACTGTCGAGGACTGCTTGAACTGCTGGGGAGATGGGTCCTTGGTCATTATCTATGCCATCCTCAGTTTCTTGGCCATTCTATTATTCTGGTTTTGGCCAACAATAGTTCCCTAGTGGCCATGCTTCGGTCTTATCGAGCTTCCGCGCATGAATGACCAGGGAACCTGCCTTACTTGCAAGGGAAGCTGAGAACGCCCGTATCCTGGACGGTTTCCTAGTCTTTGAACCCGCCATCCGGTGCTCTCTTGCATGATGCATGGATGGGAAATAGATAGTAACGAGGTGTTAGTATTAAAGCAGATGATGATAAATTGGAGCCATTCGTTCGGTACATTTTGTCCTGTCTGAATGCGGACGTCAATCGTTTCAAGCCCGTCCGCTTCGGGTGCAATGCAGGACCTGGACTCGCGGTTCTATCTTGACAATGCCTGGCCGTGTGGGCAGAATAGAAACTCTAGTAGCGTGTTGGCCGACTCTCGCCTATTCACCATCACTTAGCTCGCGCATTCACTTGATCACACACTCTCACACTCGTCCATTCATCCCCCCATTCATGCACAAAGACAAGCCCGATGGTCACACACGCCCTAGCCCCTCGCATGCAAACGATAAAGCCAAGGTGCCCGCAAACGCGCTTGCTGGCTGTTGTTGGGTTATCGCGTGAAGCCATCCATGGATCCATTTGCAGCCCTCCCTCGGGTGTGGACGAGAATAGAGCAAAAACTCCTTTGTTCAGGGCCCCCTTGCCCCCAATCCTCCACTGGTGCAGTGTAATGGGTGATGCTGTAGGCACTAATGTACCTCCTAGGCACATTCAGGTACTGGAGTCCGCTGTATGGGCGGGTGCTGCTGGGCCCTCAGCGGGTAGGTACTTTGGCCCCGGGGAGGGGCGTGCCCTGCCCTACTGACCCACGGAGGCGTGTCCTTAGGTACCTCCTACCTTGGGTGTTGCACTGGGTACGTTAGGTACCGGTGGACGCTGAAAGGCGGCGGGCGTGCCAGCGCCCTTGCTCACACTGTACGCTGCACTCCCTTCTCCCGCTAAGCCAGTGTTTGTCCCCACTCTTTCGTTTCAACCACAACGCTACCCCTTCATGTACAGGCCTAGCAGCAATTATTCTGTCCCAAAAGGCCTTCACTTTGTGCTTGCTGCTTTTGTACCCCCTTGCCCAGCTGCTCAGCGCAGTCTGGATGTGGGTTTTATAACGTTGCGACGTCCCAGACCGATTTGCGATCAGGTCCTCGACTGCCGCTCTCAGCCCACCTCTTCCGTCACTGCCCCCGAACACCCGGAGATTCTCCAAAGCGCGTGCATGTGCGGTGCAATTACCACAAACCTTCCAACCTCTTCTATCCTCTTGTCAGATTCTCACAACGGTGCGCGACCTCGTGCCCTCGATGACATCGGAGTCAACGACATCTGCCTGTAAGTGCTGATCCGTGCCCTTTTCCCACCTTCAGGCTACCCCCCTGTTCGTGTTGCGTCGCTGCGGGTTCCTGTCGGGGATCGAGGGACCCTGCGAGCTTGCAGCCTTGCCAGGGGATTTTTTCTTCCTCTTTTCTCGATCATCTTGTACACCCAGCCGGAGGGGTCCCAGACAATATATCATCTTTACCTGAGACCCGATTTCTTCATCCCGCCTCACTCTATCGCTCTCGCATTTTCCCTTCTGCCTCTCCTTCACCCTTTCCTTTTCTCCATCTAGTCACCGCCGTTATTCCGTCATCCTTCGCCTCCCGGCTGACCCTTCAGTCAGACTGTAGATCCTTGACACCGGACTTTTTGCTTCGTCTCTCTAGCTCGGGCCTGACATAAACATTCCTCTGCTCTTCGTCCTCAAACGGCTTACGTCGCTGGTTTTGGGGCCATTTCCAATCCTGCGACCCTCGACAACCCCGAGCGGTGCCTTGAGCCTGCAACCTTGACGACTTGCCCGATCGCTTGTTCCGCCCCCGGTTCCGCCTTCATTTCGAATCCTTGCATCGAAACCTTCCCGAAGCTTGTGGCGAGCACCACGTTCACCGCGAGGCCCTCGACACGGTCAAACACCTAGACAGGGATCTGTTTTCTGATCTGTGTCAAGTACCGGCATTGTTGTTTGCTATTGAGCTGGGCTCTTCCTCAGGCTGCTCCAGAGCACGTTCTGCCACCTACACGATCTACTCTAGTACGGGCTGGAACCCATTTCCTTGATTCAGCATCCTCTGACACCGAGGGGCCTGTATCTCAATTTTTACAACTGCAACCAACTCACCCAGAGGATATCGAATCGAATTTCCTTTGTAATTTGATCAATCCGTCGGAATCGCCGTCAAGTTAATCTTGTAATTATGTAAGTACACACTATACCTGGCTGTCGCGCCTCTGGTGGCTCTTGGGGGAACACGCTCTTGTGGTCAATGCTTCTTGATGTGGCGATGGGGACCCTTCCGGACAACACCGGTCAACTGTGCCTGTCAAGCATCTCCCAGCGAGTCTCTCTTAGATAAACAGGGAGCAAGGGACATGCTAGCCGGGCCTTTTCCCCATGGTTGTTTCGCGATATGTGCTAACCTGCCATCCAAGCAACCCTCCACATTGAGAACTGGTCCCTGCCATCCCTTTAAGAGCACCAGACCAGCATCGTGTTCGCATATCTGAGCTTCGCTGCTTGGTTTTGAGTATGACATCTCTGGCGCCGGTCGAGGTAATGCACATTACGAACATGTTGAATAACAAAGGAGGTTTAGCTGTCCACCCCTTCCACGGAGGTCTCTTCGAACAACACCCATTTTCCATCAAGACAGAGCCCGGCATGGAGCGATCCGCATCACCCCACGGCTCCGAGCATTCGCAGTATTCGACATCCCACATGGCTCGACAGTACCCATCACCCAGCGCGATGCAGGCTTCAATGCACCTTCCGAGCCAGATGCATACCTCGATGCCGCTGCCATCGTCCCCTTACATGGGCGGCATGGGCCATGTCCACAGCATGCCAATGCAACAGATGCACCAACAGCCACCACCGCAACAACATCACCAGCAACAGCCCCAACAGCCGCAGCAGCACCGCCAACCACCGCCTCAGCCAACAAAGTCCCATCCTTGCAGCGAGTGTGGGAAGCATTTTGCTAGGAGGAGTGACCTTTCCCGTCATGGTATGTTGGCTGAAGAATCAGAGCACAAGGTGTTCAGAATGTGAGCTAACTATGAGAATTAGAACGGATCCATACTGGTGTTCGACCACATGTGTGTGACTATCCAGCCTGCGGCAAGATGTTCATCCAACGTTCAGCCCTCACTGTCCACCAACGGGTGCATACGGGCGAGAAGCCGCATCAATGTGAAGCGTGTGCCAGGGTACGTGAACAACTGGCCCCCCCCCCCATTGGACCTAACCAAGCATGTATTGACATCCTCTCTAGCGATTCAGTGACAGCAGCTCATTAGCTCGTCACCGAAAGACCCATCAGGGCGAGCGACCTTACAAGTGCCCATTCGCCGACTGCCAGAAGACCTTCACCCGTCGAACTACCCTCACAAGGCACCAGAACCACCACAGCGGAACCCTCGAAGAAGCAGCGGCAGCCACTGCAGCAGCGTTGGCCGGAGCCAAGTCTGCAAAGGTCGTCGGGCAGGCCCGGTCCGAAGGCGACCATCTCTCGGCACATGGATCTCCTCTGACGACTCCTTCGCCTGCTCAGCGGACCATGTCCATGTCTCCCAGTGTGGATTTGGGCGGAGGCGGCGGAATGCCTCGCCATGGTGGAGAGTTGCAATACCTGCAACAAAATGGCTCTTTACCCGTGCATCTAAGAGTTGGTAGCCCGGTTCCCACCTCAAGCACCGCTTACGGCAATGTTATTCGACCGACTTCCCACCCAACTGGTTATGGACCTCCATCTACTCTGGAACCCAGCCTGGACCAGCATCCATCGGGGCCTGGAAGTGCAAACAACAGCCCCCATATGAGCACCGTTGGATGGCAATCCCCATCTCATGTTCCCTCGCCGCCTCACCCTGCAAACAGTTACGTGTATCCTGACCCTGCCGACTCGTACCCCCCAACTTCTACCATGAACCAGATGTACTATAATGCTGCTCCACAAATGCGGCGACCTCAGAGCACAGAGCCGGGTATGGTACATATGGCCTAGGAGGACTATATGACCTAGGAGGACTTTTGGCCCTTAACGGAAATCCAACCGCCATCGTCTCAAATAGCACCCGAGTGTTTTTCTCTTCAAGACGTCGCTCTCAGCTAGATGAGCACATGTATTCTCGAATCATGGCCGGCGTTTACGCACATGCATATATGCTCTCAACACTTCACTGTTGAGACCCGCTACAACACACGAATGGCACGTGATTACACCATGGCGGTGTGATCATTCTTGATTTTGTCTCTCTTTCTCATCTCTCTGTTCTATTACGGCGGGCAAGCATATCGACCGCCTCCCGAATATTCTCGGGGGCACATAATTATCGCACAGCTGGCAACTCTCTGTTTGCTTTTGCTGCTTCGTTCTTTTTTATATTTTTTATCTTTGCAATGGTTTCATTTGTCGGGTTGGCATAGACTGGTAGTCGAGAACAATGAGTCATGACGATTTCCTTGTATTAGGGAGCGCGCAGTCACGTAGACGGTTTGTCTGCTCTATGGATATGGGCAACTGAGCGGAATGATGATACCAAGCCATCATTGTAATCGGAAGCTCGAGAATTTAGGAAGGGGAAAAAAAACAGGGGCTCATATCTTGGCGCGCGTGGGGCCTGGTATCTGGCCATGCTTTTATGTCTGCTTGGTGTTTTATCTTTTCTTTGTAGTATTTGCAAATAGACTGGGATCGGCTGGGCTGCTCGGCGCACATGATCGACATATACTTTATAGACTCAATGTTTCGATTTTATCTTGGGCGGAATGACTGAAGCTTGCGTGAATCTATTCGAGTCAGACTGTCGATGGACTACTAGAGTTCCTGAACGGCGTTGAAGAGGGATCTGAGACCATCGTCAGATCATGAGCCAATGAGACACATCTTCCCCCCGGATAGACTGCGCTACGAGTTCAGCCACGATGCAATGTGCCTTAGCCGATGTCGGGCGACGAAGTTGTCTCAAGCTGCATGACACACGTCAACTGTCGCTTTTTCCCGACTACATACATTGTCATGTTTCCCACGATCATACATATTGCCGTATGATCCCTGGCGAGGGAGAGCGACAAAGCGCAGGCAGTAGAAAGCGTCATGACCCATTCGCTCAGACCTCGACTTACATAACACCACGCCCTCTGGGCCAACGTCAAAACTGTCATCCAAGTCATCCTCATATACGCCAGCACACACCAGTCTCGACTAAACTCCCGCAAGTCGCACCAATATTGCATTCCCGCAATCGCGGAGGCGTAGAGCTAGTCTAGTCCGTCTAGGTAGGATTTTTGTCAAGAGCGGGCCCCTTCTCAGGCGGCCAGAGGTCTTCGGCAAATGGGAGTTGTGATCAGTAATCTCCAGTATCACATCTCACCAAAGGATGGGCCCATCCCGGCGCTTTGAACGCTCGAAACGGCTCGGCAAGAGATTTTTTCAATTCTAAAGGCAGACAGCGATTGGTCCTTGCTTTGTGCATTGCAGGGTGAGGAGGGGGGCACGAAAAAGTCTTACTGGCTGGAGTGGTGAGCTGAGCTCGCCGAGCTCCGTCAGGCCTCCGTGGTTGGTTCTTTTCGGATTATTAACTCGACGTCCTATTTGCTTTCCAGCGTGAGGGCACGGTTGCATTGCGACCATGCAAAGCTGACAGGCATGCGCCGGGAGAGAAATGTCATGATGCTAGAGTGGTGTGTGGGTGGCGGGGAGGAGATGGCCTGTGGGAAAAGAAAAAGTATAGCGGGGTGGACATGATTCGGTCTTTGTACTATATCTTGACCCATTCGGCCCTCCTGCATGTTGATATCTCTTCTAGAAGCGACTAGAAGCGACTATCTACTTTCTGGCAGGTCAGAGACTTGGGCATTGAGAAAAGGAAAGGAGGCCACGGAAGATATATAACCAAGGAACACAAGAAAGAAAGTCAGGAAAGTCTGGGTGCTGGCTTAGACTTTGGCCCCTGATCATGGCACTCTCACTTTCTACCCAACGGCACCTCGTGAGAATCGAGGTCCATGCCGATACACTCTGCCCGTGGTCCTATCTCGTGAAGAAGAGCCTTGATAAAGCTATCCAAGGGTTCATCAGGAGATTTCCTAGCGTAGAATTTGAGGTTCTCTGGAGACCCTTCTATCTCTATCCTCGGCTCGCTCGTGGTATGTCTTCCTGCGTGTTGCCATTTGCAGTTTCTCATATGTCTTTTGATATTCTACGTCTTCTTTCTCCAAAAATCCAGTTCCCAATGTGACCATCCCTCGCTGACATACCTGAACCCCTTTTTCTCACAACCCAGGCACCAACAAGTTATCCTTATACCACAAGGAAGTCGACTCCCATCTCCTCACAGACATGATCCAAGCCGCAGGGCTGAAACACGGCGTCCACTTCCGCCTCGACGGCACGACCGGCCCATCTCGGAGCTCCCACAAGCTCATCGCCCTCGCCCTCCAGCAGCGCGGCCCGCAAATCCAGTCCGAGGTCGTGGAGAGGCTCTTCAGGGGCTACTTCGAGGAAGGCGAGGACATCTCCGACGAGGACTGGCTCGTCCAGGTGGGCAAGGGGTGCGGCCTGGCGGCCAACGACGTCCTAGTCGCCCTGAGGAGCAAGGCGGCGAGCTCCAGCATCGACGAGGAGGCACGCGGGGCCGGCACGGAGAGGGAGGTCAAGGCCGTGCCGTCCGTGACGATCCAGGGGCGGGTGCGGATATTCGGGTACCAGGGCGTGGAGGTCTTTGACGACGCCTTTGAGAAGCTCCGGTTATCGGATTATGCTTGAGTTGAGGGCCGGGTTCGAAGCATGGAGAGAAGAGAAAACAGACACGACACGTATACGGATATCCTTGGGGAATGCATTTTGTCTCCTGGATTATACTACGCAAACACGGCTCAGAGAGGCACGTTCGGAGTTGCTTGCCGGAAATATCAAAATGGGGAGATGAGGCCTGGCCCAGCCCGGGCCTGATGTAAGGGACTGTTGTACCAACACTCAAAGCACACGAGGAGTGTCGAGGGGGTATATTGCTATCAAGGGGCCTGGATATCATGGATATCAGCATACGTGTATAAACGCTCTGACGACATTATGAGATGTATACGAATAGACGTGTAATTAAAAGTATATCAATTATTAGCCTCAGGAGATACTCGGTGATGTGGGGGGAAACACGGGTGAGTATCTTCGTGCGTTACTGCTCTGTTTTGTGTGTGTCGTCTCTTAAATCTTGAAGATCGACCATTCTCATTCATGAAAACAATAAGAAAAAGATACAAGAGGAAAAGCTCTCTTCGAACGCCGCTGTAATGGTTTTTGTTTTCTCAAACCCCTTTTATCGTTCCAAACTAGAAAAGGAAAAGATATATATATGTTAGTAACAATAAAAAAGACGAAGTCATTAACGCCTAGTCGCTCATCCAAATGTTTCAACCCTGCTCCTGTAAAAAAAAAACAATACTTCATCATGGTCTCACTCAACTCCAACCCTGTCGTCACTCTGCCAGTTTCACGATAAGCCCGTCTCATCTTCGCATGCCACTGTAGTCTTGCATGAGATGCGCCATGTGAACGTTGGTGGCCTTCCCGATCCGCTTGCCTGCTCGCTTCTTCTGCTGCTTGGGCTTCGCTGGGCCTCCCTGACCTCCCTTGTGTGGGTCGTCGCTCGTGGGCTTCTGACCGACGCTAACCAGCTTGCGGTGCATGTCATCAAGACTTGGGATTGGGACACGCTGCCACATCAGCTGGAACTCGGGCTGAACCTTGTGGTGCAGGGACGAGTCGTCGGCCCAGACATATCGGGGGAAGTTGTCCTTCTTGGTTCGTACAACGAGCACCTTGTGCTGCCTCTCCAGCTCCGTCAGAGTATCCTCACAGTCGGGCCAGCCGTCCTTGAGATCCTTCACAGAGACACCGGACGCATCCGTCTTGCGTTGGAGGTGTGCCAGAAGCGAGGTGCCGTCCTTAACGCCCGGGATGATGGGTCGGTGGGTGTACGTGCCCGTCTTCCAGGTCTGCTCGCTTAGGTTCGTATCCGGCTTCCAGTCGACACGAGGATGGCCCCGCAAGCCGTCCACCAACTCCTTCTTGTGCTGTTCGGCAAAGTGCCTGAGACTGAGATGATCGATGATGTCGGTGACCGACTTTGGTTCGCCCTTTTTCTTGAGGTACTCGACAGCAAAGGTCATCTGCGTCTTGACCTCTGCACCATAGCCCGTGAGCTGCGGCTGGGACCAGATCTCGGCAACGGCATCTCGTTTTCGCTTGGCGGTGGGAGTGTTTGCTGTGTCGGAGGTTGCGGAGGGGGATGGCGAAGGAGGGGCGAGAGTGGCCGCGACGGCATCGACTGCGGAGGGCTTACTGCCAGGCTTGGAGAGTTTGTCAGAGGCTGAGCTCAGGCTTGCACTGAAGGACTTGGCCTGTTTCTGGAGGAAGGACGACGACATGGCGAAGGGCGGGAGTTGAACAGGGGCGGGAAGGTGACCGGAGGTGGAGGAGGTTGAAGGTTGAATGAATGAATAGTACAAGGAAAGTTAATGAGTGACAAGCAACCTCTGGTGATGATGTAGCAGAGCGGAATGTAGGTTAATGCGGCGCGAGGCTGTAAGGCGTAAAGGGTGATAAGGGAATATTTCTCTTATCGCACCGCGCGCCACGCTGTGGCTCGTCTGTAATCATGTACCCGAGACGCTATTGAAGCACCACTGGCTGTTGCCTATTCTGTCTCTTTAGCGACCCATTCAACGCCCATGTGTGAATGGGCAGATCATTGTTGAAAATAGAATATCTGATTGATTCCCCGTCATAATTTGAGAGAATCAGTTTGTCTCCTTATATGCATTCATTCGACATTGAAAGAGACTGTGTTCTAAAACAACATGGGAATACTTTTACACAGATATCAGCAAAGATGAAGACTAAGATAATCACCGTTCTCATGCAAGAAGGCCACATTCAAAATATCCACATCGAGAATCGTGAGAGTTCTGTCGATGTCCGATGTGTTCCTGTACCTAGGTATCACACTATTGTTAGACTGTTTCAATATTCATATGACCGGTGTGGCTAAGACAAAAGGGAGGGTTTGCTCCTAGAAATTCCCATCGATTCGTGAACAATGATATTTCCAGCGGCTCATCGATAGCTTAGAAGATCCAGGGCATTACACTACAACTTCAAGAAAACCCGCGTACCTAACACCCAGTTAATTTGGGGCCATCACTAGCCGCGACTCTGGCGTGAGATTGCCGACAACTATCTCCCTGGAACTAAAATGCAAACGATGGATATGGGTGCTACAAGGGTGCGACGCTGGCTGATGTCAAGAGCGTCAAGGCTGATTGGCGATGCAAGATCTGCGCGCAATCATGCCATCATGCCATCATGCGGTCATCTACGGGAATCGTACATACTATCTAAACTGGACTATATGCGTAAATCCATGCATGCGTACTCATGGATGTTGCTAGAATTACCGCAAGGGTGAATGTCTTGATAAACTCGGCTATCAACGTGTGATATCATCTGGGCGGATTTCAACAAATGCTGGGTAGCATCTGCAGTTTCCAAGTCTCGGGAGCCACGGGATGCCAAAGTGCAGTGCATGAACCGCGGCTATGTAGCAGCTATGGCTTCATACCACCACCCTTGCAGAGATCGGATTCGCTTCGAACCCGACCGCTGGTTGCACTGGTCAACGGAGGAACATGTCGGAATCCGTGCTTGACAGCTTCTTGGTATCGAGTCAGCGATGCCTTTTCATAATCATCCTCGGCGACAGTGGAGTGATTTTGAGCATAAGGCTGCCATGACGAGTAAGCAGCCCTGCGGAATGGTGACCTTCCCCGCTTCCGACGGACCACGACGACCTGTGGTGTTGTGGAGGAGGGAGGGGGAATGGATATCCGCAATTGGTAATTAAGCCAAGGTAACTTGGTTCATGGAAATAGCCGTACATGACAGCCTGTCTATTAGATAGCTAGAAAAACATGAAAATAACCTGGCCCACGACCTGAGTCCCTGTGTAAGTCAGATAGGTCTAGGCGGGCGGCGTGCCCTCCTCCTCCGCCGCAAACCCCACTTCTCCCCATTTCCGAGATCCAGGCGAGGAGAGGCCATTTGGTCGGCCTCCCCATCCTATCCTAATCCAAATACCGGCGGCGAGTCAGGGTGTATGTCGTCCGCAGTGTCAGCTTGCTCCCAACAACCTGCTACATACCATCCCCCCACCTCCCTCGGTATCGCTCGCTCATTTCGTATGCACGTACTCTTTCTTCACGTGGCTGAACCCCATTCCTGTTTCTGCGGCCGATGGCAGCACATTATGCCTGCTGGCTAGAGGCGTTCTTGGCCTGCAAGTACTGGAGGGTGAAGTAGGCGATGACACCGCCGAGGAGGACAACGCCGTAGAGAGCAATGCCGCTGCCAGTCGACTCAGCAGTTCCGACATTGGCGGGGACAGATCTCTTGGAGGGCTCAGGGTCGCCGGCCTAAGGTTTGCGTAGTTAGTACCAATGGGGTTCCATCAAATGAGAGGTCCAAGGCCGCTGGGATGCGAGATAATGCGCCCGATTGGCCAAGGGCAGGAATGAATAAGAGAGACATGAATGAGGTAGAAGAACGCGAAAAAGGTAAAAGAGGTGTTGATAGCCGCAAGGAAAGCTTTGCGCCCAACTCACCTGTCGCTTCAGTTCGCCAACTAGCAGCTTGTCCAGAGCCTCTCGTGCCTCGTCGCTGTGGCCGACATCCTCGAAAGCCTCGGTCGAATCCTGACCGCCAACATCCAGGAGAACTTCCTCACCACCGCTAAAGAGAAAATTCAATTAGCTTTCAAAACCCCTTATTTCCAGGCCACGTATGCATTTTGTCCCATGCGTGCTCGGCGAAGGTCGGGGAACGTACGGATGCTCGTCGACAAACTTGGTGATGTCGTAGACCTTGTCGTGGATCACGACATAGAGGTCCTTCTTGGTGTTGTGCTCGGCAACATCTTGGTAGCTGAATTCCTGGGACATTTTGGCGACAACGGACCGATCGGCAGGCTGCGATTAGAATTGACTAGCGAAAGGGATTGGACAGCGAAGACGAAGGCGAGGTGGTGTTTTCGAGGGGGGGGTGGGGGAGGTGAAAGAGGGACGGGCAGCGTTGAAATAGAAAGTGGTTATCGTGTCAGGAAGATTTAGCTGGCAAGGCTTCAGGCCTGGCTTGCTCAAAAGGGATCTTGCTAGCATCTCTTCCACGGTGCCGGGTGCAAGGCCTGGCGCCATCAGCCATCCCCTACTTCCGTCCCGGATGGGTTTTCGAACAGCCTCTGGCCCAATCACATCTCGGGAATTTACTGCTTGGGCCCTGATTCGCTGGCTCACCGCCACAGTGTCCCTACTTTACCCAATGGGTACTGGCGCTAGAGCCAGGGCAGTATAAATTTCCTTTCCTTCTGTTTCCCTGATGGTTGACAAGTACCGCTGTACCAATTGGTTTAGCCCGCGCTCTTTATTACCGCGGATTAATTACAAGACAGGAAAGAATACCCCGGCTCTCGCGGTTCATCCGCTCCTGTCCCCCCAGCGATAGCATAGCATAGCCAGAATGAAATTGAGTGCATCTCGGACTCGGGCTCGGGATCAGAAGCCGGCCCCAATGTGGTCGTTCTGATTCCGGCGAATAAAGGCCATTCGAATCCCTTGACCACCTTCGGCTGTAACCGGACCTCGACCTCACCGTCAATTCCAGTAATAAGCTGATTCGTACTTAATCACCATGACCAACCTACGTCTGATGCCTGTCCGTCCGTTCCACCTTCTCTATATTGGTCCGGGTCGTGTACTCGCAGCTCGCCAATATCAAGGGCAGAGGTTCCAACCTTGAACCCGAACACGACGGGTGGGTTCCGGAGGGGCTTCAGCAGCGGGTCGGGATTTGTTACCCCCTACAGATTAATAGGGTAGAAGGTGCGCTGGCAGCCGAGGCCCACAGTTTGCTAGCTGACCTCCGCATCGCTGGACTAGCAAGCAGATCCTTTTGATTGAGTGGGAGAGGAAGCATCCCGAGCTGCGTTGGTAGTAGCATTGCATGCAAGGTATCCGGAATCTCTAGAAATTTCCGTATGCAGTCTAGCAGGCACATAGATAGCAGGCAGAGAAGCCCAGCGAAAGTCTTCGAAGGGGCTCACAGTATCGCCGGCTCACACGGACGAACTCATGCTTCTTCTGCATGATGACCGACATGGAAATAAACGCAGAATATCTCATTCCTCGTGTTGCATGCAGTTTATCTAGAGTATTGTGTATGTATGCTTCCGCCCCCCTTCTTTCCCCCGCCGCTAGGAGTGAGCCTCCACAAACCGTTCGGCGGTTCGCAAAGAATCCCATTGCAGCTAGAACGACAAATCGCCTACCTCTTTCCGTTCCCGCCGCTGATGTCCTGGCCAAGTCGGTAGCCGGTCACCTTGTCCCACTCGATCTTTTGTCTCGTGACAGGAAGCTGCCGCCGAAGGCCCTTGAAGGCACCCTCGCTTAAGCTTACAAACCCCTTGTTTAGCTCATCCTGATACTTCTTCTCCGTAGTTGAGATCTCCTTGGCAATGCCGGATCCCGTGCCTGACGACACGCTGGCCGTCACTGGCTTGTCTGTGAGCAACCTTACGTTTCCGTCTTCGTAGTAGTGGACGTCGACCTTGATGGAGCCCTCGAGACTACTCGAGGCGGGGTCGAAGATATAGAGGGATCTCCAACGTCCGTTCCTTTTAATTTGTCTCCATATCAGCTTCGTCCTCGAAAAATTTCCACCCTCCCGTGACCAGCTTTCGCTTACCAGAAGTTGTTTGGACTATATTTGTTTGCAACAATAACAACGGCGACCTTGGAGTCGGATTCGATGGGGTAGACACCATAAGCGGCGTTGGCGAAGTGTTCCTTGACGTAGCTTCCCACAAGTTTCAATGTCGATTTCCTATCCAGAGGCCGGTTAATTGAAAGGTATTCTTATCATGGCGCGATTCCGGCGAGCAATAGTTTGAGGACCTACACCAAGTCTGCCTGGGCGCCTTCGACAACATAGCTTTGCACAGCGCTGGCGGTCTGTGATATTGTTAGAGTCTGGTACGGGAATTTCAGACCTCATGTCCGTCGGAAAAGTCCTCATACCTGCGTCTCGTGGTTGAAAGCAAAGCTCGAGGAGCTCTCGACGTCGTAATATCGCCCGTCACCGAGGGAGTTGTGGGAGCTAATGATAACCTGCGTGCGGCGGATTTATTAGCCTTCCAGCCTTCCATTTCCAGTCCCAATTCCCTTGATTCCAACCACATACCGCCTGGCTGCTCCCGGGAAGCTTCACAGTGGCGAACTGCTCCTCATTGTACTTCTCAAAGGCGGGTGCCAGATGTGCGACGAGTTGCGGCTCGGAAAGCGTGAGTGACTTGATATCTGTGCGCGAAGAGTGATCAGCATCAAGTTCATGATCGCCGGTCGAGGTCGAGGATGGGTTTTAGTACCAGCCACGACATCGCTGAGCTGCGTAATGTTAGCTCCTGGGATCAAGCTATCCAATGGGTGTAAACAAGGGCGGGGGTTGGCTACACACCTCTCCGGGGGGAGCTCCCTCGACGAAGGCGGACACTGCCTCGAGATGCGACATGTCGGCGGCAGCAGTAGGGTTTGGATTGCGGTGATCGGGCGGAATGCACGGCGTGCTGTGCAGCTCCAGATGTAGGTGCGGAGGCTGCAGCGGAGTGTTCTGACAAGGTGTGGAGATCTCATATGATGCCGGCTAAGGGGAGGGCGGGGCACCTCTTTGGTGGAGGGGCAGAACCTCTATTAACTCCCCTACGTAATAAGCTTGGTTCGCTCCTTCACAAGACCAGTCTCACTGATCAGGATTTAATGCTGACTTCAAACGTTCACCCAAGCAGTTTCTACGAGCATAAATGTTACTTTGAATGGATTTAACTTTGATTAAAATGGCCGCTGTTTGGTTTGGAACCCCTGCTTTACCGATCGCTTTAATGAATAACCATGCAGACCCTCGTTCGCCTTGCGCCAACCTAGTAGTCTAAAACGTCCTTTATACTGTCATATACTCCTACAAAATGCGAGATGAGAAGTCAGCAATGCGATCAAAAGTGGGAGGGACTGTGGGGGGCAATAATTGTGCAGGATCAACTCACGTGTGACATCGGGAATGGAGAACTTCTCATAGAGCAATGGGTTGTTGATGCTCCAGCCCGCCACTCTGGTCACCGGGGCCTCAAGTCGGACGAAGGTCTCGGGGTCCTCTTGGATTGTGGCTGCCACCTCCGCTCCGACGCCAGCGTTCACCATTGCCTCGTGCACAACAATGATGCGTCCCGTCTTGCGCACGCTGTTCAGCACTGTCTCCTTATCCCAAGGATACACCGTCCTCAGGTCGATCAACTCTATCGAGACTCCTAGATCTTCCTCGGCCTGCTGGATCGCTTGCTGGCATGTATAAATGGGCTGTCCGTATGAGAGGATGGTGAGATCCTTGCCTTCCTTGACCACCTCGGCCTTGGACAATGGCAGCTCGTAGGGACCGACGGGCACTTGCTCAACGGCCGCACGGTACAGGATCTTGGGCTCCATGAAAATAACAGGATCGTTGCTCCTGATGGCCGAGAGGAGAAGACCCTTGGCTTGCAGAGGCGATCTGGGCGTGACCACGCGAAGGCCCGGGACGTGGGTGAAGAGCGCCTCGGGTGACTGCGAGTGGTACAGAGCGCCGTGGCCGACGCCGCCGCATGGCATGCGGATAGTGAGGCTGCCGGCGCTTCTGCCATTGGCACCGTCACGATAACGATATTTGGCAGCCTCGTTGACGATCTGGTCAAACGCTGGGAAAACGTAGTCGGCGAACTGGATCTCGGCGACGGGACGCATGCCCGAAGCTGCCAGCCCCACGCCAAACCCAACAATGGCTCCCTCGTTCAGCGGCGTGTTGAAGACTCTATCTGTTCCGTAGGTTTCAGCCAGCTTCATCGTGCATCTGAAAACTCCTCCAAAGGCGACGTCTTCTCCGAAAATAAGAACAGAGTCGTCGGTGGCTAATGCGATGGACAAGGCGTCACCGATCGACTGGAAGAGGTTCATCTTCTTGGTTGGGCCGTTCCGAATATCTGGGGGCAACTCTGGATTTCTTAGAGCGTCTTGGGATGTGTGTGCCAGAAGAGGAGTAGAGCCATAGTCGATCGGTAAATTGAACCTGGCGTTGGGCGGGTGTGTAGAGTAACTCCTCGCGGCAGAGAGAGATACAGCGCGCGGGAGCGCCAGTGCTCTTCTCCAAGAGCGGAGGGCTGGCGAGCTCATGTTGGGGAGAATGTGTTCAATGTTGTTAGAGATCACGAAGTAGTTGTTGGAATACGGTGGCCAGACATGCACTCGAGAAGCAGAGACACGGAGATGGTGAGGAGAAACAATCACGATAAACTCCAAAGGCTACTTAATCCTAGACATTAAGCCGTGGTGGCGGCCGTTTGGCCTTGGTGTGAGAATGCCATGCTCGGCTTGCGCCGGTACGTCACGGCCGCAATTGAACCGCATCCAGCCTTTGTGCCCTTGGCGTCCGCGGCGCCCGCGATAAGATTGTTGCCGTGTCAACAACCGACCCACAGCCAAGCCGCTCCAAGCCAAGGCAATACGAGACTATTCGGGGGCTAGTGACGTTACCACTCCACTGCTATAGCCCGTTATTTTGAATAAACGGTCGTCGTAATGCCAGGAGCTTTGGCCGTTTTGGACGCCATGGTCTAAGACATTTCTCCCTCCTCATCCTCCGACCGAAGCGCTTCCACCACGAACCGGCGGTGACGACTACACAATGCCCCGGGAATCAACGCGGCGGGCGAGCCATTCGCGCCAACACAGAGATGAATCGTCGAGAAGGAGAGAACATAGGAGAAAGAAATCCGAGAGCCGGCCGCGGGAGACAGAATCCGAAGAGAGCCGCGAGGAAAGGCGGGAGGAAAGGCGGGAGGCGAGAGCGGCAAGAGAGGCAAGAGAGGCAAGGCGACAGGAACGTCGGTCGAGAGCACTATCATCAGATGCGCTGTCGCAGCTAGACCAGGAGAATGAGCGGCAGAAACGGCATGCGGAGCGTTCGGACCGGAAGAAGAAGGCTCGGAGAGCGGACTATTCGCCTGTTGAGCAAGAGCCCCGCCGAACACTCGATGAAGACCGAGATGAGGACAGGAAAAGGGAGAAGAAAAAGAAGAAGAAGCGAGTGGTCAGCGGTGCTGTCATGGAAGAGGGCAGATCTCAGGGCCTAAGAGGAGGAAGTGGGAAAGACGATTGGCGCTGGAGCGATCAGAGCTTCGAGAAGCAGGATTACTACCTGAAAAAACAACCCAAGGAGGATAAGAAGAAGAAAAAGAAGAAGAAGCTATGTGCGTGCGGTCTTTACTCATCGGAAGCGATAAATCTGACTAACTTATTCTCTTAGGGATCATTATCGGGTGCAGCGTTGTTGCGCTCATCATTATCATTGTTGTTGCCGTAGTGGTGAGCCAGAAGAACAAGAACTCGGAAGACGGAGGGAGCTCGAGTTCGAGTTCAGGTCTGAACGACAAGGACCGTGACACGGTGCCAGACAAGTGGAAGAACACTTACCTGGACCCTTGGTACTGGCAAACCACACAAGACTTCAACACGACATTCACCGATGAGATGGTGGGAGACCTACCTGTTATGGGCCTCAATTCTAAATGGGACGACTCGAAGAAAGCAAACGAGAATGTCCCAGCATTAAATGAGGACTGGGGAAGTTACGCCGACCGACCAGCCAGGGGAGTCAACGTTGGCGGATGGCTGAATTTGGAGCCGTTCATCACACCCTCGCTGTTTAATTATGACAGCTCGATGGGTATCATTGATGAATGGACCCTCTGCCAGCATTATGGTTCTACAGCTGAGAAGGAGATGGAGAAACACTACAATACTTTCATCACCGAGTCCACCTTTCGGGAGATTGCTGACGCAGGCTTTGATCATGTCCGCATACCATTCGGTTACTGGGCCGTCCAATTGAACGACGGAGATCCTTACGTCTTCCGGATATCTTGGCGATACCTTCTTCGGGGAATCGAGTACGCGCGCAAGTATGGCCTCCGGGTGAATCTCGATGTTCACGGCTTGCCTGGGAGTCAGAATGGGTGGAACCACAGTGGCAGGTTTGGGACCATAGGATGGCTCAATGGCACTGACGGCGCCTTGAATGGGCAGCGGTCTCTGGATATGCACGACAAGCTGTCCAAGTTCTTCGCCCAGGACCGATACAAGAATATCATCACCCACTACGGCTTGGTCAATGAGCCCAGGATGGTGGAGCTTGATACAAACTCGGTGGTCCAGTGGACGGAGAAAGCATACAAGCTGGTTCGCGCCAATGGCATCAAGGCATTGGTCATTTTCGGTGATGGATTCATGGGGTTAGAAAACTGGCAAGGAAAAATGACTGGACACAGTGACCTGGTCCTCGACGTTCACCAGTACGTGCTCTTCAACAATGACCAGCTCGCCTTCACCCGCCAAAAGAAGGTCCAGTACGCCTGCGACGGATGGACCGAACAAACGGAGATCAGCATGGACACCTCCACGGGTTACGGGCCCACGCTCTTCGCCGAATGGTCACAGTCCGATACGGACTGCGCCCCAAATCTCAACGGTGTTGGGCAGGGAACTCGCTGGGAGGGTACGCTGGCCAGTGTTGACGGGCCCAAATGCCCGACGAAGAACAAGTCATGCTCGTGCTACGAGTCCAACGCGGGCTCAGCCAAATGGAGCAACGACTACAAGAAGTTCCTCCAGATGTTTGCGGAAGCGCAGATGCACAGCTTTGAGAAGGGCTGGGGCTGGTGGTACTGGACTTGGAAGACGGAGAGCACCGTGCTCTGGAGCTACGAGCTGGCGCTCAAGGCCGGCATCATGCCTGCGAAGGCGTACAAGCGTGATTTCAATTGCGACACGACCGTTCCGGATTTCGGCGGGAAGTGAGTCACGAGGAGAAGAGGTTTGGGGGGGATTCACGGAGTTAGACATGATTTGTATTGCACACGCAGCGGTTTGGAGTTTGAGTATAGACTAGAGGCATTGTACGGTAGTTGCATGTGATTGGATATACCCATTTGGGGCATTTTTGTTTTAGCAAGATAGAGTAATGTCAATGTCATGGCGCTGTTTTCGTTCACCTTGTTAAGTCCTATTAGAGGCTTCGTCTTCTTATCTTGAGGGTGACCGTAGTTCATTTGGGCATGGAACATGATGAAGACGACAGTTGGACGGAAATACGGCAGTATCAAACTCCAATGGCGACCAGGCTACTTACACGGCTGAATAATACCATACGGCCTTTATTAATCCTCATGTGACACAGGCCCGGAATCACGGAGCCGTGCCGATAGATCCAGGCTTCAGTTGCACGGAGTGAACGGGGAAGTTGTCAAGCCCCCGCCGGGTTATTCCCGCCAAATGAATGACGGGTTGGATCTCTAGATAACGATGAGGGGAAAATTACAAGTATTTGACCCGGTTTCGGTACAGTTCTATCGTGAATTTGAGTCACGCCGAAGATTCAATCTCAAGTGCAGAGGCGAGCTGTTTCACCGACGAGTAGGATCGTGAGTGATGGTCCTTCTCCTAGAACCCGGGTAGACTCACTTCCCGCAGTTCGCAAATTGCCAGATGAGGCAAACGCTGAGTAAACTGGCTTGGTAAGTATGAACAGGCATTACGGCTAGCCTGGAAAAGAATGGAGATGGGCCCTCGCTCTTCGCGCCTCCGACCTCGTCCCATAGATAATAAGTCCGAACAGGGGTGTGACGCAGGGTGTTATCATTGAATATTTTTTACTGTTGACGACAGACGTGATATGTCAACTGTCCCTCGTTCAAGTATGGTAAATGTCAGCATTTCACTTGGTCTTTGTAGATATATCTCTGCAATGCTCCCGAGTCCAGCCCAATGAGGTGACAGGTCAATCTTGCTCCCAACTCCAGTGTGATGATATATTCTTAAGCGCAGCCAGCACCTCATCACCCTATATCACAATTATCTGGAATAGGACTTGCAAGCCTCCCAATCCTTGACCAAGGTTTCTCTCCATCATCCGTCGCGACTGCGGGGAGACCCGAGTGATTAGCATCAGCGACAATGGAGAATGACACAGAAAAGGGAGTCCCTAGCTCCAGGAATTCGCTATCCGACGAAGCGCATAACAGCAACACAGAGGTTGAGTTTGCGCCAATCCGCTCAGTAAAAGGGGCCCAGCTTTCAAGGCCGACGTCACAGCAGAGCTCGGCGCCTCATTCGATCACCCGAGTTCGTTCTCAGAATGGATATGGAGTCTCCGATGATACCTCTGAGAAGGATGAGCCCACCGCCAACAGCCCGGGTAACGATGAAGATGACTCCTTTTTGGTGGGATGGGATGGAGGTGACAGTGACCCGTTGTGTCCTCGCAGCTTCAACGCAGCGCGCAAGTGGTTGATAGTATCCATTGTGTCTAGCGCTAGTTTCTGCGTGTAAGTTGCTTCGAGTTCTGTTAACCAGTGATTTGTGTTGTGCTTGTATATATGGTACAAGTGAGTACTGACCAAGAGAACAGGACAAGCGCCAGTTCGATCTACACATCGACATACCAGCAGATGGAGGCGGAATTCGGCAACTCGAGAATCGTCTCAGTCCTGGGTCTGTCCACATTTGTTCTGGGCATCGCTCTGGGGCCCATGTTCTTCAGTCCTCTGAGCGAGTTCTATGGCCGGCGGCCCATCTACTTGGTTGCATGGTCTCTCTATGTCATCTGGATCATCCCACAAGCGGTGGCTAAGAACGTTGCGACCATGATTGTTTGCCGTTTTCTGGATGGCTTCGCCGGGAGTACGTTCCTGGCTGTCTCCGGGGGTACAGTCGGCGATTTGTTCACCAGAGAACAGCTACAGGTCCCCATGGCCGTATTTTCCATTGCGCCGTTCCTTGGTCCCTGCGTTGGGCCATTACTCGGTGGCTTCATTAATTACAATACGCACTGGCGTTGGACATACTACGTTCTATTGATATGGGGGTTCGTTTTATTATTGGCCATCGTGTTTCTATGCCCTGAGACATACCGTAGGTCTCACCCCTCGTTCCTCGAAGGCTTTCCGAATCACGGTGGGACAATAACACCAAGATGCGACACTTACTGACCTCTATTATCAATAGACCCCATTATCCTAAAGAAGAAGGCGCAGATGCTTCGAAAGAAGACTAATGACGAGCGATGGGTTGCACCTACGGAGAGGACGAAGAAGTCGGTCCTAGCAGCAGTCGGCCGATCACTGCTGCGGCCCTTCCAGCTATTGATATTCGAATTCATGGTGCTGAGCCTCTGCATCTACTCAGCCATCCTCCTCGGAATCCTTTACCTCTTCTTTGGTGCCTTCCCCCTTGTTTTCGGGACCATCTACCAGTTCAACCTGTGGCAAATCGGCCTGTCGTTCATGGGGATAGGAGCCGGTTTGCTGGTTGGTATAGGCACTGACCCCGTGTGGCACCGCGTCAGAAGCAGGCTCATGCGCAGGCTCGAAGCGGAGACGGGCATCCAGGGGGCGAGCGAGCCTGAATTCCGCTTGCCACCTGCTATCGCCGGTGCGCTCCTCGTGCCCGCCGGGATCTTCATGTTTGGGTGGTCTGCCTATCCGTGGGTGCATTGGATTGTCCCCATTATTGGATCGGCCATTTTTGGAACCGGGTGAGTACCGAAAAGGAGCAGATGCTCTTGTCCCCCAATCCCAACATTCTCTTACACGGCATATGGATGCACCTTGGGGGTGGGGAGATCGTGGAGGCGCTCGGTGTGTATGAGTGTGTATCAGTGCAGCGATCCTCGTGTGTTGCGTGTGTGATGGTCGTGTGTAATCCTTCAAGCAAGATCCAATCTATTGGACAGGCAGCTTTGGGCAGAACTGCATGGCGTCTGACTTACACGAGGAGCCGTTAGTCAGGCCTTTGTCATTGCACTTTGTATTCTACTGTCATGCCCTTCTTACACCCCCAGCCCTTGCACAGAACTCGACACGGAGAAGAGAGAGCATTGATGGCTAACTGCAAGAATCCGTGGAAATAGAGTCATCTTGGTGTTTACAGGGATCTTTACCTTTCTTGTAAGTATTTCCCTTGATCCTCACTCGCTCTGGATCCTCCGCCCAGACTCACCCCCTATCACCATATCGTTCACTTTCCGAATTCTAGTGCTGACCACGTCGTGATAGGTGGACGCATACCCCCAATCTGCAGCGAGCGCACTGGCTGCCAATGCCTTTGTACGATGTACTTTTGCAGGTGAGTGTTCCCATCTTGTGGTGAGGCGCACACCACTGGTTTGAGAGGGGGGGAAGCTGATCTGAGTCGTCCGGCCATAGCTGCATTCCCCTTGTTTGGAAACCAAATGTACGTGGCCCTGGGCAACCACTGGGCAACCTCGCTGCTCGCCTTTCTCACCGTGGCAATGCTGCCGTTCCCGTACATCTTCTTCAAGTACGGCAGGAGGCTTCGACGCAGGAGTCGCTACGCCAAGTCGTAAGCTGGGATCCAGGCCCAGCCTGCATCTGCAGGAGAGGAGCAATAGACCAGATCCAGCGGCGGAGAGCGTCCGCTGATCTGTTACAAAAGGGACGCCACCTCATCGGCCCAGACACCACACTGGGCTAAGGCGAGTAGGACAGCTTGGAGATACGAGGGGATAGGAAAGTCATGCCGAGGACTTGCAATCCTTACCGGAGAGAAGGAGGAGAGGAAGGGGGGGAAGAAGGCTAGGTGAGGTGGGTGTGGACGGGCGTGCGGTTGCATCAGAAAGCAGCTGCCATTGCGCTGCTGTGTGCGATATCCCAGCTAAAGCCTGACGCGGATTTGCACCGGTCAGCGTTGGGGAAGCACAGCGCGAGCCATGTGCGAAGATCTCGATGTTGAGATTGAGTACTCGGCACAGTGCGCTGAGGCTGAGCCCGAGGCACCACACCAGGGGACGACAGCCGGGTGGTGAGGGGCCAGGCTGATGACGGGCAGGAAGAACGGGCTGGGGGTGATGTAACACGGCCTGCAGCCAGCCTGCAATGCCGCACAGCTGTCGAGGTGAACCTAGTCGATTAGTGGTAATGGAGCAATTCAAGAGTACGCCGTCCTGCCCCGTTGCTATCGTCTAAACCAACCTCCTACCTAGCGGAATGTAGGCAATGGGTAACGTTGGATTGATGCGCGGTGCATGTTAGCGAGCTGGAGCTGCCTTAGCTCTGGGGGCGGACGTGGATAGTTCCCACCCCGCCATTTTAGCCCCTCTCTCCCAGACCACTGGATTGGGTATTCCGTGACATGATCGCTCGCACATGGAGAGATGGAGATGGAGATGGGACTGCGTCCGTGCACGCACTCTCACATGACATGATTCTCATCACAGGCCGCCTTGGAGGGATGGGCTTGCAGGGGGTTGCGCAGGAGGAGACCGACGGCGCCAGCTCACTGGTGGCTGGGAAAAGTTTGAAACATGCCCTTTGCTCTGTGGATTGCATCAATTGCGATGGATGTGTGTATTTTGCACTTTGCTGCCAGCACCTCGGTTATGATCACAGACCAAACCAAGATGGTAATCTATCCCTAAAATAACCTCACATACGAATACGCATGCATGCCTGCAAGTAAGAGGCAATACAGCCCTGCACATGATGACAATTTTTTTTTCTTTGCCCATTTCAGCCCCATGTCTAATAATTGTCTAATATTTCGCACGTACATCGCCGCCTCCCGTCTCCAGCCGATGGCGCAAGTGCAGCCAATCAGTTGCACGTAGGAAACAAAACAAGGGGAAGGCCGCGAATGTGGGGGCAGGAAAGTCTCTTGCCCATCAATTCGGTCGAAGCGGAGCATAATGGCGACTGCCCATGTTCTGCTTCGTCTGGGATTGTCTGAATTTTTTTCTCACCGCCGGCCCGGGACAGACTCGCGGCGGGATGGCAACGGTTCTGCAGATGGGATGTTGGACATGGCCATGACTAGATCTGCCGGGCATGGTCGCGTCACTGGCTAGCACGGAGCTTCCCTCTGTCCCTACATTAGCGAGAATCACGTCGGCCTGGCTGGGTCAATTGGTGCATCGCGCATCCATGCGCCGGTGTCTGCTATTCGCTGCTAGTCGCAGTATCTGTCCAGCACAGCACAACACATCCGGCGGGGCCAAGCGGGCTGCGTTGTTCTGATGAGGGGTCTAGTCTCGGCTACCTCCAGCTCGGTGTGGCCTTGCTCGTGTGGGCATGTCCTGTCTACCTGGCGGACCGGCTCGGGCCAATGGGCACCCTCTCTGTCGCCTCCCCAAGCCCACCCCAAACCGGTGAAAGCCCCGCAGCAAAAGCTTGGCGCTGGGGCTGGTCGAGGTCGGTGGCCATTGGGTCGTTCATGCCTGCACGCACAGTTGGTCAATGTAGGTAAGCAGCAGCTGCAGCAGGTTGCTTCTGATGTACATCGGCCGCGGGTGGTCTGGGCTTTTTTAGCCTCTTACACTTCCTTCTCAAAGTCGTTGATCGATGGGCTCGTGTGAGAACGCACATGTCCCAAGCCCCGATTTCGCTTTCTGCGCATCCCATCCTCTGCTTCCGCTGCGAGACCAGAGACCTCCGCGGCTCTACCATCCAGGCGACCACCCCCCCGTGAACTGTGACGTTGCCGGTCCTGCCCTCACCCAGACTGAACAGTCATCGGCGCCCACCCGAACCCATTCTTCGGCCTAGACCCCCGAAAAGGTGCCCATCGTCGACGCAGCGTTTACACGCGACATATGTAGATCAATCGACCCAGTACACATCCAGACTGCGACCGAGCCCACACATTACATTGGCGACGAGAGAGGCAACGTCTCGATATAACCCGCAGAGCCCTCCAGCCTTGCCAACGTCCTTCCCATTGGACTCGAACGCCGCATTCTGAAGGGAGGGCTTAGGCCCTTGCTGCCGCTTCCTGGGCTTGCGCCAAACCAGACGGCTTGCGTATCGACCACCCATTCCATGTCCCCGTCGTCGCCGCACGTACTATTGCTTCGCACTCGCTCGTCACACAACCTGAACGCCTCATTGTGCCGCCCAAGACGAGCTCATTGGCCAGAGGACCTTGCGGAGAATACAATACGAGTCGCCTCCAAGACAATCTCACCTACAGCCGGCAGAGGCTGATCTTGCCCGCGTCGCCGTCCGCCACCCCTGTCCAGGTTACGGCCGCCGACAGCAAGCTGCACTTTGTCACATACGTTTTATTGCGTCGCTCACCGACTGCGCTCAGCCGCTCTGCAACTCGAGGCGATCAGCGAGAAGAGGCGCCCCTTACGACCAAATCTGAGCCCTCAATTCCACACCGTATGCTCCGGGGCGTCTCAAGCCGCATTGGGCACCCATCCAGCACCTGCGTCGAGGTTGCCATATCAGGGTCCCACAATCCTTGCTCTGCAGTGTTACAGAGGCGCACCTAGTGTAGCGTCTCCAAGGCTGTTGGAGGGGGTGCGGAGGTACCTCGCACAATCCTGGGGATAGCGACGACATCGCCGCCGCCGTCGTGCAAAATAGATTGAGATTGGGAGCACAGCAGGACTGACAGGGATCCAGGCCCTCTTTTAGCTGGTTGCGTTCTCAGGTTGGGCTCTTCCCGCTCGGTCAGACAGTCGCCTTGAGAACTATAAAAACCCGACGGCAAGATGCCTTCAGGTATAGATGACCACATTACTGAGATCTCAGATCCCATGTCTGAGAACGAGGACGAGTCTGAGATCTACAACAGAGACGACGACAAGATGGCGGAGAGTAGCAACACCGATAGCAACGGTGCGGTCAAGAAGAAGTATGATCCTAAAGATCCTTCGAGACCCAGGCGCAAGAAGGCAAGGCGGGCATGCTTTGCTTGTCAACGTGCTCATCTCACCTGTGGTAAGTTTCCATGGGCTGTCAAGAACCCCCCCTCTTCCCTACTTTCATTTTATCCAGCTTGAGTTCACCCAGATTTACCACTTTCCACAACCCCACATTTTCTCACATCAGTCATTCTGTCTTGAGCGATACTGAGAGCGAGGTATAGGAGACGAGAGGCCGTGCCAAAGATGCATCAAGCGCGGACTTGGTGACGCTTGCCAGGATGGCGTTCGTAAGAAAGCCAAGTACCTCCACGATGCCCCGCCAGAGGCTCTCAGGCCAGTCCTAGGTCCTACCTACAATCCCAGCACGACTTCCACCCGACCACCAAACCAGCGCCAGAACTCGAGCAATTCAGACAACGCCATGTCAACTGGGGCCGCCAGCGGTACCTTCTTTTCTCAGGCCAGCGGGTCGACTTTCCCCGTGTATCCGACCGGAACCCAAACATCCGTAGGGATGTCTGATGGATTCCCATTTGGGCCACAAGCCTCACCAGCGACAGCAACCTTCCCTGGGGCGCCCAATAGTAATCCGCCAATAGAGGGTCTAATGGCAACGAACACCATGGACTTCAATGCGCTTTTTGACCCTAGCAACCCTGCGCTGTACAACTTTGACCTGGAGGGTCTCAACTTTGGCAGCCAGTATGCGGGTTGGGAGTTTGGTATCCTCAACAAGATGGGTCTAGGTGCCGAGACTCCTCCTCGCGAGAATTCTCTATCGCAGACGCCTACGAATGAGTATGCTACGGTGTTTGGCAATGGATCGAACCACACCTATGATGGATTGATGGGTGGAGACTTCACGGGAGTTGACCAGAACGCGACCATTTACAACCAAGGAAACCTCCAGCACGGGCTGCCTCATGCCTACGCAATTGCTGCTGGGCCTACTAGCCTTGCTAGCCCAAGCACGGAGACCACAGCAAGCCCGCAAGCCCCTGGCGGCGTGGGTGACGGGTCACCAACACCAACACATTTAGCCAACATCAATATGGTGTCGGCGGCTCATCGTATGAAGCCGAAAGGAAACAAGTCCAGCCAGACAATCTTGGGTAAACGCCATCGTGATGCAGCATCCATTTACGAAAGTGTCAAGGAGCCATATCCTTATACAACAGGCTTCCACAACATGATTTCTGTCATGCGCAAGCGCCTCCCCCTCCCTAAGCTGCTACGTATTGCCAGGGCACTCGGCGAGATTCGACCCTCGTTCATTGCTTCTACAAAGGATCTGACTCGTGAGGATCTCATCTTCATGGAGAAGTGCTTCCAACGAACCCTGGTCGAATTCGATGATTTCTTGCAGCATTGCTGTGCCCCGACCATTGTCTGCCGTCGGTCCGGAGAGGTTGCTGCCGTGAACAAGGAATTCACCGCGCTAACTGGCTGGACCAAGGACGTTTTGCTGGGCAAGGAACCCAACAAGTACGTGCCGGCGAACCCAGTCACCAATGGCTCCTCCACTCCAGAAAACGATGCCGGCCAGCAAAGCAATGGCAACGGCGAGAACAATGCGGGTAGACCTCAACCTGTGTTTTTAGCAGAGCTGCTTGACGATGACAGCATCGTGGAGTTCTATAATGACTACTCGCTTTTGGCATTCGAAGACTCCCGAGGCAAGGTCCAAAGAAGCTGCCGCTTGCTCAAGTACAGGACACAAGAACAGTCTGTTGTAAAGGAAGGCCCGCAGAAGGATCCTCGACTTGGCATGCTCAGCAATCGGGTCACAACAATCGACGGCGAACACGGAATATCAAGAATTGAACAAGATGGCAAGGTCAACTGCACATGTTGCTGGACCATCAAGCGCGATGTGTTTGATATTCCCATGATGATCATCATCAACGTAAGTAAAACGAGTCACAATCTCCCTACTTCGTTCGCCCCATAAATCAAGAACCACATTAACACGACAAATAGTTCTTGCCGAGATATTACCCCAACCAAGAGGTACAGCAATTGGCCGTGTAATGGCTGCTATTGGATACGATATAAAAAATGAGTGAGAAACTTTTTGGAAATTTCCACGGTGAAGCTTTATTTCGAAGATGCAAGCGTTGCTTCAAGCCAAGTCGAGACAGGGATTTTCCGTGTTCAAGCGAAACATGAATAAATTGTGCACTCGTCTTACGCAAGATAGGGATGGGCTGCAAGTGAAATAACTTTTGAAACAAAAGATAACAGGCAACTACATAAGTGCTTGGGTTAGTACTGGAGGATAGGGACACATTCAAGGTCCATAGGGAGGCGTTGCAAATAGCAGCCTCGTTTGAGTTGATTGACAAAGGAATACGATTTCCGATTTGCTTTGCGCCTTTTTCCCTCCCGTGCTCCTGATTGTAGCTTTTATCTCTCGCTGCCTGCTATTCCCGATTTCTCTAGATTCATCTAATATCCTATATCCTGGCTCTTTCATCCTAAGCTGTCCCCTGTCTATAAAGGCTTAACCAGCCACTCGGCATCGAGCTTACCATCAACATCAGGGCCATCCACGACAAGTCCCTTCTTGGGCGCCCAGGCTTCTCTGGCCAGTGAACTGCGCGTGACCTCGCAGTCAAAGTTGATGTCCTCGATCAGGGCGTCGAGGCTCTTGTAGTCCTTCTCCTCCCGGATGAAACCCAAGATGAGCAGGCGCATGTGGGCGCCGTAGAAGTCCCCCGCGAACTTGTGGAGGATGTGCACCTCGGCGCTGCGGACCCTGTTCTTGTAGAAGGGGTTGTACCCGATGGACATGACCATGGGGTAGACGCTCAGGCGCGAGCCGGGCGTCCCGTCCAGGTCCAGGGAGGCGTAGCCAAAGTAGACTCCCGAGGCGGTGGAGGAGATCCAGGGTGTGATGGCGGCGTCAACGGGTAGGTTGGCGGTGGGGATCCCAAGCTGGAGAAGAGAATCGGTGGTTGCGTTAATGGAAAAGAACCGAAAGTTTATGGATGTGCCCCCTCACCTCATAATGGCGGGGTAGGACGAAAAGGTGAGACATGATGCGTGGAAAAGGGGGTGTTGATGTGATGTGGGAAGGGAAGGGGAAGTGAGGCTGTCTTTCTCACTCACCTCTTTGGACCCGCGGCCGAAGCCCGAGATGACCTTGCCCTCCATCTGGAGCGGATACGGGGCTTCGGGGCCGGCCTGGTCGCCGACAATGCTCGGGCGTCCAGCCATGGCGGCGTGACTCTGGTTTTTGGCTGTGTTAGTTGAATCGAGTTTTCCAGTGTGGCGATGAGTGAGTGGATGTATATACATATATAAGCCTTTGTGAGCGGAAGGGGATGAGTCACTGGCGGGAGGTCGGTCGGTCCCTGGGGGAAATAGAGCTCGCAGTTGCTGGCTCGGGGGGGCCTCTAGACGGGAACACAAGGGACGAGCTGGAGGGTGAGACAAAGGAGGTGAGGCTGGCGGTCTGTGGAACGAGGGAGCTGAGGGATGGACGAGCAATTGCTCGGATTTCGGCTCACTGCCTTGTGCGAGGTATCTAGAGCGTTCCGTCTGGGTTTATCAGCAAATGGTGGGGTTCAATTGCGATAGAGAGATAGTTGTTGACTTTAGTGGAGGGGTAAGACAGAGGGGCAGTAGAGAGAGGGGCCGCTGTTCAGCGCCAGTTATAGCGCTGGGGCCCGCACAATTGGTAACTGCCTGCGCTTACATGGAATATCGACTATAAGTCAGGGGCAGTGGACTTATAAAGGCACCGCCTAGCTTCTTCTGATAACGCCGGCTCCTGTCCAGGAAGTGAGAGATGATGTCCATCGCTGACATCACGATATGAGACGCAGAGTTGACGGTCGCCTGGGGAATAACGGGGTTCTGTGTCATCTGGCTCACTTGCAGAAACGCCTGCTGCATCGCACTGAGCTCCAGCATGGCTTCCTGATACTCCTCGCTGGCACCGCTGGAATCTGCGAGAATACGAATAAGGCGATACGTGATATTCGCTCCTGCTATGAAGTCACCCACTGAGTAGCCAAACGACATGGTTGTGTGGGCGAGCCCATAGGCCGGGCAGCATAAGGAGAATGTGTGCTCAACTCTCACATGTGTTTTCGGAGAGCCAAAATGGTGTCACAGCAATCGAGACAGGTCCGTCACAGTGCCTTGTAAGCAGCAATATATAGCCTAATCAGGCATATTCCCGTTGGGTCGCCTTGCAGGCCGTCCGCATGCAGTGCGCCTTGACAGCTGAGATCTTATGAGAGTGTACCTGGCCTGCCCCTAGCCATGTATTCAGAGTATACATTTGCGGGCGCTGAAGGATTGGCGAGCTATGTTCCACCTGGGCCAATTCCCAAGGCGAACTCTAGATCACTTGTCATCGTATGTCGTAACTACACAGGAGTTAATCAACCTCGTACACGATAATACGGCCTTGCGCGACGTAGTACGTGGTTATCTAAGAATCCGCCAATGTCTTCGAAGGTAAAGGTTGCACGACAGTTCAGAGCTTCATCTCTCACCGTGAAGTGCAGCTAAGAATGGTCTCCCCATTCCTACACAGGCATAAAGACAGGGTTTCAATTTGGTTATACTATCATTATCAAACGCAAACAATAACTAATGGGTATGGGCGTGCGCGAAAAAAGCAGACAAGTATACGGCATTTGATAAGCAAATGAACGAGTGTCCCCATGGTAATAGTCCGGCATCCAGAAATCACAAGTCATCACCTCCTCCAATTCTGAGAATTCCCCTCTCACTCCTCTGCACCGAGCTTCAGAATATCAGCTCCCTCAAGCACCCAGTGCTTACTGGGGGCCTTACCCTCGTTGGCCAGCTTAATCGCCTTGGTCGTCGCCCTCGCGATGACATCGACATCCTGCCCAAGAGCATTCTTCAGACCTTTGTGGACGAGCCCGAGGCCGCTGACGATGCTCTGGGCGCCCTTCTCCACGAACCTCTGCTCCTCGCGGGCACCAAGGAGCATGCCCGGCCTGACGATGATGCTGTGGTCAAACTCGAGGCCCTTGACGGCGTCCTCGACCCCGACCTTCATCTGGGAGTAGGGGACGTAGTTTGACAGCAGGCCGCGGGTACCGGCGGAGCTGATGAAGACGAACGTCTTGACGCCGGCCTCCTTGGCGGTCTTGGCGATCTCGACGTTGAGGTCGTGGTCGATCTTCCACTGCTGCTGGATGCCGCCGGCGGCCGCGCGCGTGGTGCCCAGGGCGGAGATGACGACCGAGGGAGTAGCCGGGAGGCCCTTGAGGGAGGCGGACCACTTCTCCGTGTCGGCCTCGACGACGGCGTTGAGGCTGGGGCCCTGGGCCTTGGGCGCGCGGCGCGAGATGGTGTGGACTGGGTTCCAGCTGCTCTCTGCCGCGAGGAGGGAGGAGAGGATGTGGGATCCGGTGAGGCCGGTGGAGCCAAAGACTGCGACGGAGATGGGGGCCGCCATTTTTTATTATTCAGTCTGTTTGATGTCTGGTTGATTGATATCTTGGCGTGGTTATTGTGTGTTGGCTGAGAAAATGCTGGTCTGTGGGGTTTGCAGTTTGGTGATGTTTGGAATTGATGAAATGAGATTGAGACATGGTTGTAGTGCTCTAAAATGATGGAATGTCACATGCCTGGAGGCAACAACCTCCATACGCAATATCTGCCCAATTATGCACCACCAGGATGCCCAAGATAGGTAGACAAGTCAAATCCCCCTCATTATATTCCCCAAACTTCTCTTTCGCAATACACTGATGGGGGATGGATTATTTGATTTGAACTGATAAAGGATAGGGCAGGGCAACGAGTGAGTGAGCTAAGAAGCTCACATTTCATGAGAACAAATCAATTAGAACTATCTTGAATATTCGCAAATCGTATACCTATGCGAATTTGATTACAACATAAAAAAGAAAAAGCCATCAATGATAGACATCCAACCTTTAGACTATTCATTGATATCGAGATCCCCAAGCAGAGATGAAACCTCGTCCAGATCCGATACGGTGGTCGAAGGATCGTACACAAACGTCATTCTTGCAGAGAATGTATTCGAATCATGCATTCTATATCTTGGCGCAGCCTTCTTCCCTATGATGTCGAAGGCGTCGCTGCGCACTCTTTCGATGATTCGATCATAAATCACTTGTCGGTCTCGTTCACCTGCTGTCCCGGCTGAAACAGGGACGTCTGGGAGCCGCCAACACGGGTATAGATTCGAGTGGCAGATTCGATGGCCGACGCCCGATCCATGCTCTTGGAAGTAGTAATGGCAGAGTTTGCACGTCGGCTTGCTGCTCCCAATGTACTTCCAGCCTCTGAAGAACCGCGACTCGGAGAATCCCCCCGGCGTGTTCCCCAGCCAGCCATGGAGGTGGGCTTCTGAATGAACGATGGGCCGGAAGCTAGCCTTCTCGTACTCAGCCTGTATTCTTTTATCCAGATCAAACACCTGGAGATCGTTCACAAGTTGTTTAAACTTTTCATGGTAATCCGCCCTTCTTGTCATCCTGTTGACAATCCCTTCCGCCTGGTAACTCTTGACTCGGCAGATTTCGCTATTAGGGAGAGGGGTACTTGACGGTAGGAAGGAAACCTCGAAGCGTTGAAAAAGTTCTGGAAACGCCGCGTGAGTTTTTTTGAAGAACTCTATTGAGGATTGGTACGCCAAAGTGCGCTTCACCGCATGTAGCATCTCCGGCCAGCAGTCGTTTGATGAGTTATGCCCCCTTTTCCGAATGTCTTTAGACATTTGGGTGATAGTTTCGTTGGCCGGTGACTGCTGCTCAAACTTGTCCAATGCCTTCATCAATCTATCACAGCCAGATAGGTCTTGTCGAGAGAAACTGTCAGCTTGTACGACAAGACTGCAAACCATACAGACTAAACAAACTCACATTCAGTTTTATCGTCTGTCGATATCTGCCCATCGTCGGGTAGCGTTCTGATCATTTCGTGTAATAATCCTTGCACAGATTCCCCTATTGAAACATAGTTCTGTCAGTGAATAATTTACATAATGTTGTGTGCGGACAGTCTCTGTTTCTTACGTTTTGCAAATTCAAGGTCATTTGAACACCTTGTCAAGCATTCCAAGGTCTCTTCAACAACGACTTGGAAAAGCAGACGGATTCTCTTCCTGTTGTTCCAAAGAACATGTTGAAGAAGAAGCTTACGCCTTGTATCGCTCCCAATGAGCTCCAAAAGCTGCTTTACAAAGCCTTCCGTGGCTTGGAGGTTGATGTCGCTCTGCTTATTGCAAGCAAAAACATATTGTATAGGGCCAATACCATCAAGTTGCAACACGACAAAAGATGTTATCGCAGCACCCCCATCGCCTTTTTCATTGTCACAGACATAACATAGCTTGTTGACAAATGCTTCAAACAGTTGCTTTGGATCTTTAAGATCCAAATCCTCTTCAAGATCACTATGTGTTGCTGTGGCCAGCATTCCCATAGTCAAGGCTTTGAAGAGCACCATAGGTTCGTAAAATCTTTTAATGACCCTAGGTTTCATGGGAATCGTCTCTTCCACTTGATAGTCTTGATGTCAGTTCAGTCCAGGAGTGAGTCGCTCCACCCCAGGGCAGAGCCTCGTGACAGTGGAGGGAGGATAGATGAGAAACGCACATGGTATAACACCCATCTTTGCTTTCGATGGTTTTCTAATCAATTGTTTCTGGATTGCTTCTGTCTGTGCGCGAGATTTCTGAGGAGTTTTGAGAAATAGTAGCTTGAACAGACTAGATTGGATTGACTCCAGTCCATGAGCCATGGGCATGCCATTTTATAGAAAGCATCGGGACTCTCTCTTGTCATCACATGCTGATCAGTAAGCTCCTCCCTTTCTGCCTATCATATATCATAATAGCTTTTGCTGCGAGAGGCCTGCGGATACGACCTAGCTATGCAAGTCAACCCAATGAGATTGCAACGCCGAGCCCTCAGCTGCGATGGCGAGTTCGGACAGCCCACGTTCATTGGGGCCATTCTCAAGAAAGTGCACTTTGCTCTTCATTTTCGGTAAGAACCAACACCGCCTCGATTACCCCTCAATGGCTGCCCAATCGCCTAAATCCATTGTCGAGTGACGTGATAAACGTCAGAGGATGTATGTCTGCTACCGTCAAGCGGGGTTCTTTCGGGGGCAGATTGTGCATATAAATAGAGCGTGCTGAACCGTTCTCTTCTCATTCAGATATAACTACTTCTTTTTTCTTTTACAATCATCCCCTATCTTAATCGTATACTCGTCGCGACTCATTTAAGGCTACTCTTGTGGTTGTTCCCCTAGTTTGGCAACGGGCTCCGACCCTACCATCACCATGGGTTCTTGGCCAGAGGATATAGATTTTGATCCCGGGATATCCTTTGATTCAGTCTTTGGTCCGCCCTCTCATGACAATTACATCTCCCCTTTACCCGATGAAGGGACACCATTCATCTTTGATCCAAGGCCAAGCCTTGGTATCAGCCAACCCATGCCCTTTGGGAAGACCTTAGGTAAATGCTGAAGCTGAGTTCCGACAATCAATTGCTAACAGTCAAAGGCTTACAAGGATCTCCGCCACGGTGCTCTTGGTCCCTCTCGGACAGTTCCTGCTTTGCTTCCCCGTGCAGTAACACTCCGGAGGAAGCTAGGCTGCTCTCAAGCTGGGATAAGTATATGCTTGCTCAAGGCGATGACTCAATCGCCCACCATGAGAATGAAATATACGAGCTCGCACGAGGCATTCAAGACTCTAGCCTCATCACTTCCTATGAATTGCACCCGAGCGACTTTATCGCAACAGCCACTCAGTCCCCCACCCGCGGTCCAGGTTCGATGGTTTAGTCGGAGAATCAAGAAGATGTTTCCGGCCATTCCCTCGAGGGCTCCGGCCCGGCTGGATTCTCTCAAGGACCCCCGGGGGACTTTGCGGCTTTCGCGATATCGCCTCCCAGTTTTGCATTTCCTAGTGTTTCTCTTGATAGTTCTTCTTTTAGCAGTGATGATTTTAGCGACGCTTCGAATGGTGGAATAGGTGATGATGGATCTTCTCCTAAGAACCTCCCTCAACGTAAGATCGAGCTTCTCAAGCTGCTATGTCCCGCTGGGAGCTAACCAAAGTTATACATCCCAGAAACTCCTCGGCCGGGTTATCAGTGGTGCTGTAAAAAGGAATACAAAGAAGGCGACCAGTTGAAGTAAGTGCAGTCCGAACTCACGCCCGAAGGAACATATTTATCCAGTGAGCTTACATCTCCCTTGCACAGGCGGCACCAGAAACGCCATATACGTAAGGTCTGCTGTCCCTTCTGTCCCAGGAGATACTACGACCTTAAAGATTGGCGAGGTCATTGTTTCCGCCATCATACCCAATGGGCCGAGGAGAATATACCAGAGTACGATCTCCGGCGCCGGTGCAGGAATTGCGGAGAGAATTTTTCCAAGGTTTCCTATATCAAGAGGCATCTGGAGTCCAATGCCGGCCAGAGTTGTTGGGAGAGGCTGGGGCATCTACCGCCCAAGGAACAGGTACTCCCGTTCAAGTCTGGCGATGCTAAGCGCAGTTGATTTTTTGCTTTTGACTTCTTTTGTTTTTACCAAAATGTGTCAAAAACTCAGAAAAAAAGAATTAGTACAGTAGGAAGCTCTTTGATTCAATTTTCAATTTTCTCTTGCTTAATGTCCATACCAAACCTCGCCATTCCGTGTAAGTCAACTTGAGCGCAAATGAACAAATGATTAGCCTTAATACAATCGTAACATTGGACATATTTAGCAGATTGGCCATACAGAGTACAAAGTCAGAATCTACCTGGTTAACATTATTTGAAAATGTATAGACTTCTGAACAAATTAAAGTCGATATATCGGCTTCTGTTGATTGCCTGCTACAGGGTAGTGGGTGAGTGTTGGCGGGGCTATTCAACACCCCGCCGCAGGCAGCTTAGCTGATGATAACTTTATCTGGCGGGGTGGCCCGAGGCAGGCCTGAAGCTTGCGACAGCTCCCTGCCTGCTTCACTCAACACCTTCTATAAGAACCCATACCCTCGATTCTTGTTATATTTACTCTCAATATTGAACATTATCCTGATACCGGAGTCTACACTGCATCGGATTCGTTATTCCATTCGTTATTTTCCTAATTTTCCTACATCCTCGCAAACTACTCTTCCTCCAGCGGCCATGACCACACAGTACGAGGGTATGTTCTTCGTCCAGGCCGCTCCTCGCCTACTACTACCTTCTGCAAGCCGGCTAACTCGAATAAACAGTTGAACATGGAGTGAGCTTCTCCGAACCCCGCCGCTCCCGCCGCGTCGACATGGCGTCCTTCTTCTCCCTCCTCAACCAGATCGGCTCCCCCGCCGGCACCGAGACTCCCCAGCAGAACCCTCATGCGACGCCCACCCCCGTCGACGCGGCCGCCCTCTTCCGGCTCCTCCAGGAGCAGCTGCTCACCCTGCACAACACGGCCCCCACCACGGACAACCGGGACTTCCTGGAGCAGCTGATCTCGAGTCTCGAGGACGACATCAACGACCCCCCGTCGAGGCTCAAGGGCGTGAGCCAGGAGTTCGTGGACACGCTGGACCGCGTCAATAGGAAGAAGCTCGGCGAGGACGACGACTGCGCCATCTGCAAGGTGCCCTACCTCGAGGACGAGTACTGCCTGGTGGTGGAGCTGCCGTGCAAGGGGAGGCATCAGTTCGATCTGGAGTGCGTGGGACCGTGGCTGAGGAGCAAGGGCACATGTCCCATGTGCCGGGAGGAGATGGGCAAGAAGAAGGAGATTCCCGTTGTCGATGACGACGAAGAGGACGATATGGACATGCTGTACGGATGAGACGCGCGGGCGGGTGTCCCACGATACGAGGTGATGAAATGCATTGGCGCCGGGGAGTTCAGAGAGAGAGCGATGCTATTATTCCAGAAAGGGAATTCTATGCCTGATATTTACACGCTTACACGACCCCTAAAGGGGTGAGGAACATGGGAAGGAGGAAAGCATAAGCATCGTCTATCATAATATTCATACCGCATCGTATTTTACACCCCCAGGGTCTTGATTGTTTCCAGAGTCTTCTGGGCCTTGGTTTTGGCGTCCTCGTTGTCAGTCTTGCTGCTCAACTCCTCCGCTCTCTGTTGCCAGAACGTCCAGCGCTCCTTGTTCAGCCCTGGCTCTCCGCCGAAGAGCTTGCCGCCCTTGAGCGTCCTCTTCTGAGTGTCGTCCAGCTCCTGGTTCTTCGCGACGCCGTTCCGTAGTACCTGGCCTGCATTCACGACCCACTCGTGTGTGACGGCGATGTGGCCATTCAGAGCGGCTGACGAGTCGTGCTCCTCCTCGAGACCTTCGCGCAACGCCCAGATGGCAAATTCCGTTCCGGAGGTAATAGAGGAGCCCAGGAGACGGGCCGCGAAGGAGTTGAGAGAGATCCAAGAAGAGACGGTGGCATTGTCCTTGTCGCTGCCATCGAATTTGGGAGTGACTGCAGCCGAGTTAGTCAAATGAAACTCGCTAGAAAAATTATACGGGCCAGCGCAAAGGCCAAGATTGCACCTACAGTTCCATGCTTCTCTCGCACAGGGTCCTAGCATCGGGAGGTCGGCCCATACTTTGGTCTCCTTGCCCCAGATCTCGACGGAACCGTCTGCCCGGGCCTTGAGCCTCTCCACAATCAAGACCAGGAGCTGCAGTCTCGAATCCTGGACCGAGACCTTCTTCGCAACCTCGATATAGAAGGTCCAGAAGGCCCAGAGGAAATCCTCGGCCTTCTCATCGGTGTTATAGCCCGAGCGGTAGAGGTTGGATATACCATTGACCACGTCGTCGGCCGAGCCGCTGCCGTTGAGCGCAGGGTCGAGGATGGCAGCAACGCGGGACTCGACCGAGTCCTGGTTCGAGTTCTTGGGCACCAGAGCCTCGAGATCAATGCGTTCGGCCATGGTAGCGACAGCAAATCCCGAAACAATGCGGATCTGGGTCTGCGGTGGTGGGCGCAATTGGAGCTTGGGAGTTGCAGCGGCGGCGGGTTGGTATGCGCAGACGTGAATTTTATCAGCAGCAGCTCGGGACCAGGTGCGACGACACGTCGCCTGCCGCCGCGTCACTGAGGTCTTATATAATAGCACGCGGGAGGAGACTGGTCTGCCTAGCGAGGATGAGACGTGGGCGGCGGCCTGGCGAGCTGCTTGAAGCGGCAAGATCAACTGGGATGTGTGTATGTGCGTCATGCGGGACCACAAGCAGCTGCGGGCTTGTCGGCGCGGGGCATCAAGCGATCGGGGGCCAATGAGCAGGACAAATCGGGGCCACGATGCACCGGTGGTGATGGTGGTGGTGATGCAGTGTTGCTCTTTATCCCCTGTCGCTGGCGGGCAATTCCACCGTGAATTGACCCTGATTCACCATGGTGCAGCTGCATGATGCTCGGTGTACAAGCTAGGGCCTAGCACTCTCTGGCTTTGGGTCTACAGTCACGACTTTGTCTCCGTCGCCTGGAGGATCATGCATAATTGGAAAGGTCTACGTCTTATCTTGCAAAGGTCAATCTCATGGGATCAGAGCGCTCCACCCTACACCACCCTTTTAATGCACTGCTGATAAGGTGGTTCATTCGCTCTGAGCATTTGCCTGTCGGTCTAATTACCTTTCTTAGGACATGAGAACGACTCCTGAGTGAGTAACTTAATTTTGGCTTCCAAATGAATTCAAGCTAAAGAGCGGTATAGCTTCTAAGTAGAGCATCTCATGACGAAAAAGAAGCTCAGAAGCCTCACCCTTTCATCTTTGTGGTGAGTCGTTACATGTATGCTGTACTCTAAGCCGCCATGTACGAGGCACGGTCTATGAGTTGATGCCAATTTATTTTGAGTACAAACGACTCGCCAGATGCGATGGTTGCCAATCTCTGTTGGCTTTTTCTAATATGTTTTTTTAACCTTCTCTAGCTTGGAGCTTTATGTGAGTCGTATAGTAACGAAATGGGGAATTCCAACTTACACTCACATCGTCATTTCTACTGGAGACCTTCTCGCTTTATCTCTTGCTCTCTTTTCTACGTGAAGGAAACTGTCCGACCTAGGCACCGGCCAGTTACTTGATAAAGTATGTCTACATTTAATCACAAATAGGTAGTATATACTCGGTAAAGAAACGTACTATTGGTGGCTGTTCGCGAGAAGTCACATATCGATGTCTTTCCCGTCCCGAGTTTCTTAGAATCCTGCAGAGTATCACACACCGTCCCCATTCATGACAACTTGCTGGTCGCTTCATACCCTGATATCTACGACGACCCCGCACTGCAACGCAACATGCAACTACATGCAAGAGCCAGGCTCAAGCAGCAAACAGTGGTTCTTGACGCAAGCTAATGTGCGTCATGAGCTCTGCGGCCGGCTTGGATGTACCATCCCTGATACACCACTGCCGATGGAGACATGGATGATGTCGATGGAGTGAGCGGATTGGTGAATAAATAACGGTGTAATGGGGCTGGTACATCACAGAGAAGCTATATAGAGCCTCTCAATGTACATAACTGCTCGTTTCACTCTAGCTCACCGAATAGATGACCGGATGGTCTGATGTGATTCCTACGATAAACTCTTCAAAGATTCTCTGCCAATTATATATTGCATAGGCCCCCGGACAACCCCGGGCATACATAGCGCGGAAAGCCTTGAATTCTAACGGCGGCGGTTTTAAGCCGATCCAGATCGGCGAGGCCGAAGCCTCGTCACCGTCTAGGCAAGATGGTTGGATCGAAGCTCAGGCACCTTTGCTATGAGATGACGCACAATATAGTGGAATGGAGCTTAGCCTTGTCAACTCAGAAAGTTGAACTCGTTGGAATGTTGCGGTTGCTAGATACTTTTGAGAGTATTATAGGGTCCATGAATTTTCTGAGTTCAAACTTTGAGTTTAGCAGCAACTGTCGGCTTCCCGCGCGTTCCAACATGACACCTGAAGATGCTGCCAGAGTACTTGACCGACTCTGGGTACTTCTCCGGCTCATGCTCAGACTCGCTTGTGATGTAGATGTCCTCGCAGGCAAAGGCAACAGCCTAGAATGGAGTGATATTTCATTTAGCTCCTGTCCCACAAACAGAATGGATGCTGTGGAGAAGGAACATACCGTTGGGCATCGAGTTGGAACATGAACCTCGCCGGTGATTTCGCCCTCGGGCGAGACACGGATAACCTTCCAGGAGCCCCAGAGCGCAATCCAGAAGTTTCCGGCCTCGTCTCGGGTGTGGCCGTCTGGCCCTGTACCCTCCTCGGCGAGGAAGAACACTCTTTTGTTAGATATGTTGCCAGTTTCCTTGTCGAAATCGTAGGCAAATATGCTCCTGTCACCAGTGTCTGTGAAGTACATGATCTTCTCATCTTCTGACCAGCTGATACCATTACCAATAGTGACACCATTTAATATGCGGTGGAACTGTCCGTCTGGGTCCAGCCTGAACAGAGCCCCTAGTTATTAGAGTAGTTGATTAGCACGACCCCTCGGAGGCATAGGATAATTCAAATGTACTCACCCTCCGGCTTGAAGGTAGTCTCTGCGGGATCGCATATCGCGCTGACCCAGAAACGGCCCTTGCTATCAACGGCCCCGTCGTTGGCCCTCATCTTCTTAGGCTTCCCGTCCTTCTCCTCTTCTTCCGACCAGTATCTCTGGAGGATCTTGGGCTCCCCGCCCGATTTCTTGTCGAATCCGATGCCATATTTACCGCCAAAGAGAAAACTATCCTTTGCCCCTTCAAGCTCTGCAGTGACCCTGGAATTGGGTTTTGGGTCAATTAATGGTTTCCTCTGACGCACATGATAGAGGGGCACTTGTCCCCCGCAAAAAGGCGAACCTACGAGACGGAATCGTCATATGAGATCTCTTTGAGAGAAGAGGGTCCTTGCTCTAGATTCACCCGATAGACCTTCTTGTTTACGATATCAACAAACCGGAGGACATTGTCCTCACGCTCCCAGAACGGGCCCTCGGAAAGCCCGCATCTCAGGTCGAGGTATGGCTGGTTGGGTTGTTAGCAACTTCAGACCGGTGTTTAGTGGTGAGAAATGGCCGCACTTCGTTAATTTTGAAAGTTTCCATCTTGGAATCAGGGCACAATCTTTGTCTAAAGTTTTGCGAAGAGAATGAGTGAAATGGGGGGCTGAGAGCCAAGGCAAGGTGCTAATGTGATATTCGATATGGGGATTGAGAGGTGGGTCAGATATGTACATATGCAATCAACCGAACCGATGTCTTGATATTCAACTCATCTGCTTCACATCCTAAGGTATTAACCGAACCGAGATTCTGCTGATTCTTGGTATATTTTTTTTCCGACTATGTGCTAATAATCATTGCATTTTGACTTGACTTTCGTTCGCTGAGTTGAATCATTGATTGCAGAACGTTTTGCCAACCTAACCATCCACTGAGCGACTTCGGTGACTTTGCCAGCTAGGTGTTTAATGTGGTGTAAGACTCCATATGCATATTCTTTAGTTCGGCGAGCTTATCAGCGGTTGTAAATTACCTGTCTGAGAACCGAAAGTGTGACAGAGACGTGGTAATCAACCAGTGCACCGATTGCTCGTGAGCCATGCCCTCGTCTTCATCATAGTGCTATCGCCCAGGCTGTCCAGGTTTCCCATGCTTAGGAGCACCCGAGACTCTGCTGGGCTTCCCCGTCTTGGAGGTTTCCTTCCCATGGCCTTTTTTGCTGGGTGTCTTCTCATCACCTTGGGGCCTGCTCAACGGCTGATTTGCACCGCTGGCCTCAAGTGGATTCCCATCCTTGCTCCCCTTCCCAGCGACCTGAAATTCGCCCTCGGGCGACGTTGTTTTTGGATCGAAGGAGGTTTCGGGATGTTGTTCAGCTATGTCACTGTCGCGGGCGGTCGCTGTATTCTCTGCTGCATCTGGTCGGAGACTTTCGCGATCTTGAGAATCTTTGTATGGGAATCGTAGAATTCGCGTGGAGGAATAAGGCCGAGTTGAAGTGATGGCCGAGGATGCAGCCTTGCCGAAGCGTTGTATCAAAGACATCTTATCCTGAGAAGGGGGTCGAAGTTGAATTAAGTGTATACCACGACTGATCTATATCTTATGAGGAGTTAATTAAAGAAGGAAAAAGAACTACTTAATAACCCATTCCCCAATGAGCCGGTCCAGTGTGAAGAAATGCCTGTTATATCCATGATGCTTGATCACCTATTTTTGACGTCATTGACCGTCACACTGGAACCTTAGTTTTTCCCAATTGATTATCAGAGGAAAAGCCATATCAATCGGATGTAGTATTGGAGGAAGATGGAAGTGTAATTCCGATTCCGTAAAGGAGAAATAACCAGGCGAGTTAGAACTTGTCTCTTGCTTCACTCTGTGGTTATTAGGCCATGTACACATCCAGGTTACCTTCTACATGGATCATACCTACTATCGCAGCGCCAAGAAACCTTCGGGCGCGCCGAGAAATCAAACCATCGCGCATCTGAATCTCTGTGAAACTCTCCTATGATTGGAGGGAAACATGTGAAACGCCAAGGTGCTTTCCATGCGAAGTGCTCTTTATTACTTCTGGCTTGATCTTTGAGTATTTCCCAACTCTTGACGGCGTTGCCATTGAGCGCTCAACAGCGACAGGGCAGGGGGGATGAAACATTCTGCTGCAGGTCCCTCACTCATTCGGCAGCTTTGCAGGTGATAAATTTGTCTCCGTCTTGGTGATGCGATGGCATGGCGGAAATGGCACTACTCATGATTATACGTACTTTGCCTGCTCATTACAAGCGGTGATATTGAAGCGAATTCTAATGTTAGCTCCTCGGCCGAGCTGGGACCTACCTGCCTGTTGGTGCGCCGAGACTGCGGCCTGATCGTATGCCAGAGGGAAGGCCAGAATCCTGCCCTACGATGCTTCTGAGGAAACCCTACTTCGATGTATGCATTTGTATCGCCGGGTCGCGTCGGGGCAAACACCGTCTGCGTCGTTCTAGAATGCTTCCGCTGCAGGTACCGGTCCGGAGGATGGGAAGTGTGTCAGAGTCTCGGCCAGTCCGACGGAGCTATTAACCTCGATAGGCGCGGCTGCAGTCGCCCGGCCACGTACAATGTACACGACTCACAAGCTTCCACGGTTTATACGCTTGTTGGGTATGCGTCAGCAAGCCCGTGGGTGTTCCCTCTTATCTGCTAAGGCTTGGGGAAGGAGCATAAATCCCTTTGGTGGTGGTTACACCACAGCTCGTCTCGCGTGGGGATCCACCTGAAGCAGCCTGTCAATGCGATTAAGCGGTCCGCCGTGAAGAATGGGGAGACTGGTTGGGGTCCTGGCCCCGGACAGGGGCCCCAGGGCGGGATGAGTTGATACCATCGGCCTGCGAAATGATGGCTGGAATCGCCCAAGATCGTACGTATGCACCAGCGCTGAGGCATGTGGTTGTGGCATAAGGAGCAGGCGCGAGAATGAGCTGCAGCGCCTGGGTAAATTTGGACATCATGCACCTGTGGCGCATGCACCCATCCCTCCTCTGCCCATTGCCAGCAGGGGATGAAATTAGGAGACGTGCAAGTGCGTGAGAAGGAAGCTCTCCTACGGCTCTCGCTTCAAGAAGTGCGGGTTGGTAGATGAAAGAGCAAACACCTGAAGTACTGTACGCATCCAAGTGGGTAGCAATATAAAAGTGGCATGGAGGTAAAGGGGGTCGAGCTGCTCGTACTATGTGGTGTCGGCTGTCGTGATCACCAAGCGACTGACAACAAAGTCATCATCCATCGGCCGTATGGTGTACAAGACAGGCATAAAAACATGCTGGTAGCCCGCACCCCAGGCCCAGATCTCGAGTCGCCACAAGGCACATAAGCTTATGGTCCATGGCATCGTAGCAAGACACATATCTGCCATATTGGGGCTTCATCAGCATCTCTGGCCTGCCTCGACCTTCCGATCTGGTTTCGTCAGTATCGGGATGCTATCCCCCGCGACATGCAGAGTAACAACCAGCAAGGCCTCGGCGCAGAGTAGCGGCCATGAACTGGAGCCCCTCCACCCGTAGCGCTGTGGGCTATGGGTTGATTTGGACGAACCAACCCCCTTGTAGCGCGCATTTTGGCGGGTGTCGCCAGGTCCCTGAATATCAGCCTCCTCTGAATAGTGGCACTTCTCCCTAAAGGTCGGTTTGCACCGGCGGCACGTAAATGGGGTGGCACACGTGGGACTCAGAACTCAGGGACAGTTGCACTAATTTACCCTGCTCAACCCCCTGTGCGACAAGAACCAGTCAACGGGCTGCTTCAGAACCTCAGCGTCGCAATCCCCTGGTGTGGTACATAGTATGCAGCCCCTGGGAGGTAAATTACTATCCCATCCATCTGGAGAAGAAGAAGTGTTGCATCGATTCGTCTCAACTCGTGGCCTTGCGGCACGACCCATTGGCTATTGGTTTCCACCCCCATGACGGTGTTGTTGATAAGTTGCGAATGCCGACACATGGCGAACATCTCAAGCCACTTACTTGTCTTTCTTGTCCGAGGTACATTTATTGGGATAAGGACGGGTCAAGGGTGGGTGGATGCTGGCTGTGGCGAGTCGACGATAAGTGGTACTAGTGCTGGATCTAGTCAGTGACCAGACAAACGCCAGAGATATCCGTAGCCCATCTCCGACACCAGTACTCCGGACAGAGCAGTCCTTCTCCGAATGCAAGATAGGGCGTTGGCCTCATCATCCAGATCTGAGGCGAAACGCAGGATATTAACAGTACACAGCTCAAACAAGGCAGAAACACCCCGAAAACAGACCCCCCAAACGCAGGGGGCCGAATCAACGGCTATCTGGCCGTTCAAAAGTAGGACATGATACGAAATGTCGTTCCCATGGGTGGTGGGTCATGGACACTCGCGGCAGATAACCCCCTCATGGATCACAACGGGCCACCACCCAGGCTCCATGCTCTCTCCAAATGGATACTTTCAGACCTGCCTTTCAGTAGGTGCTTGTAGTTGTCTGACGGCGGTGCTAGCGTCCCCCATTTCACGTTTTTGGTGTGTGTTTGCCTTTGCACCACAGAGCCGGTGGACGGGCCCCCTTGCGAGATAGTGGATGTAAGACGGCCATGCAAGGTGCCAATAGCAATCTGCACTTATCATGCGTCTGCGTTTTGGAATACCATTTTCCGTCTGAAGCGGCCGGTAGCGATGTACATGGGCAAATCGGGTCGAGCAGAGGTGTTGCTGGTGGCAGCCGCCTGCGCAGTGGCTCGTGGTCCCCTGTGCGTGGCTGTCTGTGGCCCCTGCATTCCCACCTGCCTGGAGGAATAGGTAGGTACACCGTAGCGGCGGAGCACAGCGCTGGTGCTGGTGGTCACTTTCGGGACAATGGACCTGGAGTGGTTAGAGGTTCCTCCTGTCCAGGACCTCCTGGGCGGAGGTACATCTCCCTCAGCTTCGATGCGTTGAGACGTTGATGGTTGACTTCCTCCACGTTCAGCTGCTTGCTACGACATAGCATGTAGTCGACGAACGCCTGCTGCTTGCTCTTCTGGGCGTCGGCGCTGTTCTTGGGCGAATGGCTCGTCAATTTCCTTCGCCCCCATTAATTCCTTCCATCTCATTTCGTTAGTCTTTGGTCACTGATCGTCGCTTCTGAGCTACTGCCACCACACCTGACCCGTTTGGGGTGTGCAGGGTGCGTGCGTGCGTGCTTGTCGCTGATCATGCTGCTTTGTAGGTACCTGGGCACCGCTAGGAGGCAGGCAGGAGCGGCCAGGCAGGCTGGTATGGAGGCAGGCAGTTAGGGAGGTACCAGCAGGTTGTACCTGCCTGTTGGGCGATACCTCAGTCCTTCCCTATCCACAACTCCCCTTTGCGGCGGCAATACCATGGCTGCTACTTCTCCATTGCTCTTGGATCCTGCTGGTGCTACTACTGTGTATCACTTCCTCGTGCCTGTCCTCTAGGTGCAGCATTGTCTCACTCACCGTTCTGCTTCCTCATCTCCCAATCCTCCATCCCATCTCACCACTTCCTCCACCCGAGCCATTTTCCATCACCAGCCTGGCGACCCCTCCACCCCGACCTGTCACTGCTCTCGCCACTGGCGGCAACCCTTACCGGTACCTAGCAGGAGTCTCGCCTCGCGGTCTTGCATCGTCCTCGATTAATCGGTCGCTTATCGAACCCCCAAATTGGCCAACCGATCACGGCAGCACCTACACTTTCACCAAGGGGTTTGACGCCTCGACGGCTTGTGGAACAGATTGTATTCCTGTGCAACCTTTTCCTTCTCACACCACATACCAGTTGGCCGGCCAGACGGGCGTCCATCCACTACGACTTCCTTGTTAAATCACTGGTCCAATACACCCGTTCGACAGAAGCTTACCAGAACAAACTCCCGACTAGCGACTCCACCACCATTGGCTGGCACTCCGAACGAAACAAAACCATCGTTTGACCCCAAGAATGGTGCTCGGTTTCCGATTGCGATAATTGCTGCGTTGTCCGTCGACCTCAATCCATCAATATGGGCAACGGTCAGGGAAAGCCTGTGGATTTCACCGGCGACGGTATGCTCTGCCCCCTTATCCTCCCTCTCTCGCCAATTCACGAGGCACGACGATGGTGATTTGATCTGGCGTCATTTAAGGGCTGGTTTTCTCCCACGTGTTATGTGCATTGCCCAGAACGAAATGTTTCCCCGCAATCCAACACCCTTCCCTCCGTTAAAGACACTCTGAGACAGGATAGTAGAAAGCTGACAATTGCTCGCAGTGAGTCTGAATCATTTCCGACTCTTACGTGTCGTCGGCCGAGGCGCTTTTGGAAAAGTTCGCATTGTCGAACGTCGGGATACCAATTTATCTTTCGCCCTCAAATATATTCGCAAGGATGAAGGTACGAAAGGAGAGAGACCCGCATCTCAACCATCCCCCGAAGTCGAAGCTATGAGGAACTGACTCTGAGTAAACCAGTTGTACGGTCGGAAAGCGTCCGAAACATCATCCGCGAGCGTCGAATGCTTGAGCATGTCAATCACCCCTTTATCTGTAACTTGCGATACAGCTTCCAGGATATTGAGTACATGTGCGTCTCCAACATCGTTTTCGTGCCAAGCTGCCGCTTCTAATGGATATTCGCACCGTCTGTATTGCTCACACGAATAATCATAGGTATTTGGTCGTCGATTTGATGACCGGTGGTGACTTGAGATTTCATATTTCACGCAAGACTTTCACAGAAGAGGCTGTTCGATTCTGGATTGCAGAATTGGGCTGTGCCTTGCGCTATATTCATGGGCAAAACATCATCCACAGGGATGTGAAACCCGATAATGTTCTTCTTGACGCCGATGGCCATGTCCATCTGACGGATTTCGTGCGTTCCAACCCGGCCAGCATGATACAGTTGTGTTGATACTAATTGCGGTTCAGAATGTTGCATCAGATATCATTCCTGGCAAAGTCCTAACTAGTAAATCCGGTACTCTTGCCTACCTTGCTCCAGAAGTCTACGCCGGCAAAGGATATGATGTCCGCGCAGATTGGTGGTCATTAGGAGTTTTGTTCTATGAGTGCATCTACAATAAGGTCTGTTCCACTATTGATTTATCACCTGCCAGAGATGGTTCCAACTTCCGCTTCATGTACCTGAGCCTAAACTGACATTGAACAGCGGCCATTCGAAGGAAACTCCGAGAAATCGCTTGGAGAACAGATTCAGTCAGCAAACCCTAAATACCCAGTCACCCAACCTCCTGTCTCTCTAGGCTGTCTATATGCCATTGGCGCCGCCCTCGATCCGGTTCCCAGCAAGCGAATGGGTCACACTTGGGAAAGTTTTATCAATAACGACTTTTTCAGAGTTCTGGATTTTGATCTGTTGGAACAAAAACGAATCGAGCCAGTGTTTGTACCCTCATCCGACAAGACCAATTTCGACGCTACGTACGACTTGGAAGAACTTCTCCTCGAAGAGGCCCCCTTGGAGGCTCGTGCCCGTCGCCAGAAGCCAAGAGAAAGACTAAAAGAAGATGCCACCGAGAAGGAGATCAAGGAAGACAACCTTTACCGGACGATAGAGACGGATTTCAGACCCTTCGATTACACGATTGCCGCATACAAGAAGTAAGTACTAGTGTTCTCTTGGTCAATTGCCTTGTATACTAACTTTTGGTAGGATCACGGAGGCATCCAGACGGATAAGCGATGATCCCCAACACGAGCCTGCATCACCTGAACAGGGTGAACAGAGTGGTCAGGCGTTGACCACTGACGAAGCAGCCCCGGCACCAGCTATGAATGGCCAAAGCCACGATCAAAGCCAGTCGAGCACCGTTTCTTCACCGACTGCGGCTTCAGAAAGCACCCAGCGACCAGCTGGCCGACCTGTCCCACCACCGCTACCAACTGCCTATCAGACTGAATATGTCTCGAGGTCTTCTCGAACCGGAGGCAATCGTGTCACCAGCCCTACCGGAGGTGTTCAGGTCACCTTGGATGGCGGCGGCAGCTGGTCTGAGCTTGCTCGACAGGATGCCACGCTACCAACAGATGCAAACGCTGCTGGTGAGGCTAAAGGCGAAGGTTCCAGTGGAATGTTTGGCTTCTTGAGAAGCAAAAAGGGAAGAAACAACAGTCCACGCCCAAAGGAGAGAGGCGTCCTAGGGAAGGAAGGTGCCAGAATTGTCATTGGCTGAACACAAACCCATATCGCTCCCCATTTTCCTTCTCTCCTCTTTGAGCGGGAAGTGGGCCAATGCCCCGACGGAGGCCCCTAATGATATTACGAAGTTTAAACGGCCAGTAGCGCCCGGTGTTGGTTGTTGATTGCGCAACGTCTGATGTTTAGACGCCGGTGCAGGACAGGTGCAACGCAACCGGACTTCCCTTCGAATCTTCTCAGACCAGCTGGCTGCGAGTTTCTTTGGCGAAATTGGGTGGAATATACCATTACTATTCGCGACAGTCAGCACTTCCATGGCTTTTTATATTAGACACAGAATTTCCTTGTGGGAATGATTTCTTTGCATTTTGTTGGGGTTGTCTGGGGCATGCTTTGGAACCGGGGGTCTTGACCTGTTTGACTTCAAGTACTGAATGAATGCTCCGAGTTTGGGTTCAAATTGCTACCTGGAGATGACGGAGAAGCAGAAAGGGGCATATACGTTATTTGAACCTCATGTACTCTATGCTTGGGCTGGTTTTTTGCTGTTCATGTTTTCCGAGGAATTTCTTTGCTCAATTTTTTTTTTCGGTTGCTTGTTTTGCCGCAATCTAACTGTTCTTCCTGATCGCTTAGCATAACATACCTAGTGGGAACATTGGGTGGAAGGCCTGGTTTATAGGGACTGTTCCTGAGAAGCAGCATATATATATTATATATTATATATTACTGAATCATTGTCCCGTTCTTCCTACTCGAGCGAAGTTTAGTAGTTTCGAACGATGTCATTTCATGATCAGTATACGTTGAGCGTCGGTCCTGGTTTATAGTTGGAGAGCAGCAGAGATTGCAGAGATTGGATTTGTCACGTATATTGGCAATTGTATGTCACATGATGATGAACATTGAATTCTTAAATAAAATGCAGTACAATGGTTCCAGAGCAACTATTATCCAGGAAACGAGGCCTCGAAGTCCACCTAGAGATCATCATCATCGAAACATCGCCTCATCTTCCCTTTCCATTTCGTTTTATATCCGTAGCGGAATTTGTAAAGTGGAGAGAAACAAAAAAAAATCAAATCAAGCACCAAGATCTTCTTGAAGTGCGGGAATACGCAACAAAGCAGAAACTCCTTGTGGCAAGCCGTGTTCGTTCTGACTCAACGCAAAACAGATGTGAAAGAGACGAGAAAAAAGGTGCACTCCCTCCAATGTTTTCCAGTCCAATATAGTTCAGTTGCGTGTGCTTGTTGCACCCCAATATCTGGGGAACGCTGACCGACTCATAGTAATAACGCCAATATCCGTTGAGATGGCTGCCTTAATCGACGATACTCGCCTGTGTAACTCCCCGAGTACGATTTGCTGGTCCATCTGTGCCCATGCTCTTTCATTCGCTTGACTCCTTTTACCCAACCCGAGATAGGAAATTATAGGTACAGGCACTTGAAATCAAAGTGCGAGCAGAAATAAATATCCCTAAAAACGGTTCCGAAAATAAAAACATTCTCGGGTACACTAGGATAGATTGACACCGTTTGGTTTGGAGGTTCGGCTCACTTCAATCCCAAGAGTCTCAGCGACACATTCGGAAGATACATCCTTCCCCATGTACTTCTTGAGCAGAGTATCAAAGTCGTGTTCACCAACGACAGGGCCGTTGCCTGAGCATTTGGCCTTCTTGGTGAGCTCGGAGCAAAGCCCATCGAGATCAAATTCGCCGTTTTGAGCTTTCGGGCAGGCCTGTAACTTCTCCCTGTCCAATTTATCAGTGTTACCGTCTGGAGGGCTTCCGAAAGAAGGTTTCAGGTCATACCACAACTGGTTGCAGCTCATGTCTGCCTTCTTCGCAATTTTATCGTCAAAGTCATCCTTCTGAGCGTCGATTTCGTCAATCAAGTTCTTCTTGTGCAGCGCAGGGCTGGGGGCAACGTTGTAAGGAGTGAAGAAGTCCGCATCGAGGGAATCGTTGAAGAGCTCGTCAAACGACGGGTTGGAGAGAATGCTTTCTTGAGGCTCACGGTAATCCCCAAACAACTGGGGATCAAAGTTGCCACCGTTCTGCTGCGCAAGCCAATCAAAGTTGTTCGCGTTGTTGAAGTCAACGTTCGCAAATTGGGAGAAAGTGTCCGCTGACAGGGAGGGCTGTTCTTCTCCAATGGTTGTCATCAGTTCGATAGGCTTCGAGCCTGAGGGAGACTGTGTGAATGGCTCAGGCGAAGTGCCGCAAGAGGAACTGGCGCCAACATTTGAATTAGATGAAGCGGACGGTGAGCTCGTTGCCCCAAGACCGTACTGTGCCGAATCCAGGCTATATTTGGAATCATTTGTGATGGTACTGGCCATGGATGGTGTGAAGACACTCGAAAATTTGGTTGCTGACACATCTTGGGGTGATGCCCTCGATTGAGGAGACATTTTGTCCGATATTGAGCCTCTGTTAGGGCTATTTGCCTGCACTTGCGTGTGCGGGCTGTGAGGCTGTGAAACTGATCTTTGAGCGGGCTTGACGGTCGCTGGGCCAGGAAGAGTGCCAAATTTGGGGAAGTTGAACTGGAAACTGACGTCGCTGAGGTTGCTGACAGCGGCATTTCCAAATGGCACCTTGGGACCAGTCGCGGGCTTGGGGTTACCAACGACTTGCAACTTTTGTTTGTACATGTTGAGCTCCACGCTCATGCGATCGACCTGGGCACGCAGCTTGCTGTTTTCATGATTGGCAGCCTCGGAGGCCTTTTCCAGCTCTTCAACCTTGGTCTCAAGGTCCTTCAAATGTTTCTCCTTGCGCTCTCTGAATGCCCGTTGGGCGGCCCTGTTCTGAGCTTTGCGTTTCTACCGTCCACATTGTTAGAGCTTTAATGCAACAATCAACCTTATCTCACATTGTAGGGTTCAACATACGGAGCTTGGTTCTGAGGTGAGGGGCTTGCGGCCGGGCTTCTTAGGCGCCTTATCGGTGCTCTCACGGCGCTTGGCACTCTTGCCTTCATCCTCTTCATCCTCCTCGGGGTAGCTTCGTTTCTCATTCGATTCATTCGCATCACCATCAGACGATTCCGATTGAACAGTTTCCGGGGCGTCTGCCAGTGTGTGGGCAGTTTGGTCACCGTCCGCAAATGAGAAATCGAAGCTGGAATCGGCGAAGTCATAATCATAATTACCATACATGAGCGAGTTATCAGTAAAGCCCTGGCCGCCGCCGAGGCCCTGTTCGGGCTCGCTCTTGAAGGGCTTGGGGGTCGCAGAAAGACCGGGGCTGCTAGAAGAGCCCGACAGTTGAGGATTGTTGGAGTTGAGAGCAGCGAAAAGAAGACTCTGCTGCTGAGGAGTCAGTACGAAATTTGGCGGCAGAGAGCCACCGGAGCCGGCAGAGGCCATCGCGAATAGGTCTGCTGGTTGTTTGAAATCGAATAGTAGTCGAGGGGGGCAATTCTGGTGGAGGGCGAATCGAGGCAAGCTTCTCAGGCTGCCAAGCGGTACGAATGTCGGAGCTTCGGAGTTTAGTGTGAAAACCCCGGGATTCGCACGGAACAGAGTGGTCGAGTGGCGAGCAGCGACAGACAGGATTGAATGTCTTGGGCCAAGGCTCGCTCAGTCAAACGAAAAATTGTTTGAACGGGCGGTTGATGGTGGAGGAGAGAGAGGCTGGGAGGTGGCAACTGCCCTCGGTGGAATGACAAGAGCGGAGCGTGTAATCGGACTCCCCCGCAGGGCGCAGAGGTCGGCCAGTGGTTTGCACGATGCGGTGGTGTGGTGCATGCACTAACAGCACCTATCTTCCCGCCGTTTCGAGCCGGCAGACTGGGCAAAGGGTTCAAGGGGTGCGGCAGTGCGTCAGGCGGAAGGGATCCCAGTATTCAGGGTGCGTGAGAAAAATGCTTCGCAGTGCCCTGGCGTTCTAGTTGATTCTCCGGCGTGGAAGCGCTTCTCGCAGCTGGGTCTATGACTGAAGGAGGGGTGGCCTGCGGCGATGGAGAATGAGGTGTTCCAAGCTGAATTTGTCAGCGGTCAGACGAGACCAAACGGATTCGGGGTGCGGGGCTGTCTGGACTCCACCGTACCAGCGCAGTACCGGAAGATGCCTGGTTTGTACCTTCCTATCTCTGGTGCCTGCACGACCGGTCATGCAAGTCGCCCTGCTACTGGCGCAGGCACCATCGAGCGAGGTAGAGGGGTACTTGGCGGGCAAGGACGGCCCTTCTGCCGCTAGTCCAATGAGTCAACCGTGAGTAAACGCACTCTACCAGCTGCTGTTTCTGAACGAAGGCGTAATATGCTCCAGCCGGCCAGGTCCCTCCCTTGACCGAATCCAAAGCCGAGAGCCTGCATCTCCACTTGTCATCTCTGAGCCGATTGGTAAGGATGTAGCATTATGGCACCAAGCTTTCGGGAGTCGCTATCACCCCTAATCGATCAGCCAATCAGTCCATATCCCCCCGTCACGCCTGCAAAACAGCTTGCCACTGGCGACTGTTTGACCTGTGTCAAAACGTTCGTCCAAGGAGATTCTAGTGCCAAACAACCAAGGCTTCCGGGGAGTCCGGAAGACGTTTAATACAATGTATCGCCACTATGGAGTTACTTTAATCTATGGGGCGTTGTGCTAAAACAATGTCGAATTCATCTCGGGAAGTTAGAAAGCCACCATTATGACATGGTCGCCTTCTATGCATTGGGATATTATGTAAGAAACTCAGGTGACAATCGGAACAACTTGTAGACTTGGCCAATCACATCGCCTCATCATCATCTTCATCCAAGTTGATTCCAGCTCAGCTTCACGAATGGATGTTGAGATTTAGTGAAAGACTAGGATTGGTATGTTGGATTGAGAGAGCGGGCTATGGGCGGCATGCACTGAAATATAAAATTGGGAAGGAAGTTTGGAATTATATAATTTCATTCGCTCAATTTATTAAACTTGATAGATCATTATCAGAAAGATGTACAGGTTCTAAGGCCTGTTTCTCTTTGCCGAGCATTGTTCCACCTAGTAGGCCACATCGTTTAGATGGTGTTTAGGCCTTGGCGTACTCCTTGTGGGCCTCAGCCTTGCCGTTGTGAGCGGACTCGTCAACCTTGTCACCAACAGCGTCCTTGGCGGCAGTGAGACTATAGGGATTTGTTAGAAAGTCTTAATTCCGTTGTAGTGAATATAAGGGAATGGTTACTCACCGAGTGCCAACGCTGACATTGCTGTCCTTGGCAATCTCCTTGTTGGTCTCCTTGCTGGCACCAGAGACGGCACCCTGGACGGTCTCAGCGACGTAGTTAACACCCTGCTTGATGGACTCCATTGTGAATGTAGAGGTGGTTGATTGGGTTAAAAGTTGTGTGGTAGTGGTGGTTATGAGTGTGTGTGATTGTGAGTGAGTTGATGACGAAAAAAGTGTGTCATGGACGGGAGAACTCTACGTTTATATACACGATTTGGCGGCTTCTCAAGATTCCCATGCTCGATCAATCGAATACACGTGAAGTTCGTAGTCATCGAAGCTAAGAAGTCGTTTCTGTTAGTGTACTGCTTGAGGAATGCCCAAAACCCTATCGTGATCTACTATGCCCATCGACTGGAATGAATTATGATCTGAGGCCACTCAGAATCCGGCGTCGGTGACGTCAAGACTTTTGACCATTGCCGTTGAGGCCAAACGCGAAAGATTCTAGCAAAGTCCAATCAGGGACCGTGTCCAGCCCTTACGTCACTGAGATCCCACCATGGTGGGGCAGCAATTGAGGGACGGACTGACCTCACCCAGAAGCACTGGGGTCTGGCGGAGGATCTACTCCCTTCCCCAAGGCCCGTAAGCGCACGATCGGGACTGCGAATCCATGTTGCCGATTTTCTGACCATAAGCAAAAACGCTCCCGTCCAGAGCGATTGGGCTATTCTACGAGGTAGCATCAGGCAGTGTGCTCAATTTATTCGTTTACGAAGCAGCCGTAGAAGGACACCTATTCTATGGCGCCACTAATACGACCTCGGCAGAGAGGATAGCTAAGATTCGTGACGAAAGTCCCAGCCCCCAACAGATCTCCCCGCCCCCCTTAGATTAGCACGAGGTACAGAAAGTTCACGAGGTCAGGCACAGCGAGAGTCGGTGGCACTGCATTTCGCATCCATCCACGCGGGGCGGCTTAAGTGGTTCCCATCGCTAAAACCACCAATAGTGCAATGCTAAGATGGTGGAGCATCGCCATAAGCAGCGCTTGTCGGCCCTGATCGGGAGCTGTCTCAGCGAAGTCATCCGTGCATCAAGCGGCCAATACTCTCCAGTAGTCTCAGCCATCTACGTAAGTAAGCATATGATGCCTCGGATTTCCAGGTACCATCGAGGACGATGTCATTCTGCAGGAACTTTGTTCCGTTCGAGCAAGATCTCTTTCGCATTGGTTAGACTCTCAATTGACCCAATCTAGGTACATAGAAGACCAACAGGATGATGACATCAATCAACTTTGTTCTGTTCGAAAACGGACAGTTGCTGATGGGGGTTTTGGCCAAGGGAAATCACCCGTTAGATGGAAAACGTGCAGTGTCTCAGCCGCGATATCTAGTATTGAACACCGAGAACAGCATGGCCATCTATGTTTACCATGCAAGCGACTGACATAAAACATGGCAAACACACCCGCAACCTCCAGTGTTGAATTTGAACGCAATATCGAAATGATTAACCAAGCAATAAACACAATACCAAGCTAAATAGTGTTGATAATTTATTCCTTTTTAAATTATCGTGATCAGTGCCATTAATAGGAAAACGAGGTCCCTGCCTTGCGTGAAAAGAGCTGTAGTGAGCCATGTTTTATTTCACATATGGATGATCACGCCGGAGGCCGCTGATCCAATCACATCAAGCCCTACGCCTCAATTTCGCTTCCTTCTTGGTTTTGAAAGTCGTGAGGCCAGATCATCCACCACCAGAACCGTACCAGACACGAGAGGGGTCATTCTGACTTGTACAAAGATATCGAGTTTCTCTCTAAGTGATGAGCAACCGCTCAACCTAATGCAACGAAGACAATATAGCCGTCAATATCACTACTTATCCTACCATTGCTTACATTTTTTAAACCAAAGCTTGTTCCTCAAAGCAGCGATGTTACAGCTCTAAAGAAAGTCACGTGCCAACGTAGGTCCGGAACAGGTAGCCTGCAGTCAGCCCCACTGGCCCCGCGGGCCTTTGGTTGGGTGCTTACCACCGCTCTCAGGAGATGACCGCTCTTGTCCGCCGGGCACAAGCTCATGACTTAGCTGTACACTAGGCTCGCAGCCAGTTCTCGTACATTGCTCCTCGAGGCCCTCGACAGAGGAATTTCCAAAAGCAGCCATGGATCTCGCCTATGATCACATCCAGGAGGACCCCAACGCCAAGGATCAAGGTGCCGCCAGCGAGGGTTCCAAGTCCGACCAACCCCAGCCGTCGCTGAACAGCGAGATTCAAGATGCATACAAGGCCTTCTCGAATAGCCCTTGGGGTTCCCGGATTGGTGGGTTCCTTGGCAATGTAGTTAAGCAGGTAAGGGCACGATATTCGCAGCCTCCGCCTTTGCAGCTGTTCTAACGTCAGAAGGGTGGTGATGTATACACGCAGGCCTCGAAGGAACTGGCCGAGGTCAGGGAAGACGCAACCAAGGGACTCTCCGATCTCCAAAAGTCCATCATCGAGCAAACCCGACACATGACCGTCAAGGACGTAACCCTGAGCTCAGATGTGCTGGAGGAGAACAAGGATGACGCAGCACAATCCAGAGATCTTTCATCCGATGGTCAGCCTAGCGAAACGATGCTTTCCCGCCTTAGAGTGGAGGCAGCCAAGCGTCTGAAGGATCTCCAGAAGGCGGAAGATGCAGCGGACGAGGCTCTATTCCGGTTCGGCGGTAATGTTCGCGATTTCTTGCGAGACGCCATTAGCATTGCACCCAACGACGGCGCCGAGGGTGGAAGCACTGTGCTTTTCGAAAGCAAGGATTCCAAGGGGAAGCGGGTTTTCCATACTTCACGATTCGATGCACAGCTTCACGTCATCCACACTACTACGGACGGCTTTCTCAAAGATCCTGCGGCAAACGAATATGATATCTGGTCCAAGGAATTCGATGTCGAGAAGAAGACGGCTGACATCAGCAACGACCTTACGAAATACCCTGAGCTACGGACCACGATGGAGAAGCTCGTCCCAGATCAGATCCCATATGCTGATTTCTGGAAGCGCTACTACTATTTACGACATGGAATTGAGACTGCCGAGGCTAGACGAAAGGATCTCCTGAAGGGTGAGTTTTCCTTTTTAGTCAAAAATAGAGGTCTGTCACTAATATACCTGTAGCCGCGGCAGCTGAAGACGAGGTTGGCTGGGGCGATGATTCTGATGACGAAGAGGAGGATGACGAGAAGGAAGATGCCAAGAAGGAGGTGTCCAAGAAGGAGGATCCGAAGAAGGTAGAGCCTAAGAAGGAGGATCCTAAGAAGGAAGAGCCCAAGAAGGAGGATGCCAAGAAGGCTGTTCCCAGCAAGCCAGTTGCTAAAGAGGAGTCTTCCGACGAGGATTCTTCTGAAGAAGATTCTTCCGAAGAGGAGTCCTCTGACGATGATGAGGCCCCCAGGCCCAAAACATCAGGATCAGTCGCGTCCTCGAGAACCATCCAGCCCACCCCGAAGGGTCCATTGAAGGCAGCCGCACCTCGCAACTCCCACGACGAGAAATCCCAGGCCGATAGCGAAGCAAGCTACGACGTGGTTGGTGCGGCATCTGGTAAGACCAGCCAGGCCCCCAACAGCCCCAAGGACGCTAAGAAGGCAGACGACGACGACAGTGATGATGACTGGGAGTAAATGTATATAGCCGACAAAATCGCTAAGCGTCTCTCACGAGGTGGCGCCCTTCCCTTTGCTGCTGGTGTCTTTGGCGTTCGGTCTTGGGGATTCGTATTTGAGCCGTTCTCATTCGAAAGCATTTGTGTCTGAGAGCTTGGGTATAGTGGATATCAATTGTTTTTTCTAAAACTCTTAAGAGATCTTTTCTCTCTGCACGCCCATTTAACCAACCCATGCACATCCAGCTTTTACCTCTTTCTCGTGACTTTTGTGAACCCGTCTTCATCCACCTCGGGGGCTGGCTTCTCCTTGCGGACAGGAGGGGCATCGTCCATAGTGACGTCGGCGCCATCGCCGTCCTCGTCGTCCTCCCCTGAATCATCGCTCTCCCAATCTGTGTCTTGGTCTGCATCTTCGGCCTTCTTAAACAACTGATCGACCTTCTTCCCTTGGCGATTCGTAAATCGTTCCCTGAGGCTGTTGTATTCGTCAAACACTCCAATGGCGCACTGCGCGCGGGCGCGCATGATCTGAGTGGCAACGTCGACTCCTGAGTCGTCATCCACGTTGACCTCGAACTCGTCCACCATGATCTGAAGCAGTACAGTCTCGACATCCTCCATGTCCGGCTCTTCGGGAGCGTTGGTCTTCTTGGAAGTCTTCTCGTCGGGAGTCGCATCGGTGAATTCGGGGAACAGGTCAACGATGGCGCCCGCGAACCAATCTCGCTTGTCGGAAGAGTCAGGGCCTCCCCAGTTGTTCTGCACCGAGAGCGTGAGGGCGGGCCAGAGATGGAGGGCGTAGACGACGGCCTGCTCGAAGTTGTTCTGGCGAACTCCTACGACTGTGATTAGATCATGACGGCTGGATTTGCTAGAGTAGAAATTAAATTGCTTATTCTATTCACATACCCGCGGGAGGGAGTTCACTGGGTGCTTCTGAGGTCGCCATGTTGCCCAGTTCAGTAAGAGCGTATGCTGGTTATGTGGTGGGGTGTGGTTGGCTCTTTGGAGGGGCAAATCTCGAGATAACGACTTTTTTTCCTCCGTTGTGCACAAAATTCTGGTGGTCCGCTTCCATTGGCTATACCTGCCTGTACTCCGTTAGCGAGGTCCCCTGTAACTATTATTCCTAGCAGGGGGATACACTGTAATACGTCCCCGCGTGGACCCGGTTTGGTGAACGGGATGTGGCCATCTCCGTTTCGGGATGGTGGCTCCCTCAATCCCGCCCTTGGTAAGGGACTGCGTCCATTCCAACACCGCTGGCCAGGGGTCTCGCCCATCATGACATCATGAGACCTCTCTGCCAATGATCCACGTTGATGGCTGGTTTGGGAATTAGACGAACGCTACTTCTTTGATGGTAACCGCTTAACCACGTTCTCTTTGAACTTTCCTCTCCGTCCGGCGTCCTAGTTCAAGAGAGCTTCACATAGGCCCCTGAGTGACTGAGCCATGTCAGCATAAGCCCATCATGAACATCACCAAACTTAGCACTACCTCTGTTGGGTTCGCGGTCACCCCAACCGTCATCTCGACTCTCTTCTCTCATGTATGTTCAATTGGATTGTCCATGGTCCATATAGAGCTCGCCCAAATGCTGACGATACTTTCTTAGTACGTGAATAGGGCGCCACTCAAGGAGCGTCCAACCGCTCATTTGTCCTACGATGAAGGGCTACATTTGATCCGCGCGTTTCTCGAGTTCGCGTCACATCACACCATTGACGAATTACAGGCTTTCACCTCCCAATGGGTTCCTCATCCCCAATGGGTCAAGGTGGAGGACCTGACCATCGCAGATGACCATCTCAGCAAGGCCGCCTCCTTGCTCAAGGAGCAGCTTGGTCCGGACGGAATCAAGCAGGTTGGCGGCGGCGAGTGGTGGCAATGGAGGAAATCAAAGTCACCGCTCCAGGCTGAATGGATTGAGATGCGTTCAGATGCGAATGAGCGGAAGAAGGGACACAATCCCGGAAAGCGCGTGATGCTGTACATTCACGGCGGCGCATACTTCTTCGGGAGCGTGGATGAGCATCGGTATCAGATGCAACGCCATGCGCGGAAGCTTAAAGCCAGAGTCCTGGCGCCGAAGTACCGGCTTGCTCCCCAGTTCCCATTTCCCTGCGGGCTACAGGACTGTATCGCTGCCTACCTGCATCTTCTCACCGTGCAAGACCCAAGCGAGATAGTGTTGGCAGGGGACTCTGCGGGCGCCGGCATGGTCGTGTCTCTGCTGTGCGTTCTCAGAGACCAGAAGATCCCGCTCCCTGCCGGCGCTATTCTTATCAGCCCTTGGGTCGACTTGACTCACTCCTTTCCTAGCGTCGGTGACCCTGCGCCTATGGATTATATTCCCCAATATGGATTTCACCATAAGCCCTCGAAAGCGTGGCCTCCGCCAAACGAGGATGATTTGGTTATGCTGCGGCGGGAAGCGGACAAGATCAAAGAAGGCTCAAAAGCAGCCGGGAAGACAAAACTGGAAGAAAAACAGCAGGAACCTGTGGCGCCCACCAGGGAGGACGCAAGTGACCGAGCTGCAACTGGCGGGCTTGTCACGGATACCACAAAGTTCCTTTCCGTGACAATTGATGGGGAATTGGTCAGACTCAAGGACCAGATCCAGGTAAATGAATCTTGGCCTCCGTCCTGGGAGATATTTGGACGCTAACTATTTGACTCTAGATGTATGCTTCCAACGAATTGCTTGCGCACCCACTTGTGAGCCCCATCATGCAGCCTACCCTCGGCGGGCTACCACCGTTGCTCATCATGGTAGGAGGAGGCGAAATCCTCCGGGATGAGCAAATATATCTTGCGCACAAGTGCGCCAATCCCCAGCAATACGCTCCTCCTGCAGAGAAGCTGGATGCTAAAGGGAGGGAGCGGCTTGCTATGTACAAGCCAACAAATGTACAGCTTCAAGTGTGGGAGGATCTCTGCCATGTTGCCCCAACGCTGAGCTTCACCCGCCCTGCCAAGTATATGTACAGATCCGTAGCTCAATTTGGAGCCTGGGCTCTGGCCAGGGCACAGAAAACGAGCATTGAAATATTGGATGATGATGACATCTCCATCATCTCCAGCTCCGATACTCGCTCGGGTGACGAGGCTTCGGATAAGGAGGATAGCAACGGGGCTCGAGGTAATCCCTCTGGTAAGGTTGGGAAGGCCGGTGATCCCCTCCCGCCGTTCAAGAACCACATGATTCGTCAAAGAGTCACACGACACGGCGCTACACATCCTTTAGCGCCCGAATCAGAGCTACCAGCTTGCAACATCCTACCGGAACTTGTCGGAATTATCAAGGAAGGCCAGGTAAAGAAATGGCTAAACGCCAAGCGTCAATGGGATAGCAAGTATGCAGCTACCAAGGCAAAGGTCCATAAGGGAATCATTAAAGACATGGCGGCCGGATATGAGAATCCATTCCCGGAAGATAATCCACCTCCCACCGCACTTGCTGGTCGTATAAGGAAAGATTATAAGGAGAAGGAAAGTAAAAGAGTCAAGAGTCTCGGATTGGCGCTTTGGTCAGTCTGGGGCTCGAAACACGACGAATCAACCGTGGGCCGAGAGCTCAAGGCCAACCTGGCAGACCTCAAGGCTGAGGCGAAACTGGCTTCTCCCCATGCACAGAGTATGCCATCTCCAGCTGATGCTGAGTCTCACGAACCTCTTCCATCCCCGTTATCCGATGGAAGGCCTAGAAGCTCGTCGCACCAGAAGGTGGTGGTTGATGAACACCAGGTTGAAACATCCCTGTCTCGGGAAGAAACGCTTGTATCGGGGCTCATTGCTAAGCGCAAGGAGGAGGAACAAACTTCCAGCCTACTCAGCGTGCCCATGGGCACAGGTGCCACAGGCAAACGACCGCACCTGGATGGCATAGCAATGCCGTTTAGTCTCGGAAAGGAGGCCGAAACTGCGAGCATGATGACCCTGCATTCAGACTTGAGTCCCCGAAGTTCAAAGGATGGTTTGTCAAGCTTGGCGGGCGTTCAAGGAGCAGCCAATGAAGATGAACCAATAACCAAGGACGAGCCGAAACGGCCTGACTTGGATACCTTTGTGACTGCGCCGGAGGTTCTCACCATACCCACCATTGAAAACGGACAGGCCAAAATCCCAGTCGCTTAATATCGGTTTCCTATATTCATCCAAAGCATCCATCGTACCAGCGCATTATATCCTTGCAAGAAAGCACACGTCTGTTTATTCCATTTATATTTATTTCACAGCAGTTTGTGTCTAGTCCAGATGCCATCTGAGGGGCCAGATAGTAATACACCCAAGCGTCTGTTCATTTTGGTTTATTGTTACATGATAATACACTCTCTGCCTGTACATTATCGCGAATATGTGTAATGCGACTTTCTCCCAGAAAACAAATTCACCTGTATATAAAAATTCGCCCAGCTCCGTATATGCCAAGATCGTGACTCTTCATTCCCGGCATTAATTCCCCCAGAGACTTTGTTCAATTCGGAACCGTCATCAGCTCGATCATCGTTCACACTCGAAAATTCTTAGTCGATGCCGTTGAATCGCTTCCACTGCTCCACGTAGAAGTAAGGGTCCGAAGCACCCTTGGACAGGCCCTTGTAGTCGCCGGGCTTCTGCTTGATCTGCTTGCTCACAAATGGCTTGAGCTGTAAAGCGAGATCCGGGCGCGGTTAGCATGGGGGGGAATATTGACGGCGACTGCCCTGGAGGATATGGTGGCGGAGGCCCTTTCTGGAAGAATTGCATGCATACCTCGAACTGCGGTAGGTCCTTGGGCACGACGTACGTGCGGACCTTGCTCCACTCGATAACGTATCCTCCGTACTTTGTGTGTCGACCCATCGAGCCGGTGCGGTTTCCCTTGTAGAAGCCGCGGCCGACATCCTTGGTGGTGAGCTTGAGATGGCGGTACTTGCCGACCATCAGAGCTTGAGTTGGCCTCATGGTTTCTGGTCGGTCGAGGGGCTGTATTCGTCGGGCCGGGAATTGGATTGGCGATTGGGCAATAAAAACCGGGAGGGGGGTGTCGCTGGTCGCCGCTTGTCGACTGATGCTTCAAAATTGATGGTTCGTGATGGAGATCAAGAACATTTGCGGTTGACGGATAAGTCTCGGGTATTTACCGATAGGCAGATAACGGCCTACCGGTAGATTGCCAGTCGGCGTGCAATCGTAAGCTCTTGTTCCTCGTTCCATATGTGAATACAATCTTTATTAATGAAGGTTAAGGCATCAATCATCACGTAAAGCTCTAGATTTATCTTCAGAATCAAATGGGTATGTGCAGATTATTAGGCAGTTGTCATGATCTCGTTAAGACGCCCTTCCCACATCATGGGTATATACTAGGTAGACGGTCGAAGAAAACATCATAACTTGCGATGACTATTGTTCTTCCGATAATGCATCAATTGGTTCAAATCCTTTTGGTTTTCCCGTAACCTTTCCAGTGTCATCCAGAGCTGTCGACGAACGATTGAAGCCTTGACAGTCTCTTGGGGCGGGGCAGTTTGAAGACTTAGAGGTGAGCGCCACAGCTCGCTCCACTATTACCCTTCCACCTACGGCCATGATCGCGGCCAGTTGCGAGTACAACCAACTACACAACAATCGAGGGCGACCGGGCTAGGCTTCGCGCATGGTGGCATACCTCAGGCGTCTGTTTCCCTATATTATACACGAGTGCAGGGGACCTGAATCAAGCGGAAGGGGCCTCGAGCTTCCTGGGCCACCTCGCGAATTGTCGACTCGTTGATCCATGTCGCATCGCAACCGAAGAGCACATAGACAGCTCCGATAGCTGGCCAGCCGTTACCTCCGGCTGCAGTTAATGCCTGTCTACCCTGCCTGTCCTTACCGGTAGTCGACTCCGAACCTTTCGTCTCCTGTTTCGAAAACTCATGCCTCGACCACCCTCGGCACAGTCACATCATGGACGGATATCCTCTGGGCAGCCTGGACCATAATGTCCCATACCTCCTCGTGTCCGGCCTTACGACCTCGAACTCCGAGCTGCCTCTGCAAGAAAATCTCAAATATGAAAGGAAAATACTGTTGAAGTCCAAGCTGCCCGCTGCAGAGGGAGCGGATGCCAAGGCGTTGGCCAAGTACTTCCAACTAGTCGACGAGCAGGGAAAATCATGGGCAGCCGTGGGGAGCAAAACACCATATAGGTTTCGCATTAAAAGCGTTGGCAGGGTATGGCAACCATCGCCGAAACAAAGCTCCCAGCCAGCGTTGAGCTCTGCTAACCTTGCCCCAGACTATCCCACTCCCCCCACGACAAGCGCGGCTCCCTGAGAGGACCGAAACCTTGGAATCGCACCATATCCTTCATTCTCCTTTCTCGCCACTCAGCTCCGTATCGTCTCTCTACCCAGATGGCCTGATCGATGCGCAATGGGTCAAGAAGCATCAGGAATTGGTGCCAAGTATCCTGCTCTGCTTTTATACGCTCACGACCGACCCCACGACAACTACATTACGAGACAATGAACTCAAGAATGATATTGGGGAGCTGAAAGCTATGCTGGCCAAGTCCGGCTACAAAACTAGGCTGGCTGTCGCTCTGATAGCAGAGCCAGACAGCACAGCATCTTCCCTAGCAACGGGGCTTCAGGACCGGCTGGAAAATATTCGAAGAGGCGCTACACTAGATCCCAAGTCGCTCTTTTATATTCCTCCCCAGGACTCCGACAGCGAACTGCGGGGCGTCGTGGATAGCGTATTAACAACCCTCTATGGTAGTGCGGTGGAATACTACCGGGACCTGGCGAGGCATTCCAGGAAAAAGCGATCCAGAGGAATAGCTCCTCCGCCAACAGTTCCTCCGACGACAGGGACATCGCGGACCTTGTCTATCCCAGACTGGAATCTAAGATATGATTTCAAATCCGGCGTCTTTGCCGAGTTCCGCCAAGAGTACGATGCTGCCGTCAGATTTTATGAACAGGCCTATGGGACCCTTCTGGGCCAGGACGTTCTTGATGTAATTCCCAGTTGGAGCCCAAGATGGAACGAAGCGCGCCTGCTCTCGGACGTTATTTCGATACGGTGTCTAAGAGTTCATTTCTGGATGGGTATGACCAGCCTTGCTGTGAAGCGGTGGCAGGCTCATCGCGATAATATTCAAGATTTCGTGGACCGTCGCGGCCACGGGACAGCCAACTACGGATGGCAAGCCTGGGAAGCCCGCTGGGCTATGGTCATGGCGGATTTGATTGAAAAGATCCAGATACCCGGGTTGACCAACCCATCGCCGTCGGTGTTCTTACCCCCTGACCGATCCATGATGGCCGAACGTATCAACCCATGGGAGCATCTTCACCACAGGGGATACTGGTATAGAATAGCGGCTCGCCATCTTGGTTTTAGGAGGAGGCTCGCGCACAGTATTCCAGATGATGACAGAGTCCCGCCCGAGGACCCTACAGTCAAGGAGAAGTTCGGGTACGACACTTATCTATGCCCCAAACCTTACGAGGAACATCCATTGCGTGGCCACGGCGTGAACCACTCGCAACTGATCATCGATTGCCTCATAAAAGCCCAGACGCAGTTCCAATCCCGAAACCAAACACGCACAGCGGCTGAAATATCCATTGAGTGTGCCAAGGAAATGGCCAGCACAGGGTCGTGGCAAGATGTACTCTCCGTGCTTCGCCCGCTATGGGAGGAGTCATCCTTCAGATCGGGAGGTTGGGTTAATATTGCCGAGGACTTCGCTTGGCTTCTGAGACGTGCTGCAGTAGACGAGGGTGAGGGCGATTTGGTCGTGGCTATTGATTGGGAATTAATGCATAAGAGTGAGCATACCATTGTATCCTCCATACTTTTCCCCAAATCACTAACCGGCGATTCCAGGATACACCCAAAGGCCAAATTGGCATTACGACCTCTCCAAGTCCCTAGAAGAGACGACCTGCTCGTCCAAACCCGAGGTCAGAATATCAGATGACCAAGTCGAGGCACCCATCGTAGCCGGATGGGCATTTATGGGGAAAGAGAGCAGGGCTGGCGAAACCTGTGTTGCCCAACTATCGCTCAAGTCTGAGGCGTTTCCAAATGCCGCGCCTTTGACATTCACATCCTTGAAAATCGAGTTCGACGGGGCTCTGAAGCCAATTGTACTGGAACACTTGCCTTCCGAAGAAAAGTCTGACGGCAAGGTCAACCTTAACGCCTTGACTCTTGAGGAGGTATTCGATGCCGAGTCTGGAGACCTCCCTACTATGCTGAAAGGACACACCGACCTCACCTTGGCTCCGGGCAATACGCTTGTCGTTGAGATGGTAATCGCCCTTCGAGAAGCCGGAGAAGTCACATCGTCTACACTTCAATTGAACTACAGCGCCGAAAATTTCGATCTATCATACACCATGGACCTTGGGGATTTGAGGAACCCTGCTGGCTGGTACATCAAGGGCCACAACGCACCCCGATACATCCGTGCTGAGTCTCACATGCTTCATGTCCAGCCCCGCCCGCCCAAGCTGGAGATCAAGTATCTCAACTCCTCCAGCCAATACTACGTTAGCGAGCCTATCAAGCTTCGTGTCCAACTAGTCAACGGCGAGGACGAGTCCGTGAGCGTCAAGCTAGACGCTCACCTCTTCGGAAAGGTCGTTCCGGCCTTTACTCTTAAAGCCAACGGAGAGGAGCAAAAAGTCGAGAGTGCGGAGGAAGAGGCAAGGCTCACCGAATTTCCCATCGGAGACCTCGCAAGCTCCTCCTCCCTGGATGTCATACTCACAATCGATCCCGCAGAGGAACCTACCTCGTACGACCTGCATCTACGGGCGTCGTACCACCTCGACTCCGACGCGGCAACGCCCATCACGCAGATGCTCCCGCTCCAGCTCACGGTTGTGAACGCGTTCGAGTCCAACTACGATCTGAATCCCAGGCTGCACCCGGACCCCTGGCCGAGCTTGTTCGACTGCGATACCATCAGCAGCTTGCCCGATATCTCAGAGGACACACCCACCCCGTTCAGAGGCCTGTCCCAAAGCTGGTGTCTCATGTGCCACTTCGCCTCGTTCGCCCTCCACGATCTCAAGATTGTGGGGATGGAGCTGAAGGTGCTCTCCAACCTGAAGAACGCCCGGTGCGAGATCGTAAAGCAGGCCGAGACGCCAAGGGACGGGATCCTCGTCGCGCCCAAGACGATGCACGAGGCGCGCTTCGACCTCGTCACCCAGAAGGTGAGCCTCGACGACCGCCACCCGGTCCCGCTCGAGCTCGGCTTCGTGATCCAGTGGCAGCGCCAAGAGACAGACGACGACGACGATGATGACGACGCCGGCCTTATCAACACGACCACCATGTACGCCGGCAACTACCTGGTGCTAGGCTCGGAGCCCCGCGTGCTGGCTTCTGCCTCGGAGATTGACATGGGCAAGGCTATGCGGCTACTGCTGCTGGACATCACCATTGAGAACCCGTCGAATCACTTCCTCACCTTCGGCCTAAATGTAGAGCCCAGCGATGAGTTTGCGTTCTCCGGGGCTAAGCAAACCACGGTGCATCTCCTACCTCTATCTAGAAGGGCGCTGACCTACCGACTATTACCGCTGGTGAGAGGGGACTTCATCCGGCCCGGAATCCTGGTGCGCGACAAGTACTTCCAGAAGACATTGCGGATCATCCCAACAGAGGGTATGAAGATAGACAAGGAAGGGTTGTTGATATGGATTACCCCTATGGAAGGTGAGGGCGAGGAAGGAAAGGCAGCTGTCGAAGTCGACGGCGACGACGATGAAACAGGGGGTTCGGAAGAATAATGGCCTTCAAAGAGCATACACAAGCAACAAAATGCAAAAATATTTCAAAGTACACTACAATTGGATGAGCGGCGTCGGTACGAAGGGACCAGTAATGGGATAGGCAGCAGCTAATGCACCAGTAGCTGAATGCGGAATGTAAATCTAGATAGAAAGTGGGATTTTCCCGACCGTCTTTGTGATGAGAGTGTATGCATCATCGACCCTCTGCCGGGCCTTTCCAATGCCCGGATCGATTGCCAGCTCAGACCCCATAATCTGCATAACCCTGACGCCTTACACAAGGGGACCGTCGTCAAGGTCGCTTTCTTAATTTCTCTGGCGGGGAGGGTCAGGTGCACAAGAAAACACTCTTTGGCAGATAGCGTATGCCCCGATGCCCAGGAGAGGAGGGCGACATCGTCATAGGCACCGTCTGGGTGGTGCACCCGATCACACAACAAGCTCGGGCACACCAATTCAAGCATACTAGCAGCCGCATCTTTTGTGGGACGAGATCAAGCGGCCGTGAATCCTTGCACGCACCGAGCCAAGGCCCCAGGGCGAGTCTCAGAAAATTAATAAGCTCTCCAAGGGTTGCGCAAATGCAAGAAGAGCGAAGTCCGAGGGCGAAATTGCTAGGAGGGAGATAATAAGGCTGAAATAACTGGAGCTGGAACGAAGCGTTTACCGAGCTCCACAGGCTTCTCCACCTGCAAGGCAAAGGCATGGACATGGGAGGCATGTTTGTTCAGCTTAGCGAGTCCCGGTGGCTCTCGCTTTTGCATGTCATGCGTATTGACGGTACTGCCCCCTATTCTTGTGAATGGGGAGGTAGGCTGGCTTGTTGCAGTCGTGCGTAGTGAGGCTTTGAGAGCAAATATCGCCCGTGGGCATCGATGTCTGAACACACAGACCAGCTAGCTTCTGGACAAAGACCACTAGTAGCAACCGTATACTGGTCAATTAAACGATCCGCTTCACTAGCATCACGTTGACTCATATCGACAAACGAGGGCTGACGACCAAAGGAAGTGATTGGGCGCCACTAATATCTCGGACGTCGGACTCATCCACCCCATCCCCGTAGGCAGAAGCCCACTACGGCGTTTGGATCCTCCCAGACCAGATCGCTGAGGGCTCGAATCGACCCGTTGGTTGCTATCGTTGGGTTGTTCGTTTGCTAGCTCCAAACGCTATTCGGGACAAATTGCCGGCCGGCAGACAAAAATGTTCCTGAGAAACGACTGCTCTGGCTGGACCATGCGGACTTAGGACCGAGTTAGGCTTTTAAAGCCATGGCCCATGAGGTTGCTAGACCCATCCGTTTTTGCTTGTTTTGCTGTTAGCTTGGCTCTCCAGGCCAAGATGGTTCTATATATATGACGGGAAGAAGCGCGTGAGCTACTGCCCTTGACATCCAAGTTTCTTCCATAGCCGCCAATCTTATCTCCTATTCCGACCGGTTGCTTCTGTCCTGTGATATCGAAACAATCAACTCCATTGTCTCCAGCATGGCCGGCTCGACAACGGATGATCGCAGTGATCATCTCTCCGTGGAAAAGGCGAACAAAACGGCGCCGCCAGAGACCATTCAAGAAAATGAGCCCAGCAATGATGAAAACGTTGTATACCCAACAGGAATTACGCTCATTCTGATCATCACCTCTCTCTGTTTGGCCGTTTTCCTTGTTGCTCTGGATCAAACAATCATCGCCCCAGCTCTTGGAGCCATCACAGCTGAGTATAAGAGTGTCAAAGATATTGTAGGCTAACGAGATATTTCGGTCCGTGTTGGATACACTTGCTTTGACTAACACGGATGACTTCCCAGGGATGGTATGGCTCCGCATACCTGCTCACGACGACTGCTCTGCAGCCCATGTACGGAAATATCTATAAGCTGTTCAACGTCAAACTTGCGTACCTTGCTGCAGTCTTCATTTTCGAAATCGGTAGTCTGGTTTGCGCTGTCGCCCCCAGCTCGACAGCGTTCATTGTTGGACGTGCCATTGCAGGCATTGGAACAGCCGGTTTGTTCTCTGGGTCCATTGTCATCCTGTCTCTCTCAAGTATGTACTCTGCCGACTGATTTTCCCTCCCCAATGCTGACTATTTCGACTTCAAGTGCCACTGAATCGCCGTCCTCTCGCTTTTGGTCTCATTGGTGGTATGTGGGGTATCGCTTCAGTTGCTGGTCCCCTTCTTGGAGGTGCTTTCACTGAGAATGTCACTTGGCGCTGGTGTTTTTACATCAACCTCCCAATCGGCGGTCTCGCGATGGTCATCGTCTTCTTTTTCGTCCGTGTGACCCGCAACACTACTGGTACAGTCGGCCAAACGTTCCTCAGCCGCTTCAGGCAATTAGACATCTCCGGAACAGCCATCTTTATCCCAGCCGTCATCTGCCTCCTCCTTGCTCTTCAGTGGGGAGGTGCCGAGTATCCATGGAAAAGCGCTACCATTATTGGTTTGTTCTGTGGTTTCGGCGCCATGATTCTCATCTTCATTGGCATCCAACTTTGGCAACAGGACCGTGGCACCCTTCCTCCTCGGCTTTTCAAGAATAGGAACGTCTTTTTCGCGATGATGTTTGCCATGTTTTTTGGTGCCGGCTTCTTCCCGCTCATCTACTATCTGTGTAAGTTCCTTGAGCCAAAATCGATGACAATCCTTGTATTCTAACCAAGAACAACAGCTCTGTACTTCCAGGCAATCCAAGGTGTCAGCGCTGTCCAAGCGGGTATTAAGATCCTGCCTCTTCTCCTCTCAACTGTGCTCATCTCCATTTTGTCCGGCGGTATCATCACAGTCATCGGCTATTACAATGCAGTGATCATCCCTTGCATGATCTTGTTCACCGTCGGCTCAGGCATGATCACCACCTTCGACGTCCACACGCCACTCAGGGAATGGTTCGGTTATCAGGTCATTGCAGGATTGGGTATCGGAGCCGGCTTCCAGATTGGCGTTCTCATCGTCCAGACCGTTCTCCCCCAGGAATGGGTTCCCGTGGGCACTGCCTGTGTTCAGTTCTTCCAGGCCTTTGGCGGTGCCATCTTCGTCGCTGTCGCCCAGACACTCTTCCAGAACGGCATGATTGATCACATCAACGCTGCCAACATCGGTATTGACCCCCAGATCTTTATCAACAGCGGTGCTTCAGAGATCAAGAATGTTCTGGAGCAGATGCACCGACTGGACGCCTTTGACACCGTTCTCGAAGCATACATGATCGGCTTGCGAAACACCTACTACATTTCGGTCGCTTGTGCCGGCGCCGCGTTCCTGTGCACTCTGGGATTCGAATGGAAGTCCGTCAAGAAGGGCCCTGATGGCAAGGAGAAGAAGCCCGAGCCTGTCATGGCCGCTTAGAGGAGATTTCTCGTTGCCCCCGTCTCATATCCCGGTGGGTTATTGGATTGTAAAAACATAGGATCATTGTATAGATACGGCGGACCCATCTCCAGTCGACTGCCCTGATAATCTGTAATAACAATAATAGAGTTTCAGTCATCATTTGCGCGAATGGTACATGACTTATTGTGAATCGTCCGGAGGATCGTCCCATGACTTTTTGGATCTCTTTGACTCCAAGGGTATGTCTCCTCCAACGAACTGTATTACCCAGTTCTTTACGACCCTTGCCTTCTCTTTTTGCGGGTGTTTTGATGGTTCGTCTCTAGACAGATCCCGGCTTGAATAATAACCGCCTCCATCTTTCCTCCATAGAAGGCTAAGCTCTGTAAGCCCTCGGCGAAGGCTTTGGCCATAGACCTTGTTTCTGAAAACGTGGAGTGCGATATTTCGCACTAGCACCACATCTTGTCTTCGGAGCATCGTCACCGCACTCTGAAGCGCGGCATCCTTGGAGAGCCAAAAAGTAATGCCAAACCCACACTTGCTTTCGTCACCTACGAGAACCTCGACAAGTGAAAGGCTCGTACCCCAACGTGTTGTTACCGTTCGGGGTTGCGCAATAGAAATCACCCCAACAACGAGATTAATAGTTTTCACGCTAGGCTGGAGAGAAGGTATTTGGCGAGCTGGTGGTATATCTTTCAGGTGTGACAAGTGACATGAGAGTTGAGGCGGGACTATAGACCCAGGGTCGCTCGTGAAAGTGTCGGTGCTCATAAAAGATCCATCCGTGGTCGTGGTGGTCATGCTGCGATTAACACTATCTTCAAGTTGAGAAGAAGGTATGGGGTTGTGCAAAGCGAGCGATTGTTCGCAGAATTGCGTAAGAGCTTCCTCGTCCTGGAACGACGGGTCGTCTACCTTGGAGATCCCGTCATAAGTGTTGAAGAAGTCGTTGCTTGGTCTGATGAAGGAGTCCTCGAAGCGGTGCAACTGGGAGAACCCGGTGTGGAGAGGTTTCCAGATGAGCGGGAGGGACCGCCACGCTGCATGGGAAGAATCATGTTGGGGCAATTGGTAACTTTCTTCCCATCCTAAGAGGCTATGGAGAGAGCTGTCGAAGTTCTCAATGGTACAAGAAGAATCATCAACTGTGGATGGGAGTGGCGCACCGGTGAATAGCATCACGGTCCCAAGACTTGACATTGATCCAGGTAAAATGCTCTCATACTTCCACTACAGCCCAATTGAAAAAGTCGAAATCATTTCTGGTAGTATTCGAGGCGCTAAGTTTTACTGAATTGTGTAGTGTTGTATTTTTTCGTCTGGTGAATGAAAGGAAGAAAGAAAAACGAAAGGTGCAAAGGGAGGAGCCACAGGGTATCTCACTTCAACGGGACTCGGAATTCGAAAGGCAACAGCGATCGTGCCGTAGGCAGGCGCCGTAGATGGTATAAGTGGGGCCAAACGAGCCGAGGCAAAAGGTGATCAACCCAAGTCGGTACAATCCATCTACTTTCTACCCAGCTCTGAGCCGACGCGGCGCTCCTAAATCATTTGTCCATTGAATTCATGTTGTTGTATACTGTTGAATTAGCTTTGTGGTGATACCAGCTCTTCTTGCTCTCAACCTGCAGACAGGGTGCATCGCAACAAGCGGCTCCCTCCAACATGTCCTCCGTCTTCGCTATCCGCGAACATACCATTGAGGCTTCATACATTAGGGAATTTTCCCGCGCAACATCCCAGGTTCAAGATGATACCCTAGTACAGCATGTTAAACAATACACGCCAAAGGACAACCCCAACCCAGAACAAGGCGATATAACCATAATTGGTGCCCACGCCAATGGCCTTCCCAAGGTAAAGTGTTGTTGAACGTCCCTAGCTCTGTTGTTTGATGTCGCATACTTACAGTATCGCAGGAGGTATATGAACCTCTTTGGGAAGAGCTATATCACCAAGCGAAATCTCATGGTGTGCGAATCCGGGATATCTACATTGCCGACGCCGCTTGGCAAGGTAGAAGCGGCATCCTCAACAAGGACAAGCTAGGAAATGATCGTAAGATCCAAACACACGCTCTCCAGCTTCACTACATATTTACTGACACTATAACTCCTTATAGCAAGCTGGTTTGACTATTCCCGGGACATTCTCCATATGATCAATACATTGCGGCCCCCAACACCTCTAATCGCCGTTGGACACTCTTTCGGCGGTGCCGCCCTTCTAAACGCCTCTCTCACCAGCCCTCGCACTTTCACCTCCATCGTTCTCCTTGATCCAGTCATCTCTCGTTATGCCTCTGTCCCTGGCGACCTGTCCGTGAGCCCCGCAGCCATGAGCATCTATCGCCGGGATACCTGGCCGTCCCGGGAGGCTGCAGCCGAGTCCTTCGGCCGGAGCCCATTCTACCAGTCCTGGGATCGTCGCGCCTTCGACCTCTGGCTCCAGCACGGGCTCGAGCCCACGCCGGACGGCACCTTCACCCTAACTACCACAAAGCATCAGGAGGTGTTCACTTACCTCCGCCCGAGTTGGCTGGCCTTTGATGACGAGGGCAAGACGGTTACTAACCGCGATCTCGCCCCGGACATCGAGGAAGGGTTTGCTGGAGATGTTAACCTCGTTTGGCCCCTCTACCGACCAGAGCCACCCAGCTTGCTCCATCGCCTTCCGAATGTCCGGCCACCTGTGCTATATGTCTTCGGAGGCTCGAGCAATCTATCCCCCAAGTCGCTCCGGGATGAAAAGGTTCAAACTACGGGGGCTGGGATCGGTGGGAGTGGGGGTGCGAGCAAGGGGAGAGTGAAAGGGGTCGTATCCGAGAAATGTGGGCATATGATTCCTTTGGAAGCACCGAGGTTCTGTGCTGAAAATGCGGCTTCTTGGATCAAGGTGTGGCTTGACCGGTGGAGGACAGAGCAGGAGGAGTATAGTGACTGGGCAAAGAAGCCGCAAGAGGAGAAGGCTACGATTTCCGAGGAATATAAGAAACACGCGGGGAAGCCGGCAAAGCCAGGCAAGGGACAGGCCAAATTATAGACTCATACAGAATGGCCAGGCCGTACAGAGGGTTCAATACTGAGGATCGACGCAATTCTGGGAAATGAGATGAGAAGATAGAGAACTTGACTTAACTGAAACTAACTAGCAAAATGAAACCATAGTTGATTTCCTTTTCATCACATCGAATCGTGAAATATCAAGCTATCCGGCGGGTCCGTTGGCATAGCTAATTGCCCCTCTCGAAGCAGGGGGCAACTACACAGACGTACCCGCCAGATAATAAAAGAAGCAGATGATAGCATTGACCCGTGAGCCTCTTAACACTGAAGGTTGGTAGGCGGTCGTCCGTAAAAAAAAACCTCATATCCTCATATAGCTCGTTTGATTGAAAATAACGACTTGTAGGTCGTTTCAAATTCCATGGTAGCGACTTTTTTGGTTCCTGGTTCACAGGTAATACATGGTATCCCGTAAATTAGGGTGTATCTCGATGGCTTGACCTCTAGTGCTACCACTCGACACGCTGTCAGTGTCGCTGAGATCGTAATTTGGTCGATGATACCGAGCACGCTCGCATACAATGTCAGCATAGTATGCGGGTGGGCAGATGCTCACGGCCTTGGTTGCGCGGCCGAAGAGGTAGCACAGCTCATGAGTCAACTTTTCAAGATTGTTCGCCGCTTGATCCTTGTACTTGTCCCTGAAGATCTCATCCAGCAGAACAGTATAATGCGCGGGACGGGCGGTTCCCTTGAGTGCGGAATGGGCCGTGAGATAAAAGTCCCAGAAGCGAGTCTGGGTCACACCACGGTCAACGACAGTGCCAGGTTTAATATTGCCAGTGAACTGATCTGTATTTTCTGGCTGGGCAGGGTAAAACCTGGTATGGTGCCGTTTGACGGACACGATGATTGTTATCTTTGGGTCTTGATTCTTCTTGTACAATTTCTGGCAGGCACTTCTCATTTTAGGAAGCTCCTGCTCGAGAACCTGTTGAAACTGGCCCTCAGACACGCCGTCACGAAAGATGATGATCCGCTCGGGAAGGACCTTATTGTGCTTTCTCCACAACTCTAGGCGGCTCTGGAAGGCCTCGACGAGTGTGTCGTCCAGCATCTCTTGTCTTGTGCTCTGTTCCCAGACTGTTGCCGGCCACTGCGCAAGATCTGGGGCGATACTGGCCACCATGCCCACAAGACTGGGTGGCCTGTTCTTCTCGGTCACAGGCATATTGGTTGGATGGGTAACATCATAACCGACAACCATAGTCTTCTCGCTAAGAAGTTTAATGTTGTCGGCCAGAAGGTGGTTGGCACCACCTGCTTTTAGGTTCCATTTCAAAGCGACGTTGGCGGCGTAGCTTTGGCCCTTGTTGAGCACGTTCTCTGAAAGAACACAACTTGTGTGGATACCGTATAAGCAGTCTCCCAAGATCTTGACTCTCCCGTAGACGCTCGTGTCTGCCCTTCCAGAGAAGACAACCAGGAAGAACCTAACGCCTTGTTGCTTGGCCCATTCGAAGGCTTCTTCTATTTTGGGGCCATGAATGTCGTGGACAGAAAACTCCGGGAAGGGACACTGAACAGGACGCTGAAGTGAGATTCCGGCGTTGCGCAGATTAGTCTCAAAGGTTTTGATGTCTTGTTGGTTCAACATCTGTGCCTGGGGGTAAAGCTTGATCTGTAGCACCGACCAGCTCGGAATGGTCGCACCTCTTGCGACTAGCCGATCTTTGAAGTTCCAAGTTCCCCCCCGAGGCGTCATGAAAGCAGGCTTCTTTTCAAGAGACAGGTATTTGATACGAGGTACCTGAAGCTCTCGGCCTTGTACAACAAGGAGCCTGTTGTTGATCCCCATGCCCCACTGGCTCAGTACTTCGTTGTCTAGGCCAAGGGTAGCACGGCCTGCAGTGAGAATGGCGGTCGCGTTCACGTCTGGTTTTTGACAGGCAAGGCTGAGCATCTTTGTTGTCTCATCCTGCATCAACTTTGCTTTGATAGATTGACCTGGTATCATTGTGATAACTTCAGCCGGGAAAAACACAGGCTTGGCAGGGCTCCCCAAGTTTAGAAGTGGATAATCTTCCAGGGTCATTCCGTATCCTAAGATGGAGATTAGTACTTGTGAGCGAGCTGATTATTAGTAAGGCAGTTAAGCGTACTGTTCTTGAAATGGTCTGCCACCGTGATATAACGACCTTTTCCATCTTCCTCAAGATAGAAGCTGACCTGTTTCGGACCTGCAAAGTAGAAACCATTGGCAACTCGAGGAGAGTTCTTGTCCTTAGAACGACGCACTTCGTGAGCCATTACAAGGTTATGGATAGTCTTTGTCCGCTCCACTTTCTTGCCGTTGCCAACCATAAAGGTGACCTTCACACGGGCCTTGGACAGGGTCTTCGTCAAGTTAGTAAGCATTGATCTGTAACGTCGATCAGCGTCGTTTTCAGTGATGCCACCAGCATTGAATTGACTGAAGATTCCAGTCATTGAACCGGAAGCTCTGAAAACGCCACAAGTGACATTGACGTTCAGAAGTAATCGGCCTGTGCTGACCCGAACAGACTGAAAGAAACCTCGAAGGGCTTCGAGTGGGCGACCTCGACCTTGGCCAGCGAGGGAGATGCCGGCTTTCTCTTGCCCGAATCCGTCACCAAAAGGGAAAAATCGTGAACTTCCTACAGCAGTAATTTTCTGGGGGCTGGCCCGTGGTTGAGTTCCAAGGATCATGTTCAGAGCATCGACACACTCTGGAAAAGGTGGGAAATTGAACTGGTACGGCTTGCTTTTCTGCGTTAACATATACTCGAGCAGATCCCCGATTCGAATTTCCGTCGGCTTCAGAATCGAGACCACAAATTCATCTTCGTTTCCGGTGCCATCCTCTGTTGGAAGTGTGACGAGCATCGGGTTAGTTTCGAGCTCTAGCTGTCGAGATGCTAGCAACTGGCTTTTGAATTCTGTCGCGACGAGGGTTTGTGCACTGAAGAACTTATAAACTTGCTCCATTACAAGATGGAGCTTGCGCCCTTTGACCTCTCGGGCAGTACCAGCTCCCGGACCCTTAGATTTCGGCTGCTTGGATTGACCCTCATCTTTGGTCTGCTTCTTTGAGCGCTCCTCGACCTTGATGGGGTATTTCCAGAGCGACGAAGCTTTCACTGTCATAGTATAGTAGTTCGCCCACAGGAGGACCGGGTTTCCCTGATTACCAAAAGCTGGGCGAAGGGGGAATGCTTGAGTAGGGAGCTGACTTTGCAAAGCCTTGCTTTCAGGCTCCAGTGTTGTTTCCTGCATTTGACTGGACAGGTCATCGGCGTTGAACGAGTGAAGCATGCCGAGTCTCATATCCTCGAGCTTCTCATGTTCAGCGTCCTTTTCAGCCCGTCCACTGCAAATCGTCAGTCAAGAATAGTAGATAGGGCTCTCAGTTGCGTGACCTACAGGTCCATTGTCGGAGGTGGTTGGTAGAATGAGCCGCCACCACGCCCTCCTCTTCCACCACGGTCGCCTCTTCCACCTCGATCGCCTCTTCCACCGCGATCAAAACCTCGGCCGCCTCGACCACCGCGGCCTCTGGATCCATCGGAGCTAGGATAGGTGCCTCGACCACCACCACGAGGCCGAGAAAAATCACCTCCTGCGGGGTCTGATGATGGCTGGTCGGAGAAGCCTCCTCTAGGACCTCCTCTCGAGCCACGGCCACGACCTCTGCCACGATCTCCTCTGTCACCGCGGTCGCCACGTCCCCCGCGACCTCCTCTTCCTCCTCTGTCTCCTCTGTCTGCCATGCTGAAATCAAATGAGAAATTACAGGCAGAGATGAGAAAGCACGTTGCTTAGTGAACTATTTATTGATAGGTAGCGGCTAAAATGATGAGCGGGATAGGAAAGCACCAGTTAGTTCTGTGCTGAAGTAATTATGAGACCGAGATCCCAAATGGGAGAAAACGGTGAGCCAACTGGTAGGTCACGTCTTCCTGAGGTTGGTGGAAGATTATGTGTATTTTAAGTCGAGCCTGGGGATACTTGAAAAGAGAAATGATTGAGCGCAAGAAAAAGAGCTAGAAAAAGAAAAAAGTCAAGAAAAGATTTCAGGCTGCAAATGCTGAGATACTGCCGGGGTATTGGTGGTGTTAAGATTTTGGTGAGCTGAAGGAGGGGTGGTTGCGTGCCTTGGATATTGCGATTTCCACAAATCTTTACGGGCTCTGAATTGGCTGCTCTTTGCCAAGGTATCATACAGCCTATCGGTAGGGGGGAAGGCGGTCCGGACCCGCCGGAAACCTTCAATTATCTTGTTGAACCAATCTATAGTCCCTACCTCCATACCACAGTATCAAGTCTGCATAAGACGCTCCCTCTATTTTATTGGACTATGGCGACCGCTCTGGTCGGCGTGCGCAACAGCCAACATGCACCACAGCCAACAATTTTCTGACTCGCGGTGTTGGCACAGTGAACTAATTGGCGACCAAAGTAAAGCTCAGGGAAGGCAATTCATTCTTTTTTCCTAAAAGAGACAGTTCTATGGGCTCGCTCACATGATTTGGGCTTGGAAAAAGAAAAGTTCGCCACCTATATGTAACACAGCATCATCTTACTGAGCCCAACTGCAACCAACGCCTGCAGAGGGATGAGGGAACTGTAACTGGCCCTACCACGACACATTCCGACCCTCCATTTTAATGTTTCAGAATCAAGCTAAGCATGTAGGAGTACAAATTAGTCTGGTCAGGCATGGAAGTCTTTGGGCTCCCAAGGATGCGTGCGAACTGCCCACCACTATTATGAACGCCCGGTCATGCTTGGGTGTAGCAACAAACCCCAGCACGACAGAAATAACTGAAATGGTTTTTTTTTTTTTTTGGGAACTAGCGTAATGAAGGTGTGCGTTTTTCTTTCTTTTATATCCAGTGCCCAATTAGGGCGTCACCGAGACCACGAAAAGCAAAGCAAGCGCGTGGTTGGCTGCTAGATATTGGCTGCATGTGGTGAAACGCTGCAGCATGAATCCTTCATAAACATTCCGATCACACAGGCGACTAGTAATTATTGGAAAGCAGTATCACTCCGAGATGTGACCTGCAGTTGCAACCTGGAGTATGCTTTCCTCCAGGCCCTTGACGTGGATGACCTCGATACCCGCCTCTTCCAGCATTCGTCTCCCCTCGTTTTGACTAACAAAGGTGTCGGGCTCTTGAACACCAACATAAACTTTCTTGATCCATGACTTCTGGCGAAGAATCCTTTCCGTACATGTCATCTTACCACTCAAACGTTTTGAGCAGGGTTCAACGGTGGTATACACAGCATGTGGCTCAGTAACCTTTTGCCAAAGGTCTTCCTCCGCAATTGAGTGCTTTCCGGCCAGCTTGAGAAGGCAACATTCCTCCGCGTGGGTATTACCCGGGAGTTCTAATGTGTAACCCTCTGTCGAAATATGGCCGTCTGCAAGCCGCATTAGGACAGCTCCAACTCGGAAGTTGGTTGGTTTTGGTGGCGATTTTCGTGCCAGCTCCAGGGCATGTTGCATGGTTTCAATATCAGAGCTGCCCATAGTGCCAGATTGTTCTTCCTGTTGTCCTTTGTTTGATTTCTTTTGTTGCCGTATGAGGCTTCGTACCGGGATGTTGGTTGTTGAATGAGAGTAAATCCATCGTGGAACCTTTGCCTTCTAGAGATTCTGGGACCCATCTTTTAGCGGTTGGACAAACTAACGGGTGTTTCCTACTAGGCGCCGTCTAATAATCTTCAGTTATTCTTCGAATTCACATGTGCAAATAAATTCAAAGTGAAGTCGAAATTAATTTATCTTTGCGACTCTAGGTGTTTAGATCATCTCACGCCTGCCCATTGCTTTGTCAGGTACATGTGGCGGCGCTCAGAGCTCCCGAGATAGGCGTCCATCCACCTTAACCTTCCCCCACATTTCTATAGGGTACCTATGTAGTGCATGGATGTGCTAGAGCTCTACGCGACGCGTCTGATGCTACAAGATCAACCACTAAGTTGATTTGCATTTGCACTGTCATCCTTCATCAACCAAGCTTGAAGTTGGGCCCAACGTTTCGAGACACGATGTCAAATCCTGAGGATATCCTGGAAGGCGAACCGCCCGTCATTGATCCATATGAAGTTCTGAACCTCGAACGAACGGCATCCAGTGATGATGTGAAGAAGGCTTATCGCAAAGCTGCATTGAAGCACCACCCGGGTAAGTTCACTCTTTCTTGGGCCAGGATTCCTGCTAACGCCTATTGAACCAAAGACAAGGCACCCGAAGACCAAAAAGAAAAGGCCCACGAGGCCTTCCAGTCCGTTGCTTTCGCTTACGCTATTCTTTCGGACCCTGCACGGCGGAAACGATACGACCAGACGGGCTCAACATCAGAGTCCATCGTTGATTCTGATGGCTTCGACTGGAGCGACTTCTATCGCGAACAATTCAAAGACTCGATTTCCGCCGATGCGATCGAAAAATTTGCAAAGCAATACAAGGGATCCGATGAGGAGAAAGATGACCTTCTCAACGCATACGAACAGTCCGAAGGAAATATGGATGGCATCTACGAATCAGTGATTCTCAGCGATGTGCTGGAGGATGATGAGCGATTCCGCCAAATTATAGACCAGGCGATACAAGACGAACGGGTCCCAAATTTCTCAGCCTACTCCAAAGAATCGAAGAGAAAACGCGAGGCCCGTGTTAGGAGAGCCAAGGCTGAGGCGGAATCAGAAGCTAAGGAGGCCGAGGAGTATGCTAAGGAACTTGGAGTCCATGATAAGCTCTTTGGCAAGAAGAAGGGCAAGAAAGGAAAAGGAAGTTCAGAGGATGACCTTGCCGCGTTGATTCTCAAGCGGCAGCAGGACAGATCTTCTGATAATTTTCTCGACCGCCTTGCGGAGAAGTATGCCGCACCAAGCAAGGGGAAGAAGGGAAAGAAGCGTGCGCTTCCCGATGAGCCACCCGAGGAAGCCTTCCAGGCTGTTGGTGCAAGGCAACAGTCGGCGAAAGCAGCGAGGGAAAAATCAGGATCCAGTTCCCGGACTAAGAGGGCAAGGTCATGAACGTGTGTTTTTGGGTTGGGTATGGGTGAGCTTAATAAGGGATTAGCATTGCTTTACGGAGTACGGCCGGAGATTGTTAGAATAGGAAGCATCTGGTTATTAACGGACAGGCTGACAAACCAAATATATCCAAGTGAATTTTGTGACGGACCCAGCTCTGGGATCGCTCCCATTTCTGTTCCTGCCGGTGACCAGGTAGTAACAATGCTTTGAAGACCTCTACTAATGATGAATGGCTGTGTATCTTTGCTTTGGATTCCATTTGCTAGCGCCGCCTTGATTCTGTATGAAATGCTGGTGGGGGAATAATAGATAGTCAGTGATATGAGGTCGAGTTAGGTTCCACACGTGCTATAATTCTGGAAGGCGCCGTCTCACCACTGCTCTTAGCATTCAGCGTTCATTTAAGCACGGCCAAAAGACCATTGCCTTTCTCTAGCCTTGACGCAGGGCTCACCAGATACCATACTTAAGGGCAAGATGGTATTTGTCAAACCTCTTCAGCTCCATGAAACACCGGGTAATTTATTATGAAATGCGCCGCCATTGTTGAGCTTCGACAGGCGCTTCTGCAGGTCGATGCGCCATGGGCGACAAGTCGCGTCCGCACGCGAAGTTGGAAATCTACCCTCGATACTGCTTTGATCTCGCGCCAACACACAACAAATGGTGCTTTCTACGCGCAGCTGATATCAAACGTCTAAAGCAGCCAAAGGACTATCAAGGTGCGTGCGCGCGAGGATTGAAGAGTCAACCTGGTAGCATGGATGTGGCTGACCGGTTAGTCGATAGGTCAGGATTATTACTTTTATAAGAATCTCCCCATAAGATGGGTGCGCATCGTTGGATTGGTGGTTGCGATTGATGATATTCCCAAACGACGTATTTTTACGATTGATGACAGCAGCGGTGTCTGCCTTGAAGCAGTGCTCAAGATCACAAGCCCGCCGGCAGGATCAACCACCAGTCTAGCAATCAAGCCAGACCTGTCTAAGGATACGGCCCAGAAGCAAGATAAAGGGGCTGATGGGGCAGGAAATCAACCGAAGGGGCCGAAGAGTCCCTATGACGGGATCGATGTTGGAACCATTATGGATATCAAGGGTTGTCTCACTACCTTTCGAGACGAGAAACAAATCAACGTTGAAAAGATGCAGCCGGTAAAAAGCACGATGCAGGAGGTTTCGTTATGGGAGAAGCGAGAGGCATTTCGCCTTGACATTCTGAGCAAACCGTGGACTTTGAGCAGGGAATGTATCAAGAAGTGCCAACGGCGTGCCACGCGGTCAGCAGAGGCATCGAAAAAGAAGCGAGTCAAGGAAGAATCGTCACGTGGACGGGGCGCATCTTCTACGAACGATCACAAACCAAACAAACGCCCTGCCAAGGAGAATGGTGTTGATGTTGCCGCCTTTATACGGGAGGGCGGTGCGAAGGGGAAATTTGGTGCTTTGGGCTTGTAGAGTCATTTGTGCCTTGCAGCGTGGGATTTCGCGACACACAACCATTATTATTTGTTAGCCAGCAGGATATATTCACTTAAGCTGTGATGGGATCCAGGACTGTTTGTCTTGTATTTTATTCTTATTTGCAGCTACATTAAAGCTGGTCAGAGTCCAATACCCATGCCCATGACTTGGGTTACGTCACGTCCAAGACTTTTGGTGGTGGGTGGAGCAAACGGTCAAACAACCAAAATCACGGCCATGAGCCAGCAGCGTCTTCGTTCCTGTTCACGCCTGTTTCCTAAACAATCTTGAGATATCCCGAGCTGTAAATCATCTGCTGTGAGTGAGACTCTGTGATTCCTTCCATGGGCTGTCCGTGGTTGCTGGAATCAGCGACCCAGCAGTCTGCGAATCGATATGCTCTCGTACCTTCTCTGTTGCTAAGCGACCTGCTATATACCTAGGTAACACTTACCTCCGTCAATCTAGCTCTGAATATTTAGGATAATTGGGCAGGTAGGTGCCTGCTTCGCTTTGATAGCCTCTATCGTTGTTACTTCTGTTCATTGTCCATCCTCGGCGACCACAAATGACATCGTTCCACCCTCATCTCTATCTTGACAAGTTCTCATCACGCATTATCCTAATCGGCATCAAACGGGTTTATCTCTTATACGCCCTAGTTTTCGATCTACCCTAGTCCTCAGGAAATTTTCATTGATAAAGGTAACCTCCCCATTCTTGATTGAAGAACTGGCGTTGCCTTCCCCAATACCCCTCCATGAGTCCATTCCTGGCTCTGAATCATCGCTACGAGTTTTCTGTTCCATCACAACATATATTTCAATATGGAGAAAAGATGCATAATCTTCATCTTACACATCCTACTGCTTCCACCCCCATGACAGACAACTCGAGATTATACGGAGACTAAGGATGCACAATATCATATCAAATCACCACTTGCCGAAACAATGACTACCCTCTACCTCATCTTATATTTGCTTTTACTGACCAAAATCCAGGTATCGTCAGTATTAATAGACCTAGGTACTGGACAGGACTACTCTGCGCCGCCTTTGAACAATACGCCGCTCGACGCACTCCCAAGCGAATATTTTCGACCTCATAAGGAGGCCTTGAACCAAATTATCGAGAGTTGTGCATTTGCTGGGTATCAAAACGAAAAATACACAACAACTAAAGTCATATCGTATCCTGTTAAAGAGCATACGGTGACGGCTTTCGATAATCCCACATTGCCCCTCCTTTCAACTACTCAAAGCTCTCATGAGCACACCAACCGGGAGCACACCCAGACCCCAAGCACCTATTTGCCTACTCCCATTTTTGGCAACATAAGTTCCTCGATTGCAACTCAGACACCTGAAACTCAGCATATTTCTCCCTTTGAAAGGCCCTTCTCGAAATCCGAGATTGACCCCTCGATATCCTCTTCCCCGAACATAACGACACCACCCACCATGTTTGGCCGCGATATTTTCAAGGACCCTGTCGACACGAGGCCACCGCCCTCGATGTTTGGGGTCCGAGAAGACCATCCCGTTTCTAGGCTGGGGATCAAGTCCCAGATGCCGCTTCAAACCAACAAATTCTACGCCAATTTCTTTCTAGGAGATCAGCGAGGGCCTACATATACCTTCCCATACTCCATAGCATGGGCTGCTGGAAAAGGTGTATCTGGTAGTTGGGGAATGTCATGCTCGCATATTGAGGCAAAGCAAAGAGTTTTCGGAAAGGAGAAACTGCACGGCGCCTCGGCGTACTTCATCAACCCTGTTGGCATTGAATCGATGGTTATCTCTGCCAAGGAACTTGGGAGAAATTCTACACTGACAATCGACAGTATGACGGCCTTCTCAGCAAGAGTCCATCTAAGTAAAGACCAGGAGACACCGCCCGCAATATCGTTCCCCCTAGTCCAAGGAATGGCCTACATTACTGCTGAATTCAGTGAAACTATACCAGTAATACAGTCGGGTGTCTTTTTCAAGACGGTGACCCGAGTTTCGAAAAACCCAAAGAAGAATATGGCGAAATTCAACTTCAACCTGGAGGATGGATCAACTTGGAGGGTATACGCTTGGAGAACCAAAGGAGAGGATCTGGATATGCAGGTAGTCAATAATGGAACTGCGGAAGCCAAGAACCCGTTCACTGGCGTGCTCCAGATATGCAAGGACCCTTTGACACCTGGATCCGAAGAAGTCCTTGATGATGGCGCTGGGATCTACCCCAGAACGCTGACTCTTTCTGGATCATCGTCTGGAAATAAAGGCACATATAAATTCGAGTACCAGAAGGATGGCCACGATACAGGGAGTCTCTACATGTTCGCCCTTCCGCACCATATAGAATCTTTTCACGAAGATACCAGGAAGAGAATCCAGAGCACAAAACTACAATCCACCACGAAAGGAATAGCGACCCTCGTGAAAGGAACACAGTGGACTATGGTCGAGCCACAGATGCCAGTTGAAATGGATTTTGCGCCCTGGCATCCAGAGAAAGGAAGCATCAAGACACTGTCGGAAGACGCAAAGAGCCTGATTAGAGCTGCAGCAGCCTCCGAGCTGGGACAGAACATGATTGCACAGTCTAATTTAGACTCCATGTATTTCAGTGGGAAGGTAAGCCATTTTCCAAGCCTGAACGGATGATCTATCTAGCAAACGGAAAGTTGAATGATTTTAGGCTCTTGCGAAGTTTGCGTTGATTCTCTACGTGATCAATGATATGCTAGAGGACCAGGCACTTGTCAAGAAAGGTCTTGGGCAACTTAAAGCAGCCTTTGGTACCTTTGCCGCGAACAAACAAAAGTTTCCTCTGGTGTATGAAAGTAAGTGTAAAGCTCTGACTTACGAAATTCTGGGGTGAAACAGTTTCTCACACATTGACAGAGGCTTGGGGCGGAGTCGTTTCTTCTGCGACTTACGCTACTGGTGATACGGGTGTTGACTTCGGCAACACCCTCTACAATGACCATCATTTCCATTACGGGTATCATATTCTTGCGGGAGCAATAATTGCTCATATTGATCCGGAATGGCTACCCCAAAACAAGGAATATGTCGATATTCTCGTCCGCGACGTTGCGAATCCCAGTCCCAAAGATCATCACTTTCCCATGTGGAGAAGCTTCGACTGGTACCACGGCCATAGCTGGGCGCATGGGCTCTATGCGGCCATGGATGGCAAGGTATGTGTGATTAAGCTGTGGTTGCCATATTATAGCTAACGCATTACAGAATCAGGAATCTAGTTCCGAAGATATGATGCATGCCTATGCCCTCAAGATGTGGGGGAAGGTAACCAAAAATGCACATCTAGAGGCGAGGTAAGGCAGCAGAGCACAGATGGATTTTTCTGATAAGCCTATGGTACTAATCCAAAATTAGAGGAAACTTACAACTATCCATCCTATCTCGTAGCCTCCGGCACTACTATCTATACCAGGCGAACAATAAGGTGCAACCGCCTCAATTCATTGGGAACAAGGTAGCTGGGATTCTATTTGAAAACAAGGTTGACCACACGACGTTCTTCTCGCCCGATATCGAGTGTATTCAGGGCATTCATATGATCCCCATCCTTGCGCCGACACCATTCATACGGGGCCAAGACTTTGTTCAAGAGGAATGGAACATGTTTTTCAGCGACGGGCGGATTGACGAAATTCGTAACGCGTGGAAGGGGATCATATATGCTAGCTATGCGACTGTAGACCCAAAGAAAGCTTGGGAATTCTTCTCTTCAAAGGAGTTTGACCCACACTGGATCGACGGGGGAGCATCGCTAACTTGGTTTCTGGCATTCTCTGCAGGCAAGTCTAAGCCCCCCTTTTCTTTTCCCTTTGCTTATTTTGTAGGACTATTTGGCAACTAACAGTGAGCAGCACTGGGGGAGATATGATTATGTGCTCATTCGTCAAGATTGGATAACAGTGGTACCAGGTTTTGGGGTCAGGCACTGGTGGTAGTAGTCTATCTCCTCTCCCTAGAAATAGAATGATAAATTTACCTTCGAAGTGACGCGAGTGTTTTTGCTACTGACAAGGTAGTAACATCAGCAGTGAATCTGACAGGATTGTGCAGCTGTGATTGGCATTGAAGATCGTCTGACCCTGGTGGCACACAATCGGTGAAGCAGCTGGTCTCTACTCATCGCTTGTGAATGATGAGGATCAGCTGGATCTTGTTCTTGTTCGGCAAGTGTTCTGCCCACAGATGACATGATCTCTTACTTGAGGCCGTGTTACGCCTAATTGAAGACTTGTGCCTTTTATCTCAGCCCCTGAAACTTTTGAGGGGGGACGCGTGGTCACCGAGCGAGTGACTAGGGTTCCTGCACTTTTGAGTAAACATGAGAACCAATACTCAGCCTCTTTTCGTAAGCCTCAGACAACCAGCCTCTTTCGCAACTCTTCTACTACTCCAGTCGTAGTTTGAACCAGGTGGTCACTAGGTGACCATGCTGTTGCCATGCCCCATTTTGTCTCTGCAGTCCTGTATGTCAGTCTGGCAAGTGGAGAAGGAGTCAGTATTCATACATCTTGACTTCTTCAGCCTCGCGCCAAGACTTGTATAGTCGACGCTGATAAGCATATATGGGGCTATGGCTATGTTGTATGATATCCTTCTACACATGATGAACAAGACTGTCACCAGCCAATTTCTACTCGTCGTTTCACGGAGGCTTCATGGGCCCTCGATTGCTACGCCTTGCCAAGCCATTCCGCCTACCGCAGGGATTGTCAAATTAAACGTTCCTACAGCGGGAGGCCGTCACGGCGAGCGTCACTCGAAATAGGTAGGATCAGAGTGAGAGGATGCCGAAAGGGCTTCCGTCTCCCGAGGAAAGAGGAGGGAGCACAAACATGCGAGTATAACTACATGATGACATCAAAGGAGACGAGATGAAGGCACGAAGGTTTTCAACATCAAGAAGAGCACACTGAGTAAACGAAAGAACGAATTCCTCTGGGGCTCTGAGATGATTCTTGTAGTTCTCTAATGAGATGAGGTTAGTTTAGAGCCCATCGACACACGCCACAATGCAGATGTTAGTGGAGGATGAGCGGTCAATAATGACAGTCAGGCTGCATCCATTGATGACTTCATACTGTTCCACGCAAGGATTAGATGATTGGCGGTGCAGCTCACCGATCCTTGAGGCAACCAGAAGATCTCGTGAGGGTCCAAATCCCTGACGGCCCCAACATAATTGTGGTACAAGCCGAGCTGCTTGAACTGTCTTGAACTGTGCCAGCGGCCTCCCATGACGGAGTACTAACTCAGTAGGAACACAAGCATCTAGAGGTGCTAGGGAGATGAGCACTGGGGACAACGATCCCCCTGGTTGGAGGGTGGCGATTGGAGCCAGCACATCCGCGAGTGGTGACGGAGAACATGAACCCACAGATACGGAAATCTGGGGATGGTTGGACCGGTGGTTATTCAGCACTGGGAGCGCACGATGGATGGCAACCCGGTTTTGAGTTCGGACTACAGCTCAGAACGAGGCTATTCATTACGACGGTGGCGGGCGAGCGATTAGGGAGGTGGGCAAGGAGATGATATCTGGGAGCGCACCATGTCGTATGGCGCGGGCGCTGTGGCCTGCATGAGTAAGAAGCTTAGCCTATGGCCTCCCCTGTACGGAACCCATTTGGCCGTGACGTCCCGCCCCACTCGGTGCTCCAGCTCGCTGTGCTCAGTGCTTGTGCTTGGTCGCTACAGTAGTAGAGCGAGAATGGCACCCAATATTTACGTCAGAATGGATGGACTATGGCCTGCCCCCAAACTGCCGCATACCCAAGTCCCCAAGCGCGTATCAACCTGCGCACCTGTAATATCCAGCCGGCCACCCACCTGCTCGCCATCTGGGGTCGCAACTTAGTAAGCGCAGCGTCGGGCAGCTGCACCAACAGCACGATGTGGTAATGTAATAATCAGTTGCCAAGGAGCCACGGATGATGAGCCTGTGCTTCGGGCGGGCCATCATCACATCGTAAGAGACACCCCACATCCCTGTGCCGCTCCCACTTTCCTTGGTCCCACTGAGCCCACTAAATAATCGGGAACACGTTTTACATTGTGTCGGTGGCTGCGGCCGTAAAACCCAGGCCCGGGCGTTCAGACTCGCATCCTACTGTGTGTAAAGTAGGTTCGCATGGATGCCGATTGCAGTGATTCTCGCAGCATGCTTGCTCACTCGCATCTGCGCTGACCCGGTGGAGCCTGCGTGGCCCGGACGGAGAGCCAGCACGTACGTACCCGGACGGACTGGTGCCACTTTGCGGGTGATTTCACTTGTAGGGCCCTTGCTGGCCTGTTGCTTTATTGATTTGGGTCGTGCCCAGTGTGCAGCAGGCACATTCCTGGGAGCTGCACACGGATTGTGGAAGCGAGGGGCCCGCACATCCCGGCGAAATGCTTGGCCCGCGGTCTTGAAATTGAGGCGGTGCAGGCGCTGGCGCTTCTGCTAGCTCCACCTCTAATCCATCCTAATCCTCTGGGGGAAGCTTGCTCTTGTAGTGTAGTGTCACAGCTTCCCGTCACTCTCTTTCTTTCTTCCACTCTGCGCCCATCACACACCCCAATTGAAGGCCACACCACTTCTTTCTGTTCAAGTCGTTCTCTTCGGTACATTCCTGCCACTGCCCCCTTTTTCATTTTGTTTTGCCAGTTCTCCTTGCCTCCCTCTCCACAGCTGGCACCAGAGCTAGCTTCCTGCCATTCCGGCTGATTTGGACAAGATCACCCAGGAGACCAGCATCGCCATTCGGCTGTTTCCCGCCAGCCTCCATCAGGCCTCGTCTTCTTTTGCCTACCATTACCACCTGGCAAGCTCTAGCTGCGAATGCGATTGTCGCCCCGTGGTTCCGCTGCACCCAGTCTACCTGAGCCAAGCCTTGGCCGTCTGCCTTCCGTTTAGTCGGTAAGTAAAGTAATGATTGACGCCCAGCCACGCGCCCCGCGAAGGCTCTGGATTGCCTGCGTTGCTGGAACTCGCCCTTGCGGATGGGAGAAATGTGCAATTGACGACGTTCCATCGACTGACATAGGGGCGCTTATAGAAACAAGCTTTCCCTGATAAATCAGGTCGTAGACACACTGGCTGTGTCTTGCCTGGCGATCAAGTTGGTTCGATCCATCAATTGTGATTGATTGTTGTCATGAGCTTTGGAATCTGTGAGTCAAGCCATCTATTTCATTTCATGTTGCTATCAATCTTCCCACCTTGTTCCTTTCCCCTGTCGCATCACAGGCTATCTATCGCATCGCACTGGATATGCCTTGATACTACCTTGGCCAAGTGGAAACCCGGGAGTTGGGCTTTTCCCCAAAATCCAGATTTGCCAGAGCCACACACACCTGCGAAGCTTTTGAGGCGTGCGCCCAAGGCGAGGTGATGGAACTGGGGGCTTGCACAGCCTCACAGTCCCCTCTTCTTCGGTCTAGTGGGGGACTAAGGCCTCCCACCTACGACCCGTCAAGCTTTATTTCGATCCATCCCATCGTGAAAGCTCGTTTTCACATCCTCCCATCATTTGCTTGTTCCACCAAAGCCTCTGTCGTCGTTGTTCCGCCGCTTCCCCCTGCATCGGCTCTCCTGTTTGGCAAATTGTTGCTGTGTCCTGCCCCCCTACCAATGCTTACGCCACGGACAAAGCTCTCAGTCTATGAAATTCCCCAATTGGGTGTAAGAGCAAGGACACTACTACCCTAGTAATCACTGTACGGCTCCCTCCAGTTCGCATATCCAACATCTCAAACAACTCCATTTGTTTCATTTGTCCGTTTCGAGCTTTCGTTCCCGTATCACGCTGTCCCAACATCGTCACTTGTTCACGAAACACGGCGCTTGCTGCGCGAACGTATATAATCGTTGTTTAGAACCACAAACTGACCATGGTCACTCAATCTAGCCAATATAACCTTCATCAATCGGCTCCGACGCCAAATGAGTAGCTTTAAGCCCGGTACGACAGCTGCCGCCGACGAGCGAGCACCCCTCCTCAATGGCGGCTCATCCAGGTCTCACACCCATGTGAGCCGTGGTCATGTTGAGCATCATAATCACCGTTCGCCTGTCATCACCTTCTTGATCGACTCCGAGCACACCCCTGGTCTGGACAGCGAGAACCTCACAATCCACTGTCTTGCCAAAACATGGCACGTCACCAAGGTGACCCTTTTTAGCAGTATGTCGATGGTGAAATCTCTGGGCGCATTTCCATTTTGCTAACATGGATACCTTTCCTATAGACTATGTCAACCTTCTTCTTCCTTGTGTCCCAATTGGCATCGTTGCCGGCGCGCTGGGCTGGAACCCTACCGCCGTATTCACCCTTAATTTCTTTGCCATTATGCCTCTCGCAGCTGTGCTTTCCTTTGCCACCGAAGAAATATCGCTGAAGTTAGGTGAAACGATGGGCGGTCTCCTGAATGCGACATTCGGAAATGCTGTTGAGTTGATTGTGGGTTAAACCCTGGATTGGTGTTTGCGAAGTCACTAACATGATTCGTAGGTGAGCATCGTTGCTTTGAAGGATGGCCAAATCGGCATCGTTCAGTCCTCTATGCTAGGATCTATCCTGTCCAACTTGCTCCTTGTCATGGGCATGTGCTTTTTCTTTGGCGGTCTTGTTCACCGAGGAGAGAGCGGAAACGGATTCGAGCAAAAGTTTTCATCAGCGGTTGCTCAAGCTAGCTGCTCCTTGATGACTCTGTCCTCCGCCTCTCTTATCATTCCTGCTGCGGTAAGCATGATGTTTCTTTTCTTTACTAGGAACTCTCCGAGCTGACATAAACAATAGCTTTACGGCGTACTGGCTCAGGTTAGCGATGGAAAGGATGGAAAGATGGACAAGGACGCCAGCATTCTTCAGCTATCCCGCGGAACCGCCATCATTCTCCTAATTTTATACGTTTTGTATCTCGTGTTCCAACTCCGAACCCACAGCAACCTGTTCGATCCCGAAGAGCAACCCACCAACGACGACGAGGAACCCGAAGAGCCCAGCCTTGGCCCCGTTGCCGCCGGCGCCGTTCTTGTTGCCACAACTGTTTTGGTCGCCATCTGCGCTGAGTATCTTGTTGGAAGCATTGACAGCCTGGTCGAAACTGCTGGCATCAGCAAGGCATTCATTGGTCTGATCCTGATCCCAATTGTTGGAAACGCCGCCGAACACGTCACTGCAGTTGTCGTTGCCGTTCGAAACAAGATGGACCTGGCCATGGGTGTGGCCATCGGCTCGAGTATCCAGATTGCGCTTCTCGTCACACCATTCCTGGTCATTGTTGGATGGATCATCAATCAGCCCATGTCCCTCCACTTCGAGACCTTTGAAACCGTCGCATTTGCGGTTTCGGTGCTTGTTGTTACCTATACTGTGCAAGACGGTCGATCAAACTATCTGGAGGGTGCCATGCTTCTCGGTCTATACATCATCATCGCAGTCGCTTTCTACGTTGTTCCGGGCAGCGCTCTCGACCCTGATGCTTGAGCAGGCATCCTTACGACCCAGGAGTTATCTATGCAAGGCAAAGTTTCCTTAATTCTTCTTCACATTTCGTCGCAATGATGCTCCTTTTTCAAGTGCCTAGGTAACACTGAAAGCGGTGAGCAGCGCGACACATGTCACGCCTGCCAAGTAATCACTTATTTGACAGTCTCGGCGTGGATGTAAACATTCTTTATTGATTTCATTGTCTGTATTACTACTGAAAATTTCTGACACCACCAAATCCCTGGAGGGGTGGTTGGAGATGTCTGTCATCGAGCACACAACTCGAAGGGCGAGCAAGGGGATTTATCCCTCTTGGTCACCCTAAAATGTGGTGGATTTTCTTTGAAAAAACATAAAAGCCAGCCTATGAGTGGCTATTGTTTTCCATATTGCCTTTTCCAATTTGCTTTTTTTGTATGACGCTTGGGTCTGTCTGATTATGAGATCCATTAGAGGACTTCTTGAGCTTCAAGATCTGTCACATCGAAATATGTCGGTGGTGTGAAGCTACTAGTTTTACCTCTCTTTGAATTAGAATATGCTAGCAATGAGTAGTTATCGAATATGTTACACTGAATGGATTTCCTTTCTGTGATTCTTATATATGAGACAACCAATTTGACCCATTGGTGGCAACTAACTGGATTGCATGTGAAGGTGTAGATTGCTCGTCTCACTTTGCTGCCTTGGGTAGTTCAAATGGAAAAGGTAGATCTTCTTGGACTAACATTCCTTTTCGATAAGCCTATATACAATTCTTATGTGAAAATTATAAACTGGAGTATATTCTATTCGGAAGATGTTGACAGCAAAGGTATATAATATACAGTCTAGGCTCTGGGTTTTGACATTGGGGCAATGATGCCCTGCTTCATAATCACTCTTGGCTTTGTGCTGTCCTGGAAGGTCTCCTTGGTCTGCCATTCTGGGCCGACAGGTTGTTGCAGAGACCTCTCGTACTGCTGTCTTGATTCGAAGGGGTGCGGTAGCTGTGAGGCGAGGTAGCGGTCATTCTGTGGTGTCAAGTTAGTATCACCGAGCATTACATAGATGGTAGAATTGGCGAATAGAAAAAGTATATAATTGGAGGGGGGAAGATGGTGTTCCAATTTCCCACATACCTTTTTGATACGCTTCTCGTTTATGATGACCTTGTCCAGCTTGGCGTCCTTTCGGTCATTCTTCTTGATGCCCTCCACCTTGGTGAGGAATCGGCCCTGGTGGCGCTTCTTCTCGCGGTTGCTGACGCCGTCGCCGACCCACGAGCCCCAGCCGGGGAGGGTGTTGTCGATGACCTTGTCGTCGTCCTGCTCGGCGACTTCCTCCTTCTCGCGCTCGAATTCGCCTACCACATCCTCCCCGGCAAAGGCTCGGGCGACTAGTTGCTGATCGCGGATGGCGAGAGGGAGGTGTTGATCGGCGTCGTCGGAATCATCGTCGCTGTCGTGGCCGACCCCGTTCTGTCGCTGTGGCGTTGAGGATTTCTTGACGGCTTTGGATTTGTTGCCATTTGAGGCGATCATGATGTTGGCGTTGAGATCAAAGTCCTCCATCTTGGCGGAGCTGCCGCCCTTCTTCTTCCGCCGTACTTCGCCGCTTGACCACGCTCCGGCCGTCGTGTTGGCTGTCGATGTCGCAGCTGCCGGCGCGGCTTTCGAGACGTTTCCATTGGATGAGAGTTTAATCGTGACCTCGTCGTCGTCGTCCTCTTCGACCTTTCGTGGCTTCTTCGCGGACATCTTGGAGGTATCCAGGGCAGCGGCGAAAACCTTGCCTCCGGCTCCTCCATACTGCTTGCGACCGACCTCGTCACCGCCATCGTCTGCTGACTCCTCCGCTTCCTCCCCGTCGAGCTCTCTCCGTATTTGTTTTATGAGGTCGTCGTTCTCCTGCTTTCGCGCCGCCTCTGCCTTTTGCATGAACTTCATACTCATCAGCTTTGACTGGGGCTCGTCGTCCTCTTCTTCCAGAGCAGCGAGCTGGCGTCTTAGAGAACCATGCCCGCCGTCTTCAGAGTCGCTGCCTGAGCTGGAGGTCTCATCATCATCCGACACAGCGGACCGTCCTTCCACTCTCCGCCGTAGCTCTTCGTCCTTGCGGGCCATTTCCGTTAACCCAGTTCGGAAATCGTCGTCCCAGACTGCCCTCTTGACTCTGGACCCCATCTTGGCCCACTTGCTATCCTTGTGCCGTAGTCCGACTCGCTCAAGTGCTCGGCGCCTGTCTTGCGCCTCGCGCTCCTCCTCGGAATCGATCTCGCCAGCCTCCGCCATGGCTTCCTGAGCGGCCATCTCATCACGCTCTCGCTGCTTTCGATGTACCCTGTGATACGCCTTGCTCTTGATCTTCTTGATGCGGGCTGCCCGCTTGGCCTCTCTGGACTGAAGCTCTCGCTCGATTCGCTTTCTGTTGAGAATCTCCTTGCGCGACAGCTCATTTCCCTCGTCGTCGTACTCCCTCTCCTTCTCCTTCTTTGGCTTCTCCATCGAGAGTCCACTCTGGTCCATGATTCCGAATATGGCGCTTTCCAGCTCATTCTGAGTGTTGCTGGCCGTGAGAGGCTGCATCTCGGTCAGGTCTAGGCCGGCCTTTGCCGAGTTTTCCGGCAGGGGGAAGACGAGATGCTCAGCCCGTCTGTTTTGCTTCACGGTTTCTGTCCAACGATCGAGGGTTTCGTTCGTCTTCTCGTACGCGACGGTTCGGTCCAGGCGGCCCTGTTCCCTCCTCGACAGGGGCACATCGAGCTTCTTGGTGGCGCCGGGCTTCTTCTCCTTGGACTCCTTCTTCATGAGCTTCACTGACTGCTTCATGAAGGGGTCGTCGATGCCGCCGAGGCCTAGATCGCCAAGGTTGATTTTTTGCTTGACCGGGGCCTTGTCCTCGTCATCGTCTTCCTCCCCGCCGAAGCCAGAAACGAGACCGCGCAGCGCTCGAAGCTGTTCCGGGTCGGCCTCCTCATCGCCTTCCTCGGCGGAGTCTTCCTCGTCACTGTCCTCCTCCTCTTCTGATCCTTCTGAGGTTTCAGAGCCGGATGCTTCATCAGAATCCGACTTGGAACCATCCTTCTGCTCCTCTTCTGTGTCCTCTTCCCACTGATCCAGAGCTGTGGCGAGGTCAATGGCTTCTTCTCCTAGTGTCTGACCTTCGTCATCGTTCGAATCATCCTCAGATTCGTCATCGTCGTCATTACCATGGCCTCCCTATTACACTGTCAGAACTCATCCGAGATATTTCTGTGTCGTTTTGTTAATCACCTTGGACTTTGTAGACTTGCTCCCCCCGAAGGAATAGCCCTGGAATTTTTCATGGTCGCTATCGCCAAAGGCGTCGTCACTTTCGATTTCAGAGTCATCGTCGTCTTCGGCCAAGCCACCAAGCGTCCATTCGTTGCCCTCGCTGTCGCTCCCGTGCTCTGCATCGCCGCTGACGGGGCGAGGGGCTTTGATCTTCTTCCTCTGAGGCATGTCCTCGTCGTCCTCGTCGTCCTCTTCATCTTCTTCGTCCCTGCTGTGCTTCCTCTCCACTTCAAGCTCCAGTTGCCTGTATCGCGGCGTCTTCTTGATTTTCTGCGGGAAGTGCTCTTGTGCGATTCCGAAGGCATTGAGTGCGTTCTTCTGAGACCTGTTCTTGGATTTCTTCGTCGCTTTTGACTTGGGCGCCGAAGTCAATGGGCGCCCGTGGGCTTGCCGGCCTGGCATCTTGCGGTTTCTCGTTCAGCCAAATGGGCTGCGACTCGGCAAAAAAGGTGCGACGTTTGACTTCAAGCTCTGGTTCTTGCAGGTTGCAGCATATCCATGGCCAAATTTTCTGCCGGTCTTGAAAATTTTGGCGGTGAGAGCCGCTAATGGCGGGGACCCTTGCAGGGACCAGCGGCCTAGTCTTTTTACCTATCAGAGGCGCCTGAATAAGTCTTAGCCTATCATTGCTTTGGCAGCAGTCTCGGCTTTTCGCGCACTCGGACGATTCGTCTGGTGAGTATCAGGCGGGCTGGCTCTAAAGACCTCGACCCAGCCCACACCAGGCACAACACAACTCACGTTCTTTTCCAAACAGCAGCCATGGCCTCGCCTTTCTCGCTTGGGGCCAGGAGGCTGGCCTCCCAGCTTCCCTCCAAGTTTTTCGTCTGCAATCAATGCCTCCTGCGCCAGGCTCCCCGAACGCCCGCATCGACCATCCTCAATGTCGTACGATCGCGAAGTATCTCGACCGAGACCGCCTCGGCCACACCTCTGGGCAAGCTCGCGCAGGAGATGTCCTCTCGTGCGGCGCATAGCACCACTGAGAAACTGGTATCCGGCAAACGCTTTCCCAATGTCAATCCCAAGGGCGTGGGATATTGGTTGATCGGTAGCGCTGTCAGCGTCTTCGGCATCGTCGTCTGGGGTGGCCTGACACGATTGACTGAGTCTGGGTATGGAGAACACCCCAATTGACTGCATCCTATATAGACTGACCCTTCTTTGTAGTTTGAGTATCACAGAATGGAAGCCCGTCACCGGTTCATTGCCCCCCATGTCCCTTGAGGACTGGGAATCCGAGTTCGAAAAGTACCGTGCCTCGCCCGAGTTTAAGCTTCTCAACCCCCACATGAATCTCGAAGAATTCAAGAAGATCTACTTCATGGAATGGTCCCACCGTGTCTGGGGTCGCTTCATTGGCCTCTCTTTCGTTATCCCTGCCGCCTACCTCATCGCCCGCCGCCGAGTGACTGCCAAAATGGCCTGGAATCTCACTGGTATCTCTGCTCTCATCGGTTTCCAAGGCATCATTGGATGGTGGATGGTAAAGTCTGGTCTCAAGGATGATCTGTTCGCTCCCGGGTCGCACCCCCGTGTTTCGCAATACCGCCTCACCACTCACCTGGGAACCGCCTTCATCTGCTACGCCTGGATGCTCGTCTCTGGTATCTCCATCCTCCGCACACGCCGCTTCCTCGCCGACCCCAAGGCCGCTATGGATATTATCAAGGGGCTTCAGCACCCGGCCTTGAAGACCCTCCGCCGCTCGGTCTTTGGCATGACTGGCCTCGTCTTCCTAACATGCATGTCTGGCGGTCTCGTCGCCGGTCTCGACGCCGGTCTCATCTACAACGAGTTCCCCATGATGGGTCTCGGCCTGACCCCTCCCAAGTCCGAGCTCTGGGACAAGTTCTACTGCCGCAAGGAGGACCACTCCGATCTCTGGTGGCGCAACATGCTCGAGAACCCCAGCCTCGTCCAGCTCGACCACCGCATCCTCGCCACCACCACCTTCTGCGCCGCCCTCGCCCTCTTCGCCTACGCCCGCTCCGGCCGCGTCAAGCCCGCCCTCCCCAACAACATCAGAAAGGGCACCACCGGCCTCGTCCACCTCATGATCATGCAGGCCTCCCTCGGAATCTGCACCCTCCTCTGGCTCGTCCCCATCAACTTGGCCGCCACCCACCAGGCGGGCAGCCTGGCAGTCCTCACCGGCGCCCTGATCCTCTCTCACAGGATGCACGTGCCCAGACCCACGGTCCAACTCATTGAGCAGAGGCTCAAGCAGCTGGCACAGAAATAAATAAGCTCAAGAGAGCATTCAAACTAATCCCCCAGCTCCTGTATAAATTTGTATTATCTATTCTTCGGGGGTGGTTAGATTCACCAATTATTTTGGTATGACTTCGATACGACATAGGAAGGTCTCTACTTATCTCATTCCACCTTCAAACTCACCCAACGAGCATGTATACATAGAAGAGCTACTAGCTTCAACTGATACACGTATAAAAATGAAACTTTTTTCTGGTAATAATTACTGAATTCCTGCAACGTGTACTGTTGCGTATATTTCTATAAGGTTTCTGTAAAAAAAAAAAAACAGGCGTCGTTGGCCACTATTGAACAAGCTGACTATTAACACATCATGAAAAGCTAATAAGAATGAGAGCCACGGGGGGCTACATGCGAGAGAGATCATAACCCCCAAAAGATGTCAACGCGTCCGCTGTGTTAAAAACAAAAGCCCATCCAGAATATACCCTCTTCCTTCCTTCTTTTTTATTTGTTGAATTCCAAGATTACTGTAAATATGTAGTTGGTAATGATCTTCGCTTTATCCATAGTGCAGTTGATTTTCGCCATTTATTCCATATACATGCCGTCAGCCCGCATGCCCTGCATTGCCATGCCCAGATCAGCATGCAACCCGTTCGCCTGCATGGCCATGTTCATGTTGGGCATGGACCGGCTCATGTTCATCGCCGTGCGGCCGACAGGACTCCCAGCGCCGTTTTGCATGAGAAACCGTTGGTCGGGCAGTGTTCGTTGCTGGGGAATGGGGCCTCGTGTTCTGGGAACCTCCAGTGTCGCTTGCTGCGTTGCTTGCTGCTGGATGGGCTGCGGCACCGGCTGCTGTTGCTTAATGGGCGAGGCGTTCATTATGGCAAAACTGTCATCGTCCTCCATCTCGGCATCGGCATCTTGATCACTAGTCTCCTCTACGGAAGGCGGTGCTGTCGTGTTGGTCGAAGCAGCCGTATTCTCACTCAAGGCACCATTGGTACTGGCTGTAGACAGCCGCTTTGGAGGCTGATGCGGTTGTGTCTGCTGCTGAGGGGTTTGCGATTGAGACCTTGATTGTGACGGTTGCGAGTTCCCGTTGGTGTCTGTTTCTACGGATGTCTGATCCAGCGACCTTTGAGAGCTCATTCCACTAACAACACGACTGGAGACCACCACATTCTTCCAACGATCAATTGATCGAGCGACCAAGGTGCTGAGGTCTAGGTCGCGGTCCTCCAAAGTGAACCCAATGATTGATTGTCCCTTCAACCCCTGTTCGTAGGCATGCGTGATGAACTCCTTGTCGAACGGGATGGTTCCTGGGGGTGAAAGCTTGAACTCGCGGGGCTGCTGTAGTCGGTTGAGTTGATCGATTTGGGATTTCAGGTTGGCATTCTCCTGTTGCAATTTCTGCTGCTGCTCCTTCATCTTCTCGGCCTCCTTGTGTTTTCTGCCTACACCCCTTGCCAGCTCCAAGATCCACAACTCGTTTTGACGCTGAGGTGGTAGGCTCTCCCACACAGCATAAGCTGACTCAAGATGCTCATTGACCTGCTTCTCGAGATGATCTGCCGACTTCTCCACCTTCTTGACCACGTCACGTTTATCTCGGTAAGGACCGTTGGATGTGGGATAAGTGAGCTCATCCATGGCATCGGTATTTGCTGTGACACATGATATCTTCCATGTTTGAAACTCGTCTTCAAAGAATGATTTGAGGGCCTCGAATTCCCGTTGGCCGGGGCATTGTACCGACCACGAAGTCGACGTGGGATGTTGTGTGGAGGAGAAAAGAGTCGGAGGGGGTTGGAGGCATTGTAGGGTCAGCGCGGGAAAGTCGAGCGATAGGGGGTCGAAGTCAAAGGGCATCGTGTTGGCGTCGAACTGCTGTCTGAAGTAAAGAGGGTAAGCAAAATGGTCACAGGGGGAGGGGGGTTTGCAATTGGACAGGATACATACTTCGCTGCCCGCCAAGAGCTGATGAGCTCTCGAAGAGCTAGCTCAGCAGCTCTTGCAGTATCCATAGCATCGGACAGCTTATGCTTCACATCGAATTGGGCCTTCTGGGCCTGCCGACTGACGCTTCTCTGCATGCCTGGTCGTTTGGCAAGTTCGTGTCCATTCTCGCCAATGTCGTTCATTACCCCCGTCACCTCCCATCGTCCACTGGCGAATGGGAACTTGCTCAATTTGGTGTCCACTGCATACTGGCCATCTTTTGGAATGCCGGACGGCATGAACGAATCCCTATCGTGCGCCATGCTCTCATTCCTGCTTGAAGCTTTGGGGGTCCCAATAGGGGTGGACACTTCTCGACGGCCACCGAGAGAGCCTCGAGGCTGTCGTCGTGTAATGCCTCCTCGCATCTTCCGAATCTCGTCCACATCATGAAGTCCATCGGGCGGTTTCGGGTTCTTTTCTTTGATGTACAAGTCGAGGTGACGTCCGAGCGAAGACGAGGTGAAGGCCTGACCACAGTAGGGGCAGTTTTTGTCTTTGGGAGCACTATATTTAGGTCCCTTGGCATCTCCATTCTGGCTGTTGTCCTCCATGGCGGACATTGTGGGAAAGACGGAATTAAATAATAAGGAGTAACAGGGAGGTCAGAAGAGGTAGGTAAGGAAAACGCGGCAAGGAGGGGCGGGAGAAGGAGAGATTGGTATGATTAGAACAAGGAATGGGCCAAAAAGAAATCTCGAAGCTCCTCGGATGGAGCAGACAGAGCAATATGCATAGGAAACGAGCGTAAGAAGTTGATTGTACGGGTTTGAAGAATAACGAGCGTCTGGTTGGCGAGGTCGGCAAGCAGCAAAACACCTCCCCGAGCTGCCGTCCGTGTATTAAAAGGGGGGTACAGCACTCCTTTAGCTCGACGTCCAAGGCATTGGGAGAACGGTAATTAGGACCGGGCCAGAAAATCTTGCCCCTGGAAGAGCGAAAGCCGATGAGGAGGGAGTTGAGAGGATTAAGGGAACGGTGAGGGTGAATGAGGAAAGAAAGAAGCGAACAATGGGACGAGGAGAGAGAGAAAAGGCAAGCTGGTGGTTTTTTTCGTTGCTTTTTTTTTTTTGCTTCGCTCCGAGTCGTCCCTGAACACAGAATCAGAGACCCAGCTTGAGGTAAGTTCCACTCAGGGGGCGTGGTACCACAGCGATTGGGGGCCTAGTGGGGAGGAACGGCGCCCATTCAGCGGCGGCTGATGGATGTAACCCCCCCGCCCTCCGCCCCACCAAAGGGGAAAACGACCTTAATCCTAGTCCCCCTGAATGGCTGCTGGAGCTGCCCCAGATTGGCTGCCCGTGCTAGCCTTCCCGCCGTGGCAGGGGATTTGATCGGCCACTCGGACGCTGGACTTCGTTCCGCCCGCTGCCCTACCAGGCCCTCACCACCTATGAGAGGCACTGGATTGGCCCTATTCTTTCCGTGCTCCGCTGCGTTGGGAGTCTAAAAACCAACGCTCCCTTTTGCTCAAAAGGCAGTGATAGGCGTTGATGTAATTCCTACGTGCTTTGCCGTCCTGTATGTCCCCCAAAGGAGCGAGAAAGAGAGGGAGAGAGTCTCCCATGCGTAAGTTGGTGCCAGCCATACATAGCATCCACAGAGGACATGCAGGAGGTCATTCCAATTACCTGCTCACCTCCAAGTTCTCTCCATTGCTGGTCTGGAGGGGAGAGATCTGCTCCTGGGCCACCCACCCCCGAATTTGATTGGCAGGATGATAAGACGCAGCAGATTAGACATTTAGTACAATCGAGCAGGTGCTAATTGGCTCATGTCAGATGGGGAGAGAGCCGTCTCTGTCTCAAAGTCTGACGCACACAGGACGACATCAGCACAGCCTACCTAATCCAGCCGTTCATTTCAAGCTCCCTTTTGCTGCAGCACCTTGCATATTTCGTCTAGCCGATTTCAAACACTTGCGTATGGCCAACAGCTACCCAACTATTTTCTTGGGGCTTATTATTACCATGCTTATGATGTATCTAGGCGAGTAGGCGGAGCCCATCGTTGCCGGAAGACAAGGCTGCAGGACATCAGCTACCATCACCCAATATCTGCGCGTATTTTTCCTCCCTTTTTTTTTTTTTTTTTTTTTTTTTTGTCCTGCCTATGTATCCAAACCCCTGAATGCAGTGAATCACGGGACAAGCCGACTACAAAATTTCCTCCTTGAACTACACATGCCTTGAATGCTAATCACTCCCAATGGCACGCTTCCTCCATCGTCAGGTGGACAGAAAGATCAAGCAAAGGCCCAGGGGACAACGGCATGGATGCTGCAAACAGCACCACCGATGGCAAGGGCTGCAGGTGACCCTGGTTCCTGGCAGGCTGCCGCTTCTCACCTGGGTCGATGTCACAACAAGGGGGGCCTTGCTCCTGGAATGGCCAGTTACCGCCGAGTCATCGGATTGTTCCAGCATCCCAAGCGAAGAAGCCTAACAGAATGTCGTGGCCAAGTACTTACCAGACGGTTCCGACTTCTCTCCCTCACTACCGCCCAAGGCTTGGAATTCATAAACCCCACCAAGGCGCTTGGCTGGCCCCAAAGTAGCGCATAATTTCAGCGTCCCCGCTCCAATAGCTCTAAAGCGAGATCGACGCTTGGTCCCCGTTCGATTCTGCCAGTGCAATCGATACGATGAGGCGCACTTGGTAATGGTACTGCCTACCGGCACGCATACCTGGGCTTCCGAAATCGCAGAGGCCCTCCCGTACCAGGTCCCAGCAGCACTAGCCCGGGCTCACATCACGGACTCAGAGCCCAATCAGCCTCTGCAAGACCACCGTCTCCTTTTCCATCCAGCCTTGACGGTTTCCACAAGTTCCTGAAGGTAGTAATCACTAACAAGCTGCTAGTCTTACAGTAGTGCGCGGCCTGTGGCTGGTAGCAGCCATTAGTGGCTGGCCACGCCTTCATAAGGCACCGGCCACCCGATCGGCCATCTGTCAACATGCATGACCCCTGATCCGGCTGCGTGCTAGGGACCTTGGTAAACCGTAATTAATCAATCATCTGCCCCCTTGAGGGCTTCGCTGCTGAATCAGACCCCTTTTCTCATTAACGCACCGTCTTCTCTCTCTGCTGCTTGCGTGAGGCAAAATACTGTGCGATAAATAGGCTAGCGGGAGCAGCTAGATAATGTGCATGTACTTCTTGACAATGTCACCAGATGCTTAGTAGGTGGTTTCTCAAACCTTGGAAGAGGAAAGGCTTTTCCGTCCGATAGAAGGGTTTTCCCCAAGAGAGTTCCAACTGAGTTATATTTAATCTGAGACACTCCAGTATCATACTGCTTATCGTGAGATTATTGGGGCTAATAATACAAAAGGCACAACGCACTGAACATTGTTGACTCATACCATTTGACACTACTCAAACCGTTCTTCATCTTCAGGAAGCTCCCAGCCCGCCACCACCTCGTCAAATAGAGTCTAGAAGGGCGTTGTGGGAATCCCTAGAGGGCCATTGTGATACTCTAGTTTAAATGGGAGGTTTGTAATAGCGCGGGGAAGAGTGTCGAGACGATTCGCAAAGTCTTCGACGCTGATTTCCGGGAACTCCACGAGGAGTGTGCGTCCTTGTCCACACACGGATATCCCCTCGCACTCCGTGAAAACATATTTGGCGAGGTAAAACAACACCTCATTCGAAATCTCGCCATTCTCAACATCGGAGAGAATGTTTGGATCAAGAGGTTCTGCGCCGGCAGAGCCAACGCTGTCCACAAAAGACCAAAGGTCATATCCGTCATCAAAATCGTCCATGTTCTTCCAAACCGCGATACAACCAGCAATTGAAAAGGGAAGCTCGTCTTTTGGTGGCGAGTAGTCGCCACAGAAGAGCACAATGAATATACCGAGAAGGCTGTTCACCTGTACGTTGTAATTCTTGAATAGATATTCGTTGAACGCCTCCATGTGTTCAGGCTGGACATGCTGAGACGAGGCATAGCCATTTGGGCCAATGAGGGAAAATTCTTCGAACTCAATAGCGGCTGTAGACGGGCTTGAGAAATCTACAGGTTTAGGCGTAATTCCTATAGCGGGTGGACCACTTTCTCCGCTGTCTGATATGATTGATGGAGTGAAGTGGTCTCCGCTGTCTGACATGATTGATGGAGAGAAGTGATCTCCGCTGTCTGACATGATTAATGGACAGAAGTGGTCTCTGGAGAGGAGTTATTTCTGGAGAGGAGTTGCTTCTCTAAAAGAGTCGTTTCTGTAAAAGAGTTGTGTCTGGAGAAGAGCTGTTTCTGTACAAGAGTTGTTTATGGAGAGAAGTGGCGGGCTTCAATGTTTGGGGCACGCGTTCAGTTACTTAACTACATAGACTGAGGAACCAATTTGTCTTTAGCTGCCTGAAGTTTGAATTATTTAGGTAGGCTCACATGTTCAAAACTCCCTGACTTTAATGTGTTCACTTTCTGCTCAGGCAGGTGCCATTGCGATATGCGATTGAACACCGCTGGAAGGCGTAACTGGATGACATCGGATTTCGAGACACTTAAACATGTTGCTTATCTTAGACTCTGCGACCGGCATTGCCACATACTCAAGAGACAATACACTAAAGGTTGTCAATTTATATCACTTTATACTGCCGTCCTATTCTAACCGCCAAAGAAAGTGGTCTGCCACCAGCTGAGGCGTTAGGCATCACGTGTAGATTACGTAAGGGTCGCAGCTGGCCAGTCGCGCCTGCTGTTGGCATCTGGCCGCGCCCGCCCGCGCGCTCCTGTAAATATGCGACAACCCGTGCGAAATGTACTTGAATAGGCCTGTGTACAGCTGAACGCGACTGCATACATCTCTTATCTCTACACCTGGCCCTAATCATCTCTGAACAACCAAATTGACAATGCCTCCAGGTGTGTACCCAACCAATTAAATAATTCATCCTCACACCTACTGCCATCCAGTGCACCCCACGCGCCGCGGTTTTGAAGCTTTCGCCAACCTGTGGACTGTCTATAAAATCGTCACCGCGTCAAAAATGCCACACACCAGCCAATGATGATCTTCGACATCTTTAAAAGATTCCAAAGGACTAATCCCAGTCAACTAGCTCTAAGCGACGAGGAGCAGTCGGATTTCGACGCCGACTTCGACATGCGCTCGCGTCCTAGTCCACCCTCTCACTCTTCAGACGACGGAGAGAAGACTAATAATGCCACCACCTCGCGTAGGAAGTCAGAGGTCAAGACTTTCAAGGAGGATTCGGTCTCAGATAAAGTAGAGGATGAGCTCGAGAATGAGGAGGGCGATGGAGAGGAAGACGAAGATGACGACGAGGAAGAAGAGTTGTATGTGTCGCATCACCCGATTTCTCGCGCAATGCAACAAAGCTAAACGACGATTTAGGTTTGTCGTAGAGAAGATCCTGGGCCATATGGTGGACAACAAGGTAGGTCTTGTATCATACCTCGACAGCCCGCTTGGACGACATCTTGCTAACGTGGGCGCAAAAGGGAAACATTCGGTTCCAGGTAAAATGGGAAGGCTACGACAGTAAAAAAGACCTCACATGGGAACCTGAAGACAACCTCACGTATGACTTTCTATTCCGTCCACCAGAGTTCCTTTCTCACATTGTTTTCATAATAGAGAAGCAACAGAAGTTCTTCAGGAATATTTTGCGGGTGTAGGAGGGCGACAGGCGATTTTGGACCAAACCGAGAAAGCCAAAGCGAAGAAGCGCGGCCGTCCTGGTAGCGATCAGCCCGCAGGCACCAAACGACAGCGCAAAAACGGAGTTCACCCTGCTGATACGGAACCGCCGGCGACGAAGAAGAAGTGGCAACCCCCATCTGGATCGTGGGAAGACGATATCGAGAATATCGACGCTTGTGAAGAGGAAGGAGGGGGAAAACTGGTGGTCTACCTGAACTGGAAGAATGGGCAAAAGACCAAGCATGAGACTTCGGTCATCTACAAGAAGTGTCCCCAGAAGGTGAGCCGGGGCTATACATTGAACCTGTTGTGTGGGGATTGCGACTGACTCTTTCTAGATGCTTCAATTCTACGAACGACATGTGAAAATTATCAGGGAGGAAAACAAATCTTTGGTCGGAAATGATGATTGATCTGGGATGTATCGAAGACCAAAGAGCATCCATCGGCAGGGTAGTAATGAATGCTTGGGGTTTTGATTTCGCGCAATATTCTGTTGTTATGGGGCGTTCATTCTAAGTTTTTTTGATTGCGTGTACTGTCTGTAAAGTGAATTTCTGATATCGTTGGATTCACCAGGATCCTTTCCTGCTAAATACTCTGCTCTTTGACGTGCCCCACCGTCTCCAAGTACGAGACCCAAGGCGACTGAGCTTGGTGTACAAGGATTCATCAACTGCTGGTGCTCTCGGCTCGTATCAATTACAGGGATCTTAAAAAAGCACCAGAGAATGCATGGGAAGATTCAGAAACTCCATACAGGTGACGTTGGCACCTATCCACTAATGCAGTCGGAGAGGTGGTTGGTCCGGCAGTGAGAAACCACGACTCATCTATCCGCGAACCCGGACCTCAGGCGAGAAACGGCGATTGGCAGCGCAAGCTTGTTTCAACGATGAGCAAATCCCTGGAGAGCCGACCAGGCCCCTGCTAGCCCGTGGTCATAGAATTTTCTCTGCTGTTCCTGATGCTGGCGTTGGGCGTTGGCGGGTCAGTCGATCCCGGCCACCCGCCCAGCCTTGCGATTTTATTGACTTGGGCGTAAAAACGGGTGGCGGGGCAACAGCTCTTATAAGTCGTGGGCAGCAACCGCCGTGCAACCACCCTCCCGCCTTTCCCACGCATCATACCTGCATTCCATCCATTCCAGCTGTGCATTTTCTCCCGAATCCAATCATAGGAAGAAAAGAGCAAGGCCGTTCTCGTCGCAATCTTGTGGTCTTCTGCATTCCTACACCGTACATTCATCACCCCACCACGGGCTCATTCCGCGACTCCCCTCCAGAGCACCGTCTATTGGCTGGTAAGTAGTCGACACACACATTGGCATTGTTGCCCAATTTCCTAACGACGCATTGTACTGACTGGATGGAACGCAGGTTTTCTTCTGTTGCACATTGCGCATAGTCCGGCCTTCCCACCCGAGACAACTCTATTCCAACTGCTTGCTCGCTTGAGTCTTTGCCCACGAGACAGAAGAGCCGTTGAATTCCTCGAAAGCCCACTTCGAGAGCTTTGCTTCCTATCGAGTCAGATCCACGACAGCACAAGTGCATCGATACACGGGCGCCATACCCAGACCGCAGCCATGAAGAAGAACGACGTCATCGCCATCATTGTCATCATCTTGTTCTTGGTGCTGGCCGGTGTCGCCTTTGGCATTGCGACTCTTGTGCACCAGTTCCGGAGGCAAACAGACGGCTCGCACAGTGGAAGCAGCGGCAGCAGCAGTAGCAGCGATGATTAAATTCCCTCTATTGCCCCTCTCTCGAAGAGCGTATCAAACTGGTGTCCGACTAGGTGGTCCCAGTTGTACAAAGATATCTGCTCTTGGCAAATGGGTGGCGCATTCCTGCTTCTCAAGTCTGTTTTCAACTTCGCCACACCTCAGGATGAGCGAAGCTGGCAAGCGAAAATGACGATGCTTTACTAATGAATTTGAGGATGCACATGCATCGACATGTTTTTATGAGTTGGATATTTACGGGGTATGTTCATACACGAAGAGAATGCGCATTCGAGGACCTCCACCGTCTGGGTGGCGGCAACCTTGCTGATCTTCTTTGATATTTTGACATTTATCTGATTTGGGAAGCGGGCGCATTACGAGGAGTCATCATGGGTATTAGTGTTTCAAGCTTTTGGAAAGGAGGATTGTATTTTTTATCTACGTTTTTGGATATGTGGCCAAGATGCGCATCGACTAGCACGGGAGGATTTTGGAAAGCCGCGAAACGCATGCATTAGAATAGACAAACTGAATAAACATATAGCTCAGATAAGAGCTAAAGAGAAACAACACACCTTCATGTCGCCGAGACCCAGTGCCTCGTAAATGCTTCAATTCATTCTAGCACATCCTATGTCAAGTACCAGCAGGCGGTACTCTTCTTCTCTACACATCACGGTAGTCTATAAGAAACACACACTTGGGAGACAGCGTTGTATTTTGTTAGAAGTCGATACGAAAGTGAATAAAATAGTCTGAAGGACACTTTTCTTGCACCGGAACAAACGGTACACACTCCTAATGAAAACAACCCCCCAAATCAAGAAGGACAGTGCCACTCATGAGACAGCTTCGGGTCCTAACTCCCATATCCTCCTTCAATACAGATGCATAGACAGCCGGGAAGCCAATCCCAAAGTTGCAGCACCTAACCTAGGCCTTGGCGGTGAGATTCGTTCGAGTCGAGAGACCTGATGCCACATTAGTTTCCTCGAACGAAGTGTCCCTGGAAGAGAATACTTGCCGTTTGTAGCGAGCGGCCGTGTACCGATGGTCGTGCTATTGCCTAGGGGGAAGCTGGTTCCATCCGCCTTGGTGGGGGCGCGAGGTCCAACCTCTAAACAAAGTATAAGTAAAAGATGATAGCATTAGATGACTTGGGGGGGTTATATTTGGTTGCTCACCTCTTCTGACGGGAGCCAGCTTGTCCACCATGCGGAAGGGAACCGCGGTGGCCATGGGCCAGGCCGCGAGCAAGACGACGAAAGCTCCAGACAGCTTCATAGTCAACTCGAAGTCTTAGTTTGACGTTTGGGATGATAAAAAGAGTGATAAAATAAGTGGGAGGTGGGTTGGGACGTTTTCAGAGCAAATAGTTGATGTGTGTTAACCAAATGAGCGAGTATGAAGAGAAAAGAAGACAGCCTCCAGACAAGATTGCTTGATGTCTGAGAAGAAAAAAGATCAAAGGTGGGATAGCAATGATGGGATTCTGATCCTTATAAGCATCCGGTTTATTCGTACAACATTGAAAACGAAAAGAAGGCACCCGACACAAGGATTACAATACAGAGCTACGGGAGTTGTCCTCGCAAGGAGAAAGCCGGGAAGGACAGAGGGACGCAAAGTCGGCACAACGTAACAAGTAAAGATGGGGATTTTCGGGTAGATACAGATTACCAGGGTAAAAGAACCCGGGAATAAATGCATAAAGGCGGGTGAGATTGCAAGTTCCTCCCTCTGAGCAGGTACAGCAGCAGTATTCTGCAGCATCCCGTATGAGACAATGCAGCCGTGCGAAGACTTTGGTGCCATCACATGTCACGAATCAACTAGATAAGAGCATACTTGCTCTCATTGGCGGCTGGATCGCTTCCTCTCACATCCTAATGCATGTGGCAAGGAAGTGGCCTGCAGTTGGCGGAAAGGGGGACGGATTCCTGCATGTCTAAGGCTATGTGTAACCTGCAGGTAAGATGAGGAAATCCTTCGTCTTTTTTTTCGTAGGTATCACAAAATAGTTTGGGTCTTGTACGTCAAATCTTGACTCACGCGTCATGCATGATGCGTTTAGGGTTGTGTATGTCGACAGGCAGGTGAGACTTGGTTGTGAAAAGAATAGATGGGAAGACCACAAGATATTCTCGAGTTCTGTAGAATTCTGTAGAAGCGGTTAGGAGACATTACGATGGATATCTCGTGGAACTTAAAATCTGCACAAAATCCGGACAGTCAAGTACTCACTGCCTTTCTCAACTCACGCTGCGTTTGTAGATATTACTCTAAAGGCACTTGACCCCGTGCCCGACAACAAGTCGTCTACAAATAGTATTTCTCCTGAAGAGCGAGCATTTTAATCTCCAGGGCAATCTTGTCAAGTACTATTCTACGCCTCGCCTTATCTCTGCATACTACCATGTAGAAATACATGTCTATATCACAGGAGGGTCGAGGACCGTATACAACTTCAACTTGACTATCCAGCCAAGGTCCTGCATGACACTCTCCACAGAAGGCATAAGTGCCTTCTCATAAACTTCTACAATAACTCGCTCCAGCGACGAGATGGCCTTCAGCTGCTGATCAATCCAGGGCAATGCGCCTCGAGCAAACCCCGAATCGCAGTCTTTCTCTTCTGTCAAAATACTGGAATTTTGGCGATGGACCTGAAGTTCAAGCGTCTTCAGTCTCGTGCACTGCTCTCGAAGGAGCTCCAAAGCACGCAGGCTATCACCCCTCAATGCAAACTCTCCCTCTCGGTCGTCTACCCTGTCCATCGCTGGGAAGCTGATTGCCAAGTGTGTGATCAGGGAGGCGTTTGCAGGCCCGATCCCACCAAGGAAGTTGCACAATAGCCCAGTCTGTGTGTGCGTCACGTCTACGAGGACGAAGCGATTAGCGCCGTAGATGATTTCCCTGGCCTCGGTATAAATAAGGCGGTTGGTGAAGAGAAACGCGCTCCATCTCCGGGGCTTGGTGGGCGCAAGAGCGTTGACCTGGGTGCCGCTACCGGGGAAGAGGAAGAAGGTTTGCCCTGCGCCAAAAACTTCCTCATATATGGAAATCCGGTTTTCGGTGGGTAAACTTAAGAAGCATGCCATAGCCGAGATGACAATTTATATGGCTTTCTATTTCCCAAGTTGCAAGAACTCTCCCTCCAGCTGTCGCGCGTATGAGGTATCGAACAAGGTACCAGTTTCTGTTATCAGAACCAGTTTTTTTTCATTCAGGCAATCAATTCCCAGCCAACATGGACCGTGGAGCTGAAGCCCACGGATCGCATAGGCGTCCAATTGAGTGCGATATATGTGTATATGCTCGTGGTGAAGACCGGTACGAGAATCAAAGAGTGTAATGTTGTGTCACACTCCCAAAATTCAAAGTACCTAAGAAAATATCTGACGAATTCAAACACTCTGACTACCAACCAGCCTTATGAGGCCACCAAGCGGGGTCAACTGTTTCTATTCTTGAGCCAAATCAATAACATGTTGGTCGGTGATAATGCGACTCAGCTGGTTTCTGAATGTACTATTAATATGGTTGGTTCCACCGTCGTAGCTCAGAGAATGGAGCAACATACCCCATTTTGATATTGTTCTCCTGCAGTTGGCGCTGTACTCTTATTCACTTTATGCTCTAAAAGATAAATTTTCATCCCATACGCATAACCCAAATAGGTCCATAGCCATGCGCCGTTCTTGCGTTGGCCCTAACATGCTATGCGCTTCCCCGCGCTCCAGTCAATGCAACAATTCATGTCCATGTCTTGAGCCGTTCCGATAGCCTCGTGGTATCATATGTATGTACTAGAAATCCAAATATAACCAACCCAAGTCTATAATCTATCTTTTCCTTAAGAATGCGCAGAGGGGGAAAAAATAGAGGGCTAAGAAAGAAAATGGCACTCGCTTCTCCCCCTACCAGCTCATCAGCCCCTTGGACCTGTTGAACCCTCCCCGCAGCTGGTCCTCCGGCTTGACCACCTTCCCCTTCAGCACGGTGAAGTTGATCAGGTTCTCGCAATCCTGCGGCATCACCCTCGCAAGCCAGATGCACTGCGCGGCACCAACGTCACCGCCGCCGTCGCCGTTCAGCTGCTCCGCCTCCTTCTCCTCCGCCTTCTTCTCGTCGTCGTCCTGCCCGAACGCGTTCGGCCGGCGGTACACCATCACGTTGGCCGAGTAGGCGTGCCCGCCGACGTGGCTGATGAAGTAGATGCCCACTCCCCCCGGCCTCTCGTC